ATTTCATCATTTTATCTACAATTTATTTTGTTTCAATTCTCATTTTAAATATTTGTGTAAAATAAGATGATAACATATTAATTTCACATGATTTTTTTATTATTTTTCTTGAAATAAAATCTAACAATTATATCCTTGATGATAACAAAATAATCATACTCTTTAATCTCATGTAATACATCAGTCTCAAATTAAATTTATATCACATAGTATCAATATGATTTCATTTTAATGTATAAAATTTATCAAAATCATAATGAGTTAATCCATGACTCAAGATGAGACCCTGACATGACTTAGTCATTGAATAGTAAATCACGCAAATTTAAAATTTATAAAACTAGAAAATACGAATTTTTAGATATTTAGAAGTATTTCTGAACAAATATATCAATTATAATTCAATAAAACTTCCAAAAATAACGATAATTTTCCAGGTCGATCACAAGGATGCAATATAATATCAGGTAATTATTCAGAATTTTCCTCAAAGAATACTATTTTCTATGAATTTTATACTAGGAAATGAAAAAGAAATATATTTAAAATTCATGAAAAAGGGAAATAAGGGTGCGGACATCAAGATGACGTCAGTGCTCGGTGAACATGAATCGGACAGAAATAGAGTTTTGTCCGACGATTCTTACATAAGCGATTACAGACGATTTAATTGATCAAATTAAGATTTGTAAAAGTCAGAAGAATCGTAATTAAATGAAGTATATCTTAGTAAATTTAAATCACACAAATTATCACTAAATAAAGCAGAAAGTAAGTTGAAAGCAAGAAAACAGAGTTCTGGCATCGCGACGACGATGCGTCGGCGATGCACTGGAATCCTGAGTGTTCGAGAGGATCGTCGTGCAGTGTGTACGGCCTCAAAGGCTCTCTTTGGACAAGGACGATGTGGGCAATCTCTAGATCTCCTTGCTAAGTCTAGAGATCAATGAAATGAGCCGTCGAATCGTCTCTAGTAACTATCACCTGACGGAGCGGAAAAACAACAACTTTGCGACTCTCCGACAGTTGTCACCCAACAGAGAGGAGCTGGATGGAGGTGGGGCGCGTGTCAGGGAGCTTCATCCTCAGGTCCGCACAGTAAGAAAAGGCTCTTCATCGCATCCAGTATGCTCTCAGGAGGTAGCGACTCATCTCCTAGTAGATCGTCCTCTTTACGACGATGACTTATTCGTCGATCAATCGGAGATGCTTTACTCGATGGATTTGCGATCCTTTTATCGCAAATCGTTCAACAATTTTAATAATAATGCCCGCGAATCGCGTTGACAAAATTTTCACCGATGATCCAACAATTCTGGTTGCTTAATCCTTCATTGGCGATCTGCAAGAAAGTCGCGATAATCAAATAAAAAATATGAGTTTTGGCTCTGAGAGGATTCGAACCTACGCCGGTTGCCCGTCCCTTTATGGAGAAGGTGTCACGTGGGTTTAGTCCCACATCGCTTGTGCGCCAAAGTTTCTAACGAATATATAGTAATGTTACATTTGAAAACAAGTCACTTTCTCGCGCATGTACAACCACTTATTGCCCCACAGCCGACTGGCCACCAGTGACGTGGAAGGGGAGTGACGCACACGTGCCCCTATTAGTCCAAGTCGCTCAAGCCCCTACTCGCGGCTACTCCCCAACTGTGCTTTCGACCCGCTTGCGGGCCCGGCTGGCCGACAGGTCCCCCTCATTTTACTATATTTTTATTTTTATTTCTTTTTCTTCATTTATCTCAAAAGTAAGACTGTAAAAATCATATAAATTTGTATAAAATTACATAATTATCTAAAAATTCACTTTAATCAACTAAAAATCACTTTTCACACTTTAACACAAATATAAGTCTATTTATCATAAGTTAAGGCTAAAAGTATATTATTTACTAATTATTAACTCATGATAATGAAGGCTTATCAGACCCCCAAGAAGTTATGAGCTAAAATGTCTAGAAATAAAATAAAAATAAATCAATAAATGTATATCTTATTGGCCTACTAGAATGATAAATTTGAAACATATTAGATGCCATCCTCTAGTTGACCCTTAGAACCTTAAAATTAAAATATAAGAGAGGCCATCCTCTAATTTGAATCCCAAACTCATTAATCTATAAAAAGATTATTGAGTAAAATATTTATTTATTTAGATTTATTACATATAATGAAGTTAACTAAAGTATGTAATTCATTGTGCTTTTGACTAAAAATTTAGTGTAATTGAGTATGTAGTCTTTGAAAAATCTAATATGTCAAGTAGACCAAAAAACTATAGAAGTGACCATGAAGTACCCATTTATCTTTGTAAATCCTAACATACAAATGAAGTAGAGCAAAATCAATTATACCCCTCCACTTCTTGGTACCATGTGCTGTCATATAAATCTAAAGATATCAATCAAAGCTCTAAGATGATTATGTAAATATTATAATAGAAATTAAGTAAGTGGTCATGTCAATGAGTTTTTTATTGATCAAGTTATAGTTGAGAAACAACTTATTTCTCAAATCATTGAACACCCTTCAAGGAAAAAAAAATTATATAAAATATTATAAAATAAAAAAATAAATGATCAATCTCACACTCTTTTTTTCATATTATTCATGAATTAAGAGTTTAAATCTACACATCATAACTCATGTTCTCTAAAAAATTACTAAAATGTTATAACTTTTAGATCCTATGAATAAAAAATTTGAAAATGATCATATTTGTAAGTCTAAGAATTATGTTGGTCTCAAACAAATCACATTAGGAACTAAGAAACAAGTGAGCTGGGGCGTTTTAGTAAAGTCACATGAAGGCCTTGATCATCTTTTCATGTTTGTGTGTCAATGAGTTAAAAAAATAATTTTCAGAGATAAAAGCACAAAGATATCTAATAGGTTGGCTTCCATAGCTTGCTTTCACTCATTTAAGAGCACCTCTCTTTAATTGTTCTATTTACTTCCTCCAAATGCACACTATGAATGTAAGAACTTAACTTAGCTCTAAAATTATAAATTCACAAGTCTAGATTTGTCACTAGCCATACATTCAACACTCCTACATAATTGCATCATATTGGTAAATCAAATCTTAAGGTTCATGTTGTGATACTTCTCTTATTATAGATTTAGAGGCTTTGAACATTTGATACTTCTGGTATGTTGTGCATGATAGATTTTCTTAAAACATAAAAAAATTCTAGTGGTTGTCATCTTAGATGCATTCTTAAGGAATATTGAGGCTTAAAATTAAAATGGACAGAAAATATGACATTCTTAGTCATTCAAACTAGTTGCAAGTAAATCTACAGTATCAATAAGATGATTGATGTATGATTGCCTTACATAGGACGATTATATTAATTTTCTTGAGCCTATGGAAGAATAGGAAAACTACCATTTGACTTTTAAGTTTATTAGGCTACTTATGGAGTTTAATATTAAAATATATCATCACAAACATATTAAGATTCTAGTGGCCATGAAATGAATATTTTACGCTTTAGTATCCTTGGTTAGCATCAAATATTTAATCTTTTAAAAAATATAAAATAAAATAATATTTGTAAATATTGGTACAATATAAATTTAAAATAAATAATTTAAAATTTTTTAATATGTGCAAACCTCATTTAAAGCCATTAAAAATAAATAAACATTGTGATTCGCACATGCAAAGGCATGTGTATTCATCTATTCACGATATTATAAGCCTAGATTTATCAACAACCATATTAAACCTTGATTCATACGTCAAATTGCATGTTGTATCACAAATTTAAAAAATAGAGAGGAAAACACCAAGGATCGGCATCGCTAGCACAACTGTGGGCCTTACTCGGATCCCCATCGGATATACTCCAAAATGACAACTGAACCCAACAATAATATGGGATCGAGCTTTAATAGGCGCGGCCCGTGATAATATAGCCAAGCTCGATCACACCCAGTTTTTCCCGTTTGGGTAGCCCATGCGAGCCGGCGTAGGTATTCTGTTAATGGTCCTGGGCTTAACGGGCCGGTATAGCTTAATGAGCCTCGAATGTTTATGGTCAACGAGCACAGTCAGCAGGTTATCAGTAAGACACTTATTGGTTTCGGCCTTTCTCGCCGTCTTCTCCATGGACGTCAGGCGGGAGAAGTTGCCTATGCGAGTCAACTTCCGGGAGTAAATTTCAAAGCTCCTCGTCAACGGCCGGGTTGGACCCTCCGGCGTGGGGTAAATCACAGGCGATGACTTCTGGTGGAAGGAGCTCGACTTTCGGGACGAAGTTTCAAAGCTTCTCGTCACCGGCGGGGGGCGGAGTTTCTGTAGATGAAGAAATTCATGGCGATGGATTCCGGGAGGAAGCTTCAAAGCTTATCGTCGAGGGGTGGGGACTGGAGTTTCGAGTAAGCGTCGCCGGACGGTGGCGACTGGGCTGAGCACCGGCGGCGGCAAGAGAGCTTCCAGCGGCGGCACTGAGACGCCACCTGCCATGGCGAAAAGAGAAGACATTGGACGGTTTCTCGTCGATGTCAGGCCGGGAAAGTTGAAACCGGGAGCCTTCGGCTACAAGAAACTGGGAAATCCATCACGGCCCGACCTAATAATTTGGTCGACAGCACACATCCCGATGGGGAGGATAATCTGATCTTCAAAGCGTATGACATTTCCGTCATCTCTGTAGACTGGGAATAGCATCATCCCTTCGTCACCGGAGAATCCCAGACGACTCATCTACGACCCAGTCGGGAGGAAGAGGAAGCAGTACACCAGAAGGCACTGACGGAGATTAGCTAACTTCCCATTTTTTAAAGATGCTTCGGGGTCTCCTCTTCGATCGAAGGTCCCAACTGCCCATCTTTGTCAGGCTAGTGTTTTCAACCAGCCTCCGAAGTCAAGGCCATTTTTTGGCCGGCAGCATCTTACCCTACTTCTTCACCACCCAAGAATCTTTCCGTTCTCCAGGTTCTTCCCGCTAGAAAAGAAGAGAGAAAACGGGGGGCCGAGGGAGAGAGAGGCGATGGGTTTTCGGGGGGAGATGGTGCCCGTCGTAAGCATGGCCTTCTGCTCTCTATCTCAGACGGTGCTGATCGTCAGGAGGAGGCCTCACGTTGTGAGCGGAGGCGGCTTCGTCGTCACCAACTATACTCAGAGGGTGCTCTTCTCTGTCGACGGGTGTGGAACCCTCGGCAATGAAGGGGAGCTGCTGGTGAAGAACGGCGACGGCGAACCCATAATCTCCGTTCGCAAGAAGGTAAGACATCGGCTGACTCTCCCTGAGCTCCGGCCATGACGATCGCCCCTTCTTCAGAGATCTTCAGTGCTCCCCTCTTCCCGGTTTTGTAGGGAGGCATCGTCCAGTCGCTGAGCTTGCAGAACCAGTGGAGGGGCTACGCCGGCGCTGGCAGGCCAGTCTTCACCCTGAGGGAGCCCAAGCACTCTCTGGTGAACTGCAAGGTTAAGATCTCCGTCGAGCCCCAGCAGAACAGCGACTGGGACTTCGATCTCAAGGGATCCTTCGTCGACAGGGAGTGCGCCATCAGAGACCGCCGGGGTAACGTGGTGGCGCAGTTGTCCGTGAAGAAGGAGATCCGAGCGATGGCGAGCAAGGATCTGTACAATGTGGTCGTGCAGCCGGGATACGACCAGGCCTTCGTCGTCGGGATCATCGCTATCCTCGACAACATACACCGAGAGTCCACCAGGTGCTGAAGGAAACCGGCGACATAGAATCCATGTGCCTCTTCCATCTTCCTCCTCTCTTCTCCCCTCCTCCCCCGCTGAACCAAACCCTAATAACATTCTTCTCACCGTGTCTTAACCAGAAGCCCTTTAAGCTTCCATGATTAACCCGCCCCAACTCTTATCATGAACGTGTTTAGCGAGAGAGAGAGAGAGAGAGAGAGAGAGAGAGAGAGAGAGAGAGGACACTGTTTCGGCGAGAGAGGACGCTGGATCTCTGATTTCAACGTGATAGAAAAGAGTTTTCAGGGAAACTCCCACATAATATTTTACTTATTTTTATATATACAAAATTACTAATATAGAATTAAAATATAAAATAATATGAAGATAATATCCTTCCTAAAAAAAAATCATGGAATTAATATTGTGAAACATGGATCGAACTTTTTGTTTCATGGGCCCCAAGTCTGCCCCTGGCACAAAAGTCAACGTTGACTGTGTGACAAGAGAACAACCGTAACCAATGCCAGATTTCCGGATCCAAACCATGTCCACGGAGAGAGACCCGTGTGTTCGCTGTTGGTCCTTATCGGGCCCATTGCTCAAACATGTTTATTTAGTGACCACTCGTACGAGTCCACTAGATATATTTTATTATTATTATTATTTAGTGAGGTAGTAGGAGTAATGTCTCCATAATATAACTTAATAGTTTTTTCCACAGTAATATTCATCGATGACGTCATCCCATCCATCAGCGGTCGCGGCCAAGAAAAGGAGCCGCCGCGGCACCACGAAGAGCGCAAAAAAGTATAGATGGCGTCCGACAGGGAGAGTCTTCTCGGCAGCGCTGCCGGGGAGGCAACGGTCGTGCGGCGGCTTCCCTCCTTTCGCGTGGGCACCCACCGCGTGGCGAGCAGCCGGCGGCGGAAGACGCCCTCCGTGCGGCTGGGCGGCCAGAGGGACGGAGCGGCGCAGCGGCGACGATGGTGGTGGCGGGGCGTGACGGCGGCGGCGGCGAAGAGGCTGAGGGGGCGGCGGCTCCGCTGGCTGAGGCTCCAAGGCCTCCGCGCCGCCGCGCGGGCCCTGCGGCGGTTCTACTCCCGGCTGCTGCGGGATCTGGTGGAGGCCGCCGCATCTCCCGGCGCCGTCGAGGCGAGGATCGGCATGGAGACCCTCTTCTCCATGCCAGCCTTGCCCATCTCCCTCGCCGCCGCCTACTCCCCACGCTTCCTCTAAATGGCTAGGCGGCTGAAGATCTTCTTCTTCTCTTGTTCTGGCGCGTCTTCCTGCTCCTGCGGAGGAAGGAGGGTGCCGGAGAGAGGAGGAGCTGCTGCTTACGTAATACTAGAACCAGTGTTACAGCGCCACTTCCGCTCTGTATGGTAACTTCGGACGGAAGCCGAACAGTTTTTCAGGCCGATCGGGGCCTAATAAGCATTTGGTTGGCCTAATAGGATAATGGGCTTACGACCTCTTGGGCTAGTAATATCTGGCCCGGAATCCGGAGCGATATTGTCAACGCATGAGTTGACACCGTCTACAACCTGCCAGGTAGACCAGAGAGCGGTTTCGCCGCCTCTAAATCTGTGGTTGCCGTTTTGAGGAAGCGGTTTGCCGGATTATGACCGGGAACGGAGAACCGAGTCTTAGCCTCGCAGAAATCCTCGCCGAGTTTTCGTAATGAGGGAAAATACCAAAAATATGACGCGCGTTGCGACCCCAAGCGGGTAGTCGACCCACGTCACCACGTCCACGTGGGCGACTTGGCGAGACCCGACTTCCCATGTGGTCGAGTCCCCAGACCCATTCGAGCCGTCCGATCTTGGACGCACGGCTTGAATGGATCCCCTAACTTTGACCGATTCCTATATTCGTACGATCAACGTGGTGAATTTCAGTTATCTAACTTCAGCTTGCGGCCCCTGCATTTTACCAGACCATATCTCGTTGACCACAGTGGAGGGCTGGGCATGCGAAAGTCCGATAAAACCCTGGTTGGAGGTCGTATTCAAGGTGAGTTCCTGTCGTAAGGTGGAGTTATTTTGGGTATTCACATTATATTAGCTCCGCGTCTACCAACCACCCTCGCCCAGGGAGGCTAGAAAATTATATCTTCACCACTTTGCCCGTCTCCCTCGCCGTTTACAAGCACGCCCAAGCTTTCACTGAGGGAAGTCAGCCCCATCTGGATCATCGATGGCAGCCTCTAGAGAAATCCTCTCGTCTTCTCTGTCGGAGAGATCGTCCGCTTCAATCCTCGCTTCTTCCGCATCCCGGTCCCTTCTCGGCACCGGCGGCGGGCTCCTCCGCGGGACGCTCTGCGTCCGCCACCGCCCCCCGCCAGCAGGGAGGAGCCGCCGGTGCAGATCTTCTTTTTCGAAGACGTCGCCGGCGAAGGAGACGACGAGAAACCCTCTGGTGAAGGTGGTGACGCCGTTGGAGCCGGAAGAGTTCCAGGTGAGGGCGGCGGTGACGATCAGGAAGAAGACCAAGGAGGACGTCAAGGATGCCGTCGCCCGCCACTGGGACGGCCTGTCCGACATCATCGGCTGGAACGTGATCCTGCAGATCATCAGCGAGGAGCTAGATCCGAGTACGGCGACGATCTCAATTTCTTTTAAGCTTTTCTTGAATAACCAGCCGGTTGTTGATCTTCTCAGTTAGTTCTCTCGGTTGTCCTGAAATTCTCTCCTAGTTGACAAGAACCCGAAGAAGAGCAGCGAGGCCGCGCTCAAGGACTGGTCAGAGAAGATGAACGCAAAGGGCGACCGGGTGATCTGCACCGCCCACTTCATCCTCGACAAGAACTTCGGCATCCCCGGGGCCATCACGGTGTGCAACCGCCACCAAAGGGAGTTCTTCCTGGAGAGCATCGTCCTCGAGGGCTTCCCCTCCGGCGCCGTCCACTTCCCCTGCAACTCCTGGGTCCAGTCCACCAAGGATCGCCGCAAGAGACGAGTTTTCTTCAGCAACAAGGTCAGCGGGCCTCTCTGATCGTACAGACCGCCTGATTCTCTCCGCCGTTGTCCTTCTCACGGTGAATCCTTCCGCCGCTGCAGCCGTACCTACCGGCGGAGACCCCGCCGGGGCTCGTTCAGCTGAGGGAGGAGGAACTTAGAGAGATGAGGGGAGACGGGACCAGCGTCAGGAAGATGTCGGACAGGATATACGACTACGACGTGTATAATGATCTGGGGAACCCCGATAAGGCGGCGGAGCTTGCAAGACCCGTCCTCGGAGGAGAGAAGATCCCATACCCGAGGAGATGCCGCACCGGGCGGCCGCCCACTGACGCCGGTGAGCATCCAATCTCTGACTTTTTCGAGTCTGACGGAGACGGGAGTTTTGAATGCCAAAAATATCTCCCACGTTCGTTCCACAAAGTCGGCACCCACCCGACGAATGGCCCTAGTTGCTTCGACGCTCCCCCCCGCCCCAACCACAGCACCTACCCCGGCCTCGGAAAGTCCCACGAAACAGGCAAATTAATGGGATGCCAGATTCCTCCTCTACTCCGACGACGGCGATGCATGCCGTCGGAGGAGGAGCAGGAGGAGGAGAGGAAAGATGAAGCAAGAGAAGACGAGAGTAATAGAACAGGCGTTTTTGTTTCAGATTTGCATTCGGAGAGCCGAGTGGAGAAGCCCCACCCGGTGTACGTGCCGAGGGACGAGGCGTTCGAGGAGCTGAAGCAGGGGGCCTTCCTGGCCGGGCGGCTCCGGGCAGTGCTCCACACGCTGGTGCCGTCCATCATGGCCACCATCTCCGCCGATAAGGCCGACTTCTCCAGCTTCCACGACCTGGAGAGCCTCTACAAGGAGGGCCTCATCCTCAAGATGGGCCTCCAGGATCACCTCCTCCGCAAGATCCCCCTTGTCCGCCAGATCCAGGACTCCAGCGAGGGCCTCCTCCGTTACGACACCCCCAGCATCCTCTCCAGTAAGAAATGAAACCAACTCGCCATTAATGCCATTAATCCCATTATCGTGGCTTCGGTGGCTGGGTTCTTCTTCTTCTGATGCTCCCCCATCCCCGCTCTTTCATTTTCTCTCAGAGGACAAATTCTCCTGGCTCCGGGACGACGAATTCGCCCGTCAAATGCTGGCCGGAGTCAACCCCGTCAACATCGAGAGAGTTCGTGTAAGCTCACGATACAGTTGACTCGTTGTCTGCGCGGTTATAATTTATTCGCAGAGGTTGACCGAGTTGCTCCCCGCCTTCTCTCAGACATTCCCGCCGGTGAGTACGCTGGACCCCGCCGTCTACGGCCAGCCGGAGTCCGCCATCAGGGGGGAGGACATCGCCGGACATCTCGACGGCATGACCGTCCAGCAGGTACCGATATCAGATAGCCCAATTTAACTATTTCCCCGCGCGCTCGCCGCGTTGCTTATCGCTTCTTCTTCTTCTTCTTCTTCTTCTTCCTCCTCCTCCTCCTCTCAGGCGATCGACAACAACAAGCTGTTCATGCTGGACTACCACGACGCCTACCTCCCGTTCATTGGACAGATCAACGCCATTGAGGGCCGCAAGGCTTACGCCACCAGAACCATCTTCTTCCTCACGTCCTTCGGCACTATCAAGCCCGTCGCCATCGAACTCAGCCTGCCGCCGTTGTCCCCCGGCGACGCCGCCTCGCGGCGAGTCCTGACACCGCCAGTCGACGCGACCAGCTTCTGGCTCTGGCACTTGGCCAAAGCCCACGTCAACTCCAACGACGCCGGCGTTCATCAGCTCGTGAACCACTGGCTGCGGACCCACGCCTGCGTGGAGCCCTTCGTCCTCGCGACCCACCGGCGGCTCAGCACCATGCACCCCATCTTCAAGCTGCTCAACCCTCACATGCGTTACACCCTGGAGATCAACGCCCTCGCCAGGCAGAACCTCATCAACGCCGACGGCGTCATCGAGTCCTGCTTCACCCCCGGTCCCTTCTGCATGGAGATGTCCGCGGCCGCCTACCGCGAATCATGGCGCTTCGATCTCGAGGGTCTCCCCGCGGACCTCCTCCGGAGGGGCGTGGCCGTGGAGGACCCAACCCAGCCCTACGGCCTGAAGCTTCTCATCGAAGACTACCCCTACGCCAATGACGGCCTGCTCATGTGGTCGTCGATCCAGAACTGGGTACGCACCTACGTCGACGCCTACTACCCCTCCGCCGACATCGTCCAGTCGGACAGCGAGCTTCAGCTGTGGTACTGGGAAGCCGTCAATGTCGGCCACGCGGACAAGCGGCAGGCCGAATGGTGGCCGGAGCTCGACAATCCAGCGAGCCTTGCGTCCGTCTTGACGACGGTCATCTGGCTCTCATCGGCGCAGCACGCGGCGCTCAACTTCGGGCAGTACCCGATGGGCGGTTACGTCCCGAACCGTTCCCCCATGATGCGGCGGCTCCTCCCCGAGGAAGGCGAGCCTGAGTACGCCGAGTTCATGGCCAACCCGCACCGGTTGTTCCTCTCTGCCATGCCGAGCCTCCTGCAAGCTACCAAGTTCATGGCGGTGGTCGACACCCTGTCGACGCACTCGCCGGACGAGGAGTACCTAGGGGAGAGGCACCATCCTTCAACGTGGACCAGCGACGCCCGGATGGTGGAGGGGTTCTACAGGTTCTCGGCGGAGGTAAGGAGGATAGAGAAGGAGATCGAGAGGAGGAACGCCGATCACAAGTTCAGGAACCGGTGCGGCGCCGGCGTTCTGCCTTACGAACTCCTCATACCGAGCTCTCCTCCCGGCGTCACAGGCAGGGGCGTGCCCAACAGCATCTCCATATAAGCCATTCCTTCTTCCCCTCCACAACCACTGTGGCAATTGTCCTCACAGAGACCGACAAGTGCCGTCGTTTTTGACGACGACAATGACGGTCGGATTTTGTAATTAATAGGACCATGGTTCTACATAACATGGATTATTGGCTTACACTCGATGGGAGTGATCTTATGAAGGATCACGCACAGAGAATTACAACAGACGGGGAAGAAACGATCATGCGCAGGCACAGGGGTTCTCGACGGCGGTGAAATCCTCCTCGCCGCCACTCCGGAAGGCGAGGTACCCGGTGGCCAGGCCCACCACAACGGCGATGAATACCCCGCCGTTGAACGACATGACGACAAGCATCAGCATGTAGCCTATCGCCGAGTTGACCCCAAAGAGCGCCGCCACGGCGACCCTCGCTGCGGCGGAGCGCCGAGCGGGGGAGATGCCGAGGAGCGGCGCGTGCGCAGAGCTGGGGATAGGCGAGGGTTTGAGGAGGCAAAGGTCCCTCAAGCGAAGCCGGCGATCCTCCAAGTACTGGTAGAAGGCGGCGGCGAGGAGGACGACGACGATGGTGAGGGCGTACCCCGTCCACGTCTCCGTCCGCCACCAATCGAACAGGACAGTGACCCTTCTTCCCCAGTAGAACGTCATGTGCATCATCTTGCCCGCACCGGTGGATGGATCGCCGGTGAGGAAGGACGGTAGCGCCGCCTCTTCAGAGAGACAGAGACGGAGAGAGCTCCGGTGAGGAAGGACGGGAACTCCGCGTGGAGATGGCTGTAGCGATCAGAACGGCATCGGTGATTCTTTCCGACGAGCTTGGCGCAGTACAAGGTCCGAAGAAGAAAAGTACAAAGAGAGTCGCACCAAAAGGAGAGTACAACGAACTTATTGTACGACCGCCTCCCGTCAGAAAATTGGGCTTTAAGATACCAAAAACCCAATAGAAGCTCATAATGGCCCATGTTATTGGCTAGCCCACTAACAGCAGCTACTTTACACGCTGTCGTCGCTAGCAGTTCCAGCAAGTGGAGAATTCTGTCACGCCACGCTTCCGTTAAGGGTATTATTGTATTTAATTTTTTAAAGACAATAATACCCCTCATTGAGGGAATGGTAAGGAGGTGACGTGTGCCAAAAGCGGAGGGGTTCCCGCTATGGATATGGAACACGTGGTGATGACGTCATCCGTATAAAATGGGACCCGGATGATCTGCCTACACGTTGGCGATTCTTCCGCTTCATTAGCGCAGATCAGACACTTGGGCTTTGGTCTCTACTTCTCGGTGGCCCTCTTCCTCGTCGCCGGCACGATCCAGCCGATGGGGTTCCCGAAGGAGTACCAGTTTCTATCTGAGCTCGGCCTTGGCCCTCGGAACCCTGGCTGCTATGCCAACGGCACCTGGCGCGGCGATGGCCCCGTCGTTGGCTCGTATAACCCCGCCAACAACCATGTGAGCTTCCTGCTTCGTTCTCTTTTTGCCTGGGATTGAGGGGCCCCTCTCTCTTTGCTGTGCGTGATCCCTGCCGTCTTGCGGCATCAATGTGTTGAACTTGGATCGATCAATTTTTTGCTTTCTCGCCGTTTGTGAAGAGAATTGCCGAGGTGGTGGAGGCGTCGATCCAGGACTATGAGGACGGTATGCAGGCATGCACGGAGGCAGCGAAGATATGGATGCAGGTGAGCATATCACCGTCTCTTTCTCCCTCTCTTCCCCCATCTACACACACACACACACGACTATCTGTCTTTATCTCTATTGGAGGGAGTAGTTCGAATGAAGGGAGAAGCTTGACGCCGACATGCATTTTGACTAGCTCTGTTATGTAGCTGATAGACCCAGCATCCGATCATCTGTAGCTTTCACTTACCATTTAAATCAACGTTGTGCTGTTTGGGAAAACGAGAGGAATCACGATGGCTGATGATCTTTTTTGTGCTATATTTTCTTCTGCAAATTCCTTCTTATTCCTCATATTATAAATATCTCAAACGCATTTGGTTTGTTCTAAGAATCTGACTGGTTCTTTAGAAATCTTTTCGAGGGAAGGATGATCGTATCGTTTTAGAATTACAGTGAGCTATCTTCCTCAGTTCACAATCATCGACTAATTAATTAATCTTTTACAAACTCATTTTTCAGGTTCCAGCACCGAAGAGGGGTGAGATCGTCCGACAGATTGGAGATGCTCTTAGAACGAAACTGCAGCAACTTGGTAGGCTTGTCTCTCTTGAGATGGGGAAGATACTCGCTGAAGGAATTGGTGAAGTCCAGGTAACATTTTTCCGACAGGCTTTCATGTTACATTTGTCTTCGTGTAATATTCATTAACCGAGTTAGTATTTCAATTTTTCCGTGCCATAGGCTGTCAATGGTGCCGATTTTGTTAAACCTTTTCAGAGAAACGAGTAGAATTGCATGTTTAGTTTATTACGCATAATGAGTAGTATAATGATGTGCATTTGGCAAAAATAATTATCGGTGTATTTAATTCCTCACTCGGAATAGACGGAGAGATAAATGCCTGACAAAAACGTTTTCCGAACTCAGAAAGAAGCTGAACAGAATAACAGAAAGACAGGCTCTTCTTCTGTGTAATCTATTGCATTCTGTTCCAGAATATGAACCTGTCATTTCATGAAACAGGAAATAATGGTTGACCTTATCGCTTATTGGACTATGGCATGTTTGTGCTCGAAACCCTGTGAAATTCTTAGTTTTCTTTAGTGCAACACGTAGCGCGCTGGTGTATGTAGAAGCAATGCGCCTCATTAATAACTTTCATTTTATACTTAAACTTTAAGATCATATAGAACCTCATCTCCTTTTTTATAAGTTCCGATGTTCACTACTTCAACCAAATTAGATTTTCTATCAAATTATGGGAAGCGAATATTTTCTCTCTTAGACAAGCATTATGGAAATAGCCAAAAGTGTACGAACTACGTTTTTTCCCTTCCTTCTATCTGTTGGACGAGGTTTCTAAACCACAACTGCGTACCTTCACTGTGGGAGTTCTTCATGCAAACACTGATGCATAGGTGTCGAGCTTAACTTGAGAAAAAAATGAATAACAATTTCCTGGTTCCATTTGTCGCCAGTCACAGACCCTAAAGATTGTAATCGTTTATTTCCTATGTATCTTCAATGAATGTACTGTTTCTTAGTTGAGGAAGAAAATGATATTTCAGTGAAAGACATCATATCTGTACGTGTTTTACATAAAATCATGAACAAAATCACATCAATTGATTGGCATGTTGGCACAAAAGTGTTTTTCGTTGAAAAGAGGGACCAATGTAATTTTTCTGAAACAGTTACGGGTTTACCCGGTGAATACAGCAGAAAAGAGTAAAAATAGACTTCTGCGGAATGACTGATTCATTCGGATCGACATGAGGGTCCAGTTCATGCTGCTTATAGAAGCATAATTTAGAATACCATCCATTTTTTCATGACCATAATTGATCTATTGATGGACATGGTACTTTGTTGTTCTTTCCAAGCTCAAAACCGTTAATTATCGTTTGAAATGCTGTAGTGAGTAATATTTTACTATTTGGTTTACATTACTTGGAAGGATGAGTCACTGTCGATTTCATTTATAATCCAGTCACTGTTTGGTAGCCTTGATCCTTCTTTCTTAGTTTCTAGGCCATAGAATATATCAACGTCATTCATTGATTTCATGGGAACTCCTAGCCGTTAACTTCCCTGTTATATTTTGATATCCTTGATAAGACATGATTATTGAATGAAGTGGATGAATAGAGTCTACGATGCCCCCTATACAGTACATACTGTGCAAGTGCCGAATATGCCTTGTATTTTCTTACTTCGATTCATGTTTTTTATCAGGAAATAATTGACATGTGCGACTATGTTGTTGGGTTAAGCCGACAACTCAATGGATCAATTATTCCGTCAGAACGTAAGCCGTTTATTCCCTGAATCTTTGGAATATAGCCTGGTCATTCTTCATTCAGTTAAGTTTCATATGTTCCAAGTTTTACAGTGCTGCTTATCGCCTGTATAATCTTGTTTGCTCTACAATACTGAACTGATAACGCCAAATATTTTCTATCTTTTACCCGAGATGCTTGTAAGGAGTCAGCCGTCCCCGCATTCCATTTCTCAAAGATAATTGTCTCAAGTAAAAACTGTTTCTCCATTAAAAAACGACTGAGAAACTGTTGGTTGAAATACAAAAAACTCAAAATTGATGAATATTGGCTGAATGAGGTTTGAGATAATATCTGTTGTCAATCCAAAAACCCTGTCATTGATTGAAGTTTAACTGCTTTAAAATAAAATTTCCCCTTGAGGAAAATCATATTCGACTGTAGTTGTCTTATGCATGATTTGGTTCTCTACTTTATAATATACTGTTTTTCATGCCCTGGGTCATGAGTCATATTTTGAAGAAAAAAACTGAGAAAGCTTTCACCTTAAAGCCGTGTGATTCACTTGTGATGAGTATGCGATAAGCAGATGTTAGTTCATATGCCAGACTGACATACATTGGAACACGTCTTTTTATGTGAAGGGCATTATCCCTTTCTTTCATGTTTCTGAAGAGGATGTATTGGATTTGCGACCCTAAGTTCCTCTTTTAATAGCTTATTACGACTGCCTAGTTTTTTGTATGGGAAATGGCCACCTTGCATTTCATGGGTCATTTAAGCGCCGGCGTACTGTATTTTACCTTCTGATTGTTATGGCTTTTTCAGTTGTTTGCAGAATGTTTCTTATTTCATTTGTCTTCCTACAGGTCCGAACCATATGATGATGGAGGTAGGATGTTCATGATGCAGATTCGTAAAGTCTGTTTAACATCTGGTGCTTACTTCTTTCCTGATCTTTATGCTAAAATTTGAAAAAATAATTCTAATGCAGGTGTGGAATCCCCTTGGAATTGTGGGTGTAATCACAGCCTTTAACTTTCCATGTGCTGTGCTCGGTAAGACCGCGCATTCTTCACTTGAACTTTGTTTTTGTCCTTGATAATCTCCATTCTCTGTAATAACCGAGTTCGTTCTAGTTTGAAACTGTAAAAAAATATTTCAAATTATTTTATTGAATAATAACAACTTTGTGGGAAGAAAAAAGCGAAACTTATAGATCACCTTCCAGTCTCACCTTCTACCTTATCACTTGTCACCTTCCAGTATCGTGAAACCGAATCCTGTGTCCAATTTCGAGTATCCACTTTCCAGCATCACCTTCTACCTTATCACTTCAGATTCTTTGATATATAGTCACTCTTTTTGATCATTCATGAAGGCCTGCAGTTCGAATTTTTGCACCATGAAAAACCGTTTCTTGGTAAAATAGGAAACAATATGCTCTTTCTCAAGACCATCATTCACACATTCTTCATTGAATCATATCCATTCAAAAGGATGTTTAGTTTCCTTTCATTCTTTCCTTTTTTTAGCTCTCATATCTTATGTGTGGTGATGCAGGATGGAACGCCTGTGTTGCTTTAGTATGTGGCAACTGTGTTGTCTGGTAAGTATATAATTGTATATATGGTCTTATTTTTCAATCATATCATCTACAATCTTCATGAATTTTAATTTTGTTTAGGTTATTTCACTTTGTTGACACTTCTCACTTTATGATTTACTTTTCTGAGATACATTTTTGCTTATCGCTTCTGGCCTTCTCATGTTTCTAGTGTCTTTTGATGATACTTGGGCATGTATCGAACTGGTATGTGAATCTGACAAATGAAAGGGACAAATGTGATAAAAGAGCAAGCTAAATCACGCACCCGACACTCTGGGGTCAGCCCTGAACCCTCCTTATATACATCCCGAGGGGATACAACAGCCCTCATTTTAGTATGCGCAATACATGGCAAGCTGTCTCATATAGAAACAACAGCTTTAAATTATGGGGCGGAAAATCAGGGATCGAAGTGTAGAGAATAAGAAAGTCCTAAGCATAGAAAGTCTAATGATAACTCTGAAGAATATGTGGCTCTATTTTATTATCATTATTTAATGGAATTTTAAATGTATCTATATATATAGATATATATATATATATCCTTTGTTGATCAGTCGGATAAAAGGCAATTCATCAAAGAAAAAGTAATTCATTATCCTGAAGTACAGTCTTCAAGACTTTCAGTGGTTATTCTAGATTCCTCTTTCACAATAAGCTTAAAGTCCTACCTTTCCATAAACGCAGAAAACGTAAAAACATAGTATTCATGGAGGGAAAAGAAGCCCATGGTTGCATCGTTTACCTCTCTCTATTCGTCCCTCTTTAACCATTAATTTTCTTCTTCGTCACACCTTAGCCGTAGCCAGCTTAAACTGAACGATAGGACTAGAGTGAATTGAGGAGACTGTTGAAACATTACAATAGATTCTGTAGGTAATCATCGATCTGATTCAATGAATGACTGTTCTCTCTGAGTTTGTTTCTACTCAGTTATGACTCTCGAGTTGTGTGACAAGGTCTAACATGCGTGAACTACATGCATCAACAGAGGCATCGCAGATGTCAAAATATTTCAGTAAGACAGTCTACTTGGTTGACGCGTGAACTACTCAGCATTTCTTGATTGAATGCAGTCTACTTGGAGTTCATGTAAGACAGTCTTATGGTCCTGGTCTTAAATTGGTGATCGAGAAGGTATGGGTCGGGTGAACCAGAGTTTGGATCTTGCCATCCTAGGTGTACTATCTCAGTGCACTACTCGATATTTAAGCTAGAAGATTTAGTCTTTCTGTCCATTCTCATTTGAAAGTGAGTGTTTGTGGGGTCAACACTGGGAAGTTAAATGCTAGCATTTTCACATAAAATAGGATCTAATGTATCCAAAATGCAAAGATTTACGAGGGTCAACGCTTCTGGACTAACTACCAACAGACCCATGGGAACCAAGTCAACAATAGGGAAAGACAAATTTTAGCACCCAAACTGGGCCAAAAAATGGAAAAACAGGGTCGACTATTGACATTGCATGAGGGTCCTCTCTTCGGTTGGCACCTGATTATATATATAGTCGATATAAATTTTCTAGGGGTTGACTCTTGGAGATTTGTAATCCTAGATGAAGAGTCATTTTCTAGCTGTTGGAGGAGCAGAAATTTGCAATGGTTTTACTTGGGCGTCTCATCCTACTAGAAGAGCCCGAAGAAGAGAGAGGAAGCTTTCGTGAGATTTCCGTGATCCGGAATGTCAAAACCCACCCAAGGCGTGACTTGGGGAGCAAAGTAGGTCTGAGATCAATCAAAACCATCACAAAATTCGTGTGGCATTATGGTGCATGCTCGTCTCCTTCTCACGCGATTTTGAGTTCTGCGTTACTGTTTTACTGCCTCTTTTGCCAAGCCTTTTTTTTTTCTTTTCAGCATCTCACGCCTCTCTCCTTCTGTAATTTAGTATTCTATAAAATAAGAAGAAAAAAAACGCAATTTGATGCTAATGGCAACACCATTGACTGCGCAATAGGAAAGGGGCACCAACAACCCCTTTGGTCACCATTGCCACCACAGAGATTATTGCTCAAGTTCTGGAAAAGAACAACTTACCTGGTGCCATATTTACATCATTCTGCGGTGGCTCTGAAATCGGAGAAGCAATAGCACGCGACAAACGGATACCATTGGTTTCGTTCACCGGAAGCACAAAGGTATGAGATTGCATCTTCTATCCTGTAACTATGACGATTGATTTTATTTATTTGTTTATTTATTATTATTATTATTCTGTCGTCTAATCTTCCATACTGTTTGAGGGGCACCAAGTATCGAGTTACTATCTGGTGCATAGCGTTTTCCTTGGCTGTTCTTGTCGGCTTTGGTGACCGATTGGTGTCATCTTTCTGCTTATTAGGCTTTTCTTGAATAATTATAGCCGACTAGCATGCATGTTTTCCATTAATTACATGGAAGGGGGATGAAGTTCTCTGCAGATGCTCACCTTAGATAGAAAGAGTGACCATTATATCATGAGGTACCAGTCTAGGGCTGACCCACAAACTTCCAAGGTTGAGACATTCTTGGATCACTACTACACACACATACACAATTGCACTTACCGAGCTGACCGTCATAAATTGTATCATCGACTCGATCTTCCTGTCAGTAGAAATGAAGTTCATCACTAGATTTATCGACCATATATGCCGCTCAGCTCATTCTTGGCTCCAAGCGCAGGTCGGGCTCATGGTTCAGCAGACGGTTAACCAGAGATTTGGCAAATGCCTGCTCGAGCTCAGCGGGAACAACGCCATAATCGTCATGGACGACGCAGATATCCAGCTCGCCGTGCGATCTGTTCTCTTCGCCGCCGTCGGCACTGCCGGGCAGCGTTGCACCACCTGCCGGAGGCTGGTAATGTGCCCACCCCCTCCGCCGTTCTCCTCATTCTACGAGCTGCCCTGAAAATATGGACCTCTGAAGCTGCAAATCTGCTTTCCCTCCGCGGAGACAGCTCCTCCATGAAAGCATATATCAGGTATTTCTCGACCAACTGACTGCAGTCTACAAGCAAGTAAAGATCGGAGATCCTCTGGAGAAGGGCACCCTAATGGGCCCGCTCCACACAGCCGCCTCCAAGCAGCACTTTGCGAGCAGCATCGAGGTCATCAAGTCTCAGGTCAGCTCCCTTCCCTCCTCATCCCACATCCTGCTGTTCGCCTCAGCTGCTTTCTAATAGAGATATTAACAGGGGGGGAAGATCCTCGTAGGGGGAGCTGCCGTCAACTCCGACGGAAACTACGTCCAACCGACGATCGTGGAGATCTCCTCCTCAGCCCCCATCGTGCGGGAAGAGCTCTTCGGCCCCGTCCTCTACGTTATGAAATTCCAGGTACCGCCGTCCAGCTTCTCCGTTGACTCCTCCCCAGCATATAATATATATATATATATATAATATTTTTAAATTTATTTATTTATTTATTTATTTTGTGGGCTTCATGGAGACTCTGAGAGAGGCGATTGAGATAAACAACGCCGTCCCGCAAGGATTGAGCAGCTCGATATTCACCCGCAAGCCCGAGCTCATCTTCCAGTGGATCGGGTGAGCGTCAAAACCGGGCGTTCTTCCTTTTATTATGATTATTTCTCTTGCTGAGCGGCCTATTTACTCCCACTTACCTTTATTTTAATGCCCCGGTTATCTTGGCTTCCCTTGATCGAGCTTTCAGGCCGCACGGCAGCGACTGCGGCATAGTCAACGTCAACATTCCCACGAACGGCGCCGAGATCGGCGGCGCGTTCGGCGGCGAGAAGGCCACCGGAGGCGGCCGCGAAGCCGGCAGCGACTCCTGGAAGCAGTACATGCGGCGCTCCACGTGGTAGACCCCCCTAGCCCTCGCCGGCGCGCCCTAGTCTCATTTCCTCCTCCTCCTCCCCCCCGGGCCCACCGACGAATTAACGGTCTTCTTTCTTTTTCTTCCCCTTTTTTGTTTTTGGCAGCACGATCAACTACGGCAAAGAGCTGCCCTTGGCGCAGGGGATAAACTTCGGCTAGCCCATCTCCGCCGCCGGCCCACTCACTGCTAATGATCACGGTACTTGAGGGCGGAGCACCCGCGGGGGATATTCTCGGAATATTCTCCATGCATCATGACCGCTCGCTGAGGTATGACGTGGGCCGCATCAGGAGAATGGGGAGGGGGAGGTGTTAAAGGGTATTAACCCGAATAATAAATAAATGAAGAAATATAAATGATAGTACTTCATGCTGTAAAAAGAGTCGGGGGGGGGGGGGAGGGGGTGGAGGGCGCTGGCAGGCAGGCTACTTCACATGCGGCGGCGCGGTGCTCGCTCTCGTGAAGGGCTCACGTAGCTCTCGCGGCTCGGCACGTGCGTGGAGGTTGGGACGTCGCCCAGCGGCGGCGCTGAAGACAAGGATGGCCGCGCGGGCCCCGCTCTCGGCGGCGGGTACCAAATCGTCCGCCACCTGTCGCTGCCTCCCTGGTCCTCCCCACCGGACAGAGGAGCATGTGGGGCTAAGAGCGATATCTCTCTCTTTCTCTGGTCTCCCCCTCTCCCTGCAGAGGCTCAAACTCTCCATCCTCCTTCCGGTGGCTCAGGATGACGATCTCTCGATGAGACCGTGTTCCATCGCTACCCACCAGGTCAACGGGTAATTTCAGAGTCAAATCGCTCAACGGCCTTCTCTCTCTCTCTTCTCTCTCCCTCTCCATCTTTATCTGTGCACTCATCTCTCTAATATTCGGACGGATCATTTACTGGGTTCACGTCAGTTTATGCAAAAGTTGTGGTCTTGACTCGATATCAAAGAGCCGGAAATCGAAGCTCCGCGGTGAAGGACCGGGGATTCCCGCAGCCAACGGACGAGGGGGGTTGGGGTTGGGTGGAGTAAAGAGTGGAAAGAGAAGATTCCCGACGTTGATTTTCGCTCCCTGGTTTTCTCTCTCTTCTTCTTTCTCTCTCTAGAGGCGACAAATCTCGTGCAGCGAGTGCATGCACGGCGTGTACAGAGAAAGCGAGGAAAAATGGAAAGCTGACGCGTGAAAGGCGGCCCTCTTCTCGCTCTTTCCAAGTGGCAGAGACGAACGGCGTCTGGGGACGTTGTGGTTGGGCTATCAATTAGGAATGAGCTCGCCGGAGTAATGGCCACTGCACCTCGGAATCCGAGGCTCTTCGGTCCTGCATACTGTGGACGGGGGAGGGGAGGGGGGGGAAGGGGTGATCCAAGCGGCGATACCAATCATCCTCAACTGAGGCGACTCGTACTCCTCGATGAGAGAGAGAGAGAGGCGGTGATGGATTCTCCCGTGTAGCCATCAGTCTGATCTCACCCCGTGGGTCAATCGCCACCATGGAGAAAGATCATACTCTCAGCCATTAATGTCGTCCCTTCCCATCCTCCTTCCTCTCTGCAGAATCAGAAGCAGAGTACGAGCGAGAGAGAGAGAGAGCGCCCGCCGTCGCCGCCGACGGAGCGGCGCAACTGGGTTTTCTTCTGGGCGGGGCCTTCGCCGCCGGCGTCCTAGCCGGCACGGGCGGCTACTTTCCCCGATCATAATTTATCATCGACGCCTCTCGACCCGCCGGCCGTCAGTACGGCGACGACAATAATTGCCCGAGCCGTATCTTGCGGCGCCACCGCGCCATTAACTCCCGGCGCAGGAAGAAGCGTTTCGTCGACTGGCGATGAGAGAGAGAGAGAGAGAGAGAGGAGCTCTGGGGTTCTTCTGGTTTTGGGGTGCTCCGATCGATAAGAAAACAATACGAGACTTTACAGAAGAAGAGGCAGGAAGCAATGGTCGAGCAAGATCAGGATTGTATGGAAGAACGCTAGCGAGTTCCTGATGAACCTAACCTAGAAAGAGATGAAGATGCCGACTTCGCGGACAACTTCCCGGTGCTCCTGCTATCGCCGCCGCTTATTCTTCTTCCCTTCGCCGCCGCCGCCGTTTGCGGACTCTCTTCTCGTCTCTCTTCCTTTGCTTCCTCTGTCCGGCCTGCTCCGAGTGGTCAGCCGGCGAGGGTGGGGAAGCAGCTACCGGACCTGGTGAGCGGGCCGCGGGTGGCGGCGACCTCGCCGGAGAGCTGCTGCCGGGGGCTGTTAGGGGAGGATCTGATCCCCCGGGGAGAGTCGAGGCTCCGCCGGAGAAGCTGCCGCATGGCGGCGATGAGATGCTCGTTGGCATCGGCGGCCACCGGCGCCGGCGAGGACCGGAAGCTCGCGCAGAAGGTCATGTGCTTGTCAAGTGCCTCCTCCGTGCCGATGAGCTTCTTCCCCGATCGGCAGATCTCGTCCTTCACCGCCTCCGCGCAGAGCCCGCAGATCCAGCGCCCCTTGTACCTCTCCCTCACCCGCCCGATGTACGCCGGCGTGCACTCCTCCGTCAGGCTGCAGCAGTAGCACTTGACGAACTCCACCTCCGCGGCCGCCGTCGCTATGCCGTCGGCCACCTCCGCCATCTGCTGTTCCGCAGAGGCGGAGGCTATCGGGACGGGGTCGCTGATCACGGAGCCCGACATTGGCGCCCTTTCCTTCCTCGGAGAATTGACCTGGAGGACGACGGAGGAGGGAGCGTAAGCAATAAACCCTTGCCAAAACAAGCCGATGCGATTTATAGGAAACCACAGAATCTAAGAAACCGAGAAATCGCGGGGACGGGGGAGGAGGACGAGAGGAATTAACCGATATTTGGAAAGAGGAGACGAATCATAAGATAACAACGGCAGCTTCCCCAGTCGAGATCTGCGGATTGTCTCACCTGAACTTGGAGAGATCGTCGGACGGCGCGCGCAATGCCCGGCCGATTCTGGAAACTGCTCCTCCCTCCCGCCTCTCTCCTGCCGTTTGGAGACCCTTCGGGTGTCAAATCGGAGAGCAAATAAAAAGCAGGAGCGAACGAAATCAAGGCGAATCCCCCCAGCGGCTTCTGCTACCGCTCCTCCCACACCACCACGGCGGCGGTCCGCCGCTCACCCTCCTCCTTCACTCCTCCCGCCGCCGCCGCCGCCCCCGCCACCACCACCACCTCTCCTTCTGCTCCTCCACCGCCGCCTGCCCAAGACATCTCAGGCAACCCTCCCCTCCCTTCCTCTCTCTCTCTGTCCTCCCGCTTCAGTGGTTTCTTCTCTCTCTCGCTCTTGCTCTCTGTGCAGGACGAAGGGGAGGTGGGAGGAGGGGTTTTTATTTTTTGACGCTGGAAATGGCAAGCAAGCCAGAAGAGCTCAATGATTGGGAGCACGAAGAGAGAGAGAGAGAGAGAGAGAGAGAGAGAGAGAGAGAGAGGGGGAGAGCAACGAGGGCACGTCAGCACGATACTCTGGCATGAATGCTTAGTGTGTGTGGGACCCATTGCCAGCTGTCAAACGTTACGAGAAACTCCTACGCGGTTCCCGACTCGACGGCGACAAACTATGTGGCGACCGGCGTAACCCTGCCGTCAACCATTTACACTAATCAATCAGAATTGATTATCGCTAATCAAGTAGACAGCGACGCCATTAGCCAGCCCAGCCCCACCAAGGCGTCGGCGTCCTCATCACCGTCGATGCGCTCCGCTGCTCTCCCCCAACCGACGGTTAGGATGATGCCACCGTGTCGGGCGTTACGTTATTCCCGCGTCTCCGGATCTAACAGAGTCCAGCGGGGGCCGGGGATTCTTCTTAAAGTCACCCCCTGTCCGCATGCGCTTTTACGAAAGTTGAGGGAGGCGCGGAGGATATCACAACGCGCAGCACAACCATTTAATAAATATATCATACAAACTTGGTAATCGCCGATATCACTCGCATCCGTTGCTTCGCGTCTACTAAAGAGCTCCTCTCTCTCTCTCTCTCTCTCTCTCCCCGTTGAAGGGGAACAGGGAGAGGGAGAGAGGGAATCGACCATACGAGGGCGACCCAGCGACCGGCGTGGATGAGGACGAAATCCGACGTGGCTGTTGTAAAAAGCACGTGGTCAACCCATCCAATCAACGCAGATCGATCACGTCAGCTAGACCGTGGCCTCTAACTTCTTTGATGGATCCCTGTGAGGTTGGCGATGATGAATGAGGAGCAATCGGAGGTCGATCAATCGATCCCGCGTGCCCCACGTTGCGTGTCCGATCAAGATCGGACGGATAGGGGCGTCGTGGGGCCCAGCGGCGAATCATCGTTCACTTTTGTTCTTCAACGCAGCTGATGGATCCAAGGGCCCGGTGGACCCCCCCCCCCCCTTCCCCCACGCGTAGCCCATCGGGTTGTCTTCCGTGATCCAACGGCTCTTATTCCGTGCGCCTAATCCGCCCCATCACAGTTGACTGCTTGACAAGCTACGATTAGATTTTTTTCACACGTGTTCAGCATGGGAGTATCTGCCCGCGATAAATCCTCGGCTTCGGGTTCTTAGACGAAGAAGAAGAAGAAGCTGATGTGTATTAGCTCGTATCCTGTCTTCGCATCGTGTGGATGCAAGTGACTTGGAAGCGAAGCAAACGGCGGAGATTGAGCGACGGGTGGCCCACGTCATCTCCAGGAAGTAGCCCCTATGGTTGCCAAGTGTCAACTCTGCTCCCTCTCATACTCTCTCTCTCCTCTCTCTTCGGGCGTCATTTCTTCGGATTTTATCCTGCCTTCTCATGACGCGGCATGTCGAAGCGATTGTCTTCATCATCCAATCGAGGGCTTTTCTCAATGTGTCCAAGAAGACAGACGTTGAGAAAGAGGGCTTCCACGTGTCAAGCCTAGCTCGTGGGAACGTGGTCGACGGGACGTGAGATGGCCCCCACCAAATTTCTATAGCACAACTTCGGCCCGTTATCATCTTATCGGGACGGACTCTGCCTGATCCGTCCAAACGAGTATTTTTTTGCTCGTGTCAGTTCCCACACGCGGGGGCTGTCCTCGCGGATGGACGACCCACGATCGATCACGCATGCCGGTACACGATCCTCCGGCGGAATGGTGAGGCCTCGGACAGAGATCCGAAAGCCCGTCGTGCACCTCGTGCTGCCACTTCCGTCGGAATCGCGGGTCCCGCGATTGTGCCCGTCGATCGGTAGACCTCACAAGCGTGGACCCTTTCTGAGACGTGGGATCGATGGGACTACGATGCTCCCTACATAGGATCGCCGTTTAACCGCGATCGGTGCAAAAATATCTTTCTGATCGGACGGCCCTGAATCCTCCACAATGGCTCCCCTTCTCGATGGAAGAGGACGGGAGGGAAAGAGACGCCGCCCTTTCGTGCCAAGGACGACGACAGGTACGTATGTGGTGGAGGGAATAAGGGAGACAGCCACGTCAGATCACATGCACTTTCTCGAGAAGTTGGTCATAAATTATAAATTTATTTAAAATTAAATGATTTAATAAATCATATTCCTCGTTGCACAAAATATTATGTTAATTTTTACGGTAAATATTATTAAACCCGCTTTTGGTCTGAGGGGGGGGGGGGTTGGGGTTGGGGCGTGCATGGGCCCATTAAAATGTATAATTGGGCCGGTCCGATATTGTTAATGGGTCGATACCATAGGCCCGTTAGCATTCTTGGTTCTGGGCGGGAGGAGATGACGCAGTTCCTATATCCGTTGTCTCCTGCTTTCTGGGCGATTTGCTTCATTCCCAGTCGTCATCTTCCCCTCACTCTCTCTCTCTCTCTCTCTCTCTCTCTCTGTGGTCTCGTCTTCTCTCGCTCTCGCTGTGGCTGCGGCTGGCGTGGCCGCCTGGGGCTGTGGGAGCCAGCTGACGGAAGCCTTCAGCTCGACGGACGAGGTTTCGCCTCCTTTTTCATTCGATTTTGTCTTCGGATTTAGTGTCCGTTGTTCCGTAGATGCTTCTGGGGGGTTTAGCAGGGGGGGAATGTGGGAGTTGTCTGAGGGATTAAAATTCCGTCTGTTTCATCTCGCATATGCAGTCCTTTCTGGGAGATTTGGTTTTTCTTTTTCCCCTTTTGCGTCTCTTCGCCCGCTTAAGGATATGTCCTCTCTGGCGTCTCCGGGGCCGGCGACGACAGCCGTCCGCTGAGGGGACTGGCGGAAATTCCGGGACTTTTATGGTTAATCACTGCGTCATTCTTTTCTTTCTTGTAAGGCCCCTGATTTTCAGTGAGCACTAAAGTTCTCGATGGTTGTTTATAGACTCCTTTCACTACTGTAAAGAGATGTCCAACGTTAGATTTTATGGTTGCTGAATCGGTCTGACCGCCATTGAAGATGCTTACGCTGAGATATCTTTCATCACTTACTGCGACCAGCCGTGAACCAAATGGCTTCTCAAAGGAATTTAACAGTTTGGTGGTAAGGTCCATTAAATAATTATTTTTTTAGTCTTCCTTTCTGTGTTCTTGAGACATTGGATTCATATTCTCTGAAAGAACGTGAAATTACTGGTCTGAGCATCACGTTCAATGACTCCCTTGATGGATGCACACAATTCCAATGGCGAGCTGAATTTCTTCTGGGGTTTCTCAATGTGGGAAATGATGTGGCAGCCTTCGTCGTCTGCTCCATCTATCTTGTCTATGTGCTTGTTTCAACTCGCATCACTTCTCAATATTTGCTCAGGGGCCGAGCAAGGCGAGTTTGACTGAGGTTGGATTCACGGCTGAGTCCAGGTCGTAGCATTTTAGAGGTTTTTTTTGCCTGAGGAAATGATCAGAAAATACAGGACTATATAAAAAAAGTAATGCTAGACTTGCCCACATGCTTTTTGATCAGAAGTCAAAGCAGTGAACATACAGAGGCGGCCATCTGCGCCACTTTTGTTCTTGAATTCACTATAGAAATCCCATTTTCAGGGTACCTCTTTAGCTGAAAGAAACACAGGCGAGCTTTGATTTAGTCTTCAAAATTTCACATCGCGATGTCCTTCTCAGGGCTCACAATGCAAGAATCTCCTCCATGATCATTTAGGTGGTTATGATATACTCTCCGATCATTAAACTCTTGAAGCCTTCATTTTTGCCAGAAACTTTTCAGTGTTTATCTTAAAATCTATACATATAGAACATCATCACACCTCTGTCGATCGTTTCATCTTCTAAATAGACGGGAGATCTCATTTGTGCTGGATAGACTTTCTTCAACCTTCCAGTTCAATCTCAATTATCTTTCTTAGCTGTAGACAATTTTCTCATGTAGTTCATCCGTTTCAGGTGTGTGGCGCAAGGGGCCCAAGACCCAGATATCCTCGGGTATGGAAAACCAAAAGGAAAATCGGAACCATTTCCAAATCAAGGAAGCTCGTCGAATGTGTGAGTCCTCGAAATAATTTATTTTTTTCCTCTGAAATTCTGTCCGCAGGGCAAAAGCATGGCACAGGACTCTTTCTTAATTATTCATTAATTCCATCATTAAATATGCTTGTAAATGGTGCTACGACCTCCGAATATTAGCTCCAGAAATAAAGTTTTAAACAGCTATGGCTCCCCGTGACCGGCGGAATCCCGGATCATCTCCTCAACTGTGGGAGCATAATGACCGATTAGTGGGAATGAATTCGTCCGTGCGTTGCAATGAAGAAGGATTTGGTTTGCATGGGTACACTTTAATAATGTCAGCTTAAGTTGACTTTCTAGTCGGAAGTTCAGTCACTTTTGGTCAACTTAACCTTCATGGAAGCTTTGCTGGGGTGATAAAAAATGACTCCTATTTTCCAAGAAGAAAGTTTTTTTTTTTTCCTGTATATTATTTTTTCACGGGTATGGGTGGATTTTTCCTCTGTTTCCTTCCACATATATTTCCTTTCATAGCATTTTATGCTCGCCATTATTTTTTTAGCCTCCTCCAGTGGTTGACCTTTCGGGCATCTCCACTCTCAGATAAAAGATCTCTCAAATGTCAAGGAGGAAGTCTACGGGGCCCTCGATTCGTTCGTCGCGTGGGAGCTGGAGTTCCCTCTGATCGTGGTGAAGAAGGCCTTGAAGACGCTCGAGTTTGAGAGAGAGTGGAAGAGAATCATTCAGGTGGTGGGGGCCGGACGACCCCCGAGAGCCGGGGCCGGTTGGGTATCTATTTATTTATTTACTCGGTCGGGGCTTCTGATTGCAGGTGATTAAGTGGATGCTGAGCAAGGGGCAGGGGAAGACCATGGGGACCTACTACACGCTGCTGAATGCTCTGGCCGAGGACGGGCGGCTCGAGGAGGCGGAGGAGCTCTGGGCGAAGATCTTCTCGGAGAATCTGGAGTGCTTGCCTCGGATCTTCTTCATCAAGATGATCTCCATATACTACAATAACGCCATGCACCAGCAGATGTTCGAGGTACGTATCATCATTAAATAATCTCCTCCCTCCTCCTGCTTGGTTTCTCTCTCCCTCTCTTTCTCTCTCTAAAAGGGTGGGTTGCTATAATTGCCTCCCCTCCTGCTTGGTTTCTCTCTCTCTCCCTCTCTCTCTCTAAAAGGGTGGGTTGCTAAAATTTCCTCCCCTCCTGCTGGGTTTCTCTCTCCCTCTCTATTTCTCTCTGTAAAAGGGTGGGCTGCTATAATCTCCTCCCCTCCTGCTTGGTTTCTCTCTCTCTCCCTCTCTCTCTCTAAAAGGGTGGGTTACTAAAATCTCCTCCCCTCCTGCTTGGTTTCTCTCTCCCTCTCTCTGTCTCTCTCTAAAAGGGTGGGCTGCTATAATCTCCTCCCCTCCTGCTTGGTTTCTCTCTCTCTCTCCCTCTCTCTCTGTAAAAGGGTGGGTTGCTAAAATCTCCTCCCCTCCTGCTTGGTTTCTCTCTCCCTCTCTCCTTCTGTCTGTAAAATGGTGGGTTGCTACAATCTCCTCCCCTCCTGCTTGGTTTCTCTCTTTCTCCCTCTCTCTCTCTTTCTCTCTCTAAAAGTGTGGGTGGGCTGGCATAAAAGGTGTTCGCGGACATGGAAGAGCTCGGGATCAGGCCAGAGGGGAGGATAGTGGAGATGATGGGGGACGTCTTCCAGAAGCTGGGCATGCAGGACAAGTACGAGAAGCTGGGCAAGAAGTATCCTCCACCCTCCTGGGAGTACCGCCACATCAAGGGCAAGCGAGTCAAAGTTCGAGTCAACGCCCAACCCAACGACGCCGACGTTGACGCGCCGCCGACGGGTTGACCCCCGCGGCTCATGTCGGATTGAAATCGGCCAGCTAAAAGTAGAATAAGCTCACACTTGCCCAGCTTATGATTTGACTCATGGGTGCCCGAGGGTTTCAGCTGATGTTATTCAAATCTTGTTGACTCCCAAGGTCAACATAGACCTGGAGAGCGGCCCGTTTGACGGGCTTTTCTCCAAGCCCGGGCCCGAAAACAGCGAGCCCTGCTACGAAATAAATCATAGAAACAACCCTCCTTTTTTTCAAGACAGAAATAACCCTTGAAGGAAGAGAACAATAGAACCCAAGAGAGGTCTAAAAAGATTTCAAGACAGAAATGTGGGAACGCGTAAGTCAACGCTCGAGGAGCCAAACTATTCACCGTAGGATCTGAGTCCTGAGGGGTCAGTCTCGCTCGCTGATAGCCGTCAGATGTTCGTCGATCTGATCCGTGGTCAGGACTCTAAAGACCGTATCCTCCTTCCTGACGACCCCAACCTGAAATATTTTGGCGATGCGCACGTCAACGACGGAATGGCTACCGTTGACTAGGAGGGGGAGAAGATCGCCCCAATAGATTTGCAGGGTATGGTGTGAATTGTTCAAAGTTTTTCGAAGCCAGGTGGTTTCGGTGCATCATCCAGTCAACATGACAACGATGGGAAGTCAACGGTACCTCGATTTCAGTTGCCTTGAAGTCCTCCTGAAGAACAGATTGCAGAGCGGAGATTGCAGTCTAGAAGAGAGGAAAAGAAAAAGGGAATCATGAGTTGCCCATCTGACTGAAAGTTTTAAGTAAATAAATAAATCACCAAACAGATGGAAATCGGTCAAATACTGAGGAGTAAAAGAAGAACAAGAATAATAATAATAATAATAATAAGCATTTTGATATCATTCGAGAACCGAATCGGAGTACCTGGACAGTTTCGTCGAATGAGAATCCCGGATCGTTCTTCATCTTCTTCTCCAGAAAGTTGATAGCTTCTTGTTCTTTGAGACCAGCGCTCGTCGCCTGGGAGGAAGATATGGAATTCATCCCACGTCAGTCTTCAGAGGAGCAAGGAAGCGCAAAAACACTAGTACATAGCATCGAGTGTACAGCAATAAGAAGAGATAGCAGCAGTGGTCTCGTGAGGGAGAGATCTCATCTATATAACATCGCAGCAAGCTGATCAGTGAAGAAATATCCACAGTGAGGATCATCCACTGCTGCTGTGATGGTGCAGTGGGTCACACGCTATCCAAACAGTGGCACATGATAATGTTCTTGTTGACTGATTTAAGATATATCAAAAAAGAGCAGGGAGAATTTTGTCAGGCTTGCATACGCAGACACGTGTAACTTCTTCGACTGATGATTGGATCCTCACCACTTCTATAGATGAAAAATTTAACTAATATCCAGGGTTGCAGACCCAATCATTAAGTAACTGCGTTATCACAGATTGTCAGTCAAATCACAAGGTTTAGATTCTCATTATGCATCTCATATGGGAGCAAAGTCTTCCTAGTCCTCAACATTCCTAACTTTTTCAATTACAGTTCGTGGTTGCATAAGATCGGTACATGGTAAAGTGACTATTCATACATCATCCTGATTCTTTTTCGAATGAGTCCCCTTTTAAGTCCCTCAGTTTCCGACCAATTTAATAAATACCTAAAATCCAACATATTATTTAAACTGCTCTGATAGTGACGAAGAAAATAGATGGTGGGGGGAAGAACTGCTCTCTCTCTCTCTCTCTCTCTCTCTCGCTGTGGGCATGCATAGATGCATAAGTGTCTCTATATAGATATACATGTTTCTTTTCCCGTCCTCTCTCTGTGTTGGTATTTTTCAGTGGCATTGTCGTCTAGGAAGTCCTTGTTAAAAATTGAAGAGCTCCGACTGTCTGAAAAAAAAAACTGTTCTAAAATTCTATTGAGCGAGAGGTATGTGAAATGGGCAGGATACATTGATTTGCTTCTTCTTCTAGAGTCGTCCCTCGAAGTTTACATCTATTTGAAGTACCTCACCTGATGTCTAGGGTCTGTACCAAGTCTGTGTGCAGATATGTCACCTTCACTAATGATTTACTCAAAGACAGCATTGAATTCCCTGATCCATCCAAATCTGGAACGTAAAACACTCGCAAATTTTGTTGATATTCACATCTTTCACATCGACAATGATCTCGAATCCTTAGAGAAATGACTTGATTCTTTTTCTACATCCCCAGGCATTTTTATCAAGGAAAAGGCGCAAGAGCTTGTTGATGTGGCCCACACCACTAGATTGCATACGCATGCAACTAAATCCTCTTGGGGAGATGTTGTCCTTATCGCTTCTTATCTCATTAATCAAACGGCATCTTTTTTGGTTCCATGTGTACTAATGTGTCATTAACCAAGGGCACCATTGTGTCATTCAGACAAGCTGGAAGTATGTTGTTGCTATCCTCTTTGAGAGCACTCCATAATTCTTCGAAAGTGACCATGATTTCCATTCTGTTACCTCTTTATCTTTTTCTCTGTGTTTACTACTTTTTAACACACTTGAACAAGTTTTCGTCAATGAAACAAAGACTCGGGAATTACTTGTCATCTGCTTGCCCCCTCTAGGTGATATCTTCTTTGAGGCCACTCCATAGATCTCCAAGAATGGCCATTATTTCCCTCCTAGCATGTTTTTTCCGTTCTTTTACCTCTTCCAATTTTTGTCTCCTACTTAAACAAGTTTGAACAAGTTTCTCATCAATGAAACAAAGACCAATTATAGCACATTGCATTAGATTATAAAATGGAATGTATCAAACCCATTCCTGGGTCATGGACATTTTTCTTGTGGACTTACTTTCCAACTCCTCAATTGAAATGTCTATCAAAGAATCCTGAGAGCATACATAATCTCACTTGATTGTCCACAACCACAAAATGAACCGTGCTTAACCAAGGTATGGTTCCAGTTACAGTTCCTTCACTTTGAATAGATTTACCTAATCTGAAATAGATCACCCGAGAGATACCAGATCCTCTTGCAGATACTTTATTTCCAAAGATAAAATACGCAGATCTCTAGAATAATGGCACATCGTCTACCAGACTGTTGTAGCAAACAATCTTCCATAATGTCACGCAATCTACCCGTAATTTATATAATATGCAAACTATCTTACAGTAAATCGATCACTACATGTCAACCAGTCTTCGAAATATTGAAAAAAGTTGATACTTCTATTTCCAGTAGCCCGAACAGAGTGTTTCAATGCTAGTAGATTAATTCATAGACAGAACAATGCAGAGACCGCAGTTCACAATCACATCAGCAACATCACTACTCTTGCAGCATAAGATGGTATGCTTTTGTAAAACATTTCCCACGGGAGGAGGGAGAGAGAGAGAGAGAGAGAGAGAGAGAGAATCAGAGGACCTGCGTCCAGGTGTGTGTGAGAGCGAGCGAGCAAGTGAGAGAGAGAGAGAGAGAGAGAGAGAGAGAGAGAGGGTATTTAGTCTCAAGTAATAACAAACACAATTCAAAATTCTCTAAAAGATTAATAATAAAAGAATAAAACAACTAAATAAAACGTGAATAAGGTATCTCAGGTACCTTGTGGCCAAAGAAATGACCAGCTGGATCACACTTGAAAAGCTGAGGTCCTTTTTCTTCGTCAATACCCAATACAATCGCAACTTTGCATTTCGAAAGAGAAACAAGAATAAAATGATGAGTCACACAGAAAATAATGAAACGTTACTGAAATTATTCTTATAGAGAGAAATAAATAAATATCCTATTGAAAATAGACCAAATAGATACATTGACACTCTATTTCCTAAATTGACAGTGTAGAAAAAGAGAGAAAGGACTGACCTACTCCAAGAGGTCTCATATATGCATGTTGTGTATACACCTGTGCTTGGTCTGCTATCCTGTCATTGCGTCAAAGGACAACGGTAAGAAAGAAACTCTCTAGACCTTGCCAAGATCACCACAAAAACAGAATATACTCCAAGCTTTTACTCGATAGAACCATATCCATGCAGGAAAGGTGAGAACTATTTTCGTGTTTGATATTAGTGACAGCCTTTATCATAATTTTAGATGCGCCATCACCCATTAGTCTTGTTGCAGAGAACTAATGCAACAACAAACACGACTGAATAATTGATGACCCAGAGGATCGAGAACCACATTTTCCAATGACAAACTCCTAGTTTATTTTAAACTGCGAATATGGAGGCTAATCTGAACGTCGCTACACCTCCATGAAATAGCCACATGCATGGAGGTAAAATAAATATTTAGACAACAATTTTTCGTTTGAGATTTATGCAGATGCAGCTTATTAAATAGCTTGAAACCGAAATAGATGCCGCAAATCTGAAAACATAAAGAAAAAAATCATTTGAGATTTATGTGCTTACGAGGAAATTATCTACATAAATAAAACGAAATGATAAATACAAGCACTTTATGCAAACGACAACCCTTGATTGCATATGCGATTTGAAGGATATAGATTAAAGGGAAAACAATGAAGCCAAACCAGGTGACCATTTGATAGATTTACCACTTTATGACAACACAGGCAAAAAAAGTTCTAGGGACTCTTTTCATAGGATTCAAAAGCTCAATGTGAACTGATAACAGAGGTTTAGACCTTTCATCAACAGAGACATTTCAGAGAGGGCGAATTCTAATGATCATTTCTCAGAAACAAAGGCAGCCACTGAATTTTTATTATCTCTCCTTCGGGTAGAAGATATCAGTACATGATCTTTAACATTAACTGGCACATAAAACTCAGTAACGACCACAACTATTGTGATCATTTAAATTACAGGCAGAAGTGGAATCATGAGCTTGTACTGATCCAAGTGCAAGGCCAGAAAAAGAAGAAAAGTGAATCAAAGTTCAGTGGACATATAATAAAAACATAAAAAATATGGAGGGTCTGGTTTCCTTTGACTAGGCAATGTTTTTCGGTTTAAATAGGTGGATAGATAGATAGATAGATAGATAGATAGATAGATAGATAGATAGATAGAAAGATAGAGAGAGAGAGAGAGAGAGAGAGAGAGAGAGAGAGAGAGAGAGAGAGAGAGAGAGAGAGAGAGAGAGAGAGAGAGAGAGAGAGAGAGAGCGAGAGAGAGAGAGCCAAGCAGATCACCTAGTGAAATAAATCTGCAAGCAAATGCATTAAAAATGGAAAAAAGTTCTAGACTAAATATGTATACACAATAATGGATATTGAGACCACGGAGAACATTTTCTATTTCTTGAATAAACCAATATACTGAATGTTTGATTAAATAACAAGATCATATAGATAAATTCCATACCATTTGGCCAGTACATCAACAGGCATTTCATAACCCCACTTAAAGCGAAACTCTGCTGCTTCATTCCTAGCTTTTTGGACCAGAGACCTTGCATCAGCTGTTCAATTTCAATGCAACGTTAATCCTTGGCAAATGGAAGCTCGAACCAGTACAAAGAGACCACATTTCCAAGGGATCTACTGAAATCGAGTTATGAATACAGTTTATCAGAGTGACGCTGACTGTTCAAACACAGCGATGCTGACTGTTTAAGATTAGATCCTCACAATTCCCAGCTTATCAGAGTATTTAGTGAAAAATACGGAAAGTGCAAATAAAATGTTTCTGATGCTTTCACTGGGGGGATTGCAGCCGTAACTAGTAGTAAAATTTGAATAGAGGACAGACCTGTCATCCCAGTGGCTAGCAGGCCGAGGTACTTTGTGATTGGAAAAAGGTGACTCACGCTAGTCTGATCCAAAAGCTTGTCCTGCATTTAGTTTTCCCGTTCCCAGGAACCCAATTATCGAACGAGACAAAGAAAGGGAGGATATAATACCAAACGACGCTAACAATACAAGCATCAGCCAGCTAACATTAACACTTACCGGGACCTTCTTCTGCGTGACGACACAGATGGAATCCTTACCCCGGACAGCGATCGACGTGATCGCAGCTGCCTTCACCGCTTTGAATGCATACTCTGCCGATGAACAAAACACGAAACTACCTGGTCAGGGAAGACAAAAACCCTAACATTCTCCCGCATCGGGGCATGGAAAGAAAAAACTTCCACGATCTATCCCTTTTTACCCAATAAATACGCGGATTACACACTATTTTCCACGGGAAACAAAAGATCCAAGCGGAAAATCAGAAACACCCACCAACTTGATAGAGGCGTCCCTCGGGGGAGAAGATAGTGATGTGGCGATCGTATCCGGCACCGGTTCCGCGACTCATCGCTCCTCTCCCTTCTCCCCGGAGTACAGCTTGGGCTGTCCCTTCTCTCCGCCCGAGCTGCAGGTACCTCGGCCGAACCCTCCCTCCGCTCCTACTACCCCGAATGAAGACGCCGTTTAACAGAGTCCCTCACCAGACTTGAGCAACAAGAAGCTACGACACGTGAGATGACACGTGTGAAGCCCCAGGGGCATCCCAGCCAGCAGACCTCTTTCCGGGGTTTTGAGAAAATTAGGACAGAGTGAGTGTGCTCGACGTTTTTTTTCCTGAATTAGTTTTTGTCATGACAGTTCCTGAATTGCATTAATCTCTTTTTTTTATTTTTTAAAACTTATATTTATCATTTCTTGATTAATTTTATTTAACTCCTAACTTTACCCACATAATGCTAACATTACACACCACCTCAAGAGTTCGCTCTCTCTATTCTGCCCTGCACTGGCAGAGTCGACCGCCTGCGCTGTGCGGTGGGTGTCCGCACGCCTCGCCTGTGCTCCCCAGCATCCCGCGCTGTGGTGCGTCACCTGTGCGTGCCGTGCCGTGCCGTGCCGATGCACTCGCCGCGCATGCACGCGCGCCTACGTGCATTCTGGTGCGCGCCGAGGTTCTATTATAATTTTGGAGCTAAAAGGAGTGAAAGAGAAAAAAAAAATCCTGCGCATTCCACTTCCGAGAAATAGAGCCACTGTTTGTGGGGGGGAAGGTGGTCAGGTCAGGCCCTGATCACCAGTTCATACACGCTGCAGTAGTTCTCCCCGGCGACCCGCTTCAAGACCTCGAAGCTCCGGCGGCTCCCCAGGAAATCGATCCTCCTGAAGGGCGACGAGCGGTGGACGGACACATCGTTGCTTGCGTAGAGGGATCGGAGCGCGTCGGCGTGCTTGGAGTCGGTGTGGATCGCCAGTTCCACCTCCTCGGCCGGCATCTTCTCCTGCAGGTTGGGGGACAAAAGCCATGGGAAGGAGGTCGCGAGAAGTGGAGAGCGGAGACCCAACCGGGGGAGGAGATCAAACCTGGTAGAATCTGTAGATGAGGTCGAGGACCTGAAGACAGGTGAAGCCACCGTCGCTGAAGAATGTTCTTGAGGAAGGCCCCAGCTCACCGAATCGATCAACCGGGAAGAGTATCGTGAGGAAGTGGGTCTTCAAGATCACCGCCCCTTTCTCGCTGAAGAAGGCAGCGCATGAAGGAACCGAGGGAACACGGCTCCATGTAAGTAAGAATCGGAGGAACTCTGGAGAAACATCAGACTAAAAAGGGAAGCCCATGGAGTTGCAACCTTTCTTTAAGCGGCCGCGAGAGGTTGCTGAATGAAGCGTCCAAATCCATTCTGTCTGAAAGTGCGCCGACGAATTTGGTGTCGTTGGGGTCTTCAGAGCCCGGGCGATCGGTGTAAATGGAGGCTGACGAAGTGGGCTCCGAGACGGACCAGCATATAGAATCCAAGAGATTGCCGGGAGTGATTGGCTGGATTATAGTCTGGTAAGACTGAAATAAATAAATAAGCGATTAATCGGCGCTTCAGGGTGCACAGGATATGAATATCCATCAGATGGGTTATTGATAACCACCATCTCAAAGATTGGAAATCGTCAGATATGAGAGGCGTCTCAAATATTTTTTGTCAAAACCACGGGCAGCAGCAGAGTCAGATTCTTCACATCCAGAAATGAATGAACTCCACTAAAACCAGCACTAAATTAAATGCTCAGATTAACAAGCATGAGAAATGTGGTCTATTTTAGTTTTTTATTTTACGGGGTTTTCACTTCGAAAGTATCAGAATTTCATTGGTCAAACCCACATCAGCCCATCTTCGTTCCAGTCGGGTTGACCCAGAGTTATTGACTTCGGTAAGGAACATGATGGTTAAAAAACATGCACAGTGTTTCAAAAACAAGATTCCCAATGAGTATTTGATTACCTGAATACGCCTAGAACGACGATTCCTTATACCAATTTTAGCAATCTCAACAATTTTCTGTCTCTCTTCGAGGCTTTTGATCTCGCTTGGAGATATTAAAGATTCCCCTGTGCGAACAGCTGCCTGATGGGTGTTCTTCCCGTTGGCATCCTGAAAAGTATTTTTTTTAAAAAGTGATAATTCTAATTTACCAATACCACAACTGAAAAGGCAGAGACCTGGGCTGCAGCTTTTATCTTCCTACCCAATATTCCACTTTACTGCGACTTTATGCACCAGTCTGCTATGCAGACGGACTACGCCACGAGAATAAATTATCTAGCACAAGGGTATCCAGGGAACGCTACGGATAAAAGAATGACTCTTATAAAATATGAAAAATATCATGAAGGTGAACCCCACAATTCAATCATAGGCAACATTCAGTGCATTACGATTTATTGTTTTTCCGAGAGGAAACCTTATACCAAGAGAATCGAAGATTTTTTAAACAAAGATGCCTGAAAATAGCACATATGTTATGACTTCTGTCGATATAAGAGACGATCTATGCCTGATTGAGAAGTAGCGTCACCTGTATCTGGGATCCGGAGAAGTCCAAGTACCAAGAGAAACCAAGAATAAAATGGAAATTGTATGGATATCTTAATTGAAAGGCTGTCCCGAAAAAATTGAGTCGAGTGTGTACACACATGGATGGGAGAGTAGAGGAAACCTGTTCTGGAAGACTAGTCTGCACATTTTCAAGAGTCATTGCAACATGCCTAGCAAGATCACTGGACAAGTTAACAAGTCTCTGCACATGCTTTTCTTTCACTGATTTCAGAATCCAGAGTGGCTGCATCGGTCAGTAATGAGACATTGCGGCAAAGAGTTAAATCAAACTGAAGCTGACTGTGTGTATATATGTGGATAAACACAGGCTGCACAAGAACTCACTGTGACGAGATAGTTAGCATGTCCAATATATCTCTGGACGTAGGGCCCTTCACACACTACATGACTTGCTCGACAACCAACAAACCACTGATCTATACATGTGGCACCTTCTGCAAGAGCTGCATCGACCACCTGTGAAAGTGTCATGAAGAAGGATTTATCGGCATATGGTCGGACTGTGACCAGTGGGATCAGTGCAGAAGGTGATGCGGGCATAAAACGAAATATAAATGCATGAGTGTCGGCTTCCAAATGAATTCATGCCCTACCTTCTTCTTCAGCTCATTCGAAACATTTGGATCAATGTGGATGACCTTGTTCGAGAGAACAGGTCTTTTCCTGGTGGTCTCCTTTTCAGCTGCCTGTAGGTGAGGCTTCAAGGTTATGTTGCTAAGGATGCTACCATCATGGGCAGGTGTGCAGGATTTCTCAGAAACACTGCAGCCGGCTAGCCAGTTCGACTCATTCAATGGCAGGTCAATCTCTCCGACGCTCTTCACATCATAAAGGGCTTCACTCATCCTCACTGCAGCATTCAGTGAGAACCTAAATTCAGCTTTCAAGATATCGGCAAAAAACTAAATAGATTTTTTTTTAAGACAGAGAAAAGATCAAAAAACGTTTATGGAAATGGGCGAGGAGAGTGGGGAAATCAACCAGGAGGATGCAAACAACAACCATTGCTCACCATTCCTTCTGACGCTGTCGACAAACCATCCCACTGTGACGACCAGGAGGCCGTTCTTCACGCCATGCTTTACAGCATGTTCAAACTTGCGTCCGCCAAAGCTGTGTCCTTTGAAGTTAAGAAGCATCATCTTCAAAAGATAACTTTTGCCGGGATATAATGAAACTATAGCGAAGTAGGCATACGAGAAGGAAGAATCACGCATTTAATAAGAGCCGGTGGCCAAGTTCGTGAACAATTTTTAGCAGGATATCTGAACAACGAGATGGGTGCACCCTGGATGCAAGCTCGCGCTGTATTGGCCACCTAATCTTTCTGTAGCGACCATGACTTGTTTTCTCACTTCTGCCACAAAGTAAGCATATCGCATTAAGCCAAAGATATCCAGATTTCAACAACAAGAGGAGGAATTCGGATTGAGTATGGTCAAATCTCTGCTGTAAAATAATGTTGGAGGTTGTAAACATGGAAAAAGCAAGAAAATACTCAAAATTAGAAAAACAGATGGCGGGGTGAGAGAGCTAGAACCTTTGGACAACCCTGTTACGCATATGACAAGACCTGCAAAAGGCCTAGCAATAGCAGTTCCTGGAACCCCCGCACCACCCTCAGTGGTAGTCGAAGATATCAAGCTGGAGGACATCGAAGTGCCGAGGGTAGGAGAGGAGGGTGGAAGAGAGCCAGGTGGGACGACAAAGAGCCTCGAGCATCCCTTGTTGTTGATCACCTCCACTAGACCACCGCTGGCCATTAGATGAAAACCCTCGCCGATGGCCAACGAGAGGACCTTAACAGCGAGAACTTGAGGAAGCCTTGAAGGCCGATTGAATAACAGTCATTGGTTCCTCGCGGGAGCACCTCGAGAGCCCTCTGGATCCTATGAAGAATCCAGCGATTTCACTCTCCTCGCCTAACGCTTGCTAGTGATCGAATTGCTATCTCCTAATAAAGATCCCAGAAAACTGCAGCGCAACACACTATCCAAAATTGGTCTGTCTGGTTTTCGATTAAAGGCAAAATAATTGAGAGTGCAATGGTGAAGAGATCACAGTTACCACGGCAAGAGGATCAAACGTAAAATCTCCCCCGACAGAACGAAAATAACATCGAGACACATTAAATTGGAAAGATAGAGATAATTCGTGAACCAAGCATCAAAAGTGGAATTAGGAGACCCGTCCGACAAAGCAAAAGGAGCAGAAAAAGAAAGAACTGAGTAGTCAGACGTCCGATGAAACCATAAGAATTGTAATGTGCCCTACTAAAGCGTCACTCCTGGCGGACGAAGAACTTCCCCAAACCGAAAACCACTCGCTCCCACCGGAGGAGGAATGATCAACGTACCTGTAACTGAACAACGACGCTGAACCAGTATCGACCTGGATATAATAAGACGGAGACGGGGGAATCAAGCAAAACCGACGTAATCGCCCAAGGTGAGCGAAAGGCGGCCACCAGACGCTTCGTCCGATGCAAGCAATGGCAGCCGCAAGAAGAGGAAGCGGAGGAAGGAGGACAGTAAACCAGAGTATAGTATTGACTTGAAAATGATGGCAATGAGAGCGATCACGGCAGCGAGAGACTCCCCGTCGCCGGCGGCAGCATCCCCTCCCCCCCTCCCTGTTCTAGTCCCGACAGCCCTTTAATTAAATATACACCGGTTACTTCAAAACTACCAAAATTGCCATCCTACGATGGGTGCCATCGTGGATCTAACGGCCAAAATTCAAACAACCGTGAGGGTACTATAGTCAAAAAAAGATATCAGGCGATACCGCCGTTTGCGGTCACCTTCTGGGATGGGTAGTCTGCAGGGGTCCATACTATCATTTAGTGTGTGTACTAAACTACCCCTACGTTGTCTTCTCGATCGAGTAGGCACGAATGAAGCCACGTGACCACATCGTCGGTGTAATTCTACTCTGTGAAGGGGTCTTTAGTGTCATTACAATTAGTTCGAAACCCACTTGACGGTGCATTTTTATTATAAATGAATATAAGCTCCGGTTGCGTTTTCTTGTGCATTGACCCTCTCTCTCTCTCTCTCTCTCTCTCTCGCTCGCTCGAGAGAGAGAGAGAGAGAGAGATGTACAGGAGGATCAAGTCATAGGCGAGAAGGGGTCAGTTTGGGCATTCCAGACGCCGAGAAAATAGAACACAATAAAAAAGAAGCACCTTTTTTCCGCAGAATTGAAGAAAAAAAGGCATCGAAAGTTCCAGAAATGGAAAGAAAACACAACTTATTCTCAATCTCTGGCATCCTCTTGCAACTCCGGGCCTCCTCCAATCTGATCAGCTGAGAGAGAGAGAGAGAGAGAGAGAGAGAGAGATGAGAACAAGAGAAAAACAACACTTTTTTCAACGAAAAATGCAGCAAAGTTCCAGACATGGAAAGAAAACACTTCTTGTTCTGAATCTCCGGCATTAGAGAGAAGAGAGAGAGAGAGAGAGAGATGAAAATAGGAGGGCGAGGCGGGGAAGGGAGCAGTACCTGATCTTGCTACCAGGAGGACTTCTTGACCCCCATGAGGGCTCCCTGGGAGGCCTTCTCCCGGAAGGTGATGCGAGACATGCGGAAGAGCCTGAGCACGGCGCGGGGGCGGCCGGTGGAGATGCACCGGTTCCTCACCCGCACGAAGGAGCTGTTCCTGGGCAACCTCGACAGCTTGCACCGGTGCCGATCCCGCAGCTCGGCCGGCAGCTCCGGGTCCCGGCACACCGCCTTGTATAGCTTCCGCCTCAGCTCGTACTTCGCCGCCAGCAGCCGCCGCTTGTGGTCCAGTATGTTCCGCTTCTCCAGCGTCTTACACAGCTCACCCCTCCTCTTTTTTTTTCAAAAAGAAAAGAAAAGAAAAGAAAATAGGACCCATGTCAATCATGAATTCCATTTATGGAAACAATTCAAGGAGACAGCCTATATATATATAAGGGGATGAGATGGGGGCGGCTGTACCTCATGCTGGCAGGGGAACCGCTCACTGGGCAGCTCGGCTGCCGCCGGGGCCGACGAATGCCTTCTACTTACAAGGAAGGGGACTCCTACTCTCTGGGCCATGTCAGTGGAGGCAGATCCGAGACGGGGCACAGAGAGCCACCGAGATGGGGCACGGCTTATGCTGCTGGCATCTCCTGCTCTGGCCTTCAAGGGAAGTAGAGGAGCATGGAAGAAGATGAGTCAAAGTAGTCAAACTAGTCTCCATTGCAAACTTTATCCACAAGTGACAAGATCTTGTAGACATGAGATCACTCGATCCCCTTATAATTTCCCACCTCACTAATCATCATCCAGACACTTTCCTCATCATGAAGGTAGAAGTGAGGAAGCTGAATCTACAGTGGGTAATTTCTAAGGAAGATTTACTGAAATATTTTCGAGCAGTAATTTTCGACGGAGATAATTAATTAAAGAAACATACTGCCGCTGAATGGTCGAGGTAGATGGTCAAAGAAACACACTGCAGCATCACCATTGAAGGTAGATTGTGGAGAGGAGACGATTGAGATAATGCGGCACTGGCCAAGGGAAGTTTCGCCTCTCCCTCGATGCTCCATGAACCAATGATGAGCGAGTGCCACTTACATAGTTACCACTAGTCAGGGATAGCTCTAGGTTTGAACCCATTTCAGATCATGTACCAAAGTTACCATCAAAAAAAATATTTGCCACCATATCTTCACAAATACTCAAATTTTGTGAATCATGGATCCCCCTCCCTCTCTAGACCCGCCTTTCAGGTGTACTAAAATGTTAAATCTCATTCGGCAAGATATGCCAGAATAGCCCGTGCAAGGATTTCAAGTGGCTCAGAGGATGAGTCACACGAAAAGGATTGTTCTCAGTAAATAAAAGGGAGCAAAAAAGAATTTTCAGTTGCATCAAAAAATGATGTTTTCCTACCATGATGTGGGAACGTTCGCCAAACAAGAGGTTATGAACACTAGGCAACTGTTGGTAGGCTTTGAGATTAAGATGCTCGCCGATCTAACAACACAATGGCGGATATTAAAACGCTCTTGGTGTGGAACCCCTCATTTTCTGTCTGGATGAAGTTATCAGAAGCCTAATTTCCCAAAAGGAATAATCCTTTAATGCCCACGACATAAATTTCTTGGAAGAAAATCAAATTGGAGAAAGGAAACGATTAAATAGATATAATAAAAAATCGCGCAAATGACCAACAACCAGCAACCAAAGCAACCATGAAATACCGTGCACTCCAATCAAATCGGTTATAGAGAGAATACTGATGAGCGGTAATAGTTGGTCAATTTTTAGGACTTGATGATGAGGATTATGGCAACAAACCAATCGCATCCGGATTTGGAATGGATGATACTGATCAATAAGTTGATGGATCCCCAAGTATTGGAAATTAAAATTACAATTGCCACCAGACCTGTTCTTGGTCAATTCCATAGATTTAAGATGGATAATTGACCGGGACATGACTAATCCCCTGTGCTTTCTGGTTTATGTTCCCTGTAAAAAAAAATTGTTTAGGACAACTCTGCATCCCTTACAACATAGATCCGACTATTTTTATAACAATTTTATTAACATAAAAGGGTATGGGAATTATTAGGCCCTCAGAGAACCGAAGCATATCAATGCCTCAGTCGAGTCAGAGGACCAACAACATAACTTCTAAGAAACATAAAACATAGAGGAATGATTGTTGTTCTCAGGATGCAATTGAAGATTTCAAAGAAAAACACGATATCGTTTCAAATGGGCTTTCATATAAATGATCTAACCCGACCGTGTCCCATTCAATCCACTTACAATGGTTCCCATAACAAAACCAGCAGCATTATTGGGCTCTCCACGTCTTCCTCTGTCTTTTTTCTTCCTACTATCAACCCAACAATAACTAAACCCGAAAAATGTTAAAAAGGGACCAATTCTAGTCAGACGTTCTTTCCCGTTTCAAAGATTGACTTCACCAGGCAAAAAGTCGAGTCAAGTCAAGTAACAAATACCCATGGCTCATGCCCGCATGAGTCACATGTGCAAGTCGTGGTTGAATTGTAGCAAACCAGAAATTGAACACGGTCTTTTTTTTGTGATCTGTCTCCATTCAGTCCAAAAAATTTATAGGCATTCTAGGGTTGACTAGCGAATGCTTTTTCAGTCATGGGGAGGTACTGAAAAATAAAACATATAAAAATTCCATGCACACGAAGCACATACTCAGAACTGTTCCGTAAACCTAGGGAACAGCTGAATATTTCGAAGTATAAAGGCAATGAAAAGTAAATATCCAACACTCCCTTGGGTTATTTACAATTGTCACATAAATATGTGGAAATGTACTTTGCCTTAAGGAAAGTCACATCAAAGGCCCGGGCCTGGCTCTTATACGAAAGGCGCGTGAAAGATATAAATCTTAGATATTGGGGTAATCATGCTAAGTACGCGGTTGGTTTTCATGAAGGGAATGAAGACTAAACGGAATATCGTTGAGAAATTGATTCATTGATTGAGGCTAGAGTAGATGCAGTCATTAAAATACCGCCGATATGCTTACTGAAACACGAGAGATAGACGTAGGGCAACGGTGAAAATCGATGAGCGGAATACTAAGCATTACATTGAGGAGCTAAACACTTAAAACTGGCTGCTGTATGATTAATTTTTCAAAGGTTAGCTGATTCAACACCACTGATGACGGACAATACGGAACTAACGAGCTGTTGGAAGTCGACAGAGAGAATGGATCAAGATGCATGAATAAATGACGTTAAAAGTTACTAAGAAATCATCAAATCCAAGGAAGCGAACCGGATGATACCTGATATCCGTAGATGTTAAGGCACGGGAGCTGCGGCTGCTGCTGCTGATGCCATTTCCCCACAGCCGAAAATGAACGAGACGCAATCTTCCCCAGAAAACACCTCACCATTTCGATAACTCCAACGTCGCAGGATCAGCTGAAAAATAAAAACAGTAAGAAAACGGCAAGATTAGGCTAAAAATGAAATCCAAACACATGCAATGAAGGTGAGAAGATCAAAGCCGGAAAGGACCAGCGTTCCGACGGGATGTCTCCACCGAGGATCTTGCGACGCAGGGGAAGGGGAATATCGCTCAAAGCCCTAGAAAATCCTTGGAAGCCGGTTCCAGTTTCTCCATATTCGCCCCCGTTTCCCTCCCCCCACGCAGTGTGCTTGGAAGACGCAGGTAACTTTTCATTAAAACCCTAAAAAAGTTTTAGTTTTAAATTATAACATTTACATAGAAATTATGTCCATTTTCGTCGATGCCAACGTGGGCTTTTCAGAGAAAAACCTCACATTTTTCATATATAGGTGGATGTCCGATTTCACTTGTTCCTCTGTCCTGCCGCGGAGAAATAATGACGTTAACTACGCAATTATATTTTAGAAAATATAAATCATCTTCATATGAATTTTAATAAACATATTAGCTAATACAAATGGAAAAAATATGGAAATTTATTATTTAAATATTTCTCATAACAACGGAAATATATTTCGGAATCAGGCAGTGAAGTAGATGCCTCTCCGGTTGTCTTCTTCCCTGTCACTCGCCGTCGTCTTCGCGGCGGAGGGCGGAGGGCGGAGGAAAAGGCGGCGGGAGCTTTGAAGCCGAAGGGGCAGCGACGGTATTGGCGGCGACTGGCGGCGGCGGTCGGCGGGGTGTTAAAGGACGAAAGGAGAGAGGTGTTTTCGATCGTTTGCGACGTTCTTTTCGTAATTCCCTTCTCCGGAAGGTCGGTTTCCGGAGAGTGGGCGGAGGATTCCGGCGGGACTGCTCCTCCTGCCGTCTGTCTTAGGGGAGTTTTTGATTTCTCCGGCGGTGTCCGGGGCGAAGGAGAGGCTTGAGGCTCGTGACGGGTTACTGCTCCGGGCAATTGGGCCTTATCCGGCATCCACTGTCCAGTGAGAGGGACATTTGGTCGGCGGCAGCCGGTGCCATCTGGAGCTTAAGGAATATCGGGGGCTACCCATGCGATTTGACGCGGTTCTGGCTGGTCTCTACGCGTAAAGTTGGCATCCTGGAAGGGACGATTAGGGTTAGGGTTCGATGTCGTGGCCGGGTCAGGAGGACGTCTTCTTCTCCACTTCTCTTGCCAGCTACCTCGACAGTAATGCCATCCCTCTTCTTTCTTCCATTGGATCCTTCAAAATCGCAAATCTACACTGCATTCTTGTTCGATTTGGTCGCAGATCGACCGAAAACTTATTAAGCTCCTTCACATCATTCAGTCTCATACTCGTGTAGAATATGGTGTAGCTGAAATGCACCATATACTGGCTTTATTTTTATTTGAGGCATGCTGTGAAGATCCGAACCAGGAAATCTCAGGCATATCACCCTGCTTTCTCCGTTACATTATTTATTAAATGGAATTTTGCAAATTATTTTATCTTCTTCCAGAAAATTTTAAGTTTTTACCTTGACGAGATTGTCCCCAAAGATGACTGCGATCACATTCCTAAACGGCAAAGCTTACATCTCAAGTTCCTCTGGCGAAATCAGTATAAAACAGGAACAGAGAACGGCACTGTTGCTAGCTGCTGATGGTTCACTTCTCCATGTTTCAATCTATATTTTCTGTCTTCGACACGTTGATGCCAGGTCCACGGTGAAAGCATCTACCAGACCTTCCCCATGAACCAGGGCCAAGGCCATCATGGTACTGGGAAATTCTCAAATCTGGCGTGTATAATCATTCAGATCATGCCCAGCGATCGACGCCTATGGCGTTCAATCGAATTTTTGAAGCATTTACTCATAGAAATCTTCCACCAGAGTGTTCCTCGCCTGCTCTTGTGGCACACCTGACACTTCTCTTTTGTACATGGTATTCTTCTGGCATTGATATCTTGTGTTGGAAAAAGGGCATAGCTGGAGTCTTTTTCTTCTTGAAATGTTCTCCCTACCCATAGAAACCGACACAAGCCAACAATCTTGCGGAGATCTTGGGTGGGTTTATTGAATCATCAGTCAGCCATGAGATTGCTGGAGAAGCTTTATTGCTGTTTGTTGCTTCCTGCATTCTCTTACATTCTGCCTGAATCCATACTTGGGAAGCCCGTCGTCCCCTCTAGGTTCCTATTGTTCAGTAGATGCGCAACAAACTCTTCATAAATTCGCTGACCCACTTAAAGAGGAAATTTTTGCTAGCCCAATGAATGCCCTGGATTCTATGCGGTTCTCACGCGCATGCCCATATGGAAAGAAGTCAACGAACACAAGACATCGTAAGGGCACTTTCTGCAAAAAATTAGGCTTCATATCGGTAACAGGCAATGATGATCGATACTGGCTGACCATTGGGTGGCCTTGACTTCCATCACTCTGGCTTGTGTGTTGAGCATTATTTCACTTGAAAGCTTAAAAAATGATCTCATTTACACCTTGAAATATGCATCATAATGGTATTTTTGCATGGTTAATATCCATTTTGTGGTGGATATTTAATGATTAATCGCCATTATTGGAACCTGACACCTGCCTGTTTTTTATCATTTTTCTAATTATTATTATTATTACTATTATTTAAGAAAAAGTTTCCCATGTCGACTAACCTGTCCCTCTACTTGTTTGGCAGAGAAACTTCTCGTCCTGTTGCGGGATGGTCGGAAGCTTCTGGGCATCCTCCGTTCCTTCGATCAATTCGGTACTTTCCCTCGACGCCCACCTCCTCCTCTGTTTCTCCCCTCCTGCTTATGCACCCAAATTCACTGCCTTCTCCCAGCAAACGTTGTGCTGGAGGGCGCGCACGAGCGGGTGATAGTTGGGGAGCTCTACTGTGATATCGTACTGGGTCTTTATGTGATCCGGGGGGAAAACGTGGTCCTGATCGGAGAATTGGTATCGATTCTGTGAATGAGTGTGTTGTCTGTATTTTATACTTAGGCGTACATGTTTGATTTAGATCTCTCTCTCACGGCCACCCACGTTGAGACAAGCTTCCAAATGGTTTTCGCTTGTGATTTTTTGAGTTGCAGGACCCGGAGAGAGAGGAGCTTCCGGCCTCAATGACGCCCGTCTCTGTTGCCGAAATAAGAAGGGTGGGTGGGTTCTTAGCAGGATTTAGAACAGCAGGGGGTGGGCGATCCAGCGCGGGGATCTAAAAGATTGCTTCTTTCCTGTTTTTTTTTCAGGCCCAGAAAGCTGAGAAGGAGGCCTCGGATCTCAAAGGAACCATGAGAAAGAGGATGGAGTTCCTCGACCTCGATTGACGAGTTCATCTGATGAAACCGTGCCTGCTGCTCTCCTCCTCACAGACGATTTCTGATTCTTCTGAGATTTTTCTCAAATGTTTTTTTTTTCTTTTGTGCCCTGAATTGGTCTTTGAAATTCGTCTCCGACATGGTCTTCAGCACGGTGATCTTCTGATACCCACATGGCTCTCCCCCTGTAACATGAACTGTCTTTGGCCGACTCAGTTTCTCTAATGCTAACTTGGGTAATACTCCATAACCGAGAGAAAAACAGGGGAGAATCACACACGCAGCCAGATCTCAAATTATTTCACCGGTGGCACAACTCGGAGTCATGAATGCTCGCCCACTCCTACGCCGTGAGGTAGCGGATGAAGGGCTCGGCCGTGGGGACGGCGAGGGAGATAACCCCTGCGTAAGAGGCCATCTCAAAGTCTTCAAACTGGAAAGCTGGGGCGCAGGTGCAGCCGACCAGAGAGTAATGGCGCTCGGGGTCCCTCTTGGGAGCCAGAAGGAGCGAATTCCCGTCGCATGATTCCATGTCCTTGGTGGGGAAGGAGCCGAACCATGTCATCGGCGGGACGGTGTACTGGGGGACCTGACCAGACTCCAGGTCTGTGCCCAGGACAGTGAGCTTCGCCTCCCCATTGTCTTGGAGCTCGAAGACCTGTTGGGGCGGGGAGATCAGAGGACGAGGATTGGTGAGATGGGTATCTCTCAGAAATAAAACTTTGGACAAGAAAGATGGAGCGGAAGGGGACCCCAGTAGTTTTAAGTTAGTTAGTTCACCGTGAGAGGTTCGCCGGAGTAGAAGTGCCAGGTCTCGGCGCAGGGGATGCGATGGAGGTGCGAGACGTTTCCCGATGGCAGCAGGAAGTAGATCGATGTGCTGATGGGACGGTCCACCTTGTCTGCGAGGGCCCATCCGATGAAAGGCCAAACACGGTCCATCTCATTCATCCATCTAGCATCGTCTTCATTAAGTGGCTTGCGAAGGTAAAAGCTTAGAATATGGGTGGAGCGATGATGAAGAAGATTGCCATTTTCGGCCGTCAATGGGTTAGAGTGAAGGGTTCTGTCAGAATTCTCATGGAGATCTTTGCATCCCCTCTTTCATGTCGTCAGATACTCAGACAATTCCATGGTCGATATTTCACCACCCTCCCGGTCATCCTATTTCCAGGCCTCTTTCTATGATCTTCTGATAAGCCCAAGCCAAGCTGATTCCCAGGGATCGCTAGAATGCCCCTTTTCCATGCACACAGACACCATTTTCTTAGCCACCAGGGGACCGCTGGCAGTCCTTTTTTCAGTCACCTAGCAATTTGCTTGGCGCATTTCTACTCAATTAGTTTTAGCTCTCTCTGAGATTGCATTAAATAGATTTGACTCCCTGTTTCTGCCATCGCATTCGAGCACTAGAGCACTAGATCTAATTAAGTAAACATTAATGTGCAGGGTAAAAAAGGAGGAGGAGGAGGATGCGCTTTCTAACACGGCCGCCTATTTTTTCTGCAATAGATCGAATGCGATCTATTGCAGAAAAACTAGGCAGCCCCTGAATTTTAATGTAATTGTAGATGCTAATTGTCATGGAGGAGGTTTCTATGACTCGAGTTCTCATGTGGCATTCCGTAAGAGAGTTCGATGCTCTAATTTAACTCTTAAGAAAACGAGATCTCGCGGAAGGGAAACATCATTTTGGAACAGAAACGGGGTCTGAAATACTCAAGCAAAATCCGAGGAGGAATTCGACGAGGCGACTAATAAATGCCGTACAACAAAAAACGCGATTAGATCAATCGAAACCAGATCAGCAGATGATACAGAACAGAGAGGCGAACTTTCTTCGAGGACACTCGCACGTGGTCGAAGCTCAGACCAAGAAGAGCCCTATAACAGGAAGAGGAACACTAGCGACGAAATGGCCGACAGGCTCATAAATCAAATCGATCCACAGACAGATAAAAATATAAAATCCCATACGTTTGGGGAGGCGAGACGAGTTTAGAGTACTCATACACTGAGGCGGGAGCTGGGACTTGGCGAGGACGATGGAATTATCCCGGAAGGTCTCGGAGTAGAACCCCCCTTCCGGATGAGCCTTGAGATCCAGCATAGCCGCAATCTGCGAGGCGCTTCCGTGGGGCATCTTCTCCTCCTGGTTAGACATCTGGATCTCTGCCGAGAGGAAGAGGGAGAAGGAGCAACTCCATCGCCGGCAACCTTCACTTCCCTTAAAACCCTCCGATCTCTATCGCCTTTGTCGAGTTCGTAAGAAGAATGGGAACATTATAATTTAGTCCCTGGATCAAACTTTTCCTATAAAACGCTCTCTGAACGTGGGAATTTACAAATCAAGAATAGTCGGGTCCAAAATTATTGCCCAAATCGGCCCAATGTTAAAAACAAGCGTCAGGCCCAATAGATAGGGCCCAGTTAAACCAAGCAGTTGGGCTCGGACTCCCTCAAGCCCGAGATGCGATCAGCATCATTGAGTATTTAAATTCAAGGATATAATTAATAAATTTTAATTCGTCTGTAAACTAATATCCTTAACATTTATATCTTAAATATTAAATTAATTATTCCACATTTTCATTCTAGACTGAGCCCAGAGAGAGAGAGAGAGAGGCCCACGTCAGATTGTTTCAGTCATATCCAAAGCCACGTGCGACAAACAGCAGAGCCGGCGGTGGATAACAGAGGCGCACTTCTCTTTCACATCCCAAGCACAAGACAGCGACGGTGTGAAAGAGAGAAAGTGGGGGAGAGAGAGAGAGAGACAAACACACACACAGACTGACAGACAAACAGACAAAAAGGTGAGAGAGAGAGAGTCTAGACTCTCAGTTGCAGGGAGGGAGGGGCTTCCCACAGAGGCACCGGTTGTGGAAGAACTCATACTGGGTGAGGCTCGACAGCGGCCCGCCCTGGGGAATCTGGCCGCAGAGGCGGTTGTAGCTGACGTTGAAGAAGCTCAGGTTCTCCAGCTTGTTCAGCTCCGGCGGGATCTTCCCGTAGATCCGATTGTGGTTGAGGTCCACGGAGTAGATGTTGGGGATGGCCGCCGCCTTGGACAGGTCGAACTCCAGCAGGTTCCGGCTGAGGTCGATGGACGTCCATTTCCCGCTCCCGGCGAAAAGCACCGAGGCGTCCCCGGTGAGCTGGTTCCTCGACAGATCGATCGTCGTGATGTTCAGCCGCCCGAAGGACTGTGGGATAGCGCCGGTGAGGTTGTTGTGGCTCAGCCGGATGTAGAGATCCGGTTGCCGGAGCTTGCCGAGGGCCTCCGGGATGGCTCCGGTGAGCTGGTTCCGGTCGAGGAAGAGCGCCCCCAGCTGGGGGAGGTCGCCCAGGGAAGGCGGGATGGCGCCGGAGAGTTTATTGAAGGAGAGGTTGATGTACTCCAGCTTGGCAAGGCGGCCGAGGAAGGCCGGGACTGGGCCGGTGAGGCCGTTCCAGTCCATCCACAGCATCTTCAGGCGGGTGAGCTTGGCGATCTCCGTCGGGAGGGGACCGGTGAGGTTAGCGGACTTGCGTATGATGAGTTTCTCCAGGTAGGGGAGGTCACCGATGGACGGCGGGAGCGGGAGGGGCCCAGCGGTCTCCATGCCGAGGATGACGACGGCGGTGACGCGGCCGGTGGAAGGGTCGCACTCCGTGGCATACCAGCTGCGGCAGCAGTCGGTGCCGGCGACCCATGTGATGATTGTGTAGGGGTCGCCGAGGCCCTTCTTGAGCTGGAGGAGGGCGCGCTTGTCGGCGGTGTTGCACCTTGGCGCGGCGAGCACCGCCCAAGCGAGTGAAGACAGCAGCAGCACCGCCAGCAGCGGTAGCCGGAGGAGGGGAGGAGGAGGAGGAGCCATGCCACCTTCTGCCTCCTCCCGGGCTTATATTATAGATCGAGGGTGGGAGGGATGCCCTTGGTTTCTTCATGTGTTAGCTAGCTGGACTACAGCAGTGTGGAAGGAGTTGCAGTCAACGGAGGATAAGATGAGCCCATAGGATGCGGCGGCGGACCCGATCTCAGGTGAGATTCGGTGGCGGTGCCATTGGGAGGCGACTGACTTAGGGGTATGCGTAGACCCACCAGACGGTCAAGACGCGTAATGGAGGGGGGGGGGGAGAGAGAGAGATAACTGTGGAAGTGGCGGCTGGGCTTGGTTAGACTTCACTCTACATTAGTACAAATTATTTTGATTGAAAGCGTTAGAGTAAAATTACACAAAGGATTTGTGAAATATTACACCTAACTATGATATGAACTAGTTAAGAAGAAAAAGGTCAACTCACAGCAAGAATTGACATTGATCAGAGATCAGCATTCTATGTCTATGTTTGATGATGAAAATTCTACTAAATGAATATAAGAATATAGAGGACTCTCACTAAGAAATCTAGAGAATAGATCCCTAATCTTTGATCTTTAAAACATCCATCAAGAACTTAGAGAATAGATCTTTGATCTTGACCCTCCAACCACTCACCACCTGACAAGAGATTTACCTTTGGAACCCTTCCCAAACTATCTGTAATGAGATACTATGATGATGATATAAATGAGCAGAGGGGCACCTATATTTATAGGCATCATCCTTAGAAAATGTGCCACTTATGGGCTATTTCTTCTTGCATTTGACTAAATTGATTTAGCCGTTATGAGACATTCATATTTCACCTAGTATTGCCACAAATAACCATGCTCATATGAATCTACACAGAAATAATTAGCAAACAAGTGTCAGATGGGTGTGAACATCCAAGACATGACATTCAGCTCTTGCTAAGCTTTACATCCCATTTTGATGCCCTGTCTCATAGTGGAACTTCCTGTAAAGGTCATTTAGTTTTGTTAGTTTCCAGAGATATCTTTCAGCCTTTGCTTTTATGCTTAAGATAGATACTAACTGGAAAGAAGGCAACGGGGTTCATTCAGCCATACAAGGTATATGTTAATTGCAACTCCACTCGGCAATTCGGACAAATTATTTTGACTGCGAAGATCGCGAGTATGTCTGGCACTGATGATCCAGGTAGGTGAAAACAGGGGGGGCGTAGTTGTCGAAGAACCCAAATTCGGAGCATTAAACGGCAAGACGGCACACGGCACACGGCCATGGCGGGAGCAGTGACCCTTATTCTAAGTATCACCGAGCAGAGAGCCCGCCACCAGGCCTACGCCTTCCGGCAGACGTCCCCCTCGCAGACATACCCTTCCGGAGCAGCGGCGGCCGCACATTTCTCGTCTTCTTTTTCTTCGTCGTCGTCGTCGTCGTCGTCGTCGTCACCTCCGAGGCCTGCATCATCGGTAAAGGGGTACGCTGCGCTGCCACGCTCCTCGATCATGTCTCGGGCCTCCGTAGTGACGGTGCGACCCGACGGGCCGATGGCGACGAGAGAAGGAATCCCATCAATCTTGAACCTCTGGTTGAGGGACTTCTTTCGCGGGTCGCCGAGGGGGAGCGCCAGCCACGGCATGCTGGAATAGTACTCCTCAAAGGAGTCCTGGTCTTGATCGCTGGAGATGAAGACCACCTCGAAGGCGGCGTCCCGGGCCTTGATTTCGTGGTACACTTGGATCAGTTTTGGCGTGAAACCGCGGCATGGTGGGCACCAGTGGGCGGAGAAGTAGAGGAGGACGTTCTTCCCAACGAGCTCCGATACCGGAACCTGATTCAGAACCCGGACAGTGACGAGGATGATTCCGATTTCTCCATTGTTAGAACCGCCAGCGTGATCGAGAAAGAAGAAGAAGAGAAACGTTCGGAGAGCTCGGCATTGGTGGTCAGTACCTTGGAACCATTTTTCCCGATGACGTAGTCTAGACTACCGGAGACCAGGACGGACTCCAGAGTCTGAGACTCCTCCCGCTGCCTCTCCAGCTCCACCAGCTCCGCAAGCCGCTCCGGCGAGAAGGGATAGGCATCGACACCGTGTTCCTCGACGATCTCCGCGGCATTGGGGTTCAGAGTCTTCCCGTCGGGGGCGATGACGACGAGGGTCGGGATGGTGCTTAGCTCGAAGTACCGAGTAAGTTTCTCGATGGCCTTGTCCTTGAACGGCACTGCCAGCCACGGCATTTCTCCAAGGGAGGATTCAACGTCGTCGAGGGGGAGGGCGATGACCTCGAAGGGCTCCCCCCTGTTCTTCAGTTCGCCATACATCTCTGATAGCGTGGACTGGAACTCCACGCAGGGGGGGAAGGAGCCGGCGAGGAAATAGAGGCACACGAGCTTCCCTTCGATCTCCGAGATCGGCACCTGCCGGAATCCCCGTCGTAAGTTTCAGATTCAGATTTCAACTCTCTTTTTTCCGAAGATCGGTCCGCTGTAAGAGTACCTTATCTCCGTTGCTTCTGATGACGAAGTCCCGAGAACCAGAAGCCAGGAGGGTCTTCAGAGTCTGGTTCCTCCGGGCCTCCTCTTCCTCCTCCTTGAGCTGGGCCAGACGCTCCGAGGAGAAGGGAAACCCCGCCGTCCCGTACTCCCTCACGACGCCGACTCCCTCGGTAGTGAGGACCTTGCCAGTGCTCCCGTCGAGGACAACCAGAAGAGGGATCCCCCTGACATTGAAGAGCTCCTTGATGCGCCTCCGCGCGGCCGCGTCGGAGAAGGGGACGGCTAGCCACGGCATCCCGTCGAAGTACTCATTGAAGGACTCCTCGTCCCGGTCGGAGGAGACGAAAACGACCTCGAAGCCTTTGGGAGAGAGCTCATCGTACGTCTCGGCGAGCACGGGGGTGAAGCGCCGGCATGGAGGACACCAGTGGCCGGAGAAGTAGATGGCCACAATCTTCCCCCCCAGATCGGTCACCGGCACCTGTAACACCCGCCGGAATCACGAGAAACAAGGGTTGGATTGCGATGGTTTATCCAGAAATCTCCAAGGATTCATCCGGTCGGGGCAATCACAAATATTTTGGGAGAAAATAGATATCCGATCTCACCTTGTCGCTATTCTTCCGGACGACGTAATCCCTCCCCTCGCCGGAGAGGAGGGACGCCAGATCCTGAACCTTTCCACCGTCGAGTCCCTCCATCCCTCCCTCTCTCTCTCTCTCTCTCGATCGATCGACCGAACGGATGTTCGAATAAGAAGGAACTGGAGGTGGGGAATCGGGCTTTTACCGACGCCGGGACCGAGCCCTTACTTGGTCGTGAAGAAATCCGGAAAAGCTGACGCACTTCCAAGCACGTCACACGTTGACTTACTACCACCCCATCGGAGACTCGTCGGAGAGAATACTTTCACATGTGAGGGTATAATTGGAACATTTTATTGTCGTCGGTCGATCCAACGGCCAAGCTGTGGAACCGCACGCGAGAGACGATCATCTTGTGGACATCAGACCGGTGTACTTTTCGACTGCTTCTTAAATGACAATAATAACCCTCGGGTTCTTTTCTTTCCATTTCACACCGGGATAGCGTTTGCGTATAATAAACAATGTAATTAGGAAATGCCGAAGGTCTCCCCGCTGCGCTCGCGGGCCGAGAGCCGGGTGGTGAGCACCGCGTGCCCCTCCTTCAGCGGCGCCGCCGCCGCGGCGCCGCTGTCGTCGTCGGCGGCGATGGAGCCGTCGACGGTGACCGCCTCGATCCTCCGCGCGGCCTCCTTCATGCTCGGCCGGTTCTCCGGCCGCGGGTCCGTGCAGGCGGCGGCGATGCGGAGGAGCCGCTCAATGCTGGCCGTCGAGCGCTTGGCACCCCCGCCGGCGGCGATCTCCGGGTCGATGAGCTCCGCCTCCCGCCGCTCCTCCGCCGCCGCCGCCACCCACTCCACCACGTCGGTCCCTCCCATGCCGCTGCTCAGATACTGCGACGGGAACTTGCCGGTGACCACCTCCAGGACGACGACGCCGAGGCAGTAGACGTCGCACTTGGGTGAGACCTGGCGGCGCTGCGCCGCCTCCGGCGACCTGTAGGCGAACATGGAGATTGCGGCCTGCGAGGGGTTGACCAGTGGGGTCAGTCCGTAGTCAATGAGCAGAGGCTCGTAGGTGGGGCCGAGGAGGACGTTGCAGGACTTGAGGTTGCCGTGGGGCACGTCCGAGGCGGCAAGCTCCGAGTGGAGGTACGCCATCCCGCGGGCGATTCCCCGGACGATCCGCAGCCGAGTCGGCCAGGTCAACGCCCTATGATGTGCCCCTCGGTCCCCATGCAGGGCGTAGAGAAGGCTGCCCTTGTCGACGTACTCGAAGAGGACGAGCTTCTCCTTCTTGTCGTAGTGGTAGGCGAGAGGGGGGAGGACGTTAGGGTGGCGCAGCCGGCCGAGCCGCCGTATCTCCGCCTCGAAGCCGTCCTTTCCCATGCGGTGGAGGTCGCGCAGGCGCTTCACCGCCACCGCGCCACCGTCGGTCAAGATGACCTTGTAGGTGGTGCCCAGCGGGCTGCTCCCCAGCACCTCCGCGGCGGCCTTCATCAGGTCCGCCATGACCAAGGTCCCCGCCTTCTCCGGGTTCAGCAGAACAAGCTCCCCGAGCTCCGACGAGTCGCTGCTGGCGGAGCTCTTGCTGTGCACGGACCCCTTCCTGCTGCTGGAGTCGTGCCGCTTGTGGCCGCCGCTGGAAGTCCTCCGGCTCGAGTTGCCGTGTCTCTCGGACCCTCCTTGTCCTCCTCCTCCGGCTGCCGGCGGCATTCTTGCCGATTCCAAGCCGGCGCCGCCGTGCTCCACGCCGAGCGTGTCGAAGACCCCGCGCCGCCGCTTCTTGATGATGAACAGCCCAGCGATCAGCGCCAGTAGGAGCGTCCCCAGGACGATCCCCACCATTACCGCCCGCCACGACCGCACCTCCTTGTCCTCTCCGGGCGACGCCGCCGCCGCCGCCGCCGTCGCGCAGGAGTTGTTCCCCGCCTGGGGGAAGCAGAGCCCGGCGTTGCCCTTGAAGGCGCTGTCGCCGAACTTCCTGAGGGCCGCCGGAACGGCGCCTTCGAACCTGTTGTTGGACACGTTGAAGGAGCTCAGGGTGGGGATGTTCATCGCCGGGAGGCCGCCGCTGAACTGGTTGTTCTCCAGGTGGAGCTCCATGAGGTGGGGGAGCTTCGTCAGGGACGGCGGGATCTTCCCGGTGAAGGAGTTCCCGGCCAGCCACACCTTCTTCAGGTGGGTCATGTCGGAGAAGTAGTCGCCGTCGATGACACCGGAGAAGCGGTTGTTGGAGAGGAATATGGACTTGAGGGCGACGAGCCGGCTCAGGGGGGGGATCTCGCCGGAGAAGTCGTTGTTGCTAAGGCCGATGGTGCGGAGGCCAGCTATGTGGGTGAGGGGATCGATGGCGGTCTCGTTGATGGTGCCGAAGAGGCCCTTCCCGCGGAGGCGGATGCCGGTGACGGCGCCGCCGGTGCAGATCACGCCGGCCCACGGCGGCCGCGTCTTGTCGCAGGGGTCGCCATGCGTCCACGAGGACAGCGCCAACGAAGTGTTCCCCAGGTACTTCTTGAATATGAGGAGGGCCAGGCCGTCCATGAACCCCATGGAGATCTGCGGCATGTCCCCCGGAAGCGGCATGTCCCCGGGGAAGCCCGGGGGAAGCTCCTGAGCCACGGCGAGGGCCAGCGGAGAGAGAAGGAAGAAGAAGAAGAAAAACAGAGGAGCCGGCCAGGGAAGGCGGAGGCCGCCGGTGGGGGAGGTGGCCATCCCTTCAGGCGCAATCTCTGACGCCTCCGGCGAGCTTCAGCTCCTCCGGCCACTACTATTTTTGCCTTGCTCCTCCACGTCTCTATTTTCTGAGGCACTTCTTCCCTCCTTTCTTTGTCTCTTCTTCCCTACCCCGCCGCCCCCTCCCCCCCCATCCCTTCTCCCCCTCTTCTCCTCATCTGGGTTAACCACTTTGTGCGGTGGCTGCTCTCTGGTTTTGTTTTTTTTTCGTTGGCCGTCCCATCCATGGCGACGGCCGCGTGAGGTGGTGGAAGGTAAAGGGGAGTGGTGAGTAGAGGTCGGCCCATCCTAAGAATAGCAGCCCCGGGTTGCCGGGGGGGGCGACGGCTCTCGCCGGCCAATGCGGGGCCGAGATGGGGTTTGACTCGGTCACCTCGAGGGGGGAGACCTTCGAGCTTCTCCTATGGCGGAGACCTCGGGCCGCCTTCATCTCATTGAGAAAAGAGAGAGAAAAGAGAGAGAGAAGAAATCGACTCGTTGGTACTCACCATTAAAGAGATAATTCAACCTCGACAGAGAGGGCTCTCATAGTCAGTTCCACCGTCTTTCCTTCCGGTCGGTCGTCTTCGAGGTCTCGACTCCTCGCAGCTCCTCCATCCTCAGTGGGACGCGAACGCCTGCAACGACCAGAGATCTCGCTCAGTGGAGCTCCAGATAGGAGGAAGAACCAGAAGGGTGGGTGGGTTCTCCGGAAAAGGCTACCCACCGAGAAGATGTTGCAGTGGCCAGGGTCGGCGATATGCGCCGCCAAGTTGTCCAGCGGGCCCTCGCCGGTGTAGATGGCTTGAAAGCAGAAGCCCACGAAGGCGAGCATCGCCAGCCTCCCGTTCTTGATCTCCTTCGTCCTGAGCACCATCACCGGCTCCGGCGACCCTCTCCCCCACATTATCGGGTCGAACCAGAGGCCACCGGGATAGCCCACGTCCGGCGTGGGGTTCTTCCTGTTGGGGAACTTCGGCTCGATGTCAACGGAGCCGGGGTTGACGAAGTCGGCCCATCTCCTTCCCTCCGCCCATCCCATCAGCGCCATTTGCACGGCGAACAAGGTCCAGGGGTCAGCGAAGTACTGTCGCGAGCCGGCGTCGAACCAGGAGAAGTTCTCCATGAATCCGAGCTTCTCGAGGGTCTCCGGGATGAGGATGCCCGCCACGGCGAGCATGGCCCATCGGCTGTGCATCAGCTCCGCCTGGGCGAACCATCTCAGGAGCTCTGGATCAGACCCTGCAGATCGCCACCATCCTCAGCGGAATTTCCACTTGTTGGGCGGATACGAAGGCGAAAAGAAAGATCCACAGCGATGAGAAATGTGAGAATGGGGATCCTCACCTAGCCCCAGCGGATCGAAGCCAAAATCTCCAGGAAGGCTGCGAGAACACGAGAAAAAAGAATAATCCATACTCGCTCCGATTCAAGTGAGGAGGAGGATGAACTGGTTTCGGGCGGCAGAAGGTAGAAGAATACCTTCCATCGAGCCACGCAGGCGGGGAGCTCCCCGGAAACCACAGGGGCCTGTCCGGGGGGAGGGGTTCGCAGACGGTGGAGACCCCTCCCTTAGTGGCCGTCGTGCGAGTCCGCCGCTGCAAACTCACCGGAGTCGTCCGCTCGGGCGATGATCTCGGCGCCCTCACTCTGCGATCACAGATTGTAAATCTCTCATTCCCGTGGCTGAACCAGAGCGAGAATCCTCGAGCATGAGAGCTGGAGATGTGCTGTTCCGAAGGAGAGAACAGAGTAGGTTCTTACCTCGAGCAAGTGCTGGAGATCGCCAAGGAAGCGGTGGCTGCCGCCATGGACGACGGGCCTCGGGAGGCGCTGCGGCTTGCAGGCGGAGGGCTTCCTCGGTGGCTTATCGGCGACTCTCTCCGGCCGCCCACCAACGGTCGAGTCATCTTCCGGATAGAGGATGAAAGAGAGACTGCCACGTGGAAAATGCCATGAACTCCCCGGGCCCATAATGGATCCAAAAAGCCCATTATTCTCCACTGCGGCCCGTTGGAGAATCCCTTCTGTCCCATCGCTACTGTTTGGCTGTGATTCGACGAAGATTTGGCGGAGATAAAATGGGATGATAATTTGGGGTGAAAAGTACTTAGTGAAAATATCTACCCATTGTTCTTTAGAAGATACATAAGGAGTATAATTTTTCCTAGAGACCGCAACATATCTAATAAAATGGTTACAAGTATATTCAATTAAAAAATATTATTGAAATAAATTAAAAACGTGAATATGTTACCATTTAGTACGCAATTGATTCTAAGTTTATGGGTGGCCTCAGTTCCTATAACCTCTCCTTGTGTCAGAATTCTTATAGATGAGTCCTCGAGAGCTCTTTATGAATAGACAATGTCTTCTATTTCTCTATTTATTCAAGGATTAACATAGTCTAATACAAGCGAAATGTCTATTTAATACTATACTTAAATGGGTTGTAACCATAGTCACGACTGATAGTTTAGTATGCCCTTAATTCTAAGTTTCTTGGGCCTTGATTCCTATATAAGTTATTGTCGTGGACGAGTCCTCGAGGGATCTAAGAACATACATTGTCTCCTCTTTCCTTGTTTGTTCAAGGATTAACAATTTCTAATACGAGTGAAATGCATGTTTAATAATAATATGCTTAATGGGTTGTAAGTATAGTCACAATGGCTAGTTTAGCCATTAATTTTGGGGTTAACCTTAGTAAATATTGTAAATTTGAATTTAATTTATGATATTGAATTTTGTTGTTTGTTGCATTATTTTTCCTACGTGTGGCAATTAATTGAAATCCAAAATCATGTTAATCACATGACAATTAATTTAAATTATCTTCTAAAATTGAAATTAATTTATGATATTGAATTTTGTTGTTTGTTGCTTTATTTTTCCTACGTGTGGCAATTAATTGCAATCCAAAATCATTTCAATCACATGACAATTAATTTAAATTAATTGTCATGTTTGTTTGCTGCGTTATGTTTATCTGGGTATGACAATTATTTAAATTAATTGACTTAATCAATGTCAACTAACTCTCTAAACATAATAGAAAATTATCATTCATATTTTACCACGTTGTCCTCAGTCAACGTGAAAATATTTAAGCCTCTGAAAACCAACAGTAAGGTCCCTATAATTAAAATAAATAATTCAATTAACTTAAAAAACTGTTATTTTGAAGGGAATTAAAACCAACTAAACCGAGAGGACCTTTATTAGTACGTTATTTTAAAATATTTTTCTTTTATCTTTTACTTTGACTAATTTTCACCCATTATCATTCCAGTCGAGGAAAAAAAATGCACTCATCGATTTTATGTAAGTTAAATATTTTCGACTGGAATATATTGTGTGATCCATTTATACAAATTAATATAAAAAAATCCCACGTGAATGCACCAATTACTAAAAAGTCCCTGCATTTCTCCGCCGCCATCATGTATATAGAGTAGGAAGGGGCCAGATGTGACGGAGAGACCCCGGGAGGTTTTCTTTAATAATTTAGAAACCCGCAGGGGCTTAAATATAATAAAACCCATCATGTAAAACCATGGTTAGCGCCATTAACAAATAACAAGCCCAGTCACAGTCATAAAAAAGGGTATATAATAAATTAAAATTAAACACCGCGTCGAATTATTAGCGGGCTCATGGGGAATATCGTGATTTATTTATTTGTTGGTGTTGGAGAAGAATATTTTGCTGTTAAGCGCGAGAGGTGGCCGTCTCTTCGCAGGACGAGGGGGATTTGCCGCGGCCCGTGCAGATGGAAGGATGGTCGGAGAACAGAAGGTGACGGCAGGAAGGCCGTCGGACGGCGGAGCCAGCCCCAGCGCCGGAATCCTAGGTACCGGAAATCGTTCTGCCTCCGAGATCCGCTCCACAGCCAGGGGAGTCGTTTTCGGTTCGCGGGAATCCCTCCACAGCCGGGGAGTTCGCTTCAGTCCGGGGAGATCTCCTGTAACCGCCCAGCCAGATCTTTTGGTGGATGGAGGAGGTATAAATCCGGATTTCCAGTAGGGTTTTTGGGGCGTTTGTCCCTCGCGGAGGAGGATGGTGGGGACGCTCGGGCCGTCGTCCAGCGGGAAGTACAACATCCACCACCGTCGGTGGATCCCGGCATCCCTGCTGTCGTACAGGACGCTGTTCATCGCATTATGGATCGTGGGGTTCTCTTCCGTTGCGATCTGGCAGCGGAGGTCCGCGGAGATTGTGTGGAGCTCCCGGCGGGGGCCGCCGAAGCCGGCGCCGCTCCTACGGCCGCGGGCATTCAACCTGACGGATTTCGGTGCGGTCGGGGACGGGGTGACTCTCAACACGGTGGCGTTTGAAAAGGCGGTGGCGGCGATATCACGGCTACGACGAAGCGGGGGAGGTCAGCTCAATGTGCCGGCCGGCGTGTGGCTGACCGGTCCCTTTAATCTCACCAGTCACATGACCCTTTTCCTCGAGGAAGGGGCTGTGATCCTCGGAGCAGACGTGAGATTAGTCTTCTTCCGTTGCTTACGCTGCTATTCTCTTTTCTATTAGGACGCAGTCTCTCTGCATACTCTTGGGTTAGAATTCGTATGCTAACCATGATAGTTTTATTTCCGTAGGAAAGATGACGGCTCGTCCTTCATTGACAACTCCAACCGCATGCATTTTTCACGAACATTGCTTTTAATTATCAACCTCCTTGCATCGAAGTGTATGCACGAGAGTTGAGCAAAATGCTATGTTCAGTTATTTCGAGATTGGATAATTGACTGAACCCGATTACACATTTCTCTCTAGAGGTGGATAACTCCGGGTCCGTGATTGATTTCCGAAAACTTCCTTCAATAGTCCTAGTCAAGCACTTGTTGACTTATATGTTCTGTTCGTTCGAACATTGTTGGATCGTTTTTATCTATTTCTCCTAGCGAATACATTTTGTATCAGTAACATGTTAATACATTTGTCTCCTAGCGACTACACATTTTTCTCCTTCAGTAGTCCTAGTCAATTACTTGTTGAGTTATCTATCTGTTCTGTTCGTTCGAGTATTGTTGGATCGTTTTTCTCTATTCTCCTAGCGAATACATTTTGTATCAATGCCATGGATGTCCTTGTTTATTTACAACGTGCAAGAATATGATCATAAGTTACATATAATTATTTATAACCTTCAGCTGACATAATTTGTCTGTGCGTGTGGGCTATTGGATGCATGAAAATACTTTTCAGGAATCTTCCCATCTGCTCTCTCGATGGATAAGGGACATTTAGGCATGTTTTCTGGTTCTCATCTATCATTTTGATTTTAGGAATCCATTTGAGGCCTTGCTACGCATTGTCATTGGAGGGATAATTTTTTCTGGTATATGGATCGAGTTGCAAGGAGTCCACTTTCCAAATCTTTTGCCTTCATTCCTGAGTGTTAGCCTTTGCAACGAGCCAACTTTCAACAAATTGTATCCTTTGACACCAGAGAAAGCTGGCAAAACATCATGCCACATTTTTTGGTTTCAGAATTCAATGCAAAAAGCAGTTACCTAGAGGTCACAAGGATTGACTAATATTACAGTCAGGAGCTTCTCTCACTGTTTTCAAGTTGGTCATTAAATTTTGGTCATTAAATTCTTCACGAAACGCAATCTGAGATGATTTTTTTCCGTTAATGAAGTGTTAATTTTGGGTTATTTTCCTTCTGTTGTGAGACAATTATCAAACACGCTTTTTCTTGCCGTGCATCTCATCTTGCTGTCCAAAATCTATAATAATAAGTACGTCAGCGAGTGTTACTTAAAGTTCATTTACATCGTGTTCCACGGTCTTTTGAATTTGTGGACACTTTGAAAGTGCATGAAAACTGTGGTTAGTGCTGCATAGAAATAGCTGGTGAAATGTAGCCTTGCCCATTCAAATCTAATGTGGCATTCCTTTTGACAGGACGAAAAGCTGTGGCCACTGATGCCCCCGTTGCCTTCATATGGATATGGACGAGAGCACAAGGGACCTAGATATGGGAGTCTGATTCACGGTCAAAACCTCAGGGATGTTGTTTTAACAGGTAAGTACAGCAGCTCGTCATTAATTTTCAACTCTATAATATATTTATTTGCATGGATACCTCTCCTCCTCACTGATGACCATATAGAAAGGCACTGTTAAACACCACCATCTATAGAACAGAGGAGAGCACACTTTTTTTATCGCTCTAGAATTCCTTCAAATTCATCAGTGGGAATTGAAATTAAGTGCCTCTTTGACTGGATGTTATATCGATCTTATTTCCTTCTCTTCTGCAGGCCACAATGGTACTATCGATGGTCATGGTGAAAAGTGGTGGAAAAAATTTCGGCAGAAAAAACTTCATCACACCAGGGGTCCTCTCGTGCAGATTATGTGGTCCAGAGACATAGTCATTTCAAATATTACTCTACGCAACTCTCCTTTCTGGACAATTCATCCCTACGATTGCAAGAATGTATCTATCTTGGGGGTTACCATCTTAGCCCCTGTATCTAATGCGCCTAACACTGATGGGATAGATCCAGGTATATTAGCAATTCGCACATTGACTTCAAGCTTTTGTACTGTTGCTGTAGTTGCTGCTCTGGCACTTGCTACTCATTTGCTCATTTTTTACTTTTCGTTATACTACTTATTTCACTGACTTGATTTTGTGGGGAAAATAATGGCTAAATTAAACCACCCGCTGCCTCAATGAACCATAATCAATCATCAACAAAAAAGTTTTATTGTCTTTGTATCCCCATGCTTTTCCCGCTTTATGTTAATGTTAAGACACTATGAACATTGTGGCATTTGATGCATGCGAAAACACCTATTTATGAACATTCTGACATTATAGCCATGCCATCTCCAATTATTTATGTTTATTTATCCTAAAAAATACCGTGGCAGATTCTTGCCAAGATGTGATCATAGAAGATTGTTACATATGCGTGGGAGATGATGGAATAGCAATCAAGAGCGGGTGGGACCAGTACGGCATTGCATATAAGCGACCATCTACCAACATTTTGATACGCAATGTTGTCCTTCGGTCTACAGTGAGGTGAGTTCTTCCTCTATTTGCCACTTTTTATTTTTTGTTCTAAAAATAGTTCATCGTGCCTTTTAGCATTTATATTCTTGTAATCACTATTAATAGACATGCCCGAAATATTTGAAGTCATGCATTCCCCACATCTGCATGCTTTCCCATCTTCTTCAAAAGCTTTAGTATATATTTAAGGCAAAAACTTTTACCCCAAAGGGAATAGTTGCCAAATTAATCTGCGGAGTTCGTTCTGCAGTGATCGATTTCCACCAAAAGACCTGATTCGTGAACGTGGGGGTTCTGGCCTCTTCTGAAGACCCCGCAGGGGTTGCAGATGGGCTGGCACGAACATGCTCTGTCGAATTTCCATGACTATGAAACTTCCGTGATGATGATGATGATGATGATGGTCGTCGTCGTCATCATCATCATCATTATTGTTATTATAGTCCTGAAGATTGAAGTCAGATGTATCGAGAACTTTGTGTTTTCTCATACTCTGCCAAATTTCCACGAATGCACAGCTTCTATCATCATCATCATCATCATCATATTATTATCATCGTCATTGTTCTTATTATTATTGTAATTATTAAACAGATTTTTATAGATCAGATCGCATTGAGCGCCTTTCGTTTTCTGATATTCTCTGCTAAATTTTCATGAATGTGAAGCGTACTCGATCATCATCTGCCTACTCGTCAGCATTATCATTACTATAGGGTTGAGATCGAGTGCCATGGGCCTTCTAGAGTACCATGACGAATTGGCATGCGTCTGAAACTTCCCTGCTCGTCATCATCATCGTCATCACCATAAAAAGATGTGTCCTCTTGCTGACATTCTCTGGGCAATTTGCATGAATGCGGAACCCCTACGACATCATAAATCTTCATTGTCATCATCATCATGATTATTATTATTATCATCATCATCGTCGTCGTCATCGTCGTCATAAATCCTGAGGAGCTGAGATTTGGTGGAATTTGGAAAGTTGACTGGCGTATTGATTGCAGCGCGGGGATATCGATCGGGAGCGAGATGTCGGGGGGGGTGTCGAACGTGACGGTGGAGAATGTGCTGGTGTGGGACTCTCGGCGCGGGGTGCGGATCAAGACGGCCCCCGGGCGCGGCGGGTACGTGCGCAACATCACCTACCGCGGCATCGTCTTCCACAACCTCCGCGTGGGGATCGTCGTGAAGACGGACTACAACGAGCACCCCCCCGACGGCGCGTTCGACCCGCGCGCCGTGCCGGCCGTGGAGAGCATCACCTTCAGCGGCGTGCACGGCCGCGGCGTGCGCGTCCCCGTGCGCCTGCAGGGCAGCGCCGAGATTCCCGTGCGGGGGCTCACCTTCCGCGACCTCGCCGTGGGCCTCGCCTACAAGAAGAAGCACGTCTTCCAGTGCGCCTTCGTCCAGGGCCGCGTCCTCGGCGCCGTCTTCCCCGCCCCCTGCGCCAACCTCGACCTCTACGACGAGCGCGGCAACCTCGTCCGCCCCTCCACCACTCCCAACATCACGGACGTAGACTACGACATCTAACCCTTCCTCTCTTCTCTCTCTCTTCTTCGCTTCCATTCCTTAGCTTCATTCCCTTTATTCAACCTTCTTCGTCTCCCCTGTCTGTCTGTCTGTCTGTCTCTCTCTCTCTCTCTCTCTCCAGTTGCAGTTCCTTCTCGGGTCCTCTACTTGGTAACTTCATTCAATTCTCTCTCTCTCTTAGTCGGGGTCTTCTCCGGTTTTCTCACACGTGGTAGACGGACTGGCCACTTGCCGGTGGTGGGTGGCTGCACGAGATGGGCGATCCCCGTGGTTCTCTTTGTCCCGTTTTCCTGAGTCGGTCGGGTCGATGATTTCTCGGTGGAGCCCACGCGCATCTCTCCGGATCGAGTCAATGCTGCCTCTTGGTCGAAAGTGGCGCTATTGAATATGGACCTGTCCCGCAAGTAGGACGTGGTAGCCCTATGAGAATCTGCCCGTTGAATCGATGGTGATCCCTCTCCCTCTCCTTCTCTCTCCGAGGAAAGGGGTGAAACGAGCCTTCAGGTCACGAGGAAAACGTGTGACGGATTTTGCCACCCTACCGGCTGTCTACTTGTGTGGAGACCGGTGGGTTCTGATACCGTGATCCCGTCTCTTCCGCTGCGGTAGGCGGTATCCGGACCTTCTCTCTCGCTCGGATGTGTCCGGGTTTTTCAAAATGATGGCCGAGCTGTGGACTCTCTTTACGCACGTGTTCTAATGCTTTCTTCGAGGCGTGCTGTGCTGGTTCCTGTCAGACGATTGGAGGCGGTGGGACTATAAAGACAGCGCGCGGAAAGGGGGGTGGCAAAATCGCAAGGAGGAGTCGACACGGTAATCGGCGGTAGACGAAGGAAGGGCGAACGAGAGAGAGAGAGAGAGAAGAGATGATCAGGTCATCGGAGATGGGAGGGAAGAAGGCGTCCAACTTCTCCCTCACCTGCAGCCTCCTCAGCCAGTACCTCAAGGAGAAGGGCAGCCTCGGGGACCTCGGCCTCGGCATATCTCGGCATCACGTCGAAACCGGAGGTAGGAGCCAATCTCGCCTCTCTCTCTCTCTCTAGCTATCATAGTTTTGAGGCAGGAGAGATCGATCTCGGTTTTGCTTTTTACCTTCGGCTCTGATTGTTCTAGTAAATTAGGTTTATGGAACATGAATTTGCTCGGCCATGGCGCGGACGCCGGATCTTCTTCCTGTCATTTTTTTAATTTTATCTGCTTAAAAAAGGCGAGAAAATCCGGAATCCTTTCGAAAACTACTCAAAAAGTGAGAAACATCTATTGCCTTGTTCTTCCTGATCCGGATCCGCGTTTTTCTTCATTCAGAATCGTTGCCTGATGTGTCTCTGTTCGACTGATGCAACTGTCTGATCCACGACACCTCTTTGACATTGTTCCTCTCTTGTTTTTCTCCATTTTCTTTCTCCAGGTCAGCCGGAGACTCCGAGGACCATGAATCTGTTGCCTGGTATAGAAGACGCCTCGCCGGTGAACAAGGACACCGTTTCTGACTGGGAGAAGAGGCCGAAACCCTCGATGGTCCTCCCCCAGCGTTCCGGCTTCGGTTCCCTCCAGTCCGAAGGCAAGCCAGAACCCAACAGGTGAGCCTCCTCCGTTGCCAAACCGGGAGTAAACCAGAGAGCACGGGTATCCCTCATGAAGACGGTAATTCTGATATTCCTGTTGAAATTCTCGTCTGTTGCAGGGAGGATCCGAGCTCCCAGTTGACGATATTCTACGGAGGGAAGGTGGTCGTCGTCGAGGATTTCCCTGCCGACATGGCCAGAGAAGTGATGGCCATGGCCTGCCGGGGCCCCTCCAACCCCACAAAGATCATCAACATGGAGCAGCAAGCTACCACCGCAGGGATGCTGCCTCAGCGCCCCAGATACCCCTCCCCCGCCGCCGTCGTCTCCACTTCTTCCTCTGAGACCAATCCGCCCGTTGCGGCCGCCGCCGCCCAGGAGGCCTCGCAGAAGCCATCGCCGGCGGCGACCTCGGATCTGCCCATTGCACGGAGGGTCTCCCTGCACCGTTTCCTCGAGAAGAGAAAAGACAGGTCGGTAGCTCTTCTCTCCTCCACCATATCGATCATCCCCAAATCGGTAATTCAGAAGCCTCATCCTCACCTCCTCCCTGTGGACGATTCTCCAGGATCAACGCCAAGGCCCCCTACCAACCTCACGGCTCGTCCTCTGCTCCGCCATCGAAGGAGGAGCAAACCCGGCGGTGGCTCGGCCTGGGGCCGCAGGCCCCCGCCCCCGCCGCCGAGAGCCACCAGCGGTAGTTTGGCCTACCGTCAACGCCAGATCCTCCCCCTCAGATACCAGATCTGACCCGAGAAGAGGACGCGCTGCGACGACCAGCGCGCCGCCTGGGATCATAGATCGAGATGATTCGGTCTCTCAGCCTCTTGAGAAAGATTTGCCCTTTTTTTAATTTTTTATTCCCAGGATAACCGATTGTACACCCTGCACGAACATCCAATATTTTCTTAGACATCAATTTATCCGTTTTAGACGATATTACCAAGATCTATCAGAATATTATTGCCATGGCCAGACATTCTTGGCCGGTCTGCTATCGTCTTCAGCTCCCTCCAAGAACAGCACGCGGCAACGAGCTGAGACTGGGCCCCAACGAAGCTTCCGGCAAATTTCATCAGATCTGAATAATTTCTCCGCGTGCGAAATATCTTGTTCGACGACTTCAACGCCCACATGGCGGCCCCCCCTCCCCCGCCGCCGCTGTCCGCTCCTGGCCGCCGACAGCCAATTGGAAGGGAGCGCCGGTAGGAGGCAGCCGGCGCTCTCATTTGACCGATGGGAACATTTTACTGCAATTCAATGTCCAACTTTTGACGATTTGAACCAAATTATATTATAATAATTCGGGATCGCGGGAGGGGTTGCGTGTCGGCAGTTCGTTTGGGATCTGACGTCAACGGCCGACACGTCCCATGGGTCAGATCCTCGTTGTGCAGTTCAGTCAACTGTCTGATCGGTCGACAGTGGATAGCCGACCTGCGGAATTCTCGGCACCGTATATGAGAGATGGATGGCTCCGTTGAAAGTCCATTGATAGGTAGTACGAAAGTGAAGGCCACGATGGAGATTCAACGATTCAACGGTCAGCACCGTCTGGCTCCCCCTGATGGCTCGATAATGAAGGGAAAGACGAAGCCCACTAAATCCAAAAAAACTCGTATTAATGGGTCACCTTGAGAAAGCCCATTTCTTGCCGAGAGGCTGAAATGTGTGAGCCGGCCCGTGCAAATCATGTTCGGTGAGGGTTGCAGGCCCATTGGGTGAAGTTGAGGGACCGGTTATCCGACGGTCCCGATTTTACGTGTCAACTGGACGATGATTCTGATCGACGGGAGGATCATCGGTTCCAGGGCTATGCTGTGCGTAGGGAAGGGGGGGTAGTTAGCGGGGGCCAACAAAGGGAAACAGGTGGGGGGGAGGAGCTGCGAAGGGGGATCGTCCCGGGAACATTTTCGTCGCTCGAAGAGGGGGGGGGGCTTCTCCGGGTCTCGACCGCATCCCCTCTCCTCTCCTCCACAAGATCCTCGCTGGTTTCTCGATTCTCATCCTCTTCCTCTGGGGGGGGGGCACCCTTTTTCTAGTTTCCTCTTTGCCTTCTCTTTTCCTTTGGTTCTTCCCACCTCGTCGTTTCCACACCCTTCCTCTCATCGTAATTTCGAGCGTGCAAAGGCATTGTTTTTTGTTTTTTCTTTGGTTTTTCTTCCTCGATTTTCCGTCGGGGGAGCATAAACCCTAACACTCGGAGCGCCTCGACCAGTTACCTCTCTATTGTTGTCGGGGGTGACCGCGAGGAAAGAGAAATGATGCAGCAGCAGAGGCTGAAGCAGCATCAGCAGGCTCTAATGCACCAAGCCCTCCTCCAGCAGCAGCAGCAGCAGCAGCAGCAGCAGCAGCAGCAGCAGCAGCAGCAGCAGTCTCTCTACCCACACCCGGGCCTTCTCGCCGCACCTCAGGTCTTTTGCTCCCTCCTTGTATCCTCTGGAACTGCTGTTCGTGTTTTCTGCTTCCCCTTGTTATCGTAGCCCCTTCGTTTTCACATGGTTTTATCCGAGAATTTAACCTAGCCATGATGACCGTATGGTTTATCGCGTTCTGATTCTGGAGCGATTGGGTACTTTAGGGGGTTGGTTTCACATTTGGAATTTTGGTCTCCAATGGCTCTCTGAACTGTTGTGTCAGAAAGTTCCTGTTTTAAACTTGGTCTGTCTCTTTATCGTTGGGACGACTGACGGTGGCAGTCTCTTTATCTGAGGCATCCTCTGTATCTGCTTCGATTATGTCCATTGATAGAGTTGTAGAAATTTTGTCGAGGTAACATAGAATCATGCCTTATGTTACCAACTAGGCATATCTATCTCTTTATTAAGTTTCCTGACTGACTTTTTTTTGTCTTTAACCCTAAAATCAGCAGTCTTGCTGTGGGGTCATAGGATTAATGGAAGAAGCACTCTAGCTATTTGGATAACATATGCATATTATGTGATGGTAACATATTGGAAAAAGTGGCTGTATTGATCAAACCGTCGGAAAGTAGGAAAAAGAGCTGTGTCGATCTCCCTCCACGTTTTTCAAAGGTGTAGATTGCTTGATAATTCATGTTGCCTCGGCTTTCTCTGCACATTTTGACCATTGTGTAAGGAAAATTCGCAAATTAAGCTACTGCAGATTATTTTTTTTATTTGAGAGTTTGTTAGGTGTCTTTTTTCCTTTTTAGTAGGCTACTGCGTGGTTGTCTTCCAGAGGTTAGCTTATTATTCTATAGGGGGTCTTTCTTTTCTTTTTCTCTTCCTTTTTTTTACATTTCTATTTTGCAGATAGAGCCTATTCCAAGCGGAAATCTGCCTCCTGGGTTTGATCCAAGTGCATGCCGCAGTGTGTGAGTGTTGTTAGGATTTTTTTTATAATTTCTGTTTTTTTTTTCTTTTCTGCTTATACCTTTTCCGCTGAGGCGCTTCAGTTATGCTATGGGTTCTTTCAACCAGGGAATATGCTTTCCGTTGTCCTTTTCCATGGCATTATTTTCATTTTTTGGGCCATACATCAGGCCTTGGCCTTGTTCCAGATTGCCGATTTGTTTTTTCTAAGATGCATTGAGTGCCACAAATGCTATCGTCTATTGTGAAAAGTTAATATATTTAAATTCTTCCGTCATATTTAAAACTGCTGTCTTCATATCTTGGTTTCTTATCAGTAGTCTTCCTTTTGAGATGGTGTAGGTACGTGGGTAACATTCATCTGCAAGTGACTGAATCTCTTCTTCAGGAGGTGTTCCAGAGTACTGGTCCTGTTGAAGGATGTAAGCTCATTAGAAAGGAGAAGGTTGTTCTTATATCCAATGGATGCTCATCTTTTTGTTGCATTTCCTCTTTCCATTTGATCCCAGAATTATTTCCAGTGTTTCCTGATGAGATAAGTCTGATTCGATCACTAAAATTTTCAGTGTGGGTACTCTTTATATTCGATTATTGACTCTCTCAAATCAAAATAGTCATTGAAAGTATAAAATTTCCCTGTTTTTCGGCTCGAATGGACATATCGTTGTATGTTGTCTGATGATCTTATTCAGTGGTCCCTTTTGGCCGACATATTCTCTTATATCAGTGACGATAGCTAATTCACTGCTTTCTTTCTGGGCATTTAACAATTTCTTATCCCTTAGATGAAACAAATTTCTTTCAACGTTGGTAAAAAAATCGCTTAGCTTCCCAAAATAGGCCATTGGATGCCTTACGTGGTGTGTGTATAAATCAAATTCATGAAAAGTGATGTACTTTCGCTCTTATGCCTGTGGGAAATCTGGCACTTCTTTTTTTTATATTTTTTTAATGTTAACTGGTGAGGTTAATCAATCTGATTTATCCTTTGTCTGACATTCTAAGTATGAATTTGCTACCTTCGTAGACTTTTGGCAGAGAAATCTCCGACTTCTAGCTTTCAATGTATATCAGTTGGTTGATTCTAGACTGAGGATTATTGTTTTCTTGTATGAGTCAATGTTATAGATCCTCGGGGGATTTTGGAAATGATTACCTCACAAGCATAGATTTGCACTGTTGTAAAATCTAATTGGTCACCATCGTTGGGATGCTTGTTTCCTTGTGCATTATGATGGTTCAATGTGTCAATCAGATTAGTTGATGACTTGTTGCAGTATGGCTACTTCGGTCATTCATTTGAACTTCCCGAATGATGACATTGACATGTCAGCTAATTTCTTATTGCTGTCTCTCAAGTTATTTTAAATTTTATTTGTGCAGACATCCTATGGCTTTGTTGATTACTTCGATCGAATGTCAGCTTCGCTTGCAATTCTCTCCCTTAACGGAAGGCACTTGTAAGTCTGAGTTCTTCTTGTCTTTCAATCGGCTTCTGTGAATGTGAATTTATGGACCATTTATGTCATAATTTTTAATGTGCAGATTTGGTCAGCCTATTAAAGTTAACTGGGCATATGCAAGCAATCAAAGAGAGGATACATCAGGTTGTGTTCTTATTTCACCATCATAACTTTGTTCACTTGGATATCAGTCTTTGTCCTTACCATTAGGTTGAGCTGATTCAATTCTGCTCGTTTGACGCGTTTCTTGTTTTGCTTCTCAGGGCACTATAATATCTTTGTTGGTGACCTTAGCCCTGAAGTCACAGATGCCACATTATTTTCTTGCTTTTCTGTTTATCCCAGTTGCTCGTAAGTTATGCTGCGATTTTTTGTGGTCCATCCTTGTTATTTTTCATAATCGACATTTAGGTTCATATTTCTAGATGTTGAAAAGGAAAAAAAAACATAATCTGAATATATGGCATGCAACACGGATTTAATATCTTGCGTTTCTTGGATATTTCATGCAAATCAAACGTCTTTTTTCCTTTTAGGGATGCCAGGGTAATGTGGGATCAGAAAACTGGTCGATCAAGGGGATATGGCTTTGTTTCATTCCGCAATCAACAGGTTGAATCTTTGTTTATTTTTTCTTATTTAATTTAAGATGCAGCCAATTTATGAAGTTGTCTGTGGTAACATGCTTGGAAAAAACGATTGTTCATATACCCCTTCTCTTGGCATAGGAAATCTTCGTCAAACGATTGTTCAGCGTTTATGCCCAGAAAATGATTTAATAATGGCCGAACTACATAATTTATGTATTTTTAAACTGGATTGCTTAAAATGGTCTGGATGCTTCAAGGATGCCTTTGTTTTTTATGAACAGAGGAATTTCATCATTTTATGAATACTGCATTTAAAAATTTACTTTGTCATACTTTTTGAAGAGGTGTACTGTTGGGGGTGTTGATCCCTGTTTTTCTTGAGATGGGGTCTTTCTTTCTTTGTTTATTACTACGAGAATACAAATGATAAATGTTAAACGTTCTACTATTTTCTCTTTTGATCACACCTCTGGTTTATCATTTTATCATCTGTTCCCTTTTCTCAAATGGGAGAGTTTTACCAGCGGTGAAGTTATTGAGAGTCTTAACTTCTTGCTAACATAGGATAGGGAAAGGTCATTGATAACCATTCCAGGTTGCCTGCTGGCTCCCCTGCGTTTGATTTATCTTCTATCTTTCCTGTGGTATAGCAAGTGCTGCTGCTTCTTTCCTCCGTTTCCTTTCTCTTAATTCATCAATAGGTCCATTTGAATTTTTCCTTTTGGTTTCTCTTCTCTCTTTTTTACCTTTTTGGCAGCAGTGTTGCGTCTGCTGTGTCAGGCTGGGAAGATCCCACTGCTGCCTTTCTTTGTGGAAGAACGAGTAGAGGACACTTAGTTGATGAATCCCTTCCTTTGGTCACTGATCTATCACCTCTTCTTTAGCACAATGGTTTGTTTCTCATCCTCTCAGAGGAACAGCCTGCCCCCCTACCCGGACATTAACTCTTTCTCCAACTTCTCATGCTTCTTGAAAGAACTGTGTGAATTCATTCTGTCGTGCTTCTCCCTGTGATCGTTGCATGTGGTTTTCTTCAGGATCTAGGTGATCCCAATTAAAGTCAAACTCGACCCCAATCTGAGTAGAGCTTGAATCCAGTTTGTGGATTTGCGATCTTTGAAATATTATGCAGTATAAATTTAGTTGACAGGAATGTTTCTTGATGTATATTTTGAGGTTTGCTTTCGTAGACATGATCATGCGAGTTCAATTTTTGATTGAACTATCAGTTAGATGGAAAAATTGTTTGGACATTTTTTGTGTATGGAACTCTCTTTGGAGGCGTTTTGGGCAATTGAATAATGATAGTTGGTGAATTCTCCAAGCCTTTTCTGATATTTTTCGCCATGCTTCAGTCATATTCCACCGCATATTATTTAACCCTGAATAAATAGTGAAATATTTAAAAGTAAATTCGTAAAGTCGACATAAAAAATGATAGTGCAGCGAATAGAAGATACACGTGGACAGTTTTTATCTGTTACCTTGGGGGCAATCGGGAAGATTCGGTTGTTCATCTGGTACCAATGAGAATAGTCCATCTAATCCGCTTTTTCTCAGTTGACTTTTCATGCTACCAAAAACGAGGACAATTTTCTCAGAACACTTCTCTATTAATTACATTGCAAACCCTCGCCATAATATGATGCTTCCTTATCTCAACCACGCTTTACTTAACCATTAGCTATTTCCTCTGATTCATTGCGGAAAATGTCGTGCCATATATTCTGGATCTTCGGTATGGTGTGGGTCATTTGGTCGGTTATCTGCAGAATGCTTTAACTTTAAAAAGGAGAAGTATGGAAATTATTTATCTCGTGCAGCATTTAGGAGATCACAATGTAGGAAGGGTGTTTCTGCTGTGATATTCCATTCATGCGACCGATATCTTTTTCCAGTGTAGCATAATATGCTGGCTCAGCGTCTCTCTCACTGTGTGCTTATCGTCTGTGGTTTTCTGCAGGAAGCCCAGAGCGCCATTAATGAGTTAAATGGTAAGCAACTTTCTCTGAAACTGGACGCTCATATCTTGTTCATCAGTTAATGAGTAATAATTCACCAATCTTTTTTGAGCGTTCAGCGTGTCCCTTGGATCTGGGTACCTTGCCTCCTTTTTTTTTCTTCTTTCTTTCTGTTGTTGGGAATCAGAACAGGCATTGCACCGTCCCCCTTTCTTTGGTGGATGCGTTTTGTGGCCCTACTGTCATGAATTGAACGATAAGGGTTGAGAGGATCATTTGACTTCGTGGGTGTAGTTGATCCAACCAGATACTTAAAAATTAAATAGAAACCCCTGCCGAGCCAGATCAGGATCGGCTGATGTGGACTCCACTTCAGTCCCCTTTCAAATGAGGACCGGCTGGATAGAGTTGGATGGAATTGAGATATTCTACTGACGTTAAAATTTTGCCAGCAATTGGGTTCACTAAGCCTCCCATTCTTATAATTTGTGTAGAGAGCATTTCCTAGGCTTGGATCATTAGGAATACATAGAATAGTCCGGACTTCAATCCCATTTTTCTGTTTCCCGAGCCTTTTTTCAATGTCTGGACGCTATTCTTTTCCCTCTTTCAGGTAAGTGGCTTGGCAGCAGGCAGATCCGCTGTAACTGGGCGACGAAGGGTGCGGGGACTGAGGAGAAGCAGATGTTAGGGTCGAAGAACATGGTCGACCTGAGCAGCGGGGCATCTGCAGGTGGGTTTGATTGGAACACACATTCACAATCCGGTTTTTGTGTTTAGGGTTTTGGGTGGTTTCCTATATTTGAATGCATCGGCGGGTCCTAGATGGTCAGTCAATGATTGGGGATCCCTGCGGGTTTTTTCTTCTTTTTGTAATTTCAATTAATTGGTTCATCTTGTGGCAGCTTTGCTCTCTGAGATGAAGGTTGGTTCTTTCTGAGTAATGAACGAAACATGTTGGCCATATTTGACGCTTTTATGTAGGATCATTAAACATCAGATTTATTTATTATGTCAAGAACATGTTATTTCATTGATAGACGAAACTAGATGCGGTGGTTCAGCTCTTTCTGTAGATGGATTCTGTCCGTTCCATTTTCTCGGAGACAAGTTGACTTTTTCCCCGACCCAAGAGTCCCTGCTCGTTGTCGACCTTGCCCATCTGACAAAATCCCCTCTTTCTTCCTTGTTCGTTTTTGTTTGGTCGCTGATGATGAACATGGAATCAATCCCCTTTCTGCAGAGGACACTCGCGAAGCTCCAAACGAGGACGACCCGGAGAACAACACTCAGTACACGACTGTTTACGTGGGCAACCTGTCCACGGAGGCAAGTCCTCGGCGATCTTTAACCTTGATGCATTGTTTTGCTTCATTATTACTGTTTCATGGCTGTGTGATTGGGCCGGCATAGTTACCTTATCCTCCTCCTGGCTTCGCCTTCTCCTCGTTGCTCTGAGAGACCTGCTCGGCGTTGCAGGTGAGGCAGGCGGATCTCCATCGCTATTTCCACGCCCTGGGGGCGGGCGTGATAGAGGAAGTCCGCGTGCAGCGGGACAAGGGCTTCGGTTTCGTCAGGTACAGTTCCCACACAGAAGCTGCCCTCGCGATTCAGCTCGGTAATGCCCGAATCCTCTGCGGGAAGCCCATCAAGGTGCTCACTCTTCCCTTCCTCCAAGAACCCTAGTAATTAATTGCCTCCGCCGATTGGTCTTTGAGCTCCCATGGTCCACCTATGGAAGAAGTCTGTTTCATTTTGCCCTTCTGTCGTGTGCCCCCTGCAGTGCTCATGGGGGAACAAGCCCACCCCGCCCGGCGCGAGCTCAGGGCCGCTGCCCCCGCCGCCGCCGCCGCCCTTCGCGGGGCTGTCGGCGGGCGAGTTGCTGGCGTACGAGCGGCAGATGGCGCTGAGCAGGATGGGCGCGGCGGGGCCGGCGATGCTGCACGCGCAGAGCCAGCTCGCCTTCAAGCAAGCGGCCATGGGAGTCGACGCCGGCGTGAGCCAGGCACTCTACGACGGCGGGTTCCCCAGTGCGACCTCCGCCCAGCAGCTCTACTACTGATTATGATGATGATCCCTTTAGGCTTTAGTGGGTTTGATGCCCTTGTCCCTTTCGCTTGCTTCTGTGTGCAGTTGGGTCGCCAGTGTCCCTCAGCTTGTTGTTACAGTGAGTTTGTGTATCAGAAAGCTTCAGAGATGGAGGAATCGCTGCATTCATTCCCGAGGTTTCTCTCTCTCTTTCTAGCCTTCTTGGGTTCCTCCTGTAATTCGGCATCGCGCCTCTCGCTGGCCGCTTTTGCGTGACCATGGTGGGTGTTTATCAGAACCAGAAGCCGAATGGAAGAACGAGCTTCTGGTTCTTCTTTACTTCACTGGGGAAAATAGAGGAGGCGGGAGGCAAATACGAGCTCAAGCAATCATACAGGAGAACCAAAGCTCAAGCAATCGTACAGCAGATGTGAAGGAAAACTCGTAGCACGTGTGCCCATCAGACCACTCATGCTGAACCTCTCTCTCTCTCTCTCTCTCTCGCTCCTCCCCATTGGAAGCAAATCATTCCGCAATCGTCTAGTCGTCTAGGTAGGAGGGGGTCTTCTTCTTCTACGCTGGAGCCGAGCCTGTGCAGAAGAGCCCGCCGGCGGCGTAGTCCGAGGGCGGCTTGGAGGCTTCGGAGGAGCAGTTCTCTTGGAGCTGCTCGGCGACCATCTGCCGCCCACGGCACTCCATGCTGCAGAACGCCTTCTCCCCCCTGTTGCACCGCCAGGCTTATTACCCCTTGACCGGATCCGTGACGGGTAGAAAGAGAGAGAGGTGTTGCAGGTTGAGGTTTACCTGTACATGTAGATGTCTCCTCCGTGGAGTTTCTTCTTACAGAGGTAGCAGGAGCTGAGGAAATCCGCAGCGGGGAAGAAGGGGAGCCCGACGGGAGGGAGTCGGAGGGGAGAGGAGACGGACGAGGATGAGCTGAGGATTCGATAGTGGAACCCATCATCGTCGTCCTCGTCAACTCCGCAGAAGAGCCCCCCAAGCGAGCTCTTCTGAGTCCCAGCTACGCCGCTGCTCCACCATCCTCCCTTCCAGGAGACCGCCGCCCGCGTAGACGTACCTGTCGTGGAAGTGCCCACGGCGGCCTTGGCGGCGACGTCCCCGCGGCCACCCGTCCTCTCCAGCGCCGCCACGATGCCGAGCCCCACTCCGGCGGAGACCCGGTTCATCCACCCCTTTGGTGACCTCACGTCCCGCTCCAGTGGGCTCGCCGGGAAGACGGCGGCGGCGCCGCCCTCCTCCGTCCGGCGGTACCACCCCCGCGGGGTCGTCTCTATCGGCTCCGGCCACCTCCCTGCCCACGCCCCTCGAGCTCTCTTCCCCAGCATGGCCTCCGTCTCCTCAGACACCCTCAGAAGACCAATTCTCCGGCGAGGCTGAACTCAGAGGTGGGCAGAGAGAGAGAGAGAGAGAGAGAGAGAGAGAGAGAGAGAGAGAGAGAGAGAGAGAAGGAGGAAGTTCATGTGGGTAAATCCTCCCGACGTTGGGTTTCAAAATCTGTTTTTTTTTTTTCAAGAATCGGAGCAGACAGTGGAAGATCGAAGGGTGATGGAGACGAGGTTCGACTGGGCCCTCTCCGAAGCCGCTGCATAAACAATAATTTGGATATATTTGGATATATTTAGATATGTTATCCACCGCCGTCGAGAGATTGGGGGCTGCGAGTGGGCCCCGAAAACAACCTTCCTGAACTCCGCAGTATTTTGGGCATGTGATGGGAGTGAGAGGCCGCTTATCGTGCAACGCCCCACACGTGGCATCAGTTAAGAAGGTACATCCTCGAGGTGGGAAGCGTGGACGCGATGGAGAGTTATCTCAGTAACGGCCTTCGTGTCCAGGTCGCCGCCGCACCACCATTGGGCGAAATGACGTAAATACCCCTATCTGAGGTCAGCTTCTCTCATTTATGTGATTATTATTTAAAATCGGATAAGTTCCTCGAAATCTAACTTTTATTCATTTAATCCTTTTAAATATACATTTTTTATAATTATATTATTTTCAGTAAAATCGTGAAATTATATTTTTTTCATGAATTTTTATGTCTTGTAATTTTCAACTAAATCGATTAGCGAAGCCTACCATGGAAAGTAGACAAAAGCAGTGTTTAGACAAAATCCCTTTCACGTGATTTCCCACGTGGCACCAATTGGCCTGGTCAGTTCACGCGATGCTCGCTAGGCGACGGTCAATGGATGCCTCCTCCGGGCCACAACCCGACAGTGACGTGTCCAGAATCTGAACCCGGTAACTTCTCTTTCAAGACTCTGTCCTGCTGACGGCCCAAAGGTACCGTCTCCGTCGGCCCAATAAACTACTAGCCCACCATCATGCGACAAGGGCGTGCCACTGATGTGGGCCCCTTCGCCCTCTTATGGGCCCCATCTGGGAGGTCGTCGGCCCGGCAAGCCCGCAAACCGCATACCAGACGGCCCATGAGAGAGAGAGAGAGAGTAACACGTGGAGTACTTTTTGGGGAGAGCCTCGTGTCTGGGCCTGGTCAATCGAGCATGAATTCCTGTTCGGGCTTGGCTCAGAGCCCAGGCCCGGAAAGGGAGACCGGGCCGGGCTTCGAACACATTCTGTCTCCATTTTCAGTAACAGAATAATAACACCCATGTTCATAGAATAATGATGCCAAGTGGTTTGACTTCTACCGGGTCGAGGAGCAGACCCAGAAGAGGCCGTCCACGTCCCCCTCATCACTTCAGCCAAAACTGGCAGCTCTGGTTCCTCAGCAAAAAAAAAAACAAAGAAAAAAAAAGAGAAGAAGAAGATCTACAGAAAGAGAAAGAAATGTGGGGGATCGCTCAGTCAGACTCGAGTCTGGCGATGTACTTGTCGTAGAACTTGCCGGCGCGCTCGAGGTCCCCGAGCTCGGTGTAGCAGTCAGCGATGGCGCCGTAGGCCTCGGTGCTGCCGGAGTCCTCGCCGGCCCGCTTGGCGATCTCCAGCACCTTGGAGTGGTACTTGATGGCCTCCCTGTACTTGCCCTGCCTCTGCAGAGACGCCCCTGGAAAGAAAACACGCCCGCATGCTAAGCCTCTTAATTACTACTAACAGTCAACATGATTCCCTAATTTAAACCCTAATCTCATCAGTGCTCATTGTTATGTATTATTTAAGTAATTAAATAAAATAGGAAGAGAGGACGGGTGATGGGTTGAGGGCCGAACCTAGGCCTCGAGCAGCCTTCTTCTCATCGATGTGGTCTCCCAGATTCTGGGCGAGCTCAAAGGCTGCCTTGAATTCCGCAAAAGCCTTATCCGGTTCTTGGTTCCTGAGAAAATTCTTCCCGGTCCTCAGGCTGGCGAGAAGCTGTTCCTTCCTCGGGTCGACGACGACGTCCGCCTCAGACACTCTGCTGACGGGGGCGTAGCTCAGAGTTGGCGCATAAGATTCTATCTTCGCCTGCCTTCTCAGAGCAGCGTTGATCTGGCGCAGCTGGTCATTCAACCGCGCCAGTTCCCCTCTTCTCTGCCGGGCCAGCAAACCTGGGGACCAAAACCCTCGGTTAATAATGATATGAGGGAAGACTGGGAAGAACAGAGTGGGATTGAGAAAACATGGAGCTGTCCAGGTCAAGACCAGGTGGGGATGATGAACCAGAAGGGTGAGCACAAGTTTCATCAGGGACATTCTGCTCCATTAGTCTCATGAATGCTGATTGGATGAGAGTGGCTCTGGACTTCCCCAGTCGTAGGTTTGTGAAAGGTCAACGCGATATTTAGAAGGGAACAGAATGTTGACTTGTAAGAAATGGGTAGACGAATGATATAACAAGAAAGAGAGAAAATTAAAGAGAGGGGCAAGTCTAAATTTTTCGTCTGCATGGCGAGAAATAACCAAGTTTTTCGGCTGTGTTTTCATGTCCTAAGCATTTATACACAGTCACTATATAAAGTCAAAACCAGGGATTCAGATGCTTTAGTATCACTATACCAGTGCTCGTCAGGATGGAAGAAAGGGATTCCAGTAGCGTCTTACCCCCGACAGTGGCCCCTATGAGGGCTATCGCAAAAAGCAAAGGCATGTTGAAGAATGAGTTACTAGGTTCGCACGTTTCAGCCAGTGCTTCAAAAGGCAGCATGAACGTCAACAAATTGGCAGCGACCAAAGACTTTGAAAAAGCTACTGGTGTCAAAGTCTGCAGGAAGGGGTGCTGATTAAATGCCAGAAACTAGATTCCCACAAATAAACCAACATCTAAAAATAGTATAATGCTAGAGAGAGAGAGAGAGAATCCCCAAGCAATATCTGTCGAAAGTAAATTGGATAACATAATAGCAACCTACTACATCCGCAAAAAAAGATAATCAGAATCAGACTCTCTACTAAGATGAGAAACAAGCAAAAATCTTAGCAAGTCTTTTACAAGTCAACCTGCTAAAAATATGCCAAATCAAGAGGGATCCACATTCTTGCAGTTACATGTTCATGCAGTTAAGCGATCCACATTCTTGGACATCGAGGATAGTCATGACTAACACTAGGTAAACCCTGATGAGGACCGGACCTATGGATTGTCCCTCGATCAATTTTCCATGTTTTCTTCAAGTCTGCAGAAACTGTCACTGAGCGATTTTTTTTCAATTTAAGTGTATTAGTGTTGACAATGTCAAAAACATAATCACTACATGGATTGGGACGGAAGTTTACTTGTTGGTTGTTCTAATGCGCTTGATAAGAACAATACACTCATTTTGAGTGATGATACACAGATATCACTCGACGTTTCAATTAATCAGCTTAAAAGAAAATAATATGAAAAATCTAAGAGGCTCACCAGCGTACACTGTCTACCTGATGATGATAATTAGTGTCGATGATAAAGGCGTGATCAGGCATCCTCCTTGAAGCGTTATCAACTTCCTTCAACTTAATGAACTGGAAAAAGTCTGGAGGAAATGACATAGAACGGCAACTTGACAATATCTTAGCAGCGTCAAATGGAACCTCAAATTTCATGAACATCTTGCTGTATGAAATTGGAACTTTTCCATGTTGAATCTGGAGCGTTACATCTGGTAGTACAAATAACTTAAATCAGGTAGTTGTGCAAGAATCTAAAAAATAGCCTGCAAAAGACATTCATGTGTGCATGTGCACGCACGTGCAGGAGAGGGAGGGGGGAAGGGGGGGGGGAGAGAGAGAGAGAGATAGGGTCCCCAAAATACTGGACACATACTCAATGGAAGATTATGATACAGCTGTGGTATAGAGTAATCAATAGCTATTTATGAAATAAAAAACTCTTTAGACATCAGTCATCGAATTCCCATACACTAAAAAGAGCAGTAATCAGGGCATGCTATGATAACATGCGGCAGAGGAACTCATCATATTCTAGTTAATATTAACCACACGCCCCCTAGGAGATTCTAAACAACTATTCCAGAAAATGCATAGTCAACCATAACATCAGGGGATGTATATCCTTATAAAGAGATCTACTATCAGATTCTTTACCCAATGCCATCTTTTGATAAAGTAAGAAATTTATATGAAACCCGGAAAAAAACCATTTCCCACATCATTTCTTAGTGAAGGTAATAGGATTACAATACAATAATTAAGCAAGAAGCCGAACGATCGTCAATTACTAAATACAATGGGACCACAAAAAATCCTATGACCAGTATGCAGTGATTTGCGTGTTATGCTGGTCATAAGCAACCATTTATTAGGTTATGCAAACTTTTGCAAGGAGAATGCGTGCACCAGATAATTCCTTAAATCGAAGGCCAAATAATCTCTTACACAGGCACATGGCATTGGTTACGTCTGTACCAACAAAACAATCCACAAAATACCTGTCTTACGTGACCTACATTTGAAGAAGTTTAAGCAAATGATGATTACCCTGGAAGTGTATGCAAGATACGAACATTCGACTTAGAAGCTGGAAGAGTTTTTGGAAGCCCGGTAAATTGGATTACGTCAAAATGCTGGTATGATCTCACAAACAGCATTTCTGATTTCCAGGAAGACAATGTCATACAACAACAGGGGTAATGACACAAATGAAAAGAACAGCACCAAGTTTCAGATAGAGGTCCAATCAACTTGTTGACATGGAAGTTATTCACATGGGCTTCTTATAAAATAATCCTCACTATCAATAAGGCCTTAAAAAGTTGCAGAATTTGAAAATTGGCCTTTGGCGACTAAAAACCTGACAGAAACATAACTTTTCGAATTGGCTACCTTCAACTGGCAAAGGATCTATTAAACCAGATAGTGGATGAGATCCAGTCTTCCATACATAGCTAAAGCCCCCTGTTGCAGAAACCATAAATGGATTTTGAAAAGAAACGAAGTTTAGGATCACAGTTAGTATAGTTGGGGACCCATCTCCTCAATGCTGGAATGATAAGTCGACAAATATTCAGCCCGTAGAATTTCAACAACTTTGATGAGCCAAAATGGTTCCTGGATGTACAACCAACTCGTTTGGAAATAAATCATCTATTATAAGTTCTCATTCAATGAGAATTATCCCTATTGTATCCCCGTAAATTCTCTAAAACCATTGGCGAGTCCTTGATAATTTACTCATCCGGAGAACAATGCATTGTGGGGATACGTTTCCCTTTTGCATGGCTGGAAGTAAAGCAGTGATGAGACTAACATGTAAGATGAGGATGTAATTGTAGATAAACAGTTAAATTCTAAAAATTCCGTCTACAGTCGCAGGTTCTGTGACTCTGGTCGGAAGATCCCTTGAAAAAAGAAGAAGAAAGTGTACTCTTCTGTGCCACAACCAAAAAAAAGCAACCAGACAGTCAACTTCATTTCACACGCGAAGAAGAGAGACTTAGTGTTCGTAAACGATTGCTGACTAGTGATTCCCACGGTGGACGAGCATTCACATCCGACAATCCATAAGAAATTCATTAATAACGAGGAAAAATAGTTTAACAAGATGAAAGCCATCTACACAACTCCTCATTTCAGCCGTTAAGGTTGACGAGGCTCATTAAGAGTGAGCAAATGAGACAATAATGCTCGAATATAAATCACCGAATCATTCTCGAATCCCTTACAATCCAGTGTAATGTTCTAAATCCTCCATCACAATCCAAAGGTGCCTCTGCAGGGAGTTCAGCATTTGGCATCTTTTGGGCTCCTCACAAAGGAAAAATCAACGCTACGACTATAATTTCGTCTTTACTGGCATTGAGCCATGCCAAAAGAACGATCTACAGGCCAGTGATTACGCGGAAAAACACCTGCGCCATCAGAAAGAGGCGCAGAAAATACGAAAGGGGGTGAAACGGGAGGGCCCGACAGAAGCAGACACATCCGTGGAGAGAATCTCACCTGGGGCTTTCGCCGGACGATCTACGCGCCGCCGGCGGGATTCGGACGGCGACACGGAGGACGGTGGGCAGAGGGCGCAACGAAAGAGCACCGCCATGGCTCCCTCGCTCTTCTCTCACACTACCACCTCCGCTTCCTAGACTGTCCGAGGATAGAGTCTCCCGTCTTCAACCCAGACAAGGATAAATTTTCTTCGCACTCCCCCATTTTGATATGTATGCACATTGACGTACAAGTTTACAATAATACAATTTACACGGATTAGATGCATATAGCACAATAGAAAGGGGGGCTAAACATAAATTGGACCTCACTGGGGTCATCTCAGCAGCTGCTTGCATGATTTGCGGCCGTGATTCCTGCAAGGAAACCAGCGTCAACCCTAATTGGGAAAAGTCAACTCGAAGTCGATCGAGATGATACAGATGATTCTTCGATCCACTCACGAACCAGACGTCTACTTCGAGATGGATAAATGGTTGTAGAACCTTGAAGCCATGGGCACCGACTGAGCCATCTCTGAGAGATTTCTGAGTTGCGGGAGCACCACGGAGGCCAGGTCGGGGCGGTCCTTCTTCCGCAGCTCGGCGCAATTCAAGCCCAGCTTGGCGAAAGCCATCGTCTCCCGGACGGGCCAGTCCGGGACGGCGGGATCCAGAAGGCTCTCGAAGCGGCCCTCCTCCAGGGCCCTCTCGATGCTGTGGGCGAGCCCCATGGGAGGGGAGGCGGTGACGAGTTGCAGGAGGATGATCCCGAGGGCGTAGATGTCCGATTTGATTCCCAGCATTCCCGTCTGCTGGTACTCGGGATCGATGTAGCAGAAGGTGCCGGCGGCGACGGTGAGACGGTACTGCGTGACGGCGTCGGCGACGGCGGCGGGGACGAGCCGCGCGAGGCCGACGTCGGCGATCTTGCTGACGAAGTTGTGGTCGAGTAGGATGTTGCCGGGTTTGAGGTCGCGGTGGACGAGTGGCTCGGGCTTGGTCTGGTGGAGGAAGAGGAGGCCGGTGGCGATCTCGGCGGCGATCCGGAAGCGGAGCTGCCAGGGGAGCGGCGGGGTGTTGGAGCGGCAGAAGAGACGGTCCTCGAGGCTGCCGTTGGCCATGTACTCGTAGACGAGGCATCCGTACTCGGGGCAAGCTCCCATGAGGAGGACCATGTTCGGATGGCGGATGCAGCCCAGCACCTCGATCTGGAGAGGATCACGGTTCTTCAGTAAAAATCTGACAGTCTGAAGCTCCCCGCAACTAGGGTTTGGGGATGGAACTGGAGTGAAGAAACAGAAAGGAGCGGGCAATGGCGACGATACCTCTTGTTGGAATTGCTTTGCGCCTTGGGCGGCGTCCGGCCGAAGGACCTTGATCGCGACGACGGTGCTGTCCAGAGTGGCTCTGAAAACAGGTCCGTATCCGCCCTCCCCGATCTTCAGTTCATCGGAGAAGTTGTCTGTACCACGTTGGATCTCCTCGATAGCGTATTTCCTGTAAGGGACGTCCGTCGTCAGCCCCTCCAAGACTTTTTTCTTCTGAATCATCTCCTGCAGCAATTTTCTCTCGCCCGAGATACTCATGTTCTCAATCTCGCCCATCCTGTGCCTCTGTGCTGCTGCTTGGGCAGTTTCAGGCAGCGCCCACTGTTCTTTCTCTTCTTCCGCGAATTCATCCGTCACCTGTTCAGTCATCAGCATTTCATCATTCCCCTAGCTACGATGGAAATTCCAAGTGTGTGCCCTCATAGCAGATGCCCATCTAAGCGTCTGATGTATGATTATTCATTTATGTAGAAAAAATTGTGGAAGAGAAACAATTGGGACTAAGATGCATGAAAAGAATGGAATCATCTATCAACTCTGGAAATATTTTACGGATAAATGGAATCATAATTAAGAGTTGGAGGCTTATAAACAGCTGATGAATGCAGTCATGGCAACAGGGTCTACCTGCTGTTTAGCATTGAGTACCTCGTTGCAAGCATTGTTGTACAGGTCCATTCTTTGTTCCATCTCGAGCTTTAAGCTTCTCATCACGGATTCAACATCTTCCTGCAGCAACATTTTACATATCTTTCGGTTAAAACGAACACGTCTTCTTCAAGAACTCAGCAAGAACAATGGAGTCGTCTCCATTTAATCATGAATGAGAATTATTTATGCCATTTTCACAGAGCCCATAATTGGGAGTTGCGTTTCTTTCCTCTCAAGGAACTCTTACAGCTAGATAGAGTGGGGAATGTCTTCAGAGTAAAATTCTTCTACCTTCTCCCCAAGGACTAGTCTACTGGTGAAAACTTTACGTGGTTGACCATTCAGTTCATCAAGATCTTCCAAGTCCGATTCAGATAGTGTGATATATCGTTCAAGGTTTAGCATTTCCGACATGGTAGCTCCAAGGGATGGCCTAGATTTACATACGCGGGAGAGGTTTAGATTGTTCAAGCTCAAAAGTATATATAATTCCTCAATCAATCTAGAGCCTGTGAAAGGGAAGTCTTCACATGAATTAGGAATCGCAATGGTTTAGGTAGGTGCTTTTAACCAGCTACTCGACGACTAAAGCCAAAATCATTAGAGAACTGCAACCCAGCATGCTCATCAATCAATGTCTAGAAGAAACTTATAATCTGAAGAAAAAGGGGAATGGCTAGTCGAGGGAGAAAACTAACGCTTGATGCTGGAAAGAAATAAGCCAACATAAGCGTACCATTGATCCACCAGAAAATGAACTTCTTCCACGCTCTTTATGAAAGACAGACGAATCTTCGATGCTGTTGGAACGAGAGCCAACTGCCCATGTTTCTGTATCCTCTCTGTTCAACTCAAAGCCTTTCTTTTGCTCTCTGATCTGAGCTTTCTCAGTCAGCAGCAATAAAAGGCGTGATTGCCTAGCAGCATCGGTATGGTCTCGAGGATGGTTGCTGCCCAAGTGCTCGGCGCATGTCCTGCTAGGGCTGGGGCACGAGACTGTGCTCTCGTATGAGTAGTCGGAATAGGCCTCTCCTTGAGCGTTGGTGATGCTCCTTTCATCCACTCCACTGTCGTAGTTCACAGCTGGTGACCTGAACTTTATACTTGCCCCTTCGGCTGAGCTTAAGCCCCTTGTGGACCTGATTAAAAACCCTCAGTATCAGAAAAATCGAGATGGGAAGAGAATAATGCTGCCCAAATATCCCCTACCATGGGAGAGGAGACCAGAAATAGCCATAAATACCCAAATCCTATGTGGATCATACTAAGTAAGGGATGATCCATGATGAGACTCAATGAACGTAGCGCACTCAACACATTGATCAAGTTTTGGCAAGTTGAATAACTTCACCTTCTGACAGTCTCCATGCGGTGCCCAGCATCTGGTTCACCTGTAAGATACGAGTGGATTGGAATACTGAACATCTTTCTAAAAGGTGCAGAATAAGATCAACCATTAGTGACAATCCAAGATCAGATTACCCACTTTTAATGGACTGGAATTGATTTCCTGATGTTTCAAAGTAGTGAGGCCGAGTGGGATGTTTATTTGGATTAGACGCTGGTCGGATCGAAGATATTCTTCCTTTTGATATGATATAAACACAGCAGAAATCTGGAGCAGCTTTTGAAACAGAAGTAGGCACATCGGACTTTAATGTCCTGAGAGAAAATCAATATCAGTTGAAGTCTTAACTTTAATATCCTGATAATACCATCAAAAACGAATAACTAGCATGGTTTTATGGGTGGATCAAAGTCCGCACCTCATAAGCGCATTCCTGGATGACGAACCCATGACGAGTTTATCAACATAATGCTCTGTGAGAAAACCAACAATCGCCTTCGCTACGTCAGTGTCCTCCAGGATGACTTCCTTGCACTGTAACTGGGTACAAGATAACATGGATAGAGAATGAATGAGAGCTAGAAGACAGTTAAAATTCCTGTTTCCAGCATTGTCTCAGAAAACAGAGTAATATCATCCATATATAACTGCAGAAGAGGCATATAGATACTCTAAGGCACCAAGGTGACGCCTGCCCAATCCAGAGATGGGGACAGCGATGAAATTACATGAACCAGAGAATTCTTCCATTGAAGCATTGGAACCCATTTTCTGTTCAAATAGCTTCACTCTCCCTCCATTTATCTCCAACTGTTCCCTCATTGAGATCATTTCTCTGATGAAAATAACGCAACTGTACATACCCCTCTTCTGCTGCAGAAACATTGGAAAGGAAGAATTAGTTCTTTCGTTTGATTGTTGATCTGCTCCATGAATGTAGCTGCAACATCTGCATCTACTTCTGAGATAGGAAGTTGGGTCCCAGCTGAAAAGGAAATAATAAATATTTTAAAGGCAGGAAAATATGAAAAATGAAGATTTAAACCCGATAAAATTATTTAATATTATCTATTTTCACATGACGAACATTCTGTGGAATAAGCATGAATTTTCATAGATGCATTTTTTGCTTTTAAATTCAAATACTATCGTACGAAAATCCCATCGTGATGCTTGATTTCTGTCCTATATTTCGCTCATCAACCCACCCTCATCTGGTATAGTGCTCGGAAAGAAGATAGATAAATCTTCCTGAAAAAAATCAATTTAGGATCCTGTTGAGACACTGAGACACTGAAAAGAGGTCTCGAAAAAACCGGCCCAGCCCAGGAACGAAGCAAGGCAGACGGGATTCAGACACCGAAGGAGACAACCGCACGTGGGGGGAGCCTGCAGTACAGGGGGACGTGTGCGGCGGATGGAATTCGGCGGGGAACCGTGGCAGACCCGACAACGATCGAGCTCGGCAAGGCTCAGGTCCCGTCGGACCCGATCGGAGTGAGACGGGAGGCGGTCGCCGACGCCAGAGGACTTCGGCTATAAAGAAGGGCCGAGCGGCCACTGGAAAGAAAGGTTGGAAGAACCTCGTGAAGAACTCCGTGCGGAGTGGAGACTCGCCATCTCGCATCGGCGACCCCAAGACCTGAGAGGTCTTGGTTATTTGTATTCTCCTCTCTCTGTATTCCCGCGTCCCTCGTCGAGGTTTTCTCTCTCCCCTCAGTATCTGGCCTTCCGGCGATAGCCGTCCGGAGTCCTGGTGCTCGAGAGTTCTGTAGGAGACTGGTTTATTCATTAAACCAGTTCGGGTTTTGACGCCTCAACCAAAGGGTCGTCCTCACTCAGGTGTTTCGGGTACGTGATAGTCAAGAGTAAGAGTGAAATCATAAATCGAGCTTCACGATGTACCGGCATCCATTCAAAAGAAAAACGAATGCGGTGGGAAAAAAAAATCATTGATGCTTCTCTGAGTTGTGGATTCTGACTTGGTGTGGGGATGGTGGTGATCTTCCGTCGGACGTGGAGAAGGATGAAGATCTGCCCTCGGGAGATGACATGATCGGCCGCCCATTTCAGCGCGTGCTGGCTGCTCTTATCAGCATCGATTGCGACGGCCACCAGCTGCCGCCCTAGGCCGTCCCTGGCAATCTCTGCCCGCCGTTGCCCTCCGCTCTTCCACATCACTACCCTTCGACCCCACCCCCCCGCCGCTACTACTTTCCTCCCTCTGGGCTCTCGACCTGGTTTCCAGAATTCCAAATGGGAGAGATCATCTCTCCCACCCTCGCTAATCAGAGGGAAATCGGCTGGAGGAGGAGCTGGGGATGAGAGGGATTCTGCTCGAATTAGAGCTTTCGGTTCCGCTCGTTTCCCCAAGACCCGACCGGAGGGGGAGTACCTGCGGTCGTGAATCTCCACCTCCTCTTCAACCAGCGCGGGAGTTTGTACCGTTACGCTGGCGTGGATCTCCCCACGTTCCAAGTTTGGTTTAACTGGGCCGGCCCAAATAAGCCCACAAAGTTAATAGCAGCCCCCCACTGGGATGGGCTTTAACAAAGAGTAGATGGGCCAGATAAAAAAGGTAATAAATGGGCCTTGCCATATGCCCGTCACTTAGTTATTATTTACGTATGTACCGGTTGTGGCCTTACCTTGCTCACTAAAGACGATGGTAGTCATGGTTAAGAAAAAAATTTAATTGTAAAAGGATCTTACGGTTATTGTGAAACTTTCATGGGGACATTACTAAATGTCGGGGGTCGTTATCCTCTGTCACCGAGATGAGAAGCCCACTATCGCGATGGCGTTGTTGGGCTTCCCAGTCGGCCCAAATTGGCATGCGTCTGACAGGTTCTGGAAGGTTCATTCGGGTACTATTGTGACTGCAGATAAAGTTTAATAAAACCAATCGCTTCAAAGAAGACAAATACTGAGAAGACTCAGCGACGCTCTTCTGTCGGAGTACGATTGCAAATGTGTGCCTGTGGAGCACCACAAGGCCGGCCGACGTTAAAAGGCCGTTGCGCTGCCTGCTAGGGCTGCTTGTGTTCGACGGCGAGGTATATCCAGTTCTCTGGTCGGCTGCCGTTCTTCCACCATGGCGACTGTGCAGTTTACGGGCTCTTCCTGCATTGGGGAAAGGAGGATGGCCACAGTTGCCATGTCCCAGTACGAGGGACTTCGCCCTTCTGCTTTCAGAGTCTCCACTTCTCTGGGTCCCTGCGGCGCAGGGCTCCCCCGGGTGTCCTTCCGAAGGCTTGTTGTAAGGAGCGCTACCGTCGTCGCACCAAAGGTACCCATGCTTTCTGGACATTTCAGGTTTCAGCCACTTGTTGTCTTCATTTGTGCGTGAATTTGAAGTAGACTCGTGAGCTGTTTATAGCGTCGTGCTCCTTTCGTGTTTTATTCTTCCTCCAATTCTATACGACAACCATTTGCGCTGCAGTTTATTTTATGTACGTGGATTCAAATTTTCCGGGTCACATTTATTCTTCGGTGAAGTGGAAACCAAGAAGAATTCGAGATAACATCAATCTATTAGAATTTGATGGGTTGCATTGTCCTTTCTATGGCTTTGTTTTGCCCTTGCGAATCGGTCATCCATTGATGCTTTATTTTATCCGTGTCATTTTCTGCGATTTAAGCTTTAATTGGGTGAACTCAATAAATGAGGCCGTCTTTTCTTTGTGATTGCTTATTTTATTACATAATCTATTCTGCTCATCTAAAAGCTTGTATTCATTTATTTCTTGTTTGAAGTATACCTCTGTCAAACCACTCGGTGACAGAGTGCTAGTGAAGATTAAGAGCTCCGAGGAGAAGACAGTAGGAGGCATTCTGCTGCCATCAACGGCTCAGACGAAACCTCAAGGCGGGGAAGTCGTCGCTGTTGGAAGTGGGAAAACTATTGGCCAGAATAAGGTGGAACTCAGTGTTCAGGTGACTCTCAGATCAAAGCCTTCAATGCTTTTCTATGTTTTCAATATCTGTCTCTTATTTCTAAGCACATCCTTTTTGAATTTAGTTTGTGAAATATACTTTACCAACTGGACTCATCAGGATTCCATGTCTAACTTTGTCATCTCTTGTTGTGTATATTAGAAATCTCCTCCGACATTAATGTAGGATGATTTGTGACAGCTCTTTCTCCCTGTGGGTTTGGGATCACCTTTGCATATGATGATTGCTTTATTGATAATGACATTTCACCTTTGAAATCTGATCATGATCGAGCTAACTGAATCCGATGTTCATGGAATGCCTGCGCGTATCTTCTTGACGCCTACTTCTCGTTCTCTAGATGCTAATTTAACTCAAATCCGAGAGGTTTGTGGCAAGCTCTTTTCCTTGTGGAACCGGGATCATCCGAGTATTTGGTGATGACATTCTTATTGAGATTTGTTCAATAAATTCTTTTCAAGTTCTAGCGTTTTAAAAATGGTACTCGGGAATTTTCAATGCTATCCCATTTAATGCCTACATTTACATAGAAGATGTGACGCAGAATTTGTCACTGCAGGACTGGGATCACCTGAGCACATAATGATATATAGTTCGTTATCCAGACCTCCCGTGAAATCATACCAGAGTTGATCTTTTTAAAACTGATACGAAAGAATCGCTCGCATGCATGATTTTTTTTAATGCCTGATCCTGTCTTATCTCTCAAGTCTAATCGTGGATGATGTGAGGCAGAATTTCTCTCTGCGGGACCGGGATCACCTGAGCACGTGATGATTAAAATTTTGATGTTGAGAATTCTTCTATGAAATCTTATCATAATCGAGCTTTTTAAAACTGATGCTCAGTGAACGCCTGTCTGATTTTCCTTGATGTCTGCTTCTGCCTTTTCCGTACTCTCTTTTGGTTTTATCTGGGTGTATAAGAGACAGTTTCCTCCCCTATGGCATTGGGATCACCTGAGCACGTGATGATTCAAATTTCGATGTTGAGAATTCTTCTATGAAATTTTATCATAATCGAGCTTTTTAAAACTGATGCTCAGTAATCTCCTGTCTGATTTGCCTTGATGTCTGCTTCTGCCTTTTCCGTACTCTCATTTGGTTTTATCTGGGTGTATAAGAGACGGAGTTTCCTCCCCCTATGGCATTGGGATCACCTGAGCACGTGATGATTAAAATTTTGATGTTGAGAATTCTTCTATGAAATTTTATCATAATCGAGCTTTTTAAAACTGATGCTCAGTAATCTCCTGTCTGATTCTCCTTGATGTCAGCTTCTGTCATGTCCGTATTCTCCTTTGGGTTTTATCCGGGCGTATGTGAGGCAAAGTTTCCTCCCCTATGACACTGGAATCACCTGAGCACGTGATGATTAATATATTGATGTTGAGAATTCATCTATGGAATTTTATCATAATCGAGCTTTTTAAAACTGACGCTCAGTATCTCCTGTCTGATTCTCCTTGATGTCAGCTTCTGTCATTTCCATATTCTCCTTTGGGTTTTATCCGGGCGTATGTGAGGCAGAGTTCCTCCCCCCTCCTTTGGCACTGAGACCACCAGAGCACGTGCTGATTTAAGTATTGATATTGAACATTCATCTATGAAATCTTTCCAGAATCGAGCTTTTTAAAACTGATGATGCCCAGAAACTTCCTGCCTTTGTTTGGGTTCACCTGAGCACATGACGATTTGCATATTGATACTGAGATTTCGTCGATGAAATCATATCAAAATCGAGCTTTTTAAAACTGATGCTCAGCGAAAATCTCTCCATTGGTTAAAACTGTAGTCTCTCTCCACTGCGTGTTTATTTATCTCGATCAATCTTTATCAGAGTTTCTGATAAATTCCATGTCTCCGGAGTAGGCTGGAGCACAGGTCGTCTACTCAAAGTATGCGGGGACTGATATTGAGCTGAACGGTGCCAGCCACATTATTCTCAAGGAGGAAGATGTTGTGGGTGTGCTCGAAACAGATGACATCAAGGACCTCAAGCCACTCAACGACCGCGTCCTTATCAAGGTTGACTTCTTCTGCTGACCCATGTCGATGTCAAAGACGAGTTCCTTGTGCTTGAATATTTTTTTATTTATTCCTAGAAAATTACTTGGTTTGTCTCGTGAGAACCTCCCTCTCTTGCTGGGTCTGCTCCCGATTTTCCCCTGAAAATGATCACCCCAGGTCGCCCAAGCTGAGGAGAAGACCGCCGGCGGGCTGTTGCTGACCGAGGCATCTAAGGAGAAGCCCTCTATCGGGACTGTAAGTCCCTCATCTGCCTCTTCTTTTTTTTTCTTGCAGTCTGACAGGAGGATGGGTTGACTTGGGCAGATTGTTGCGGTGGGTCCCGGCGCCCTGGACGAGGAGGGCAGCAGGAAGGCGTTGACTGTGAAGCCGGGCAGCACCGTCCTCTACTCCAGGTACGCAGGGAGCGAATTTAAGGGGGCCGATAGTTCCGATTACATCACGCTGAGGGAAAACGATGTAATGGCCATCCTCTCATAGTAGTTTTGTCACTGCTGGTCAAGAACTCCATGGCGATGAAGAAAGAAGAAAGAAGACCTGTACGACGTGTGTGATCAGATTTTTGTAGATCAGTTCTCAATTAAATCGAATTATTTCTCGGTGTCTTGTCTCTGTTTCAGATTTTGCCTTTTCCGTTGACGTTTGAAGGGGATGGGTCAACCCTATATACCCTGTATTCTTTGAGCAGCATAAATTTTGAGAGAGTAGATTGCCGTTCACCTTGGGCAGTCAGTCAACTGGTGTTGGATTCTTGACAGGTGACGAGTCAACTCGCGTCAAATTATGCCTCAGAAAATTTTCTGTTGTCAGGTAGGACGATCTCACCGTCGCGTATGTACATCAAACGGCTCCCAGTCGCTCTCTCCTATAAGAGAGAGAAAATGGGATGCCCGGTCAACGGATCGCCCAAAATCCTCAGTTCTTGCCGCATGGGAGGGGTAGGGCGGGGTGAACTTGTTGGTTAACGGCCAAAGGAGGCTCCCGAGTTGTCGTCGTAATGGCCCTTCCATAGATTGCCGTTGTCGGAGCCGCTGCAGGCCGGGTTATCCACGGGCGCGTTGACCAGGTTGTCCAAACTCATCTGCTGCACCTCGGCGGCGGACAGTATCTTGATGCTCTGCACACAGCTCACGAATTCCCTGAAAAGGGGACGGATACATAGAACCGGGAGGACGGGGATCAGCTCCCATTTATGGCAAATCATTGAAAAGGCGGCGCCGTTGACTTACTCCCAGGGGTCGTCTCCCACGAGGAGGATGTCGTTCTCGTGGTCCACGTACACCAGCTTCCAGTCCGTCCGGTGGGGATCCTCCAGCTGGCCCTCGATCCCGAACATGGCGGCGAGGTCGCGGCGGAGCTCGCCGTACCCCTTGTACCGGGTGACGTCGATGCACCTCCCCACGGAGCCCCGTTTTTGGACCTTCGAGCAAGAAGAAGAAGAAGTCAGAGGGCCTGTAAACTCCTCAAAACAGGAGCGAGAAGTCTGGCGAGGTCAAACCTTGGTGTACGTCCGCATCCGATGCTGCTGCCCCGGCCACGGTCCTCGATTCAACGCCCCGTTCTCGTTCGCTGGGCCGGCGGCGGCGGCGACGGCGGCAGCCTCTCCGGAGGAGCTCGCTCTAAAGGAGATTCCGGGCACGCCGAACGACTGGGAGCTGATCTCTGGTTCCGGGTCCCTCTGGCTGCCGCCGTAGCCAGCCATCAATAGGCCCTGAAGGTCTCTGCCGGAGCTGAAGCCCTTGAGGAGGAGGGCGTCAGGCGACAGGCCAACGTTAGCGATGTCGCTGTCCAAGCAGAGCGGCGGGAGGGAGAAACTCTCCTGGGCAGCGCCGCCGTCCAGGCAGAAAGAGGTGGCCGAGGAGGAGGCGTCCAGGTGGTCGGTCGTGCCGTGGCGGTAGCCGGTGGGATGCTCCGCCTCCCTCGCGCTGTGGGCTTCGTTCTTGATGCAGGGATCCGGCCGGCACCGGAGCTCGTGGAGCAGATTCCCTGCCGGTGGCTCCGCCGGCGGCATGAGAGGCGGCCCCGGCTGGGCCTTGGAGGAGGGCAGCCCCAATGGCGCTTCAATCTGGGGCTTGAAATATTGCTGATGTTTCGGGGACGTCGGAGAGAGCAGCATGCCGCTGGGCTTCTCCTGCAGCGGCGGCGGCGGCGGTGGTGGCGGCGGCGGGGGATGAGTGAGTTGACCCTGGAGTGGCCCCGACGACTGCGGGAGCTGGGGCTGCAGATGTGGGCTGAGCTGCGAGAGCACCTGTTGCTGCTGTTGCAGCTTCTGCAGCAGCTGCAGCTGAAACTGCGGTTGGGTCAACTGTATCTGCTGCACCAGCTGCTGCTGCTGCACTAGCAGCCGCTGCTGCTCCAGCTGCTGCTGGAGCTGCACGGCCGGCGTCTGGGGTGGGTTCTGGTTCAGAAGATACGCGTTCTGATGGGCCTGGGCGTTAGGGTTTGGGAGAGCCTGTAGGAGGAGCTGGTTAGAAACCTGCTGTTGCTGCTGGTTCTGCCCCATGGCCTGCCCGCCGCCGAGCGTCTGCGCCTGCACCATCTGCTGCTGCTGATGATCCAGAAGAACCACGCCACTCCCCACCTGCCTCGTTTGACTCTGCTGTTGCTGCTGCTGCTGCTGCTGGATGTGAAGAGGTGGCATCATCATCATCATCTGTTGCTGCGGCGGTGGCGGACGAGCCATCACCAGTGGCTGCAGCAACTGCTGCTGCTGCTGCTGCTGAGGAAGCTGAAGGGCCTGCTGAGGGGGGGGTCTGAGAGGAGGCGGCTGCGGGTTGGGGAGGGCGGAGCCTTGGGGCTGGAAATTCAGCAACCTGGAAGGGTCATCCCCGCTGGCGGCGCCGCCTTGGAAGGCGCCCGACGAGACCAGGGCCTGGAAGAGCCCCGCCTGGGACGCGGCCGATGCCATGCTCTGGGGCCCCTGCTGCATGCTCATCCACTGCATCAGGTTCAGCCCCGCCAAGATCGGCCCCTGCCCCTCCTCCCCCAGCCACCCTCCCCCCCGCTTGAACCCATTCTCCACTTCACCTTCCTCATCTGGCAACAACACCAAAGGGAGAAAATCATCCACAGAACTCAAAACCCTCCGCATTTCCAACACGCAGAGCAGAGATTATCTTTACCGAGAATCCCCGGCAGCCGCGGAAGCTTGGGCCGGAAGAAGGGAGAGCAGAGGTAGAAGGGGGTGGCGACGGGCTCAATCTCCCACACCGAGACCCGGCTCCTCCGCTCGCCGGTCGCCGACTCGTCCCAGCCAACCTGCGCATTGCGAAGAACTGTAAGAAGCCAACAGATAAAGCAAATAAATTTACTTTTTTTTTTCGAAAAACCCAGAATTAAAAATGGAAGCGGATTGACCTGGAGGTTCCGCCACTGAGAATTCCGCCAGCGGTCGGGATCCAGATCGCTGATGCCGGTGATCGTTCCCATGTACCTGCGGATCCCCGACTCCTCGGTCTCGAACATCATCCTGAACCGCATCCCCACAGAGACCTGGGTGTACACCGCCTTGTAGTACTTGGCCAGGGGGATGACGAACTCTGATCGCGTTGCCCTGCCAAGCCAGGAGCCATGGAGATTCTCTGTAAGTGCAGCAGAGCAAAAGATAACGGGAGGCAGCCCCAGGGTTGAGGGGGGGAGCATGCGGCACCTGGGGTTGTAGAAGATCGTGAAGGGGCTGTTGTTGGCGGCGGCATGGGCGGCGGCCGCCAGGATTCCGATGTGCATGCTGTCACTGGACAAGACCGAGGAGGAGAGAGATGGCGGCTGCCTGACTGCGCGCCTCACGCCAAGTAGCAGCTGCGATTTCTCATCTCTGCAGAGAAAAAAAAGAAGATAAGTGAACAAATAAATGGATTGGCAATGTGGAGGCAGAGCAGAGGATGCGTTGACCTCACAAATAGGACAGAGTCGCCGGCGAGGAGTCTCTTGGTGCCGACGAACACACTCCAGCCCGTGGTCAGCAGATGTCTCTTGGGTTGACCTACAATTCAGTCAAACACCCATCACTCACCCACTCTGGAAATAATTTCCTCTCCCTTCCAAACCCTGATTTTATTTTATTTTTGAGAAAAAAATCAGATGAACACCTCGATAAATGTGTCTAAATGTCCACGAAGCATCATGCAGGTCCTTTGCAGACAGTTCCTGTGCGGGAGGCTGCATCGAGAAATCCTACAGAACATCCGATTCCAATCAGCAGCGGCATTTGGGTACTCGGAATTCTAGTCAATGGGGTCTCCTTACCAATGGAGGGAATATCTTCTCCGCCGCGCGGCGGGGCACGGAGAACCCGCCATGGGTGCTGGTGTCGCTGGCAGTGAGCGTCTTGCAGAAGAACTCGGACGGCTGCCTGTTCTGCTTCAGACCCAGATCTGAGGCCAGAAATGCCTCTCGATCGCACTGGATGAAGGAATCAAGCAGCCAGATGAGTCGAACACGCAGGAGATTGCCTAAGAATAGAAACCCTGGTATCAACGTAGCTGCTGACCTACTTTAGACACAGGCTGCAGCGTCATCTCCGCATAAACCTCGTCTGTTTCGGGGTCGGCCTGAGGAAGAACACGCAGAAGAGTGAGGAAAAGAAGAACCCACCTGGTCAGCCAGAGGGCGTATTCTGCGGAGAGAAAGTCGGGAACTTCGCATACGTGTAGGGTCACATTGTGCAGCAGGCAGATCAACTTAGATGGCAGAGACGGATAGCTGGGGATGCTGTCGGTGTCCTTCTGCATAGAAGCAGCTACCTGGTACAGAACGAAAGAGCCCAAGATAAGCTTATTGATAAACTATGGGAGAGAAAGAGAGAGAGAGAGAGGGAGAGAGAGGGGGGGAGGAAGGGTAGGCGGATTAGGGTTTCTAATATCAGATACCTGTTCGCTGTGACCTTGTGGGAAGTAGACCACAAGGCTGCCCACCGGAGGGATTGAGACCAGAGGCCCAGCGCAGGCATGCCATAGCTCCGAATTGATGTTCTTCCTCTCCGCCTCTTTCGATTTTAAAAAAAAACGCAATTAGAGGAACACAAGCACGAAGTGATGATCCATTCGAGGTGAGGTCAACCCAATTCGTGAAACTGTGCCATTGATGATAGCATGAAACCGAGAGGCAGCAACGCAGGTCAACCGAATTTAGGCTTGTGATGATGCTATCGAGGAAGACAATCTACAACAACAGCATGACTCACGTAAGATCACAGCCAGAACTCCTTTTTTTTTTTTTTTTCTTCCCAAGAGCTCCTCGCTACGACCAGCCTACAGGCGGGCAACCTCCCCTTCCGGCGACAATAGATCCGTCGTCGAGGTCTCTGTTGGCCCATGAGAGAGAACCAACCCCAGGGGGGGATGACCTTCCTAGCCATAGACATTTTAGAGAGCCCTTCCTTTCTAGCCTGGCGGTAAGTACCGAGGAGGGTACCCTTGGAACACGAAGGGATTGGCGCGGGAATCCTCATCCCACGGCAGGAGATCTACGGAGGCCGCCGCCGAACGCGGCAAGTTAGAAATGGCAGGAGATCACCGCCTCTGCTCCCCTCATTAGGCAGGTTTTTTCCGCACTCGCAAAGCAAGAACGACATCGTAGCCAGTGAATCGTCCACAGATTGAAGGGAAAAACACGCGATGGAGCGGAAGAAAGGAGACACGGCGGTCCAGAAACGAAGAAAGCCCATGGGAATACCTTCTGTTGGGTTCGCTGAGAACCCGGTCGATGGAGCCTTCATTCTGATGCGGCCGCCGGGGGAGGAAGAAGAAGGTGATCCCACCAGCACCCGCCCCACCAAGTTCCCTCCCCCCCCCTCCTCCCCCACTGCGGGAGAACAATAGGGGCAATAGCTGTCCCCTCTGGCGACTTACCACAAGCAGCTTGTGCGCGCTCCCATGTCAACCAGCCTTCCCTTCTCCATTCCCTCTCCCCCTTCGGAGATCCTCCTCCCTTTGAACCAACCTCCTGGGCGACCCCGCTCCGCCGTTGCCGCGGCACTACAACCCAAAAATGGCCCTCATTCCGGCACCATATTACCCGAATACCCCTCCATATTACGTCGTCGTCCTCTTCCTCTTCCTCGCCTCCCTGCTCTGGTGTGGGATCTCAGTCTGGTACCCACCAATCTGGCCTCCGGCGGCGGACGCTGATTCCGCCGGCTTCTTCCTCTCGCTCACCACCTGAGAGCGTGACCCACGACCGCTCTCGCCCACTGTCCTAGTCGCTTTCCTCCAACTGGGCGACCTTCTCTGCAGTGAAGGGCATGGGCCCCAGACGGTCTAATCTCGTGGAGACTGTGCTCTCTCCGCGGCAGAGGAATTCTCCATGGAAGACTGCTCTCTCTCTCTCTCTTTCTCTCCTGCTTATTCACACACACGACGGAGAAAGCTGTCCGCCGGCTCAGGGGACGGCGGCGGGCTAGGAAGCGAGAGTGGAGCTACAGTGGGAAGAAGACGACGAAGAAGAAGGCGGCGCCTTTCCCCACTACCCACCATTTTTACCCAAATCGCGCCGCCGTCTACTTAACTTCTCCGCGATACTCCTCGCATTTCCTCTGGACCAACGCCGCCGCCCCCAGGCCCTGGCCCCTTCGGGCAACGGTCTAGCAGGGACGGCTAGCCGCATACTCCACTCCCCTCCCCCCCCCGCGCCGCCGCCGACATCATTAAATAGAAACCCGCCGACTAATCCTCCTCGGAGAGGTTAACACCGACGGCCACATCTTAAGCTGCAACAATGCACGTCGTCTGGTGCGCTGATTGTGCCGTTGATCTATGATTAGTGGGTAGCGAGCACGAGCATGTGATTAATTAATTATCGGAATCGGGTTTAAGAAAAATACGCCGGGGAATCTCAGTGATGGAATCCGGGCCGCCGCCCCATTGGTGAACGCCGCCAGTACGCTGCCGGTCCGACGGGTCCATCTCTGCCACGAGTCAGAGGCGGACACATGCCATGCATGGCGCGGAGACTGGGTCCGCCGATCAGATGGTCCTCGTTCGAAATAAATGGCGTGCCGTAAAGCGCCAGCGGGAGGGGGGGCTCGATCAATCCGACGGCGTGTATCATTTTCGGACAGGGAACGCCTTTACGTTCTTCGAGCACGTGGTCCGCGTACTGGGGACCGCTGGCTGAAAAACGGTAACTTCCGGGGGAGTGGCAGTTCCGTAGATAAAGTCCGTATAAAGGCTTATTTTTTTTCATGGTCCACTTCCCGAGTAACGTGGCATGGACGGCTAGATTGGGTGGCGTGATCCTGAAAAGTGGAAGGTTGTGGTCTGCTGCGCCGCGTGCGATAAACTCCGCACGAGAAGCCTTTCGTTATAGATCGGACAGATATATCCGTCAGCCGGTTGGTTGAATAGGCCACGAGATGGAGGGCCCTGATTCAATCCGGTACAGGAGAGACAAAGAGGAGCCGTCGTGGAAGAATTGGGGCACCTGTCGAGACATATATCGCGCGCATACGGGTCTGAATTTGTAATGATTATGATCGTGGTGGGCCAGTAAGGATTTAATGCTCGTGTGTCTTGCTTCAGACAGGGTCTGGCGTGATAGTACGTCGAGGGACCTTTCTGGGCCCCACGATGGCCCACCGGATGGACGCTCGATGTTTGATCCGACGGTCAGTGGACATGCAATGAAGGGTCACCAAGTCTCTTTGACTAGTCAATGGCAAGGGCCAACCTTTTTCCCTCCCTCCCGATGTCGACACTTCGTCGGCCCCAACTTGGCGGGCCTCCTGGCGAGGTAAGTGGGGCCCATCTTTGATGGGCTGCGTTCTCCCCCGCTGGGCCCGCGCCGCCGGGGGTAACTACCTTCTGGGCCCGCCGCCGTTTACCCCCAGCGCCTGCCCGACAGCGACGTCGCCGGGGTAAACCGTTACGTTGACCACCGAAGAGCCAAGAACAAACACCGAGTCGACCCCATCCGGCACATAGTTAACAACCCAGCGAGTGTGTGACTTCGGTTATGCCTGCCGAGTTCACTCGTGATTTTCCCCTCGGGAGCGGCGGATCGGCGGGACGACTCGTCCATAACCCGGGCTCCTGGTCATCTGGGCTGGAAGTTAGTGTGGGGGTTAGGGGGACGTGGCCCGCCGCAATAACCCGAAACGCGGGGAAATCCGAGAAAGTCTGCCGCAAGATCCGACGGCCGCCCGGCGGAGGTGGGCGGCGCAACTGCCGCCTACAGCTGTCCTGAGGCGACCAGGTTCTGCCACGGCGAAACTGCCCGTCGGCGCCGAGCCCTGGTGGTCAACGGCGCGACACGTCGCACGAAAATCATTGCCGGCTGTCCACGTCATATCTCTCATCTAATCGGCGCCGGCTGGCGGCGATGTTGCCGCTGGGAAGTCCATTGGTTCAGGTGTTTGGGCCCACTGGGCCCCTGCCGCGCTGGCCGCGCCAAATAGCTCGAGAATGGACTTTACTCCTTTTTATCCTCATTTTATCCAAATTAATAAATAAATAAAACCCCAGGTGAGGATTATTTATTCCTCTATTCTTCGTTCGGTCGCCGGCGGTCACTCACCTGATCACCAAATGCATCTGCGTTATGAGGTATCCGCACGAATGTCAACGGAGCCCGTCGGAAAAAGAAAATTGCATACGTGACCTTTGATCAAGCTCGCGCACGTGTTGAACACGTGGTCTCGAAGTGAAGCGCCCGAGAGAGAGACCTAGAGAGAGATATAACGCGTTGGCACTTTTGGCCTCGATTTGGGCCCGTTTCGTACAGTACAGGGCCGCCCGGTTGAAAGAATTTGGCCCATTAGGAACGTGTCTTCGGACGCAGCGCCAGGTGCGCACTGCGACGTACGCAAATAGCTACGTACGTATAGCGGGCCTGGGCTTTTGGTCCTCAGCAGCCCAATTAGAATGGGCCTAGTTACCGTTCAGGTGGTTTCTTTGCCTTGCCGCCACCCACGGCTTCGAAGTGGAAACCCACCCGTCTGCTAGGGTTTAAGCAGCCCCGGCTCCCCACCTTCGCGTTAGGGCGTGGGATCGTCCTGCGTGGTTGTAGAAGATGGATGGCCCGGAGATGGAAACTTCTCCCAGTTACTTCGACGCGAAGGATCTGAGTGAGAGGGAGCAGTACCGTCGTTACAGGTTGGGGCACCGGCTGCAATCCCTCTTTCCACATTTTCATTTTCAGGTCTGGGTGATTGTGATGGGGATGCGATTGGGAGTTTCTCGCTTCCGTCCCTGCATTTAGAGATCCATCTGTGGGTTGATTCGACCACAACGGCGAAAAATGGTAGCATCAGCCGGGTCGTGTTCTACGTTATAGTTGCCTTTGGTCCGTCGACCTGTAGTTTCGCCGGGCATAATTGGATATATCGCCCTTTGTTATAGTGAGTCGTAGAATTTTCACTCTTAGGCTTGAAGTGGCATTGCTTGTTTGCTTACTGTGCCCAGGAAGAGGCTCTCGTCTTCACCCTCTCCGCTACTCCACCTTAACTCTGGTTCGAAATTCGCCCAAGCCCGGCTTCTCTATGACGACAACAGCATTCAAAGGCGACCCAATGCTGCGCTTCTTCTTGAAGAAATCAAGCAAGAGGTTGACAGTTATGAGGCCGAAGGCTTTGAAGGAGAATTTAGAATGCCAATTTCGTCAAAGAGAAGAGCTTCCATCGATGCTCATTCATCCCCCAGGCTGAACCTAGGTTCTGAAGCGACACATCACCATGCTGGCCCACCGCTGACATCCATCAAGCAAGAAGATGAAGTCTCAGTTGATGCTGGGGAGGAGGCAACATTCACTATGTTTGCTTCCCTCCTTGATTCTGCACTTCAAGGTTGGAAAAATCATTGACTGCATAAATTTTTCCCTGCACTTCAAGGAGCCATGAAACTGTGAACTATGACAGGAACATGCTGCTTGTACATCAAACATTCTGATATGCCACTTGTGTAAACATGAATATCATAATTTACTGGGAAATTCAGCTTCGAACTTCCAATCCTTAATTGTCTGCGCAAGGCTTATGATTTTAATAGCATTGTTTCGGTTTATCAGACTCTGATATAAGTGATCGCCACATCACTGGAAAACTGGAGATATTTGGTAAGTGCTTGTAAGTGTGCGTTTTGTTTTGTAAACATGTTTCTGGAGTGGTGGCCGTATGCTGTTTGGGTTAAATTTAAATAACTTTTTAGAATGCTCTCTGAGCTTGAGGATGATTGTTTCTCTTTGTGTCTCAAGGACGGCTAATTTTAAATTGCTCCATAGGGCTTCTTTTAAAGGTGACAAGGGTGACAATGCATGCGACATATATACATATATACATATAATAAATCAGATTCGAAATGAGTTGTTTGTACTCACGAAACAGAATAAACGAACCTTGAAAGGGGTTCTAGATATCGTTGCTCATAATTTGGGTTCATCACAAGTTGCAACTGGAAGATGTTTAAAAATAGGAATATTTGGTTCTTGTATTTTAATTTGAATAAGAACCGTGCTTTCCTTATTCTTCAATATTGATGATAAAAAATTAACACGTTCAAATGATCAGATATTTTGTTCCTCATTCTTGTTTCTTTTCTGTTGCAGGATTACTTCCATTTGCTGATCTGATCTTGCGGTTCAAGAACACATGTCGAGATGTCTTTGAATCAATTAGGTTGGTTATGCTTTACTTAAGTCGGAGTGATTCTTCTCTTTATGCATACTGTTCCAAAGATTCATCTGCAGTTGTACCCGCAGCAGTTCTGTAGTTGTTGGTTCTTTTTACAAACAGCATAAATGACTTTTATCACCAGCAGTTTTCATGTACCTTGGGACTGTTCCATTTGGTTCTCTTTTATGACTTATATAAATCACACACTAGATGCACGCTGGATCATTCCTCTTTCCCGTGGTTGGGACGACGATAATCTTTTTGCATATTTTCGTAAGTTTCTTTCGTATCTTCCCATGCTTAACCGACTTTAACTGATTTTTAATGAAGTGATGAAAATTCCCTATATGTTAACTGAACGAACAATATACACAAACTTTAAAAGGCAATTTAGCCATTGTTTGGTAGTTTCTGGACAATGAACAATTCAATCACTGTTCACTGTCTTCTCCTAAACCAACAAAACCTGCCCTGTGCTGATTATTCTTTCAATTGGACATAGTGTGGGTAAATAAATTACAGTTATAAAACAGGAAAACAGTGAAAATTATAGATAAGCCTACATTTATTCTACAACTAATCTTCCAATTGGACAGGTTGTGTGTTTGCCTGTTACGATAACAATTCTATTCCCATGCACGGGCAAGCTCTTTGCCTGGTTTGATCAGGAAGATATTGTCTCCTCGGTCTCCAAGCCAGGGAAATGATGGTACACTGTAAATAATAACTATTTAATGTCACAGTACCTCTTTGATTCTGGGATAGAAAATCTACCTCTTTCTATTATTTTTCTAAATTGTCCTAAGTTTATGAAGAGAACCATACATATCAGCGCGTGCTATTTATGATTCTTCTAATTTCTGATTTTATTTCAGATATGGAGGTATTGGGAGACATCGAGTTGTGGAGGATAAGTTAATGCGACAAAAAGCTAGGCTCCTACTCGATGAGGCAGCTTCTTGGTCACTTCTTTGGTATCTCTTTGGGAAAGGAAATCAATCTCTAACCACTTAGTATAAAAGTTCCATCGATTCTGTACAAAGTGTGATTGAAATGTATCTTTAATTAGCCGTGCTTGAACACCATTTTGTCCTTATCTTAATTTACATTGCGGTGCCAAATTTCCCGTATGGCTGATAATCTGGTAAAAGTACAATCATCATAGGACAGGGCAAAAAGCTGTTTCAAAATGTTCCTAATTATTTCTTTTTTAACCTCGCCTGTTGGAATTTTTTATTTTTATCTGCACTGGATGGAAGGAAATTCCAGGCAGGCCGTTGGACATTCTGCTCCATGATGCAGTTCATCTCATTTTCTCCTCTTGTGTTTATATCCCACTTGTTTTTCTGGAAGGTGGGATTAGCTACAGTTCAAGTTCCCACAGAGTTGCCAGGTGCAAATGACATTGGTAGATCACGGTCGTTATTTGAATGGGTTATTTTCTAGATTGGTGATGCTGGAGAGGATGTTTGGAGTTGCAACCGAGTTTCTAGTTCAGAGCTCCTTCCGTTGGCATTCAGTTTTTGGTATTAAATTTTGTGGCAAAAAAATGTGGATCTGAAGCTCCTGTGTACTGACTTAGGATTAGGTGTGTAAAAATGTGGATCAGGTGTCTAAAAACCTTCATTAATTTTTGTTAATCTGGCTGTATCTGTGGAGGAAAAGAGATGGTTTTGAGGTTTTCTTGGAGCTCGAGGTGTTTTGGCTGAGGCTGATGAGGCCTGTAACATTGACTTGACACTGTCTGAATTATGGAGTTGCACATCTGAAGTAAGGCAGATATCCGATTTTTACTGATGTAGAAACAGGCACTAGTGTTTAGTATCATGCGCCTGTTTAGTTGACGCCTATGTTTCATGATTTGGTCTTGTCAAGAAAAAATCGCTGATCACTCGGGTAGTGATTATTAATAGAAGACGGAAGGCAAACAGGAAACCCTGTTGAATATTTGTTAACCTGGAGGAGATACGTGATCAAGTCAAATAGGGTTGAACTGCAGAGGCATTGAGGATTTATAATGGAGGTGCCATGAATGTAGATAGGGCTGCTCAGGTTCCCTACTGATCAATTTCATCTTTTTCATAAGTTATGATCATACAAGATTCAGTACCTCTTGAGGCTACACGAGCTGGTGCTGTTGTGATGGTTTCATATGTCTTCTAGCTCATTGAGGGTATTTTTGTTTTTCTGGTACTTGAGATGCATAGAGGCACGAGTAATGGAGAGTATAGGCGAGCTCTGCCAACTTTGTGTTATTTTGGCTTCTCCTACTCCGGTGATGACATCAGTTTCAAAGTTGGAGATCGAGGGAGAAGAGGAAGAGAAAGTTCAGATTAATTGGTTACTAGCTACAAGGGTAGATGGATATTTTGGCTTAGTCCACTGTGTTGATGCATTCAAATAGATGTGTGGTTCTCTGTTATCATTCGAGATTCTGTTTAAGGAAGGTGGTTTTACACATCATTAATGTATATAGGATAGTGGTGAACATATGAGAATGAAAGGTGTAAAAAATAAATGAGATAGTGTATGAAGATTATATTTAACTGTGTGTTCTTGGCAAAATATTCAAAACATTTTGTGAGATACTAACGCCAAGTTGGAGTATAAATGTAATATTTTTAAAAAGAGGAGCTTTGGGATAGAATATCAGCAGATCTGGTGGAACTTGTCGTGAGGAATAAGAAAAAAAGAATATTTCAGAACGAATGTGGGGATACTACACTGGATAGCCGGTCGAGATACATATTACCATTCATGTCCCATAAATATGCTTCATAAAGCAAATAATTCTAAATAATTTTTGGGAGAATAGATAATATGTAGGGATAGGAAACACGGTGCTTTTGGAAAGGGCAAACCTACAGGATAGGCTAGGAGAAGATCTGGAGAGTTTGTTCCGGGGAGGAAAATTACGAATTGTCCACTCTGTAGAGATTGTTTTTTTTAGGAGAAAAAATGCACTGAGATCTTCTGTTGGGTAAAAATCAATATTATTTCTTGAATGTGACAGCTACGTTATTGTGTTAGCCACTCCTACTTTTCCATTCTAAGAATCTTGGTGATCTGTTGCTGTGCTAAAAATCCCAACTAGACACTGGTCTAAGTGGAATGACTATCACTGCCTAGTTTTGGGCCAATGTGTGCGGTAGGCATTTATACTCTAAGAATCTAAAGGAGGCCTGCTCTTCACTATCTTTTTGCTTGTTGGATTGGATAGAGAAACTTGTTCGTTGGTGGTTGCAATAAATATATTTTATTTTTGTTAATGGCCTAGAAGAGCTTCTTTAATTTTGCCAAAATTTATATGCAACGGACAAAGTGCTTGGAATTGTACTTCATCAAGTTTTTGAGGACGTAAAAGTTACTGGTTAAATGTTTTATGCTTAAAAAAATAAATTATATTTCCTCTTATTGTGGTTTGCCTTTCAGATTTTTTAGTGTCATATGCTAGGTCGGTTGCTTTAGTTGACATGTTTTCAGTGGGAAAATTGTACTTTACTTGTGTAGTCTATTCTTATTATTATTTCAATAGTTATGCTTTAGATGTTGAAAGAACTTATTTACTGTTCTGCAGGGAACGAGGAACCATCTGAGGATTTGATTCTGGTAACTTTTGATGATCGTCTTGTAACTTCTTTGTATATATCTTGAGTGGTTTTTAATGGTCTCTTGATCTAATTGTTCTGTGTTTCGATCTTTTCATTATGATTTAATTTACCAGTCTCCTGCTACTTCCCATCAAGAAGCTTGCCAATTTGTAGCAAACGACATTACAGCACAGCTTTGTCTTCGAATTGTTCAGTGGTTAGAAGGATTAGCTTCAGACGCTCTTGATTTGGACAAGAAGGTATTGACGAATTCTCATGGACATTTTCTTGTATGATGCAAAGTATCAAGAATTCTTTCTTCTCCTTTAGTCAAGTATCACCTGTGTGAAGAATAAAAACCAAATTTTAGTTGGGTCTCATTGTAAATCTGTTACTGGCTGGATCATATGTACTGGTTTCAGTTTTTTTTTTCCATTCATTTATTTAAACATACATTATAAATGTTTCTGTATCCAGGACAGACTAGACTGCTCTCTATGTTAGAAATGTCTCTTTATATAAACTTAAAAGCTCCCTTTTTTACTACTTTTGGAATGCCTCTAAAAAACGTTCTCCAGTTGCCAATCGTTGGAATAAAAAAACTGCTTCTTAGAGCATTTAATTTGTCAAAATCTTGGAAAACCGGCAGCATCTTATACTTTTCAAACTTCTGTTTAACGTGTTTCACATGTTGCTGATTTAGAATGAAATTAGGCAGTATCATATGCCCTTCTATCTTGGTGTATGTTCAATTGACTAAGATTATTGATAAATTGTTGTCTTAAATATAACAGTTCAAGCATTAGCTGGTTCCCATTTCACCGTCCTTCCATGAGAATTTCCCCTGAATTGTACATGCGCCATGGGAGTCCTTATTCAACATTTACCAAAATTCAGGACATTGGCATTTTTTTCCTGCGTTCTAGAATTTTTTTTTAACTTTGTAGTTTTTAGGACCGAGTTTCGGTTTTTCTTCATGTAACAGGGCGTTTAGGATGTTTTTATCAATAATTTCAGATAGGAATTAAAGAAAATTTAAAAACTTGCAATAGTTTATTAGTTTTTAAATTTGTCTGATTTTAGAAACATTTTTGCACAAATAACAAACTTTTATCTGCACTATTTAATTTCCAATGTATGCCTCCATCACAGGTAAAAGGATCTCACATTGGTTCTTATCTTCCAAGCTCTGGCATTTGGCATCACACGCAGAGGTACTTGAGGCGAAAGAATGATGACCCAGCCATAATCCAGCACCTGGATTTTGATGCTCCTACACGTGAAGCTGGACAACTACTCTTGGATGATAGAGTATGTTCTTTATTTTATTTATCATATCACATTATTATTTAGATCCTCTTGTTACTTCCTGTCTTCTGTCTGGCATCATTGAGAAAAGTGTTACGAGCAAGAGCACTCCTGCGGCCTATAGGATGAGATGAAGAAAAGAGAAGAGGAAAGGCAATCAGGGTCATGAACGCATGCTTTTGCATGCTTCATTCATGACTCCTTGAATTCCGCTATTTTGAATGAATTACGTGATATGAGAGAGGAGGCACTTCTTTATTTACTTCAAGGGGATGGGGAGGCATACCCCAATGTTAATGTCACATGGATTCTGGAGAACATTCCGTCGTTGAGTTGAATGACTAAAAACAGAGTGTCGTTTTACCGCCTGGAAAAATAGTCTCCAAGTTCAATGGAAAGAAAAGGAGGGAGTGAGCCATCTATATGAGAACGAAATGTTATCTCAATGTCAGTAAAAACATGGGGGGAAAGCAAACAGATCTGTGTTATTAAATGTAGAAAAAAGAAGAAAGAAGAAAGAAAGGATCACAATAGCCAAAAAGAAAAAAGAAGAAGAAAGAAAGACGCATAGAAGTTGTGTTATCTGGGAAAAAGTGACGTTGAAATATCGTGAAATTATAGTGGCTTATTCACATCTGTCTTCAAAATCTGTCTCGCTTATGTGATTGCAGGTGTTGGTAGGTGATTTTCGGGAGGAGAAATCTATTACAAAAGAATCATGAACAGTGGTCCTCGTTAGAAATAGTCATGATTTAGGGGAAAAAAACAGAGATGGGGTATGAGTGGAGATAAGAAATGGAACTAGAGCATCGGTAAATGGAAAGAAGGGGAGTGAGAGTCCTTGCAGGTGATAGATTTCTGAGAAGTTGAATTTCTGAGTTAAGTAACTTCTGTGGTTTTGTAGGAAGGCTCGATAAATGATATAAATGTTAGTCCAGGGGAGTGAATCAAAATGGCTGCTGGATCCTTAGAAAAAAAGAATAAAGGAATTTGATGGCCCTGGAAGCGCTCAGGAGCTTGATGAGTGTTTGGAAAGAGAAGATTTCTCATTCACGCTTCCGAGGCCTGTGGGCCGATAGGTGCTTTTACAGAACTGGTTATGGAGGGGGTAACGGAAGAAAATAACCAAGTCATGCAATTTTGGTGCTCGTTTAGTCATGTGAAATGCAGTTTCAACTACATGACGATCTATCAGAGTAATTAATAATGAGAATTTGAACAGGTTCGGCCTCATCTGACATCCCTACAAGGGGAAGTCATTTGATATCCTGAGCAAATAGGACATCTAATCTGTAGAGATATTGGGGCTTCTGATTGCTTTATCATAAATGATGAGGGAGGCCTGGAAGTCAGTGAATAATTCAGCAAAGGAGTGTCTACATCAAGAATTTGCCAGTTGTGGGAGGAAGATTACTGCCTCCATTCTTGGTTCTGGCTTGTAGTGGAGATCTTGCTCAGTCGGGGATCAAGAGAAAATTGTGATGGAAAGGTCACGTCATCTCATGTCCTCACCTCTGGGTCCCTTATTGATTCTATTACAAAAGGGAAAGTCTGCGTATGACTTCTATAAGAATCCGCACTACTTGATGACAATTTCTGCTGACATCGAAACAAAAATAAAGTTCACATGACTTTTCAATGGGTTACAGTTCATTTGTAAATTCGTAGGATGAGGTCCATCTACAATTGGTGAGATGAGGCCCATTTTGATGTATGAAACCTATTTGTAAATTCTCAGGATGTGGTTCTTTGGGAATTCACGAGGCGAAGCCTATTTGAGATCTTTTAGTATTGATGGATCACCAATACTCTTAGAGGTTCTGGCTCTACTCTTAGAGGCGAATCCTCTTTTTCTTGATGGATCACATTTCCCCAATGACCATTTTCCTCTAAAATACTACACAAGGTGGTGTCCCTTGATGACTAATTCGTCCACGTTGTGGATGTTGTGCTAATATTTCGGTAGAATGGTCGTCCTAAGGTTCTGGTCATTTCTCGAAAACTTCAACTCTGTTAGGCATGATTATGTTGGTGGGGTTACTTCTTTAGTATCCTTGGTTGGTAGGTGGATGCCGGTGGGTTTTTGACCAGTGGATGGCTGCTGTTGGGCTCTGTGCCTTGCCCTCCACCAATGGCGTTGCCATAGTTGGTGGCGATGCAATTCTTCACCACTGGTTTCTTTCCTCCATTTCCCGGTTCTTCTTTTTATAATGAAGTATTGTTGGATTTCCCTATCAAGAGAAGGACATGGGGGTTCAAAGATCTTTTCATAAATGATCTGGATAGTTTTTCAAGAAAGCTTGCACTAGGAGCATGGATCTATTTTTCATTGAGAGTGTTTATTACTTTTTGAGTATTAGTGAGAAAGAAAATGGATAGAATATGTATCTTCTCAATTTTTGTAGAGTCTATCCATTATATCCTTCTATATTCTCCTTAAAGTTGTCTTTGTCACAATTCGAAATATATTTGTTCAATCTATTTCTGATGAATCTTTCCTTTGTTTTTTTCGTTTTCTGTGATCTGTGTTGATGTTACCTCTAGATACTTCGTTTAGATGAACATTTAGTATTTTACTTTCCAACACCATAGTGTATCTGCTTATCGACCTTCTATTGGAGTTACTTTCTTCGAGCGCCTGATCCATGCTCTGTAATATAGATAGATATATATTTTCTGATTCTGCCTTCCCACCAGAAACAAGAGGAATCTCTCCTAGAGGATGTGTGGATTTTGCTGAGGGCTGGAAGGCTGGAAGAGGCATGTGATCTCTGCCGCTCTGCTGGGCAGGTAACTACTCAAAATACAGGTCTTTAAGTCCGAAGCTATTTAAAATTTTATTTTATAATTTCCAGTCTCCACTGTAGTCTTGGCGTGCTGCAACTCTATGCCCTTTTGGTGGATTAGAGCAATTTCCTTCAGTTGAAGCTGTGGAGAAGAATGGAAAATCCAGAGTCTTGCAAGCCATTGAACTTGAAAGTGGTGTAGGACATCAATGGCGTCTTTGGAAGTGGGCTTCCTATTGTGCTTCTGAGGTAAGACTTGCATGACCTGACAAGGAGCTCTATCATTTCCGAACTAGCTTATTTTTAGCTCTTTTAACTTATTCTTCTGTGTCTGTTTGATATTTTATTGCGAAGTATGGTTATTGTTATTTAGTCTCCCTAAATTAGCAAAATTGATTTGTTAAAATCAATGCTCTACCGCATGGCTTATGTTTTGTTAAAAAAGTTGAACGGGGCTGGTCTCACCCGGATCTGTCTCCACAGGCGATGCACTAAACGTCACGCCAGACAGACAACAAGCTAGAGAAATGAACAACGGAGAGTGAGTAGTACACACCATAGCACATACCAGCATATGTGGAAAACCTCAACACGTGTAAAATCACAGAAGAAGAATGATACATCTAACGAAGGAATATTATGCTTGACGTATTTGAACTTCGTATTCACCATGCCACTTTATAAACTCAACGGTTTCGTTTTTTCCTCTCGTTCCTCTTATTTACATAGATTAGAGGAAAAGATTTATTTTTCTACCTTGTAGAGAACCATGTCGTCAACGTAAAAAATATGAGGTACAATCCTCACATGTTTCACAAACACACACACACACGCACAGACACACACACACACACACACACACACACACACACACACATATATATATATATGTGCAAGCTTCTTTTAATATAGGTCACTGTATAAATTATACCATCCAGTAAATATTTGCATTTTTTTATTTACTATTTTTTATGTGCTATATTTTGGTTTAGGATTTTCTGCATACATTTCTTTAAACAATTGCATATGCTTGCTGAGACTTGCCAACAATTCGCAATATATCTCTAATTTTAAGGGGCAGTTGAATGGAACCCACGGTCAAATTCCCAGCATTGAAGAATATTCTTAAATATCAATTGATATCTCTCTGCTCATATTTTTGCCTCGGAGAAAATATCCATTGGGTGTTTCATGGGACACCAGCAAGCACTCCGGATGAATCCATTTCCTTGCATTTGAATTTGGACACTCTTGTGCACAATTCTTTTAGCCAACATAATCAATCATTACTTGAGGGGACTCATATATGGCCACACTTCTATTACTCAACATGTTTCTTAGTCTGTTGTATCTCAAGAAGACTTATTTAGAATAATGTGAAGACTGTAGATACTTCAAAGCAGATTTGAAGTGTTTTACCATTCCTTCTAAGCAATGGGATAATCTGGGCCTAAAATGGAGCAGAGAATGGGAGTCATTGAAGCGACATGTGTGATTAGTCATGGAATATTGGTTCTCTTCAAGACATTAGAAGTTCTCTGTCTCGGAAATGTCCCTGTAAAGATGACAAAGCTCTTCATTTGCTGAAGCAAGTTAATGTATAAAAGCAAAATAGGAGGATTGGTTGGTGCCTCAACAAGTCCTCTGTCCACTAGCTTTGGAGTTTGGATTAAGAGCGTTATTTATGGATCAGTATTGTGAAAAGCAGTTACACCAGTTGTTTGACGTGGTGTATTCGTTCTACCAACTGTGTTGTTATTTTTCCTGTTTAAAGAAATATTCTTCCGTGATCTGACCTTGTTTTTGCCTTTTCTATTATAATGATTGGGGGTGCAAATACCTTGTGTTTTTAGAGCAAGATTGACACTCTTTTGAAGAAGTATTGCAATTGATGTTGCAATAACAATTTAGCAACATATTAGCTCGATATGGCAACTTATACCTTGATATTGCAGCTTATTTTGTTCCAGATAAGGTTATATTCCATGTAGTTTACTTTTGGTTTTGCTGGTCCCTCGGTACCTTTTCTTGTGACTTGTGCAATCATTGTCTTAAAATGAAGTTGTAGCTTATGCCAGTGTCTGTGAAAATACCAATGGTTGTCTGGGATATTTTCTGGTTTGTGATCCGTTTTCTCCATGCTACAAGATCTGTGATTTTTTACTCCTGCGGCATGCTATACAGCAATTTCTGATTGGAAATCATTGAGATTCTGGAAATATTGTCATCTGTGTAAGGGACCACATAATTTATATGCTTTTGATGGGAGTTCATCTGCTTGATTTTCAATGTTATCTGATTAGTGGCATCTACTCACTTTCTTTGTATTGTTTAATTATGCTCCTGCGAAATTGTTGATTTACATTTTATTTCAAACTAAGGTCAGAACATCAAATGGTGAACATTGACCTGTGCTTTAGTAACCGGCATAGTATACTGATTTTTTTAGATAAAAATGTACGAAATGTTTACCTGATAGAAAAAATGTGGACCTTATTCCTTATTCTTGCGGACGGTTGATATAAGCAGATATGTCAGCTGCGCTAAAAGTGCTTATTTCGTTAGATTGGATCCTCAGATTGGGTTTCTCTCTTTTTTCCAGAAAATTGCGGAGCAGGATGGGGGAAGATATGAAACTGCAGTGTATGCTGCTCAGTGCAGTAACTTGAAACGTATGCTTGCTGTGTGTAATGATTGGGAGGTAATTGTATTTATTTTTATTGGTTATCTTGTTTCTATATGCATTTATTATCTTTTCTCCATATCCATTATTTTTTGGCTTGCTGTTTAATTTTCTTTGTTTGTGTTATCTTCTAAGAAGAATAAAAAGTGTGACTCTACCTTGAAACAAGTGTAAATAATCCCAAACACATCTTTATCAGACAATTTGCTCTAAGTATTTATCAAACGATTTATGTTCGATTCAAATTGGTTTTTCATGTCTGACTGATTGATCGGCTGAGTCAGTCTCCGCTTGTTGGGATGTGGGCAAGTTGCTCTGTTCCAGAGAATCGTGATGGCCTATATAGGTCGTAGCGTTAAGTGAAATGATCTACGTCTTCAAATCTTGTCAAGGACCAGAAATGAAATCAATTTGTTATTGTAGGATCTGTGTACTAAGAAAATGCCTTGCATATCAAACATTTGGTCTGATGACTCAAACGTACTCAGGCCAAATCATGCCATTTTGTTCATTCTTCCTGCTTACTAAGTCATTGTATGGAATAAGCTGATGGGTTCTGACTACACAAGGATAAGGCCTGATGTTTTCGGTTCATTAGACTGACTGGCTTTCACCAAGTTAGTGGTAGGACTGTGTAAAAGCACACTATATATTTTTTGTTGTTCACGTTTACCATTTATTTTATGTAATCGATTTTATTTATTCATAATTTTATCTGCTGGTCTCCAGATAAGTCTGGTTCCCTCTTATTATCCGCCTTTGGATGATCAGATCTGGCCAGGAACTAGGATAGGCCATGGCTGAGTCATTTTGCCTGGTTCATTTCTGTTCTTCATCCATTGAACTATATGGGTTTTGTTGTTTGTTTATTCCCCTGCTTAATGTTCTCTATCCTTGAAATTTGGGTCGCCAATGGCTAGTTGCTTGGGGATCCTTGGATTAAGCACAATCCCGTTGAGAAAACGGTTGTCTCGAGCTTCTCTCTTTCAAAATGGCGAAACTGTGGAAATTAAAATGAACACTTTGAAGAAGTTATTCTCTTGAAAAAGAGGAGTTGATAGGGTCAGGTGATCTCACTTGGTCGACTGGGACTTCCCAAGACTGATATTACCAATATCAAATGTATAGTCATGCAGTTATCAATTCTTTGGTGAACGAGTTTACGTGCAGTCCTGCAAATTTTCCTCAGTTCCTCTATTGGTTTTGTTCTCACACTTGGGCCCTGGACAGTCAACAGTCGATGGCTCCAATTGCTGGCTCTGTTTGCCTGTGTTCGGAGACAAATGCAGTAATCTCTCCCTTCTTCAACTCCTTCAAGGCTCTTTTCTTCTTCTTTTCTAACTCTCTGATCTCGTCTCCCACCCTCTTCCTCCCCTTGATTTCTTCTATATCTTTCTCTATCCCTCTACTTTAGTGTTTACCTATTTCTATTGGCATATCCACACAAATTCATACTGCTGTAAAGGGTCATCCAGGTTATTGCATTTCAAGTTACAAATTGGATTTGGGGAGAAGTTGAAGAAATGCATGGAATATTGGATCTTGAAGGGTTAAATATATTATCTTGGTTGTGTCTGAAACTGTAGGAATTTAAATGTCTTATACTTATAGAAAACTATCATGAAACGAAAAGAACTGTAGGAATTAACTAACCTTTCACACCTGCTGTAAATGAATGACGGAAATGAGGTGGTATGTTGCGTAAATGCTTGAGCTTTTATATGTTACGGTTAATGTTCTTGTAGTGGCATGTACTGATGGCAGTTGTTTCTGGGATTTCATTCTCTCTATGGGGACTTATCTCACTTGTATTATTTTTTCCTTCGACTGTGATGTGCTCAGACTTGGAGAAGTCCGCCATTGGTCCTGTTACCAGCCCTAATGGTAGTTTTTTTGTGATGAACCAGTCAGCATGCTGGGCAATGGCAAAATCATGGCTTGATCTACAAGTTGACTTACAATTGTCTCAGTTTCAACAAGAAAGAATTGAACCGATGAGAAATTATGGGGGTGATGGAAATGGTATTTCTGAGGAAGGCTTAGCTTCACAATCCTTGGCTGATTCAGAAAGCTGGCCTCAACATGTTATTGATCAGCAACCAAGGGACCTGTCTTCTCTTCTTCAGAAGCTCCATTCGAGGTACACAATATCTACACACTGACTCTGCCCAAATATCGGTCTGGTTTAATGGAATGTTGTGCTGCTGCAGTGATATTGTACATGATGCAGTTTCTAGAGCGTGCAAAGAACAACATCGACAAATTGAGGTAAAGAAGTTCCAGGCTGTTTGTGATTTCAACTCCCTCGCTATTGTTCATTTTTATGTCATACAAATCTCAATTAAGTTGAAAAATTCTGTCAGTTCATGCGTGAAACCAAACTGTTGTGAGTATACGTTGCCTTTGATTAAGTTGACAGAATCTTACGAAATTAATTAAAAACACGTCATTTGGACTACTGCTTTATAGATGTTAAGGTGTTTTATAAGTTTTTAACGTAAAATCACATTGTTGAAACGAATTAGACAGTTTGGTTTATTGATGGTTTACTGCTTCATGGTATATTTCAAGTTTCTTATTGTCTTTGACTTTAAAGATCAGATCACGAATGACAATTTTTTTTGTGTGGCCTATGTTTTTTTCATGCATTTATATAGGTAATATTGCGTGGGTAATTAGGAAGGAAATACTGATTCATTCTTTGTATTGTTCTCTTGAACATGCCTTGCTTGTTTTGTTCTGAAAAATATCTGAATGTTTTTGGCCTTCTGATAATGTTGTTTTGTATTTTATTTCGTCTATCTTTCTATTAAACGGTATCATAGGCTTTTATTGGTACCTGGCAGAGCTCTTGTTTGTCCACCACGGAATTTCTCTTTACTGGTCTGGCATAAGGTTGCATCCATGGTGTAAATGATGAATAGTCATCTGAAGCCTGCTGGTTGTCTTTAATATATGCTATCCGGACTCGTTCTGATACGTAACCATATCTCATGACCCTGACCATGCTTTTTTCAACTTATTTTGACTTGTATGGTGATGTGATATCACACACTCTGGTACGGTCCCCGTAGTTGAATCCTAAATCAGCTTATTCAGGACTTGTTCAGCTTATCTCTACTACTATGTCTGTGATTTATTCTCTTCTATGGCAAAATCAATTGCTGAAGAAGTAACATCTACTTGCCTACCTTTCCTGGCAGATGAATTTAATGACGGGGGATATTGCAAATCTATTGGATGTTCTATGGTCGTGGATTTCTCCAGCTGAAGATTTTCAAAATGTTTTGAGGTAGTGGAACCTTCTTTTCTAATTTCATTCGAAGGAGTCATCTGGGTGAAGATTTTGGAAGTTAATTATGTTTTATTTTGAAATTTTGTCGATAAAAGTGTTGTTTGATTTTGTCAGGCCTCAATGTGATCCACAGATGATTCGCTTTTCGGCACATCTCGTTCTCGTTCTCAGATATTTATTCCCGGATGAAATGAAGGATACTTTCAAAAAGAAGCTTATGACTGTTGGTGATTACATTCTTCATATGTGAGTGTATTCACCTTGCCTAGTACATCTTTCGAAAAGTGCACAAATTCCTGGTGATACAACTTTTTCATTTGAGGTTTATGTACTGGCATATGATTTAACCGCAGATGTCTGATGCATTAAGGCACTCACAGTTGGTTTAGGAGAGAATGATCTAGCAACAGAGGCTTGAATTGCAAGTCAGATCAAGAACCATTTAGAAATAAATTTGTTGCAGATAGGTCCCCCTAGTAAAGCTGCACCTCCCAACTTTTACTTGACTGATGTAGGTGTAACGGGTGAAATCCTGACGAAGCTTAACTAATCAGACTTGCCATCGAAACATTCGATTGGGTTCGCTACTTGCAACGGCTCCCATGTTTTGGGTGCATTTTGTGCTGATATCATCTTGCGATGTGAACTTCCTTCAGCTAGTAAATTGTGCATAAATTTTTTAAATCATTGCCAAATATGTTATCATTCATCAGGACTGGTCATCTTACTCAGCTTTATCCCATCACTTTAGGAATAATAAGATTCCAATCAAGTTAAGCATATTGAAGATGATTTCCTTTTTGCCTACATAATTTCAGGTATGCATTATTCTTATTTTCTAAGCAGCATGAGGAGTTGGTTGGTGTTTATGCCTCTCAGTTAGCTCGTCACCTCTGTATTGACCTCTTTGTCCACATGATGGAAGAAAAACTCAATGACAGGTAACCTTCCTTCTTTTGGAACTGTGAACATTTTTCGTGATTTCTTATACAAGTGGTGTGAAATCAATGAAAGGTATTTCTTATAATTTATTTTACTTGCATTTCGGTTGTGCCCTGAGACTTAATTTCCCATAAGATTTCCCGTGAAACGTGTGCACTCTTTCATACAACGTGTTACAAAATGTGATTTAATAATATGTAAAGATCATTTTCAATATTTGTAGTCTTAAGCCAGCCGGATTTAATTCCTGCTGCGTGAATTATGCGTGATTCTGACAATCTTCCTATCATAAATCACTTGTAACAATGCTATTTTTGGTTCTGATGACAGCCTTCATGTTAAACATAAAATCTTTCTTTCTGGCATACGATATTTGCCTTTCTCTTCTGGGGAAGACTCAAAAGCATCCTTTGAGGATATTATTGAAAGGTTAGTTCATCAATCATTAAATTGTTTCCTATTACTGCTGAATAGAATTCTGAAATACGTGCGTATTAAAGGAAACTTCTGTTGACAGGGTTCTATCCCGGTCTCGAGAGACGAAAATCAGGCAATATGATGGTGAATCATCTGATGTCGCTGAACAGCATCGCTTACAGTCCCTACAGAAGGCCAATGCAGTCCAATGGCTTTGCTTCACACCACCCTCCGCTATTGGCGATTTTACAGTTGTCAATGCCAAACTTCTCATGAGGGCATTGTTTCATAGGTATTTTTCTTCTACTATGCAGCAGTAAACGGTCAACCAGTCTTTTGGAACAACCTCAGCTTGTTCTATTCCTATCGCATAAACTTGTGCGAATTTTCTAGTATTTCATTTTAGACAGGGGAGTAGCCTTTTCTCATCTTATTCTATCATCCTCTTGTCCATTGGTCGTTCTTTGGAGTCCAACACTCTACATCATGGTTGACCAACTGTCATGTTCTAGAAATTTCCGTTGATAGAGAACCCTTGAATTTGATTTCAATTTCGTCCAGATAATTTTGTCATTGGACGATTCGTTTGTCCTTGTTAATTTTTGAGCCTATATAGTGGAAATGGTCTTTCTGAGCAACATCTTGATTCTCTACCTGAATAAGATGCTTCTGTCTCCTCTTCCTCTGACAAAGACTACCTTTCATGTATCACTTCTCAGTTCTCTTTTAAGATTGTCATGTTTTAATCCCTCCGTAATTTCCACCTTGAAAATTGGAATCTGTTATTTAGTTCATCTGTCAAAATCTCATTATTTGTATATCTCATAAAATGAGACATGTCATGGTGAACAATGCTGTCGACTGCTCTATAGCAAGGTTAAAAACATTTGAAAGAAAAATCAACTCTGACCTGAATTGGCTGTATCTAAGAAGTAATTTATTTTTTTTTCCAGAAAATTTCCTCCAATTAGTTTTCACTCTTACATATCCGCATCTATATCTATGTGGATTGTCTTCTCTCTGTTATTCATTCATGTAACCTCCTGTTATTACATTAATGCGCCAATTTATTGGTTTAGTTTTGTTTCAAGTTTCCTGGTTGATCTCGTACATGCTATCATTTAGTAATTTTTTTGTTTTTTTTTATTGTAGTAACATTCTTTTTCGGGAGTTTGCTCTGATATCATTATGGAGAGTTCCTAAAATGCCAATTGGAGCTCACAAGTTACTGAGCTTCCTTGCGGAGCTTCTGAAGCAACCAATGGAGACCCTTCTTTCCCTTGATGAGCAAATTGTTACTTCGAATCTTCATGAATTTGAAGACTGGGTATGCCTCAATGTCCCTATGCTTTTTCTGATGAAAAGCTTCCTTTTTTTTCTTTTTTTCTTTTTTTTTTGGGTTCTTGAAAGATTTATTAAAAAATGGCTGCCATAGCGGGTCAACTCGACCTGAAAGTCAACGATTCCACCCCCTAGATCTCTTCAGTGAACCACATTTTGCCTCGTCCACTGTTTCGGGATGAATTATTGTGGCAGATTTCCTCTGGTGTTCAATTGCCTTCTTGCCCATTTTATTGAAACCGAAATTTGTAAACCTGCCTCTTTCTCCTCCCAATTCTTTTTCTCCCAGACAAAAATCTCAAACCTTTTTACTTCATATTGGCCAATTTGGCTGAGCTGATCCCAATTCAAGGTTGAATGGAACCAACCAACCTCTCAGCTAGTCTGCATCACCGTCCTCCTCCAACTGTGTTTTTGCCTGCCGCCGGTAAATGAAACAGCCCGGGTTGTACAAGTGTCTGGGAGCTTTAGTCTCTAACTTATTTTCCAATTATTTCATATCAACGCAGAGGGAGTATTATTCATGCGATGCGACATACAGAAACTGGCTCAGATTTGAGTTAGACAACGCAGATGTCCCATCCAGCGATCTTTCCCTCGAGGAAAAAGAGAGAGCGACAGCAGTGGCCAAGGAGGCTCTAGCCGCATCACTCCTACTCTTAGAAAGTGAGTCGGTGGCTTGTGGGCATTTCTGCAAACATTACTTCTGCCTTAGTTTTCTGTTCGTTCTGCTTACCGCTTTCTATGTTTTCTGCTTGATGTGTGCATGATTTCTATTGACATCAATTCCGAGTAGTGATAGATGGGCCAGCAACGCTTGCCTCGTTTCCACATCAGCTTTCTGTACTTCTTTGATAAATCTTGATCATTGTTAAGATTATTCTAACTTCAGTGGCCGCGTTCTTATCATGTTCCCTGATCATTCAGTTTGATCTCATCTCCAGGTACTTACCGTGATGCATGGAGCAATATGTGATGGTGATAATCATAGTAATAATAATAATAATTTGATTTCCGCATTGATACTGAAATGGTGCATGAAGATCGCCTGTTCAGTTTTTATTTCCCTGTTCATTTAGTTTGATCTCATCTCCAGTTACTTACCGCGATGCATGGAGCAATATATGAAGATGATAATCATAATAGTAATAATAATAATAGTTTGATTTCCTCTTTGATACTAAGATATTCATGAACTTACAAAGCAGGAGAGGAAGCTCCCTGGATGTCCTCGGCTGAGAAGAGTGCGTGCGATCCGTCCGAGCACATGTTCATCGAGCTAGATGCTACTGCGATGCTGTGCCTGGCTTCTGGTGAATGCCTGCGCCCCGACGCAGCGTCATGCACTACGCTGACCAGCGCGCTGTATGGCTGCGTCACCGAAGAGGATGTGCTGAAACGGCGAATGATGGTCCGTGATACAACTGTTTCTTCTTCCCCTGCCCCAGAAGACGATAATACCGCTCCTTTTTAAAATTGTTTGAAATAATGCCAGATTAATGTCGCCATCTCTCCAAGAGACAGCTACTGTGTGGAAGTCTCTCTCCGATGTCTGGCAGTCGACGGCGATGGCCTCGGCTTCCATGCAGCCGACGATGGGGGTATCCTTGCTGCCATCATCTCAGCCGGCTTCAAAGGTATTTCACCATCTCTCTCTCTCTCTCTCTCTCTCTCTCTCTCTCTGCATGTATATATTTATATATCTTTGCTCTGGACTTGTGAACGCAGGCGAACTGAGCCGGTTTCAATCGGGGGTCACCCTGGAGATCTCGCGGCTGGATGCTTGGTGCTCAGACAGCGAGGGCTCCCTGCAATCCCCTGCTACTTACATCGTCAGGGGTCTCTGTCGCCGCTGCTGCCTCCCCGAGCTCGTTCTCCGCTGCATGCAGGTGATGACCCTCTCCCATTCTCTCTCTCTCTCTCTCTCTCTCTCTCTGTAAAATAATAATAATATATATGTATAATTATCTGTTTATTATTTATTTATTTAGATTTGTCTTTCCCTCGCCGAAACCGGGGAGACGTGGGAGGATCGCGACCGTCTGGTGGAGCTGGTTGCCTCGAGCCGGTCTGGGATGCTCGGTCTGTTCAGCCGGCAGCAGTTGCAGGTATGAGCGCGTTCTCTAACCCGGGCACCAACGGGATTATTATTATTATTATTATTATTATTATTATTAAAAAATAAAAATAAAAAGACTTTTGACCCGTTTGATCTGATATCGCCTGCTGCCGTATGTATGGTTCTCCAGGAGTTTTTACTCTTCGAGAGGGACTGCACGTTGTACAGAATGGACCCTCCCGAGGAGGATTCCTAGCCCTCCGATGCTTCCCATTTCAGGTAATCATCCTCTCTCTCTCTCTCTCTCGCTCTCTCTGGGTTGAATTGCACCCTGATGTTATGAACAGCAACGGCACAATCCCTATGAAATCCACTCGTCGTCGAGGATTTATTAGTGTGCGGTGAAGTCAACTGGAAGCTCTTTCGTCCATGTCCAGTGAAAAACTGGGGTTTCCTACACCGAGTCAACGGCCGAGTATCTCCGGGTAGATCGAGCGATGAACTCCCCCCGCCGCCGGCGCTCAGCTCGCGCGTTGACCAGTGGTAATTTGGGGCAGCCGACGGGTCAGGGCGGGTGACGACTCTGACGGCGCCCGGGCTGACCCGCCGCCGCCAGTTGTCGTTGACGGCGTCAGACAGCGAAGTTCGGGGGGTCGTCGGCGGGAGAATCCAGCCGGGAGAGAGGTGGGAGGATTTCCACGTCAGCCCGTCGTAGAGGTTAGATTTTCCCAGCGGAGGGTTTCCCGGCGACGAGGCCCGCGGCCGGCACCGCCGGCCCATCTCCCCTCGTTGTCCACGGGCGACATGTGGGGCGGGGGGCCAGGTCACCCCGCCGGACCGACGGCCCCCCTCTCAGGCGGGTGCGCCGTCAGGTGACGAGCCCCCACCGCGCCTCCCGCCGGCGTCGTTCGAACAGAACCCTCGATTAATAAATAAAAACTGAAAAATCAACCAAAGGTGAAAGAGGGAAACCCCGGAGCCGTCAAAATCCCCCCACGCCCTTCTTCCCTTCCGTCGGTCCTGCCGCCGGTCGCCCCCCCCCCCGGAAACCCTAGCCGCCGCCGCCGCCGCCGGCAGGCGCAGCAGCTCGATCCCCGCCTCGCTGTTCCTCCCTCCGATGGAAGACGACGACGACGCGCGGTCTTTCCAGCCGTCGTCGCCGTCGTCGGCGAGCCCCGGCGGCGCCGACGCCGCCCGATCCGCGTCCTGGCCCCCCCCGACGGCGTCCCCCCCGGCGGGGAGCCTCCCGGCGGCGACCACAGCAGCCCTGATCAAGGCCGCCGGCGCGTCCTCCGGCGGCAACGGGGGCAGCGCCGGCGCCGGCGGCGGCGGCGGGAGGGAGGACTGCTGGAGCGAGGGGGCTACGGCGGTGCTGATCGAGGCGTGGGGGGAGAGATTCGTGGAGCTGAGCAGGGGGAACCTGAGGCAGCACCACTGGCAGGTGGTGGCGGAGATCGTCAGCGCCCGCGACGACTACGGCAAGCCCCCGAAGTCCGACGTCCAGTGCAAGAACAGGGTGGACACCTTGAAGAAGAAGTACAAGCTCGAGAAGGCCCGCGCCGCCTCCGGTGGGGGGCCCTCCAAGTGGCCCTTCTTCGGCCGCCTCGACCGGCTCGTCGGCTCCAAGCCTCCTTCCCCCTCCTCCTCCTCGCTGGCGGCGGCGCTGCCTGCTTCCAAGGCCAAGCCAGGGAACCATCTCCGAGCCCCCCACCTTCCGGTGGCCGTTCCCGTCGGCCCCCGGTCCTTCCACCACTTCCAGAAGAGGAAGGCCCGGCTGCCCAACCCGAGGACCGCTCCCATCGCCGTCGCGGCGGCGGCTGCGGCGGCGGCAGCGGCTGCGGCGGCGTCGCCGGACTCGTCGGAGAGCCCTCCCCCGAAGCTGTCGGCGGCAGCGCGGAAGAAGGCGAGAGCCGCGTGGAGGGAGCCGCCGCCGCCGCCGGTTATGCCGGTGGGGAGGAAGATGATCCAGGAATGGGGGGAGGGTCTGCGGGAGCTCACCGAGGCCATCCTCATGTTCGGCGAGGTCTACGAGCGGGTGGAGAGCTCGAAGCTGCAGCAGGTGGTGGAGATGGAGAAGCAGCGCATGGGTTTCGCCAAGGAGCTCGAGCTGCAGCGGATGCAGTTCTTCATGAAGACCCAGATGGAGCTCACCCAGCTCAAGCGCAACGTCCAGCCCACCGCCGCCGACGCCGACGCCACCGCCGCCACCCACAGTAACAGCGACAACTCAGATTAGCCCTCCGGGTGGAGAAAGAAATTGCCCGTGTCTCGCACCCAGTCGCCTTCCCCCCTTCTTCCCCCCTTCACAGGCAGGTAGGACCCCGTGGTAGATCCCACTGTAAAGTTCTCTCTTTTAACTCTCTCTCTCTCTCTCGCTCCTCCGTCTCATGGTTAACGGTGGGGCGCCGGGCTCCCCGCTCCCCATCAATCAGATCGGCTCCCCCGCGAATCTTTTCATCGATCTGTTCATCTGGCAGCTGATTGAGATAAACCCAGGCATGTTACGTGGTGACAAGCTTTCCACATAGGTCCGTCATCTTCGTCGTAGGGCCCCACGAATCCCGGTCAAAGGAGAGTTCTACATCCTCAGAGCTTCAAAACTGACAGAAAAACCTTGGTCTCCGTCATCCCCAGACACCCAGATCTTCTTGAGAGAGAACACTCCATAGAACTGGTCACGGCGTTCGTCAGCTGTAGAACCTCTGCAATTGGGTGATCCCCCTGCTCTGATGGAGCGCATCCTCTCCAGTTACAATCCTCGATTCGAACAAGGGGAAGAATCAGCAGAAAGACGGGCACCTAGGGTTCGACATCGTCCCTCCCGAAGGAATACACGAACCTGGAAATAATAACCATGGTAGCGGGTCCAGAGCCTGGATGATGCGGCAACGATCGAGGTTCTGGATCTTACCGCCGGGGGACCTGCCGCGCGCATTGGCGGGTAATGCTAGCGTAGCCGAGCAGAGTCTTCCGGTCAGCTGCAATGGCGGTGGGGGAGCTATCCGGCGCCGACCAGTGGAGGAGGGATCGCGGCGGCTGTTCCTCTTCCACGGCGGACGGCGGGCGGCGGCGTAGCTTCACTTTAATCGCCGCCCTTGTAGGCGGCGGGTAGTGACTCTTTCAAGTGGGCTGGGTTTTTAAGCACCTGGCTCACTCACTGTTGTACGGATATGCTCACGTGAGGACAAAGATTTTCATGGCTCTACGTGGCGCCGCCAAATATTAAGGTACTCCCCGTTGCGCACAGACGTCTGTGCGCATCAAATCGCATCTCACAGATAACGGTTCTGCCTGGCGCTCGTGGGAACGAACAAAATCACACGACTCGCACGTGCGTGGTTCTCACGTGGGGGAACACGTGGCATGGTTTCATCTCAGATTCTCTGCGTCTGTGGGCCAACTAATTGTCCGAACTCACGTATCTACCAGAATAGCTGATTATTTAGTTATATACCCTTGTTGGTAAAAATATTTTTTTATTATTATTTAAAATATCATATAATGCCAGATTAATGGGAAATATAAATAAATAAAACAGTATTTTTAAGAGCAAACTGAGCTCTTAATTTTTTGTCATTAATTTTTTTTTTAATTGACGCGTATAATTTCCACCACGCATTTTAAAATTTGCCGTTTTTTAAAATACTTTAAAATGATCAGTGTGGGGGGCGGGGGGAGAGAGAGAGAGAGAGAGAGAGAGAGTGAGGCAGGGTGGAGTAAAGACCGTCGGCGCCGGACATTTACCTAGGGTTCTCGAAAGGAAAATCTGAGGAGGAGAGAGAAAGAAAAGGGGGGGAAGAGAGGAGAGAGAGAGTGTGTAACGGACCGCTTGAGAAATAGTGTAATGTAGAAAAATGTACAGACAGGGAGAGAGAAGATACAGAGAGAAAGGGAGATAGAGAGAGAGAGCGGGGGTGGGGTGGGGGGGAGGACTGGGGGGCAATGCTCGAGATCAATGCCGGAGTTCGCGAATCTGAATCGCCGATCTCCCCGGAGGATCTGCGCCAGGTAGGAATTCGGTTCCGACTACGAGCACGAGCACGGAGCCTGCTTCCTCCGTACTACTGTCCGTCCCGTCCTCTGTGCTTTCCGAGCTCGGTTGTACATGTCCAGTCCTACAAAGACGAACAATGCCTGATCGGATGAGGAAGGCTGTGATACGCTTGGCATTACCTCCTTCTCCAATTCCGATCTGGACATCGAGCCGGCTGGTCGAGGGCTCTCGGAGAGGAACCTGATCCCATCGTGCTCCTGTATGGGCTCCCGCTGTGCTCTTTTTGAATGTCCGCTGCCCATTTGCGAAACTCCGTCCTCATTATTTGGAATGAGGAGGAACGAGCTGGTCCTGGATCGGTTAGCTTTTTGGGAATTTTATTCTCGTTTTGAGTACTCGCTGTTTCACTGTCTTCCGGGATCGAATTAGGGCTTCTGTAGGGATTCTGTCCTGTCCCGAAATGCGACATATCTTCCTGTAGGGCTTCGTTTTAATCTTCTCATTTAATCTTTATCCTAAATGGATTCTGTCGTGCTATCGATGACGTTCTTCGAGTTTTTCTTTGGGAGACATTGACTCAAAAGGTCCCTTCTAGGGGCTCGCCCGTGGTCCTTCTAGGTCCTTGCTTCTAGGGTCTTTTGGAGTGACGACGAGAGCTCCTGATTTCGAGAACAGTAGTACATAAGGTCTAATCGTTTTGCCACTTCTTCTGGAAAGGGAATATCAAGGGTTGCAGTGGCTCGGGGGTTCCTGTTTGCCGACGGCGACCACTGTGGGCTATAACCTCTTACTGCCGCCCATTCACGTGGGTCTTGGTATATCAAGAACCGAGGTGGAGATTCTCTGTCCGCATTGTTGGCAATATGAACTCTGACACTCCGCTTGACTTTGCTCTATTTCAGCTGTCACCGAGGAGGTCTCGGTGTGTATATGCTGCCTCTATGCCTGTGTTTTTTCTCTTTTGAATGTGCGCCCATACCGTGCTCATTCACTTGGTTGCAGGTGCGAATTGTTTGTTTCCGCCGATGGAAAGACTGAAAAGCTTGCGTCAGGGCTGCTCAAACCCTTTGTATCCCACCTAAAGGCTGCAGAAGAGCAGGCAACCCAGTCTATCCAGTCTATAAAGCTAGAGATAGAGAAGCGTGGGCATGGTGGCTCATGGTTTCATAAGGGAACACTTGAAAGGTTAGGAATGCATGTGGATACTACGAGTTGATAATTATTTGATTTTTCTTGGAATGTGCTTGTCTATGAGCCAAAGCCACTATTTTAGCGCTATTATAAGGCATAATGCGTACTTCCGAGTTTTTTCTTGCCATATGTCAAAATTTAGTTATGTTACAGGTTTGTCAGGTTTGTCAGTACCCCTGAAGTCTTGGAAGTGATCAGTACGCTTGATGCAGAGATGTCTCAGTTGGAAGTAGCGAGAAGAATTTACTTTCAGGTAAATGCCTCCCGCATACTCCTTTTTGTTTTTGTTTTTTCATTTTTTTTTGAGGTTCAACCTCCACTTTTTAGCGTGGACTGAGAGTGGAAATTCTCACTCAGGGAGCTGGTGATCCTCTTTCAGGGACATCACCAGGTATGATGATTTTGCCCCTTGTCACCTTTTTAGTGTTTAGGTTTTATTTGGTAGTCATTGTGATGAGCATTGCCATTACTAGGATTGAAGATTTTCCTTACATTACACTCTAATCGATTACTGATTTCCAGTAGTGTAATTATGCTAAGATATTGGGATACTCTGTATACGTGCCTTTTCTTATGTATTTCTAGCCCCATCAACTCCATTCATTCCCAATGTTGACCAAGACAACGACAGAATGATAAAACTAGAAGCACCTGTCCTGTTTGCTCAAACCTGCTTCCTTCTTGTAGGTTTCCCTAATCCGATTGATCCTCCATCTTAGTGCACTGGTTTTTGAATCCTAAATGTAATTAATTACTGCATCAAAATCGTATTTATAGCTGTGGACAAATCGAAAAATATTAATGCATATAATCTAACAGGAAGACTGTTTCACTTTGTTCAGTCACATTGTGAAGCTTTTCCTGCATTATCATCTCTATTCATATCTATGTGACGCCGTAAATTTTGTTGAGGATGGATGACCAATAAGAATTTCTCATTGATCAGTGAAAGCCACTGTTAGTGCCTGTTTAGTTTCGTTGCATGAGATGTTGAAGTTCAGGAGATTACTTGCAAATCGTTATTGTCATAGTACTCAGGCTAAAAGATGTACTTTCAGATTAAGACATACAGGCGTCCTGCTCTTGATCAAAAGTTGTGAGCGGATTGGAGCCAATGCACTTGATGATTCTTCTTAGGCGTGCTTTCGAACATGGCTGCATCTTTCTCTCATTTTACTGATAAGCATTGGGACCCTCATTGTTTCAAAAATTTACTGTTCTTGATAGGACGATTGGAAACATAAGTTCACATGCTGCACATCCGGCTACATCCATTCGGCTGGACAGCACAAAAAAAAAGATGCCTCGTGTTAATTTCCGTTGATAAACAACTAGATGTAGGAATCTGTGTGGGTGTCCAATAGCCTGTCCATTTTTATGTGGGAATCTATATCATTTGACTCCAATAAGATCTTACACGGACCTTCTGTCCAGTGGAATATCCAACGCATTTGAACCCGATTGGTGGGGATGATCTAAATCTTAGTTGTAATGCTTACGCATTGGTAAGGTCTTCTTCTGACCTGGATGATTTGTGTTTAAATCAACTCCTACATTGTTCATGCATAGCCTGCATTAGTTGAGTAAGACCTTACATCAAGTCCTACAAGTCCACCAGATCCCTAAATTTATTGCCTCCCTTAAATATCCTTGCAAATGCTTAGTGCATTGGTAATGTCTTCTTCTGATCTGGATAAAAATATTTCTCTTTTCATCCGTCTTAAACTAGATGATTTGTTTATATCGTGGTCAATGGTCCTTTTTATTCTCACAACTTCCTCCCTTCTTTGTGATTTTACCCAGAAGAAGCTGAAACAGCAGAGACAACAGCAGCAGATGTTACTAAGTAAGATCTCGTCTCACAACGCAGAAAACATAGACTCCTGTTCTGTACATTTTTCCGTGAATTTTTTTTTATTCGTTTTAGTAATGAAAGTTACTACTCGTTCTGAAAACTCTAGTGCATTTGCCCATTGGATTCATCAAGCAATGGAAGTAATTTTTTTGCACTGTTGAGTCTTTAAGAAAATGTTTTCTTTGAGCTTGAAAAGATGATATCCCATCCTGAAGGAATCATTTCTTAAGTCACTTTGTTGATATGGAATAAAACCTATTATAACTGCTGCAGTAGTCATAATAAGTTTCTTCACTTGGAATAAGAGACTGGGAAGACGATTCTTTATCTCTACAGCCATGCAGCTGAGGAACTGTCGGTATCCCACACTTAAATTAACGTCATGAATCCTCCCTTGACTGGGCTTGCTGAATGGAAGAGAGATTCTCTGAAGCTAGAAAGTAAATCCCTAGAAAAAAAACTCCCTAGTTCTTAGTCCTCAGGTAGGATATGCATATTTTATATAAAATACAGAACTCCTTGAAATCAAGTTATCTATATTTTTGTATCAGAAACTATCTAATGACAGAGATTTCCTCATAACTTTTCTGACAACATTAGATGTGCTGAACAACTCCTTTAACCATTATAGCTTTGTTGACCGACCATGGCCTGCTGTGCAGGAAGGAGCTTTTAAGAGCCATTGATCTGCGCTTGGCTGCTGTAAAGCAGGACCTAACCATGGCCTGTGCTCGTGCCTCAGCTGCAGGCTTCACGCTTGAGAGTATTTCGGATCTAAGGCTCTTTGCAGACCATTTCGGAGCTCACCGCCTCAAGTAAGAAAATTCTGATCTCTGTTCTTTCTTGTGCCGCTTAACACATCTTTCCTATGCATATCATCACCAAAATAAAAAAATTGTGGGTTTTAGATAAAATCATCCATTTTTGCTCAAATGGGTTCCTTAGGATGGAGCAGTTAATTGGTGGGTAAATTGAACTCAGGTCCAAGCCTTTTCTTGCTCGTCTCCAATTTCCAACCTGATCTACCTTCTGCTGATGGATGTATCTCAGGTGTCTCCCTTCCTCCTGTTAACCGTCATTCTAAATTGAAGAATACTAATTCGAATCCACCAATGGACGTAAATAGTTGATTGATCAAGAGGGTCATTGAGACTGAAAACCTGTAAGGGCTTCTTAGAGAAACCTGCCAGATCCGCCTCACTTGAGCCCATTAGGGAGGTTTCCACCTCAAGGGCATCACCACCACCAGATTTTAAAACCTAAGCATTCTCTTCTGTTTTAATGATTGAGTGGGATGAAAGCTTGTATGGTAAACCCCGTGATCACTGGTACCTAATTTCTAGTCTCTTCATTCATCTTATTTCACTCTTCAAGACAACAGAAACAATAGGAGCGGAGGATCAACAGGAAGGCAAATACTTCAAAATCTCTAGCTTGCCCGCTGGCAGTTCCTTTATAGAGGGAGTGTGATCTCATCTTTCTCAGAATCCATTGAAAAACCTAAATCCTTATACCCCTACACCCACGATATTTGAGAAAAATATTTAGCTGGCCGAGTGTTTACTGGGGAAATATATAGTAAGTTTCTGTAGATTGACAGTCCACCGTTGACTTTTCCAATGGTACCGCTGGTCACCCCGAATGGGTGTAGTATGGCTCCAAACAATTGCATTAGGTACCATGGCAGTTGAACCGTCCCCAATCGACGGTTGAAATGTCAGTTTGGCTGTCGATGGTGGGGTCGTGCTTATTCTTGACTTTTCTGCCCTAAGTGGTTCTGATGGTCAAATCCAAAAAGTTTGGATTTTTAGAAGCCGCCTTCAACCCGTTTCCAACATGATTGGCCTGCCCAATTGACCCATCTTTCCGGTCCTCATGGTCGTATAATTGACCGATCTGCGGCCCCTTCCCGAGAGGTTAATCGTCCGTTTGATTTTGAAGTGAAGGGCGATCCTGACCGTCGATGAGGGTGGATAAAGGCTCTGGATGGGCCCACATCACCCTGGTTTCACGGCCCTCGTGAACTTTTCTGGGCTTAGAGATTCGTCGTTATCCGGTAGTTCACCGCATGGCTGTCGTACGGAAGTTTACTAGGCGTCGGACGTCTCTTCATGGAAGCCAACGATGGTGGTTGCCCCTCCTCTTCGTTCACTGTCTGCGTACACAATGGGGAGAGACGTCTCCTGGAGCTGACGTGACCCCCTCGAGCGGGACGCGTTAGCTCAGATGACGCTTCTTCAGCTTTCCTTTTTTTCTTTTTTGTGGAATGATGGGTGCGATGATCTCTGATACGCGTGCCGATTTCCTTCTGGTCCGTGCAGCGTAGCATGCAGCAAGTTTGTGTCGCTGTGCCAGCGGCAGCCGGAGCTGATGACCCGTCCCCAGGAGCGTCAGCAGCCGTCGCCGCCTCCGCCCGTCACGTGGAATGGGCCGCCGCTTGGATTTGCGGATCGCGATGTCCGGGGCTCGTCGGGGTCGGACATGTCCATTGACGACCCCGAGGACGCCGCCGCAAGCACCATCCCCACCGCGGGCCCATCTGCCGCCAGGCCTCTGAGTGGTCCCTGGCCGAGTAGCAATACCAGCGGAAGCAACTCCGGCCAGCAGCAGCCGCAACGACCTTTCCGCGCTCGTTCGGCGGAGCCTCCCTCCCACCAGGAGCAGAAGGCTCCCTCTCTGACCAAGTCGTCATCTTCCCAGAAGATAGTGAACGAGTCGGAGCTGAAGTCCTCAGAGGCCCAGCCAGTCGGAGGGTCAAGGAGGTTGAGCGTGCAGGACCGAATCAGCCTGTTTGAGAGTAAGCAGAAGGAACAGTCGGGCGTTGGTGTTATCGGTGGGATTGGAGGTAAAGCTGGCGGCAAGCCAGAGCTCCGGAGGCTGTCCTCTGACCTGACGTCGTCGGTGGACAAAGGGGTGTTGAGGAGATGGAGTTGCGCCAGCGACATGAGCATTGATCTCTCCAGCAGCAACAGCAACAGCAATACCCGGAAGGAGACAGAGATTGCATCAGGCACACCCTCTTCTTCCACGACATCCAACGCTCAGGTTTGTGTTAAAAACGAAGAGAAGGATACTGCGGATTCTCAGCCTCGTTCAGCTGGGGACAATCTGCAGTCTGTCCTGCCCTTCTCGTCATCCAAGGGGGAATCACTATCTTCTGGAAAGGGAAGCGATCAAACAGAGGATGCTCAGCCGAAGGACCAGGTAGCTTCTTCTGGGCAATGCTTCTCTCCTTTGAGGTTTTCAGCTGTTGACAGTCTGAAGGAGAAGGCAGATTCTCAGATCGAGTCCATGGCTTCTGTGAGATTGTCAGAGAACCAAGCCTGTTTAAAGGCGTCATCTGGTGTGATCAACAAGGAGCCAAAAAACCGATCTTCTTCATTTGTTCAACAGAAGCCCCTTGCAGGTGCTGTGGAACATCCTGGAACAGTAGCAGTTCCTCGGAATCAAGTTAAAGTATCAACTGTGACAGGACAGGTAGCGCAAAAAGAGAAGGAAACATCTCAAAGAGCACAGCCATCTACAGCTTTCTCGGGTAGGGTGATACATGTTAGGAGCCAAGAGACTCGCACCACAGAGAGCCCTCCCACTTTAGCGGTGAGACCAACCCCAGGTCAATTTGAGAATGGTCCTGTGGATCTACAGGTCTGTTTGACCCAGTCTAAAGCATCTGGGGACAAAGCTGAGGGCATGGGATCGAATAAGAAAGGCACAGTACGTTCTCAGGTTCAGCAGAAGATTCCTATGGATAAGGCAGAAGTTTCAGCGGTGAAGAGTGAAAAGTTGGGTGCTCAATCCCGTGGTAAATATTTTGTCAGCAAGCCCGAAGAAATAAGGAAACCAGAACCAGTATCTCAGGCACAAGGTGGAGACCTTTTTAGCCGGTTGAAAGATGAAGATTCCGATGTCCAGGAGAAGCAAGTCTCTGCACCTTCACAGAAAAGATTCCGTGACAGGGTAAACGAAAGAGTTCCTGCTCGTGACATTCATTCGCATGCACACGAAAGTGTTCCATCAAAACCTCCAGGGAAAAATCCTGTGGAGAACACAGATACATTTGATACAGCTTTCTCTTCCACTGTAGAGCCAACTCATGCTGTAAGATCTTCTAAAGGAAATCAAGAGCTGAATGATGAGTTGCAAATGAAAGCTGATGAACTGGAAAAGCTTTTTGCAGCTCACAAGCTGAGACTTCATGCAGATCAGACTTCGGCTTTGAGGAGAGGCAAAGCTGTTGATCAGCCTGTAGATAATAGACGTGCCACAGAAAGAAGATCGACCAATGTACTTCCAGACAGTTTGTCCGAGGGAAGACTTACAAGACTTCCGCCGAATAAGAGAGTTGAATCCAATCCTGATTTGCTTGTTGATAATCAAGACTATGTTAACATGCCAAGACAAAATCTGTTCAATCCTATTTCGTCGGATGAATCCAGGGGAAAATTCTATGAGAGATACATGCAGAAAAGAGATGCAAAGCTAAGGGAAGAGTGGGATTCAAAGAGAACTCAGAAGGAAGCAAAGATGAAGAAAATGCGTGATGATCTTGAACGCAGCAAAGCTGAAATGAAGGCCAATTTCTCTGGATCCGCAGAAAGGCTGGATTCAGTGCTTAGTGCTCATCGTCGTGCAGAGAGGTTAAGATCTTTCAGTCTCAATTTTGCTATGAAAAGCCAAGAACAGCAGGTATTGAAATAAATATAAGGTTCCGAAAAAAACATTGCATCACACTTTTGCATCAGTTTAACTAGTAATTTGTCTAAAAAAATTTGTTGGGTTGATCTTCTTGATTTCAGCAATTTATTGATTAGGAATTTTAAAAGTTAGACAGAAGTCCTTTTGGCATCCAGTTCTCAATTTTCTAAGACTCTCTGTCTTGTGGTATCGTCTTTAAGAAACTTGTTTGTGGATCCCCATTAGAGTTTTAACATTTGAGACGAGCATCATGTTCTCAAGAGAAGCATAACATTGTTTTTCCTGCTCTACAAAGTTGAAAAATAGATTGGAGGTATCCACTTTTCAGATGGGCCACAATCTCCAGTGATTTTTTATTTGGCATGTTGATTTTATGTGGGCTTTTGACGACATAAAAGTGGGTAAGATTTTTGTGGAACGACGCAGGATTTGATTCTAAAACAATGTGTTTGATCTTTAGTTCATCCTTCCAACCCCCCCCTCCCCCCCCCCTTTTTGATTTAATAATCATGCGGTACTCTGAAACAATCGGACCCCTAACCGGCCCAATCTAATGTCTTTAACATCTGCTCCCCGTTTTCCCATACAATCAATCACTTTCAGTTGTATTTTATTATGTTTGGCGTTCTTGATATCCTTCGGAGACTTATTTTCTGAAGTTTTTCCATCTTCACTTCAGCACGTGGAATTTTTCAAAAGTGAGGAAGATGAGGACAAAGAATCTTCTCGGAGTTCTCAATGCGGCCCTGACACATTCTTCTCTGAACCTGCACTCGGTGGTAGTTCTTCTAAGAGCAGCAACTCCAGGAAACTCCTGAGCAGCAGCAGCAGCACAGGCGTGTCTTCATCTACTCCTCGCACCTCAGCCGTGACAGCTCCCCGGCCATCTTTGAGAGGCGCCAATTCCAGCTCTGGACGAAGCAATCTGCGACCTGAAGATATTCTTGCTCAGTCAGGCCCGGATTTCCCGGACCTCAGAAAGGAAACCGCCATGGCGTCGTCGTCTGGGGCGAGCAGAGACCCAACTCGCTCTCACTTGAGGAGCTCTACTCGCAGCAAAAGCATCAGTGAGGACATCAACCTGGTCAGGGAAGAAAAGCCTCGGCGGTGTCAGTCCATGAGAAAAGCTCCTCCGATCCCTGGCGGTCTCACAGCTGTGACCTCCGACGGCTTCGTCCAGGCGAAGGGTCTCCTCGGGAGAGGTGGGAAGTCAGAAGCTTTATATGCATCCGAGAACCTGAACAGTGCTGAAGATGCCATGGCCAGAGACTCCCCTGCTGCATCAGACAATGAGAAGCTGAGCATGAGCCAGGGCTTGGGCGACTCGGGCGACTCGGGCTATCCCTGCTCAGAAAATGGCCGAGACTCACCCTCACCATCTCAGATGGACGACGATTCAGCTGCAGCACTGGTCACCGTCTCCTCCAAGTTCAGCTCATCCACAGGGGCTGCGCCGGAGTCATCTGGGGAGAGCCACGAAGCGTCTGAGGGTGAGTCTCAGAGCGGCAGTCCTGCGTCGTGGAGCTCTCATCCGCTGAACCACGCAGAGGCTGACGTCTCTCGGATGAGGAAGAAGTGGGGAAACGCTCAGAAACCGATCATGATCTCTCATTCTTCCAACCCGTCGCGTAAAGAATCATCAAGAGGGTTCAAGCGATTGCTGACGTTTGGGAGGAAGAACAAGGGAGCAGAGAGTCCAGTGATCGATTGGGTTTCTGCCTCCACTACCGCTTCCGAGGGAGAAGACGACGCAGAGGATGCCCGTGATCCGTCTGGTGATCTGAGAAAGTCTAGAATGGGCGTCCCTCACTGTCACTATCTCCATGATGGCTTTAACGCAGAGGTTGACTATCTTCATGAACAAGGTACGACCTTCTTTGGTGTGGCCCACATTATCTTGACCTCGCTTCCCAAACTCTGAACTTAGGCCATGATATTGATCCGTATTTTCAGCAAAATAATATGAATAAGGGAAGGCCCTCATAATAAGCAGGTGCTAGTGAGTCAACGTTTTCAGTTTCTGCAGTTCTAAGAGAGTCTCAGGTGGCAGGTCCAGGTTTCTGTGGTTTCAGAAGACACCCCAAGCTGCCTGCCAAACTCAATATTTTTCATCTAAAATTGGCACAAATAAAGGCATAGCCCATCAGATTGTGGTCAAACCCAGTATCCTAAATGCGGAAAGTGGGTTTGACCACATCTGATTGAGGACATGACATGCTTCATCTGCAGACCTCAGTTCTTACCCACAGTCCTCTTTTTATATCATCATCATCCCACCATTGACTTTATTTAATTATCTTTTTATTTTATTTTATTTTATCTTATCTTATCTTATCTTATTTTATTTATTTATTGTGCTGACTTTGGAAACTGGGTTCGTGGCAGGTGCGCGGTCGTTCTTCTCCCTCTCTTCTCTCCGGGCCAAGGGGGGCAGACCAAGGCCCGTGTGATCATTCTATTTCTATCTTCATCAGGCTGCAGAAATGTTTCCTTTTTTGGTATGATCATGGCTGGCTTGTTTAAGAGGGGGGGTCATTGAGACCTGCTGAATTTATCTTCACCTATCCCTCCTTCCCCACGTGTAGAATGTGCATTCGGGAGAGAGGAATCGGTTACCACTCGTGATTCTGTGTACAAACTCGGCCGAGTTCTGGATGTCTTCCTCAGTTTTGGTCCCTGCTCAGTTCAACCCGGGTCGAATTGGCCGGTGATCTTGGCTCGGTGCTCAGCTCGTCCGCGGTGTTGAGAAAATGGGCCTGAGCCTTCTTGGCGGCCCATTTACAGTTTGTAGGCTCGCTCTCGTAATGGGCCGATGGGCCGTCATTCTGATGGCGACACGGCACCCGTATTCGTTGAGGAATTGCTGTCCCAGTTAAATGACGCATATACCCCAAAACCACCCGAAACGGGGAGGACAAATTGGTTATATTTTAAAGACGTGTGAGAGAGCGGTTGATTCTTTGAGGGGGGTACTTTGGTAATATTATCGCCCCCGAAAGCCACGGGTTCGGTGAGGGTCGGCGTCACGGAGTGGTGGTTACTCTCTCTCTCTCTCTCTCTCTTCCTTCTTCAGGGCGGAGAGCCGGGGGAAGAGGAACCCACGCAAAGAAGCTATCTTTGGAGAGGGAGACTTGCTGATCGCGGGAGCAGAGGCGGCAGTCGGAGTCGATCTGGAGGGTACATTCTATCATGCTCTCTCTCTCTCTCTCTCTCTCTTTCTCCGTTGCGGGGAATGGGTGAGGCGAGACACGAGAACACAGTCAATCGTCTCTCTGATGGTGCTGCATCTCAGGATCAGGAGGTGGTGGGGGGGGGTTGGGGAAGGGGGAGAGATGGCCAGCCTCACGCCGGGAGTGCTGGTGAAGCTCCTGCGGAACATGGGCTCCGGGGAGAAGATCACCGGAGAGCACCGGTCGACCCTTCTGCAGGTGATCAGCATCGTCCCCGCCATGACCGGCTCCGAGCTCTGGCCCGACGGCGGCTTCTTCCTCAAGGTCTCCGACTCCGCCCACTCCACCTACGTCTCCCTCCCGCAGGAGGACGAAGATCTCGTCCTCTCCGACAAGCTCCGCCTGGGGCAGTTCATCTACGTTGACCGCGTCCTCGGTGGCTCCCCCGTCCCCGTCCTCGTCGGCGTTCGCCCAGTGCCGGGGAGGAGCTCCTGCGTCGTGGGCACTCCAAAGGACCTGATGGAGCTCCTCGTCGGGAGCCCCCTCCTCTTCTCCTCCTCCCCCCCCGGAGACGAGCTCCCCGGCCGGCCGCGAGTGGTCATCAAGGAGGAGAAGGCCGCTGTCCCCTCCCGCTACCTTCAGCAGGGTCTCTCCACCGCCGCCAGGCCCAGAGCCAACAGCAGCTCCCCGGAGGTCGCTGGAATTCCCCGCCGGAAAACCAGGCCCTCCCCGTCGAGGGAGGCGAGCTCCGAGAGGCCAGGTATGGCGGTGAGCTCAAAAACGGGGAGCCTTCTCTCTGGGTTTAGAGGATGGATGGATGGCTCACCCCCCATTTTTGCCGCGGTTGCTAGTGTTGCAGGCTAAGCCGAGGGAGACGGCCGAGGTTGACGGCGGCGGCAAGGCGGTGGTCCCAGCTAAGAGCTCTGTCCCCAGGCCGCCGCCGCCCGCCGGAGATCATCCCCCCGCCTCCCCGTTGGTCTCCTATTTGATCGAGAGGTGCAAGAAGAGAGCCCAGGACTCCGTCATCTCGTGGGGGTCTCTCCCTCCCGCCATGGTCGAGCCCGGGAAGGTACCTCCCTTCCGCCACCAGCCTCGAGAATCCCCCAATGAATGAATGAATGAATGGATGCATGCCCTCGTCAAATACAACGGAATAGCTTCTGGGCATTCTGATTACTATGATCATAAATAATTTGTTCTGGATTGGGTATTCCGATCGATTGCAAACCGCAGCCGGTCAACGCCGAGGTGGGTTATCTGATTTATTTGGTAAGAAGAGCTCCGTCGCGTGATGGGTCTGCAACCTGGTTTGCGCAGGGGGTTCTGGGGAGGAGGAAGATGGCTTCCATGGTGGCCGCTGCGGCGCAGAGGGAAGCTTCCGCCGCCGCCGCTCTCGTCAAGAGCCTCAGGCATGACGAGCTTGTCTTAAAATTTACGCCGCCGACGCTGGTGTTCGTTCCTAACTAAACTTGTGCCCATTTCTGTCGACGGCCGTTCCAGCATATTCGCCGACCTGAGAGCTTCCGCCGTTGGGGAGAACCCCCACGGCGCCCTCACCAGGTTCTTCGCTCTCCATCGTCTCCTCTCCCAGTCGTCCGCCGCCAACTACAGGGAGAACCCTCCTCCGATGTCCGGCGACCGGTTCTCGGGACATGAAGATGTATCCAGTGGGAGATCGGATCCTCCGCTGCCCGCCGGAGACGCGGGCTCTCCGGCGCCGAAACCTCGCCGGAGTGAGAGGCTGGAATGGGTCGAAGGGGAGGGGGAGAAGGAGATTCAAGCGCTGAGGGCGGCGCTGCTGGAGGAATCTCGGTCGTGGTTCCTGAGGTTCCTGGAGGACGCTGTGGGCTCCGGCGAGGAAGGCCAGGCTGGGCAGGCCGCCGTCACGATTTCCCAGCTGAAGCTTGCCGGCGACTGGCTGGACCAACTGAAGCTCGCCGGGGGCGGACATGGCGGCGGCGGCGCGGCCGAGACCATCGAGAGGTTGAAGAAGAAGATCTCAGCGCGCGTTATCCGCCTCCTCGATTCTGCGGCGCCGGCACTGTAGAGCCCGAAAAAACGGTTCTTAACGAAGCGGATGATATAAGCAGAGATGTATTCTTCGACTGGCTGTGGATGGGCCACACAGAGAGAGAGAGAGAGGAGGGATCTTCTTCCTTGTCTGGTCACAGATGAGTTTCAAGTGGCCCACAGAGAAGATGGGCCTGCAACTTCAGCGACCCATCAAATCGACTCCCGAGTTCAATCTCAAAAGGTGAGGGAGAGGGAGAGAGAGAGAGATAGAGATAGAGAATTGCAAAACCTGGTCTCCACAATGATGGGGATCTACGTCGTCCATCAAGACATGCACTGTGAAATATGGCGGACGAGCCGTATTCCCCATCCCAGGGGAAACTAGGCATACGGCAGCGATGCCCACAGAGTCCAAGCTCGACGACTTCTCCGCCGGCTCCCCCGCGCAGAGACGAACGAGGGCGATCTATCTGCTGCAACCCTAGGAAGGGGAAGGGGAAGGGTTTTCTCGGCGAAAGGGACGTCACCTTCGCGGAGAAGAAGAGGGGAGGTGGGTGGGTTGGGTGGGGTTCCAAAGTCGCCGTGGGGGACTGGGCCTACGGCCAGCTACCGGCGGGAGGATGATGGCGAGCGATAATAAATGTGCTGCGCCGCGGGAGGGGGCGGTGGAATGACGACGGGCGGCGCCACCCGCCGCGGCCTGTCGATGGCCGCCGTGTGTTCTTCTCCGTGGGCTGTAGGTACTGGCGGGAACCGGCTAAAGGTGGGGATCAGCGGCGGGGAAGGGGGAGGGAATCGCCATGAATGCTCCTGTCAGCAGCCCCGATCAGCCTTGGTGGTGGTCCCCGCCGGTCACCGCCGCTACGCCGGCGCTCCGCCACAACGGGCGGGGAGGGGAGGGAATGGTGGCAGAGCCGTCGTCTCCGTGTCTTTTGAGGCTAATTAATCGTCCTCCAGAAAGAAAGAACAGGGCTTGTCTCCCTCGCGGAAGTCTATCCGGATCATCTTCGTTTTCTTGCGACAGAGATCATGCTCTGAAATAATCTCAGCTCTCCGGGCACCCCACCAAGGGATGAACACCAAGAACAGTGGCCTCTTGTTCCCTGTACGATTCTCCTCCATCGACATTCTCCGGATTTTTAGCACTGGGTCTACTCAAGCTTCGCTTTTTCTACCCATTTCCTCGTTATTTTGCTTTTTTCTTCTTAGAAAGAGGGGGGAGGAGGGGGAGGAGGGGGAGGAAGGAGAGAGAGAGAGAGAGAGAGAGAGAGAGAGAGAGAGAGAGGAGAGAGAGAGAGTACACATGCACCACATGGGCTTTTCTACGGCAGCTCGGGCTCCGAGAAAAGGAAACCGAGGGCTTTGATCTCCCTCTTTTCAGACGCTCGGACAAACATGCGAAGTTCCGCGGGCAGATGCACATTTGTCCGCGCCGGCTTTACGCAGTGGAGCTTGAGAGGGGATTGGTGGGAACGGACCTCGCCGGCGGGAGCCTATGGCCCGCCTTGACTGGTGCCACCCGGAGGTTAGTGCCCGTCCGCTATTAGAGAATCTCTCAACCCTAACTCCCTTCTTCCAGTTCCTTTCATCTTATCGATCTAGTTAGCTTCTCATGGTTCTCGATGCAACGCATCAGACTCTTGCACCTCGCCCGCTCCATTTCCTGCGGGAGTTCTCTCTCATACCTTCTCGTCAGACGAGGAGGAGATGAAGACGTTTCTAGGGTTTCGCAGTGGGGATGCTCTTGCATGGTACAGGCAACACAGTGGGAGGAATAACGAGGAGGATATGCAAGAAGCTCCGGTGGGTTTCTAGGGTTTCACAGGGGCCTGCATATTCCCTTAATGGACGTCGCTTGAACGGTCAAATTCTCTGCGAGCGGCTTGAATGGGACCATTTCTGACCAGCGATTATTCCCACGGCTGACCGTGCGCTGAGGAGGTTGATGTCCATCCTGGAATGTGAGCCGAGCCCAGTATCCAGCGGAAAAGGACGGCCGATCGCCTGATCTCATCCGGAGAATAATTTAGAGAAGTCAACTCGGACCGAAACCCGCCAATCGGGATCAGATATTGTCTTTGACCAGTCTCGTTTGACCTCCTGATTCTGCCTCGCAGGGCTGAAGAAGAAGGGGGTGAGGGCTCCAGTAGGGTCTGTTTCAAAGATTACAAGTTGGAATTCATTAGGTTTACATCATATTCAATATCTGAGCGGAGAACTAGCTATCTGTGATGCTGGGGAGGCGACATTGTGGGCGTGCCCAAGACATTGAATGGGGACATTATCTGATCTTGGGCATGGATCTGACCGGCCCCGAGTGATTGATGAGCTGATCTTGGAAGGGGTTCAGCTTAGAGAACTCTGATTATCAGGAGTCTTTGGGGATTTCGAATAACTATGTCTGCACACACACACATATATATCCATGAACAGTTCTGTGGGATGTCTTTTAGTGTAATGTCTTCCTTTGCAAAGAAGCGAAGGAAACTCGAAGGGTGGAGGAGGAGAATGGAATGGAATGAAAGCGAGTGTGTTCAGCGAGAAAAAGAGTGGCATTGTAGAGAGAGAGAGAGAGAGAGAGATGATGATACAACCCTTTTAGTCTGAGAAAGTGGGTCCGTTACTTGTTGATTGTTGGATAGTTCTCGCTGAAACCCAGCTTAATCTCAGATTTTGATTTAGTAATGTCCCTGATCTGACAATGGAACCCAAAAGAGGCACTTTTTCCTATCCCTGATTATCTATTTATAAGTTGACCCAGTTGGAAAGGAGGTTCATGTGCGGGAGGAACTGCTGCAGAAAGCCGTTGAAATCATTTTTCAGTGCTTTTCGAAACCTTAATTTTCTATTTTTCAGGGGATTAAGACGCCAATTCTGCGCAAAAACAATTGTGGATATTGTGGATAGTAGGTCCAGTAGGAATTGTTTCATTCGACAGCTCCCAAGCCATGGTCAGATCTGGTCAACCAATCGTTGACTTAGGTTGGGAGAGGCTCTTTCTCCAGAACTGTGACATTGAGATTCTGATCATTGCGTGGAAGCACCATCCATCTTACTCTTTTTGGGAAGCCGCGGGCTATCTGGGACGTCCAGCGAGCGATATAATGAGATTAGTGTTCTTTAGATCGTCAACGCCTCCCTTTTGAGCCTTGGAGTTCTCCAGGAACCCTTCCCTAGGTGGTACTCGGGCCTCCATGATACTCATTCTATTATTGGGTTTGCTGCATTAGTTCGGTAGGCCTAATAGTCAACCGTAGTTCTAGAGAGAGAGAGAGGCACACACACACACACCCACAGGTTTTGTACTTGTGGGTTTGCTGTCGTACTTGGGGAGACCTTGTCTTCTTAAATACCAAACAATGATTCTCAGAGAGAGAAAGAGAGAGAGAGAGAGAGAGGCCCACAAAGTCTAGTCAATGTTGACTCCAGAGCCCCCCATTTTGGTTAATCGTAGCCGCCCTTGACTCGGGAGTTTAGGATTATGGGTAGCGGTTGCAAGCTTCTCCAGTTGGTGGTGATGCTAACATGCAACATGCTGGTCATGTGGTCAGCGTATCCGTCTGAATGTATACATCAAAGGCGGCCATGCTCTGTCTGATTTCCTGGATGACAAGGCTGCGGTCAAAGGTTGGTTGGAGATGGCTCTTGTCTCCCTATCGAGTCTTACATCACAAACATAAATGGCCTTTGGGGCACCCATGTTGGATCTTTGGTCAACTCCATCTACATCGGGGATTTGACTATTTCCGCATTAATCCAGGGCACAGCCATCACGAGGATTATGGGTTGGCTGTTCTTGGCAGGGACACTAATTATGCACTCGCGGCCGGTGTGAGTCGCCATTTTATCACCATAATTTGAAGTGTCTGTGTTTTTCTCTCTCTAGTTCTTATTCTGGGGGATTGACCGATGCCTGTAGGGGTGCTTCCATGCGGCAAAGTCTTCGATGGGATGAGAGATATTGCACACTTGGATGCCATTGAGCGCACTTAGCTCATTGGAGCTCCTGAGATCTTCACCCACGTCCATGGGGATAATACGCCATGGAGGCGGGGTGGGGGAAGGAGAAGGAGATGGAGAAGGAGATGGAGATGGAGATGGAGAGGGTGATTACAGCAGCAAAGGGCAGCAATAATAACTGTCTGCAGGTCTAGGCGTTATTTGCCCAGCGACATTTCTGCTGCCTCTACAGATGCAAAGCCTATTGCATGGCGCACCCTGGCACATAGTAACAGAGGGTCCTCCATGCTACTCTGTTGACAGGAGAGAGATGGATAGATGAAGAGAGAGAGAGAGAGAGAGAGAGAGGTTTGAGCAAAGTATCCAGCATAGAGAGCAAACAGCAGGTAGAAACAATAAAGACTGGGATGTGAAGACGGTCATGGCGCCGTTCTGCCCTCAAACCTGCTGTCGTAGGAGGATTTCTTGTCGGCACCGTTCTTCCCTCTGAACATTTGTAGTAAGAAAAACAGATGAGAGAGAGAGAGAGCTGCAGAAGTAAATGTGGATTCGGCTGTCAGTTCCATAGCCTTCCGTAACTTTTTCTCTAGCCTGGTCCCATGTAACGCGAGCTTGCAGAGTCAGAGCTGCCCAGAGATCCCTCCCTATCTGATTTTCATCGCTGATGCACTTTTTCTCATTCAATGGACATGGAATCCCCTTCATTATACGTACAAGTTAGTGGCCAAGCTCAGATTTCTCCAATTCCCCTGTAAAGGCCTGAGAAGCTTGTCCGTCGTTTGAGCTGGCTTCATGAGACTGCCCATGGCTTTTGCCGTGATCAGGGGAATTGTCTGAGGAAGGAGCCCAGAAACCCTAAGATTACCATCTTTGCTACAGACACCGGGAAGAAGGACAAATTCCTGGAGGACCCATGCCCACCTGTGTCTTCTTCTCTGATGGATAGGTGTATATAGAGGAGGGAGGGAGGGAAGAAAAGAGAGAGAGAGAGAGAGAGAGAGAGAGAGAGAGTTTTGGCCGAAGAAGGCTATTCAGGGATGAGAAGCCAGGGAAGCTCGAGAGATGGGAACAGGAGCCCACAAGTGAGCAGGACGATGCTCAAAGAAGAGCCTCGTCTCTCCGGCGCTTTCATCCGAAGCCTGGTGAAGCGGCTCTGCGCCTCCAGGCAGAGAGAACCCACGCTCTCTCTCTATGGAGTTGGGTCGTCCTCGAGCCATGGGAGAATTGGAGAAGAAGCTTATGGTCACGGCGGCCCGCCGCCGGGAGCCCCTCCCCGTCCCAGGAAGCAAGTCAGGAGAAGACTCCACACCGCGAGGCCGTTCCAGCAGAGGCTTCTCGACATGGCGGAGGCCAGGAGGGAGATTGTGGCTGCCCTAAAGCTCCACCGCGCGGCCATGAAGCGAACCGGCGATGTGCAGCAGCAGCATGGACTCCCACAGCTGCCGTCCTCTCCGCCACCCTTTGCAGTTTCACCCAAAGGGTTATTTACCGCTACACCATCTGCCCCATCTCCATCTTCATCTCCGTCGGCGCCCGTCTCCGAGAGTGTCGACATCCACCTCCAAGACCCCATCAGCCCTGCGATCCACGCCACACTCTGTGCTCCCGCTCCCCCTCCGAGCAATCCGAGGTCTCCCCTAAAGGCTGCGGCGGCGCCGCCGCCGCCGCCCGCGGCCGTGCTGCACCCCGCGATGAGCGAGGAGGAGATGGCCGAAATTCGGTCTATCGCGGAGCAGCACGACGTGGAGTGGAGCGACCGGCTGAGCATGACGGAGTCGGCGTGGTGGTCCAGTTTCCTCGAGGAGACGACGGGGAGCGGAGAGGGAGTGTGCCCTCCGCCATTGGAGGACCTTCTGGAGATCCATGAATGGGGGAGCAACCGGCCATGCCTGGTCAACTACGGGCTGCCCTGGTGAGAATGAGAGCAGTCTCTTCGAGGGTTCCGGGAGGGACAGGAGGTGTCCTGTTGCTTCCTTGTTCCGTCTAATTCATCAAACTACCTCTGTTTTGGAATCCTTTTCCTTCTTCTGCCCCTCTGCATGGTTTGACCGGGTGAAAAGGTGGGGGTTTTCACGACGCAGGTATGCTAAGAGCGTTGAGGTGACTCAGAACGGTTGACCCCCTCGAGTCAGCCTCACCTGTCCCGTTCGCGCGGGTCCACAGTGGAACCCGGTCTTCCTCCTCAGACCCGATAAACCCGCCTGGTTCAAGTCTGCGGAAGAGACACCCACCACCGACTGGACCACCTACGTATGCAACCCTAAAGCTTCTCTCCCGACCAGGCGTTCACTCTGAGCATGGTTGACCGCGACCGGTCGCAGAGTTGACCGGGAACCGGGTTTCCCGTACATTAACCCGACAATAGGCCTGAGATGAGGGGGAAGTGACCATGGGTTTCGACGACGAATTGAGGAGACACGAGAGCAGGAGGATAATCAAATAATGGTACTGATCTTGTCATTGTGCGTTACTGCGATGGTAAGAACAACAGCGGCGGTAGTGGTGGGGGCTCCTTTTCCTCCGGAGGGTGTTAAAAGTCGCATGATCCATCTGGGTTAATCATCTCGAACATTAGGCGTTTGCCTTATTATTGGGTCTTATGTGCGTATGGTACCCTAGTTTTTAATTTATACCGTATGTTTATTGCGTGGGGAAGCGGCCTCTGGGTCGTTTCAGTTCACGGCGGCCATCTTCTCCTCCTCCTCCTGCTCTTCTGCTCCTGTTGCTGCTTCTTCAGTGTAATCCTGGCTGCCGTAGGGGCTGAAGGCTTCGGAGAACCAGCTGGGCTTCCTCCAGCTCTCCCAGCCCATCTCCTCGCACATCTCGTCGCTGTGGTTGATGCTGAAGGTGGAGATGCAGTGCCGCTTGTAGAACCTGGTGGTCCTCTTCATGATCTCCGTCTCTTCCGCCGTCTGTCGGAACATCCGCTCCGCGCTCGGGAGCTTAAAGTGGCCGTCGAGCAGCCGCGACAGCCACTTGCACCGCAGCTCCGACGTGTGGAGGTTGGAGACGCTCTCGATGTACCCGATGAAGGCCATCCGCGGTATCAGAGGGTGGATCGTCCCCCTGGAATCGAGCATCCCCGAGATCATTAACGAAGCAGGAGGAAGAGGACGACGAAGAAGAAGACGGCGCTCCGCCGGAGTCCTCACCGGTAGAGAGGGATGACGCCGTTGGAGTCCTCCAGCAGGCCGCGGAAGGGCTCTGGCAACACCGAGCGGAGCTTCTTCTTGCCGTCGTAGCCGGTGGCGAGGAGCACGACGTCGGCCTCCAGCCGCGTGCCGTCGTCCAGCACCACCCCCTTCTCCCAGAACCACCACTTGGAGGACTTGCGGAACTTGATCCGCCCCTCGTCGGCCTCCGAGAAGAAGGTCTCCGGCAGGATCGCCATCTGGCAGGAGGCGTAGTCCTCCACGAAGGGATGGTCTGGCACCAGCCCGTACTTCTCCAGCGGGAGCTTCCACTTCAGGTAAGACTCGATGAACCTGGACATCCCCGACCGCTGCAACCAGAGGGAAGCCGCCGTGACGACCAGGAACTCAAGAAAACTGAGAGGGGCGACGGTAGCGGGTCTTACCAGCGGAGAGGCGAGTCTGCAGACGAGAGACCTCATCATTCCCTGATTGGGTCGCTCGTGGAGGAACTGGGACGACCTCGTGGAGAAGAAGAGGAAGAAGGGGAGCCCCCAGATGGAGTAGTGGGGCACCGTCCAGTGCAGGGTTCTGATCACCATCGTGCATGGTTGCCCGTCCTCCCCTGCACAGACAAACAGACAGAACTCTGTAACCCTATTCGTGTTTCATGGAGCCCTTATATTCATTCGTACGGCCGGCGTTGTTTCCTGTCGTCTGTACCTTGATTGGCCTCAGCGCATTCCACGGCCATGTCGATGGCGGACTTCTTGTAGCCGACAATGACGACCTTCTTCCCCCTCATCAGCCCTTTGGTGGCCTCCTCGTCGAGCTTGCAGTAGTCCAGGGTGTGCATGACCTTCCCCTGGAATACATCGGGGCCTCCCTTGTAAGGATAGGAGGGCATCTTTGGCACGTCGCCGTACTTGCCGATGCACATCACCAAAAACTCGAACCTGTACCACTGCAAGGAGGAGGAAGACGGAGATTGCTCAGCGCCCATGGCCGGAGGATATATCGATCGGCGGGGGGTGTAGGAGGGAAGGAGATCGGTAGATCGATGGATGCATGGATGGACGGAGATTTTACCTCCACGGTCGCCGACTGGCCGGTGCAGACGCCGACCTCCCACATGGGCTGGCCGGGGAGGGGCTTCCCGCCGGAGCCCCAGAGGTCGGCGGAGGAGGCCTCACGGCCGCCGAGGAAGCGGAGCTCCACCACCTTGGAGTTGAGGCGGATGTGGCGCCACAGGTCGAAGTGAGTCGCGTAGCCATGGAGGTATTCCACGATCTCGGCGTGGGTGGGGAAGGACTGGCTGCGGTCCTCCCAGGGGAAGTCGGAGAACTCGTAGTCCATGCGCGGAGTCTGCAGCTTCGTAGTCCTGAATGAGCAGTGCCGCCACACGCCGCCGATGGAGTCCGTCGCCTCGAAGACCACGGGGTCATACTGAGCCAGCTCCTTCGCCGCCGCCAGCCCGCTGATGCCCGCTCCCACTATCCCCACCTTCAGGACCTTAGCCATGGTTGCCCGGTGTTGACAAGCTCTCCCTCCCTTACTCTCTCTTTCTCTAAGCCCCGCCGCTGGCTCTTTCTTCTCACTCTCTCGTTCCCGCTCTTGCAGATGGTTGCGTTGGAATGGGGAAGAAGGTAGACGGAGGAGAGGGGGTATTTATAAGCTTGCGGGTGGCCTGAGATGCACAGACGACCCCCACCAGATGACGTGTTACAATGGAGACGGGGGCAGGTCGCGCTGACAGATGGTGGCGGAGAAGTCGGTGGACGACGAGGACCCTCGCAGATGACGGCCCTCCCTCCCTCCCTCCCCCTCCACCTCCGGTCTCGGCGGGCGCCGTCCAGAACGGAGGGGAAGAGGGCGAAGATGTTGTGGGGTTTCCATGAATCTGAGACAGAAGCTCTCCCACGCTTCGGAGCCGGCAGAGAGGGAAGAAACTCTCCTGGGTCTCTAGGGTTGACCTAGCTCTCTCCCTCTTTCTCAAAGGATCTATTTCCGGAAAGAGCATGTCTATATGTCCTGTCGTTGTCTGATCTCCTCGTTAAGGTTTTGTCCCACGGGGGAAGATTGCCCGCCGACAGTTGAGAAACAAATACGCAGGTGCTTCCCATGTTTTGGAGAGAGAGGGGAAACAAGTTTGCCATGTGGCATCTGGCACGTGGGAAATACATCATCGGCTTCGCCGCCCGCCTATTGTATTGGCACATTGACTATTATGTCTTCCTCGCGACTTTGATTTTATGGAGAACCACTTGCTCTGTCCACGTATGTTCTCCCCCACCCAACTGCCATCAGGAATCCCCCTTCCCCCATCTCTCTCTCTCTCTCTCTCCCCTTTGATCCCTCTCTCTCCCGTCTCTCCTCCGTCGATTCCCTTATCTCTCCCGTCTCTCTCCTTCGATTCCTCTCTCTCTGTATGTCTGTCTGTCTCGCTCTCTCTCTTCCCGTCGATCTGTCTCTGTCTCTCTCTCCTCCTCGATCTCTCTCTCTCTCTGTCTCTCTCTCTCTCTTCCTCGGTCTTTCTCCGCCTCTCTCCATCACTTTCGAAACATCTTCGTGACGAATGCCCACTGATGGCCAAGATCAGTATATCGGGTATATTAATCTGAACAGGCTGCGGTTACCTTAAAATATTTGACCCTCCTCCCCCGTCTCCTCCCCACCATGCGCTCTCCGTAGAGGTCTCCTCCCCGGGCAAGACTCGTTCCACATCCCATCCCGAGCACGTGGCCGGGCAGCAAACCAACGGGAATCGGCCGGGAAAAGTCTTCCCAGGAGACGGAGAATTCAGCAGCAGAAGAAGAGGAAGAAGAAGAAGAAGAAGACCGAGAAGACGGAGACCGCGATGATGATGCGGACACCGCCGGAGGAGATACTCGGGAGCAAGGAAGAAAGCAGTACGACGTCATGACGAGGAGATTTTGCGAGACCCTACACGTAACTGATCTCTTTGACCGCTCCGTCTGACTAATATTGTCCGGAGGGAAACTATCTGTCCATTTTTTATTATTATTATTATTATTTATTTATTCGTCCGCCTGATCTATCCCGTGGGAGGAGAAGGGGGGGTTGTGTGTGCAGGCATGGAATCGTAAGGGGAAGAAGTGTGTGGATTGAATTGGAAACCTCTTCAGACGCACATCCACACAGACAGAGAGAGGGGGAGAGAGAGAGAGAAAGAGTCCTAACACTCGAGGAGCTGGCGATCTTTACTGAGGAGTCTCTCTCCCTCTAGAAATTCAAAGCGGCGACTAGGAGAAGCTCGAGAGACAAGTCCGAGAGTTGAATTCAAGCTGATGAACGTAATCTCGTGACGGAGGAATAAACTTATCACGTTATGTTTCCAGAGGCTCGTTCCGTGGTTTCCGCCTCCTTCCTCTCTCTCTGTCTCTCTGTCTCTCTCTCTCTCTAAAACAACAGGCACATCATAATCTCTATAAAGCTCCGCAATACCTGTGGGAAAGTCGGCGCGAAGACGAGATGAAAAGGGACATCTCTGCACACCAACTTCTATCATGGGGATAACATTTTCCATCCCTAGACCTTCCCCGGTCCGCCGCCGGTCAAATCAAAACCACCTCAATTCAACTTCTCCAGTCTTTCTTCCGGCCTGCTACTTGCCGCCGTTGAAGGGACCTAACGACGACTCTCTCTCTCTCCCCTCCCCCCTTCTCTCTCTCTCTCTCTCTCTCTCTCTCTCTCTCTCTCTCTAAACTTTTTTCTTCTGAGAATCTGGCTCTCGAAGGGGAACGAGTCAAACCAAATTGTGAAATGTATAGGAAAACATCGCATGACGATTCTACGAGAATAGTCTGCATGGCTGCTGGGCACCGGCCCCTACCGTACGAGAGTCCTCGCCGGTCAGACCAAAGATAGGTCGGTGGTAGATCCGCCGCCACCCTCTCCTCCCTCCCTAAACCTCGAGCCCGTTGGGAGCGTCTCTCGCCACCTTTTCCACATGTTAAGCTCCCCACTATCCAGCCCACTTATCCCCGAGAGAGAGGGAGAAGTAGAGAGATGCGGGCGGCACAGAGAGAGAGAAAGAGAGAGATTGAACCGCTGCGAAATGTCTAAATAATACTTTTCTAAGATCTATTGTTTCATCGGAGGTTGGACTACTCCGGCCAGGTCAAATCCCCAAGCCCGAGCTGAGCTCCGGACTATTCGCCCCGTTGACACCTGTAGAGTTTTCAATAAAATCAGCCAATACTGAACGTCAGAGGTACGAAACTCGGAAAAATATGCATATCTTGCTGAATTGCCCGTCAAATGAGAGAAGAATCTACCATCCACGCAAGAAGGGCGACTGGTCTTGGGCATCTCAAGGAACCCGGAGATGAAAACAGCCTGATTTGTCTTCATCGACCCATTGGTTAGCACAATAAACAAGGCCCTGGAAAGCGAGAGGAACCGTGGGAACTAGCTGAGGAACGACGTCGCTTCTACGGGACGAGGTGTGAGCATGTGTGTGTGTGTGTGTGAGAGAGAGAGAGAGAGAGAGCCGTATTGGGACAATGCTCGCGGGCAATGGTTTTGACCGGGAGAGAACGCGTGCGCCCCCAACTCATCACCCGTCTTCTTTGAATCTACATGCTCGTCTCCATGCATTTACATCTCGACGTAGCTAAACCCACCACCTCTCTCTCTCTCTCTCTCTCTCTCTAAATCCCCCCTCCCCCTTGCGCCTTTAAGAGGAAATGCATGGCGAAGAAATTGTCGGTCTGAATTCACACGAGGCTGGAGACCGTAGCGTCCGCCCCACACCCCACCACGTCCACCTCATGCTTACAATAATGGACGCATTTTGCCTTCTCAAAGCTTCGAGAGATTATGTACCTGTAATCGTAGATTACATTCACTGTAGCGGGTTAACAAGCAGGTGCTCCCAATGACGACCTGTTCGCCATTTGACTTCCGTAATTGGGACATCACACGGCGGGAATGATTCTCGAGATTTGGTGAGAAACCCGTTCGCTATCCTCGATTGAGTTTGACTTTTCTCGTGTTGACTTTTTCGCTGAAAGCATCTCTCTCTCTCTCTCTCTCTCTCTCTCTCTCTCTCTCTCTCTCTCTCTCTCCCCAGGGGAGAACCGGTGAGACCAGTCCAATGTCCTGCTCCCCCTCTCTCTCTCTCGACCATCCAGAGGTAGTGACCCCAGTCCACGGGTGCAACTTCTCCTCATCGTCAGAAGACGGGGGAGAGGGAGAGAGAGGGAGGGAGAGAGAGAGAGAGAGAGAGAGAGAGAGAGAGAGAGAGAGAGAGAGAGAGACAGCGAGAGAGAGAGAGAGAGAGAACGAGAGAGAGAGAGAGAGAGAGAGGAGAGTCATGATCATGGAAAAGGTCCGCTTCTCTATGTTCACACGCTTCGGAAGGCCGAGGGGGATGACCGATGACGGAGTGGCCCCCGAGTTAAGTTCAATGATTTCATCTTTGGGGGGTTGTAAAAGTCAATACCAGAATTTCTCGGGGGGGCCTCGATGGGCCCCTGCTGTCTGCCCTAATCGGCTTCAACATGGTCTCCGCCTGATGGACCGGACCGTCTTCACCCACGCGGAGCCCGGTCTTCGCTGGATGGTTGACCTTAAAAAATATAGGACCGGCCACTTTCTTCGGTCGACATTGGGCCGGGCCGGTCGTTGACCACGGTTCTCGGAGGGGCCGCCCATTGGATGTTAGATTTGACTCTATGGGGATAATGGACCGTCGTGATGTAAAGTGGGCCCCCCAGGTCTATGGGCTGGCCCACTTTCCATGCGATGATTTATCGTTGTTTTTATCCAATGGGCTTTCAGTATTATTCGCCCGAATTCGTATCGCGAGATGGGCTTGGTTCAGTGGGCCGTTGGCCCTTGCTAATGATGGGCCATCCACTGGTCCGACCTGTCAGGGCTATATGGGCTGGAGATGTATAGCCCATTAGGATTTATAGTTGCCGGTCCTGTGGGCCCACTAAGCAAATCAAAGCGGCTCATTTATCCACCCGAATCTGGTTCACGGCCCCTGCTGTGGGCTCCGCCGGGTTTTGGGCCCCGACAACGGCTAGTGGCGTTTCTGTCCAGAGAAATCTGACGGCGGTAACCTCACTTCGAGTCGGGATACTCTCCGTTTCAGTCTCCCATTTAATGGGGACCACTGATCCACGTCGCCCGATCCATGGACCTCACGATCAATTTTAACTGCGGCCGCAGACTGTCGCGACCTCCGTCCTACACGTGGACTTCCGGGGGCATATTCCTGGGCCTCGGCCGCCGGCATATTCTGATGCGAGTTCCACGGGATCCGACGGCTGACGCACGCCCTCCGTCCCATATAAGGAAGACCCCCCCCACGGTGCCAGTGGCGTTTAACGACACCCGTTGCGGCCGAGGAAGATGGACCTGAAGATGCAGCTGGAGCTGCCCCTGGAGGCGCTAGTGCTCCGCCACTCCGCCGCCGGCACCGGCGGCGGGTCTGTGTGGGCCTGGCTGGCCGTCGTCGCCGCCGCATTCGGCCTGTGGCGCATCCGCTCCATCGCCGTGGGCTTCGGGTACGGTTACCCCCGCCGCCGGCGCTGCCGCCCACCCCCCACCTCGCATGACACCGGCAAATGCGACCTCGTCAGCGACCAGTCGCCGCCACCGCCGCCGATGCCCCCGCCGCCGAAGCTGCTGCCGGAGGCCGCCCTCTCAGCAGCCGGAGAGGGCTGCCGCCACGCGAGCTTCACCAGGAAGGGGTCTCTCTTCGAGGCGCACGGCTGCTTCGAGGAAGAAGTCGACGATGGGGAATCGGAAGAAGAGGTAGAGCGACCGCAGGGTCACCGATGGGCCCTCGAAGGCAGCGGCATCGTCCTCTACGGTTGCGGAGGCGGCCGCAGGGAGGAGAGGCGGATGGGGGACTTGGGGTGGTACCGGTACCAGGACCTTTCGGTGCTCAACGGGAGGGTGGTGAGGCTGTGGGAGGACGAGAAGCGCCTAGCTGCCTCCCCGTCGGTGCGGCGGCGGTGCCGCCTGAACCTGGAGGGGTGAGTCCGGAGCTCTCCCCCCCTCCGTAACAATGTACACAATTCTCTCCACCCGCCGGCCGGCGGAGGTGCTGTCTGTCTCGTAGTGGACTCTCTCTGGGTATTAAGTTTTGCCACGCCTAATGAAAACCTCCTCTCTTCTCTCTACCCTCTCTCCCCTCTCTCCCCTCTCTCCTCTCTCTCTCTCTCTCTCCTCTCTACCTTCTCTCTTCTCGCTCGCTCCCTTCCCGGCGTATTTTTCAGTGGAATATTCGCTCCTCTCTTGTCTCTTTGCATGCTGATGTTGCGTGAACCTCGCGGCCAGGTCCAAGTTAAACGGAGCCGCAAGTGGACCCTTTAATGGGCTAGCAGGGCGAATTACGTGATTTTTCATTATTATTATTAAATAAATAATGTAATATAATATGATATAGATGTGGGTGTGGTGAGCATCGGGTCCACAAGGTTGACGTGCTCTCCCCCACCAAAATCTGGGGGAAAATATTAATAATTTATACGGGACTAATAAAATAATGTCTAAGACCAGATTTTTTTTTATTTTTTTATTTTGTGGTCGCGTAGACCCGGCTCGTGACTCGGCGTCTGGCCACGGCGGGCCGATCTGAGGAAACTCGGGCGGTCCCGAGTCGAAGTCCGATCGGGGCTGGACAAGATCGGGCGTCAGAAACCCGGCCGAGTCAAGTGGGTCATGCAGAGTAGGGCGGGGCCCTCGGAATCGGATCTGGCGTAGCAGATTCCGTTCTCGTCACCGTAATGAGGTGACAACCCCCCCCCTTCCCCAACTTTATCGGGGCGGTCAGGCTCGTGTGGAAGCGGCGTGCGGGTCTCGTCCTACCTCGGTGAGCGTCCACAGCATCGCCTCTCCCCTTACCCGTCAAAGACAGACACAGATCGTCGTCGTTTCGTTTCTTAATTGCCCACGTGAAGTGTTCGCCCCCAAGAAGAATCGCAGATTTGACCGCGAGCCCTGTCTGCGTCTTCTGTTGACTTTTAGCCAAACGGTCTAGCTGAAACCCCAAGGTCGGCACTGCTCAGGCCTCTCTCTCTGTCTCTCTCTCTCTCTGTCTCTCTGAAACGGCGGCATGGTCTGTGGCTGTTAGAAGACGTTCGTCCTTCTAGGAGGGCAGCTTAAGCGAGGAGGATCAGGACGAGGCAGTCCGGCAGGGAGACAGGGTTACGATGGGTTCGAGGATGGTTAGTCAAACACGTGCCTGATGCCCTGACGGAACGAAATGCTTCCTCTCTAGAGCACCAGCCGCCTCTTCCCTCCCTGCCTCCCTCTCCCCCGACATCCCACGTTCCGAAAGTGGAGCCCCACAGGCTTGGAGAACTTATAAATCCTCCCCTCCTCGAACCCTATCTAAATTCCAGAAACACGACGCCTCAGAGACCACCTTCTCTCTCTCTCTCTCTCTCTCTCTCTCTATCTCTGTCTCTGTCTAGCCTTCTTTCTCTGCACCTGCATCTCACGGCAGCAGGAGAGTGAAGGAAAGAGTAATGGCTGTTCCTCCCCAAGGCCGCAGCAGAACCCTCGTCGTCCTCCTTCTCCTTCTCCTCTCCCTCTCTGCTGGGAGAGTCTCTTCTTCTTCTTCTTCGTCTTCTTCTTGCCTCCGCCGTGACGCCAACAGAGCCGTCTATGCCGCCGCCAAGTCCGCCGGCGAGGCCGCCGGCTACGTATCCCACCTCCTCCGCAGCACATCGCCGAACTCGGTGGCCCTCAAAGACTGCCGTGAGCTGCTGGGAGACTCCGCAGAGCAGCTCAACAAGACGGCAAGGCAGCTCCGCCGGCTCCGGCCGGAGACCTTCACCTGGCAGGTGGACAACGCCCTAACGTGGACCAGCGCCGCCCTCACCAACCAAGACACCTGCGTCCAAGGGCTCCGGGAAGTGATGAAGGGCACTAGCGGCAAAACCAGGGAGGCCGTCGTTAGGAGAGTCTCCCATGTCTCCCGGCTCACGGGAAACGCCCTCCACCTCATCAACCGGCTCGCATCGACCAACGGCCGGGGCCTCTGATGACGCCGATCCGACGGCCGTGGCCTCTCCCATCAATACGTATGTATGTATGTATGTATCTATGTACGCCCTTGCAATAAGTACTCTCCGCGGTGTAATGCTCCCTCGGCACATCTGAACTACGGATGCACCCACCGATGCGGCCGAGGGGGAATCAGATGTCGACCTGTGCGTGTACAACCTTATTAGTCGTGACCCATTCCTTCTTACCGATGTCGATACATTTAATAAATTACTGTGACATTTATTTATTTATATTCCCTTCGGGTAGGGAAAAATACTTTTTATTTAATAAATAAATCAAGGCCCAACTCTGTAATGGGCAGATGGGCCGGAGGTCTGGAGGCGGATACTTCCCTCATCCCGAGTTAGAGGCCCAGTAACGAAGGGCATATGTAAAGCCCAACATTGTTTTCGGGCGCGATTCGGGTTTGGTTGGCCCCGGAGGGATCCATTCCGGATCCGCGCAGGATTCGGACCTCTCTCTCTCTCTCTCTCTCTCTCTCTCTATCTCTGCGATCTCGTTGTCGTCATGGCATAAACCCTAGTCCAGCGCTGCACGGCGGCTTGTCTTTCGGGGCCCAACAAGGCGATATCTGACCGGCGGCTTCCTCCGTCGAGTGCTTTTCCTTTCCTCTAACTCTCTCCTTCTAGTTACTTGCCGGCGGCCGGTCTCTGCCTCCATCTGCTTCTCCCCACTACACCCTCATACTCCCCTGCGCTCCGCAGGTCAGACAGGTTCCCACCATCTCTTGGCTCTCGCCATGGAAAGGGTGGAACTGGAGGGGGTCCTGGAGGAGCTCGGACACTACGAGGGGGAGGATGCGGGACTGGATGATGGGGGTGACATCGGCTCCGCCCTGCTCTCTCGGCTTCACAACTCCCATGCTGAGGGCCATCGGCATGTCTGCACGGTCGTTGGAGCCATGTCGCAAGAGCTCAAGGACCAGGGCTTCCCCCTATCCCCTGTGGCCTACTTTGGCGCCACCGTATCGTCTCTCGAGGGGCTCTCCAAGGACCCCTCCTGCGGCGCAGACCCGGTTGTTTCGGCCCTCGTCTTCTTCTTGTCTGAGGTCCTCCCCAGGATGCCCCAGAATCTGCTGAGGAGCCGGGCAGGTCCTGTGCTGGAGACGCTAGGAAGGGTACTCATGGCTGGAGTGTTGACAGAAAGTGCATTGGAAGGAGCATTGCGTTGTGTTCCGCACATGATCGTGGTTGGGGGCAAGGATAACTGGCCCAGTGCGGCTCCTCTATACAAAATTATTCTGGAATATGTGACGGATAGTCGTTCAGTGGTGAGCCATTATCTCCGTTGAAACCTCCCTTGAAATATCATCTTCGGTTGCTCTCTCCCTGGCTCTCCTATCTATCCGCATATCAATGTTCATCCCTATCGATATTTTCATGGCTTCTTTTAGTGGAAAATTAATCGGTGCTTGACGATTTACCCGATGGGGAACAGCTATCTTTCTATGTGCATTTTCTCAGCAGATAATGATTTCAAACTTTCGTGAGCATTTTTTTTTATTAGTATCTTCACCCTTCATCTGTGTGATCAAGTCCAAAAATTACACGCACCGTGAATAGTGTACAGATAACCTTGTCATAGTAATCGAACAGAGGTGAGGCTCATTTATTTTAGTTCGATAAAAATTGAATCAAAATATTTTCTCTTTCCTTTTGGGTCTCTGTCTATCCACTTCAGGGTATAGAAAGGTAATTAAGGTTTCTCTCGGTTACCTGTGAACTAAACTAATAGCATGGAAGATATGGGAACCCCATATTAAACTAAGAAAAATGTCGTATAGAGCATCCTTATTCTCATTGCATCTTATAATCTGGATTTTATGCTTAATGTTTCTACCATAGCTGACTGAACATTATCGCTCTGGATTTTGGTACCAACTTTTTCTTACATTCTGTAAAGGCTTAGAACAATCTATCCAATACAATGCAGGTCAGAAAGTTGTCACACTCATGCATTCGTGATGTGCTTCAAGGTTTTCAAGGATCACCGACTTTGGTGTCAGCTAGTGAGGAGATCAAGGCTGTCTTTGAGAGGTTTCTACTACTTGCTGCGGGTTCTAATTCTGCGAGTACAGCTGCAATTGAAGGAGGAGGAAGTGGTTGGAATATCGTGTATATGTTAAATGCTTTGCAATATTGTCTCCCTTTGATGGTCACTAAGCATAAAAATAAGATTCTGGCATACTTCAAACCACTATTGGAGTTGCGGCACTCCATCGTAACGAGGAATATCATGGATATTTTGCATACTCTTTGTTTGAATCCAGCGTCAGAAGTTGCACCTGAAACATTAATGGAGCTGATCTGTTTGTTGGCCTCTTCTGCTTTAGACAAGGAAGATTCAGCGGATACAATGGCCTCAACTGCTCGCTTATTGTCTGTTGGTACTAAAAAGGTTTATGCACTAAATCGTCAGGCTTGTGTAGTTAAGCTTGCAGTCATTATCAATGCTCTTGGAGGTTCGGTTTAATCTTCCGTTTATTCATTCCTAGACTTTCACTGCCTTGGATTAGCTTATATCATCACACAAGTAAGGTGCGATTCTCCTTGTCTTTGACTTTTGATAGACATCTTGGCGCGGGGGCATGAAGAGGCAGTTTTTGCTGCTACAGAGTCATTAAGAAGTCTGATACGTACTTGTATAGATGATTCACTGATTAAGCAAGGAGTTGATCAGATCAACTTGACAGAATCTTCTGGAGAAAGAAGGTCTGGTCCAACGGCCATTGAAAAGATTTGTGTTACTCTTGAGAGTTTACTTGGTTATCAGTACAACGAAGTATGGGACATGTCATTTCAGATTCTGTCTGCGATGTTTGAAAAATTAGGTACGTCTCCCACCTTCTTTGTTTTCTTCTTCTGTGTACATAGTTGATAACCATTTTTTTATCATTTTCATGTCTTTTTTCAAGAGTTTATTGACACTTGAAAAACGTATACTGGATACAACTCTTTATTTGTCTACAAAAATTTCATGTCATATTCATTCTCGACCCTACTCGAAATTTCATGATGGAATTTTGTTTCTGAAATTTCCAGATAATTTCATGATGGAATTCTCAGTCATATGATCGGTCGTAACACGGTATTAGTAGTGGTCTTTTATTCATATTGATCTGAAAATTTTGTGAGAGAAATTAGGTGGTATATTTATCTGTTACTAATGAGAAATTGACCAAGGTGTCGACAATCTTGTCCTAGAGTGAAGAATTTTTAAACATTCGTGAAAAGAAGTGCACAGATATCCGGTCCCTTATGAACGTAAGTCTTAGTTGATATTAGAGCAAGCGGTATTAAACACCGTTGGGAATAAATTATTATTATTTATTTTGGTGATGACATGATAAATCTTAAAATATTTTCCGTGCTGTATCCTGGAACTCTAGATGTCGAAGTCGTAAGATAGAATAAGCTAAGATAAGCATGGCATCGTTATTATCTAAAAAAAAAATATTAGTTGACCAGAACCTTCAGAAGGTTCCTCACGCCTATGCTGCTGTATTGCCTTCAGCGAAAAATGCATGAAATAAAGAAAGGTGTGACCTGGCTCCTCGGGATGAAACTAGTTTGGATGAAGTAATTAGCGTTGTACCCTCATAATATACCAAATGTCCATCAGAGTTGATCCTTCCAACATTCACTTGGAAACAATCCTCTAGAGGGGAAAGCATGATGTTGGTTTTGAAAAAAAAATCCTCTCCTGTGGATATCCTGGATTTTTTTTCACTTTTGATGTACAGAATTTTGTTTAAATTCCGCAGAGAGCCAAAATTGATGCATAGTATTTTTAATTTGATGGTATATGCCTTCTTTACACCTAGTTGTTGATTGCCACATGCTTTTATGTTGTCTAAGGATTTTTGGATACTGTAAAAACTGTTCTTGTCGTTAGATGGGAATTCTGCCTGGTGACGTGTCGTAATTTCTCTGTCAGAGCATGACGCTGTTATAATTGTCTCGTCTTTGATAAGATTTATATATCATTCACAATCAGGTAAATCTTCGCATATGATGTCTGGCGCGATTAGGAACCTTGCAGAGATGCAGAAATTATCTGAAGAAGTGCTTGCCCACAGAAAGCAGGTACGATCAATGCACCATACAGCATTGTTGTCAATCCTACAGAAGAAACATTGGGTTTTTAGACACCTTTCTTCGCTTTTTCTCGTTCATGATTCTTCTCTCTGAGATAAGAATATTATATAATTTTTAAAAAGAAGCAGAAACATTATGCCAAGTTTTCTTAGCCATTACACCTTGTGTGATTACTGATATTCTTGTCATGCGGATGCTTCATATCTGAAGCTTCATGCATGTCTTGGGGCAGCTGTTGGTGCGCTCGGCCCTGAGCTCTTTTTGACAATTTTGCCGCTCAAAGTGGACGTGGAGGACATATCTGAGGCTAATGTTTGGCTACTTCCCATATTGAAGCAATACACTGTCGGTGCACATTTAAGTTTCTTCAAAAGGCAAATTTTGTTTTTGATCAGACGCCTACAACAGAAATCTCAAAAGGTGCCAACCTTGGTACTTCGAAGTTGAATTATGTTATGCTATAACGTGTTTGATGTTCAAGACAGATTTTATTTGCAGCTTGAGCGGGATGGATTGATTGTTTCAGCTAGGAATCTGAAAGCTCTTGTTTACTCCCTGTGGTCCCTGTTGCCTGCGTTCTGCAATTACCCTGTTGATACTGCTTCTGGCTTTGAAGGTCTTCAGAAGGTGTTATGTGACACACTTAGAGAGGAACCCGAGTTGCGTGGAATTATCTGCTCCAGCCTGCAGGTTTGTACAGTTTGGCCTATCGTTTTTTATTTTGTCTGTTAATCATTTTACATGGCTATCCTTATTACATATCACTATGTTTGTGTAGGTTCTGATTCAGCAGAACAGGACAGTGCTCACAGGAAATTTTGAGGCATCTGATGATGAAATGAGCATTTTTGAGCTGAAGGCGAGAGCCTGTTATACTCCTCAGCTTTCTGGAGAAAATCTAAATGCAATACGTTCATCTTCTCCCGAGTTTTTCTCAGTTCTTTCTGAAATATTTTTCAAGGATTTGAAGGACAGTGGTGGATGTTTGCAGGTACTTTGGCATATCTATAAATCTGGCAGTTTGATATTGTATGATGTACTTTTTACGGCTTAAGAATCTCTGCATTTTATTTTTTCTATTTCGATATACCGGGACAAATTCTTTTGTCTATGTTCGTGTCATTGATTGTTATTCTTCGAGAATCAATAATTGTTTTACAAAAGACTACATTAATCCTTCTCTGAAAGCAGTGGAAAGCTTACAACTGCCAACGTAGTGATATAGTTGAAAAATGTCCATAACCCTTTTCTTTGCAAAATAGTTAATCCCCTTGCGTCCCTTCATCCTGCATCCAGGAAATACTGGTTACGAGAATGCGTTTCGCATTTCTGTATTTAAGAGCACTGAATTTAATATTTTATTTGGCAGTCCACGATCCATGAGCTTGCCTCCATATCAGATAAAAAGCTGGTCAAGAAGTTCTTCACACGTACAATGTATGAGCTCTTGAAGGTTATTCAAAAAATAAATAATACAGATCAAGACAAAAGTTCAACTTCCAAGGAGGTTGATGCTTCTTCTGGTGAAAACTCAAGTTTAGTTAAAAGGTAAGGGTATACTTTTTTTGTTGGGTGGGTGCATGGGTTGGTGTCGTGATTATCATAGGGAATAATAAACTAACAAGTTCATGCGTCGAATTCTTATTTCTGTAATGACAGGGCCCTCCTCCTGGATTTAGCCGTTTCACTTCTGCCAGGATTGGAGATGGAAGAGATTAATTGCCTATTTAGTGCCATAAAACCTGGATTCAAGGTGTGTTTTGATCAGCAAACCTTTAGCAATCGCTTTTTTCTTAGCCAGTTAGCTCCCATCAGATACAAAATGATGAGACGATTCTGACAGATTCCAAATTTCAGGACAAAGATGGTTTGATTCAGAAAAAGACTTACAAGATTCTTTCCATAATCCTCAAGGTATGACTTCCTCTAGTCTCTTGCTGATGCTTTACGAGTGTCTCAGCATTTACAAGAATAAGGTTTAAACGTTCAGATCGTTATTCTAAATGATGTTTCAATTGTTTTGTATCATGTAGGAGCGGAATGACTTCCTTTCGCGCGAGTTAGATGGGCTTCTTGGGATGATGATAGAGGAGCTACCTCATTGTCATTTTTCAGCTAAACGTTACAGGCTCGACTGCTTACATTATTTGATCCTCCATATGTCCAAGGTTAACACTGACATTGAGTATTCTGTGTCTAGATTTTCTTGGAGTACATTGACACGTGCAGATTATAGCTCTTGCCGGATTGATTTTTATTTCTGAAGTTAGTTGGGCTTAGTAGTAAATGGATGGATCGTGCGCTTTGCTTTCAGGATGCATCTGGAGAAAGGAAGCAGGATATTATCAGCAGCTATCTCACCGAAATAATACTTGCTTTGAAAGAGGTAGTCCTTTTTTTCATTCAATTCGTAAAGGGTTTTGCCTTTTCGTCACAGATGTGTTGCTGTTCTGTCCAGAATCAATTGTTGTTTCCACTCCCATAAAAGTATTCATAGTTTGTTCCATTTCTATCTTATTGATATCCAGTGACCTTTTTTTTTCTTTTTTTTTTAGTTATTCCATTCCTTCTTTGAGGCTTTATGGGTTCCTCTATTTGGAAGTCTGAATCCTTCCCAGATCCATTCTTCTTAATCGAAATCCAAAACTCTTAAAGGGAATAGAGCACACACACACACACACACAAACACACAGACACACACACAGAGATGTCTAATGATGCGCCATTTGTCTATTTTGGCTAATCTCAATGTGGTCTTGCAGCCTATTCTGGTCTATTTTGTATGTCAAGCATATTACAGCGTCTATGCATCTTATCTACTACTTCAATGAAAACCGGATCCTTCCAGAAGGAAAAAATTGGACCCCTAATTATCGGGTTCCTGCTTGAAACCTGTATTCTTCTCTCACATTCCTTCTTTAATTCTTCTTGATTTATTTCATGTTTCCCCTGATCTTTTTGGACTCTCTCTTTTCTTTTCTTTTTTTTACTGATTTTTAATTTGTTCATCAACCAGCTCTCCATTCAAGATTTGGCCATTAAGAATGTACAGCTTGTATTTGGCCAATAAATTTCACGCATAGCTGATGGCATTATTCATCTGAAGTTAGAACTATGCAATTTCCTTCATAACACGTCGATCAGTAGTCTCAATAGCTTGCATGAAAAATCCTCGAGAGTTTATCCTCCATTTGTACATGATCTCCTTCAAGAAACCCATGCCAAGTACATGAGACGAGTGACGAGCAACCATTTGGTGAGATCGACCATTTTTCGTCCATTTTTCTTTGCTTGTCGTGACCCGACTTCTGGAATCAAGATTAAATTGGCTTCTCACTGCGTGGTTGTCCCTCTAGGGCTCCCTTATTTCTTGTCAGAATTTTAATCACTTTCCCCAAGTATTCGTAGAAAATAAGCTTCTGGCAAGCACTGACACTTGGCGCTGTGCGCTCTCAATAGGCTAACAAGAAAACGAGAAACCGGGCATACGAATTGCTGGTCGAAATTGGCCGTGCCTGTGGAGATGAAGAACAAGGCGGCAAGAGGGAGTACCTGCAGCATTTTTTTAACATGGTATTAAAATCAACCGTCAATTTCTTTTCTCTGTGGGCTCTATGAATAAAGTCACTATTATTTTTATTTTTTATGTTTTTTTTTTTTTTTTTTTTTCTGACGCATGTCTCTTCGCTGTCAAATGGCTTTCTGGGCTCAGGTTGCCGGAGGCCTGGCAGGGGAAACTCCGCACATGATCAGTGCAGCCATCAAAGGGCTGGCTCGCTTGTCATATGAGTTTTCAGATCTTATTAGTACAGCTTACAGCCTTCTCCCATCTGCCTTCCTCCTGATGCAGAGAGAGAACCGCGAAATCACTAAGGTATACCTGCTACTCTCCTACGTGATGTCTGGGCGCAGTCATGGTGACTGTGCGAGACGAGACGAGGCAAAGCATGATGTTGGATCTTTTCGCAGGCGAATCTAGGGTTCCTCAAAGTGCTCGTTGCTAAATCACAAGCCAATGGATTGCATATGCACTTGGGTGGCATCGTTGATGGGTTACTGAAATGGCGAGATAATACCAGAAACCATTTTAAATCCAAGGTACGCTTCAATCTGCTGCCTAAAACCTTGGTGGCATTTTCACATGATTCTTTCTTCCCTCCGACTGAAAGATCATGCCGCATCTTCATACTTTCAGGTGAAGCTTCTGATCGAAATGATGGTGAAGAAATGTGGCCTCGATGCAGTGAAAGCAGTAATGCCCGAGGAGCATATGAAGCTGCTCACCAATATAAGGAAGGTTGGTATTCTTCCAGCACGCAGCTTGGTTGACTTCCAACTAAAATAATTTCTTTCCTTTGTTCGAGTTTTTGAATATTTCGCCGACGATGCGCGCAGATTTCTGAGAGGAAAGAGCGAAAAGAGAAATCTGAGACTGGGTCTCTTTATTCCAGAGCCAGTAACTCCAGGTAGGTGGCACATCATCACCGGTCTATAAGTTTTTCTTTTTCTGTTGACTTTATCTGATTATCCAGAAAAAAAAACATATTGCGAGCTCTTCTCTTGAACCCTGAGAAGTTGTGTTTTGTAATCCGAACACGTTGACCAAAAAAATTGCACCAAATGGAACCTAATTAGAAAGAAATTTGCAGGATGATATGCACTTTTAAAGAGTCACGACGTGCAAAGTCAAACCTTTTTTTGGCAAATAAGATTATGCTCAAAGGCTAAATGTTGGAAGAAGAATCCTTTCAAGCACTGAAATCTTCCTACTCAGGATGGCGTAGGGATTTAGATTTTGCTAAGATGCAGCTGCATTAATTCTGCATGATGAGCCATTTAATTGATTACCCATCAACGAATGGAGTGCCATTTCTTCATTTATTCATGGTTCTCATCTCGCGGCCAAACTTTGGTTTGGTCAAAACATGACCCTTGATCCGCCGATTTCTCCATGTCTTTTATTAGTATATGACCAGCGGCAATGCTCGTATTCAAGAACAAGTGGGCAGACTGCGCGTTGACTGTGATCCGCCTCTCCTATTCTGTGGCATATTTTTTGTCGAGATTTATCGCTTTTTTCGAAGTGTAAATTACGTAAAAAAATTGCTCGTTGATGAATTTCGATTTTCGACGTGCAGGCACAGTAGATGGAACCACACCCACATATTTTCCAGCTTTGGAGAGGACGAGAGTGACGCAGGAGGAGACTTGGTTGTGGGCACCATCTCCGGCGGAAAGTCAAAGGCCTCCCGCGCCGCCAATTCAAGAGCTTCTTCGTCGTCGAAGTGGGTTCCCCGTGACGAGGAGACGATCCTTCCCAGACAGAGATTATGGATGATGGTTTATTCATGGTGTGTTCGTTCATTTGTCGTAGGCTGAAGCGGCGGGTTGCGCCCAAGATGCTGTCGGAAGACCTGCTCGACCAGCTGGACCTGCTGGACCGACAGAGGACCAGGTCGAGCCTCTACATGTCGGCGGCACAGCGCAAGAGGAAGGCGGACCCCGGCGAGGAACCGGCAGAGATCGCCGCCGACGGGCGGCTCGTGGTGCGGGACGACGACGAGTCGAGGGCCGAGGAGAGGCGGCGGCGGTGGGATTCCTCCGACGGCGGCGACGGCGGAGACAACGCCCACCGCCGCCGGAAGGAGAAACATCCCACCTCCGGCGGCGACGCGGCGTCGGCGGTGGGCTCCTCGTCGAGGGGTCGGAGCAAGCGGCAGAAGACGAAGGAGGCCGGGTGGGCGTACGCCGGCGGCGAGTACAGCAGCAAGAAGGCCCGAGGGGACCTGAAGGTTAAGGACAAGCTGGAGCCGTACGCGTACTGGCCGCTGGACAGGAAGCTGCTGAACAGGCGGGCGGAGCTGAAGGCGGTGGCGCGCAAGGGCATGGCCAAGGTCATGAAGAGGAAGCACGAGGGGAAGGGCGTAGCCGCGGTTGCCAAGGGGGTGACGCTCTCCAGGGCCCAGAGGACGGCCAAGAGGAAGGGCAAGTTGCTGCAAAAGAAGAAGCACGCCAGGTGATAGAGTTCCCCCGGAGACGAATGAGCGGTTCCCCACTCTCTCTCTCTCCTCCCTGGTTTGTTTGTTCTGCGACGTCTCCGCCGCACAGTTTTGCATGCCTGGGTCTCGACAGTATTCCATTCTTTCTGCTATGTTAATTCGATGCTTGAGGGCAGATCTCATTCTCACTCATCCAGTATATATACCTATTGGCTCTCTCTCTCTCTCTCTCTCTCTCTCTCTCTCTCTCTCTCTCTCTCTCTCATATCGATCCTGCGCAGCACCCAAGAACAGGAGTGGGAAGAATGCCGAATCGAGTCTCGCCATCAATGCTGCTTCGCCTGCGTATGATTACCGCCACGTGCAGGTACCATTACCGCGTATGATTACGATCCCAAGGGAAAAAAAAGAAGAAAACTTTAAAAAGACCGAAGAATTCAAGAGCAAGAGAGAACCGTGAGACGGTGGGTAGGTCAACCACGCTTCCGATATCCCATCTGCTCCTCTATCCCATGAATCTTTACTGCTCGAGCTCGGGAAGAGAGAGAGAGAGAGAGAGAGAAAGGGTTATAATAGATGGTTTTCCCATTAGCGGCGGCTATAAGGAAATCTACAAGACATAGGGAGAAGTTCAGGGGAGCCCGTCGCTATGCTCGTCCTGGCACCTCGACCACACCAAACAAAACTTTCGTGGCTTCGGATTGACGACTGATTCTCCTCCCCCATCCAGCAGCAAAATAGACAACTGTGGACGCCCTCTGCGCCCCCCCCCTCTTCCTGCCGCCTCTTTTACTCTCTCCCTTCCTTCTCCCTCTCGGTCAACGTCTGCCATCCATCCAGGGTCCAGGGGAGAGGAACTCACTTGTACGGCGCGAACAGGATAGACGAGTTGTGCCCGCCGAAGCCGAAGGAGTTCGACAGAGCCACCTTCACGTCCAGCCGCTCCTTCTTCGACCCCACCAGAAGGCTCATGTCCTGCTTTTCCATCCACCAGGCATCATCAGTCAGAGGGCTGGGCTCGGAGAGAGAGCACCTACCGCTCCCTCCGAACCCATCACAGCCTTTTCATTTGGGCCAACCAGCTCAAGAACTCGTACTAATTTATAATTTTTGAGTCAAAACCAGCTTTGGGAGAGAAGGGATGAAGGGGAAGAAGAAGAAGCAACGTACCACGCCTTCTTCAGGGTTTTCCAGGTTGATATTCGGATGCACCAGCCCTGTTCTGATTGCCTGCACGAAAGAAACATCTCCCCATCAGGAAAGCCAACAGGTATGTACCCACCTAATCGGCTCACCGTTTTACAATCATCTGCTGAATAGTTTCTCTTATAAAAAAAATTCAAAAAAAAAAAGAGAAGAAAAACTGGTAGTCCATCAATGAACTCATAGACCTTTGCAGATCAACTGTTCCTATGTTTTTATGGCATATACAGCTTACGGTTTTACAATCATCTGCTGAATAGTCTGTTATTTTGAAAAAATAAAAAATAAAAAAATGGTAGTCCATCCAATGAACTCATAGACCTTTGAGCATCAACTGCTGCTTTAGTTTTTATGGCATCTTACAGTCTGAATTCACACGTGTGACCATCTCACACGCTTTTTCAGCCCCCCACCACCCCCACCAAGAAAAAAACTTCACAACACTCCCTTGGGGAAGAGTTTGACAACTGCAATGTACTTCTTGAAGTTCTAGAGAGGGATCAACCTTATACCATCTATGAGTACACCAGAAAACCTCAGAAACAAAAAAGCTTTACCACCCATGTGTTCATTCCGACCATGGAACATTATCTTCTCTCTAATTCGGTTCTGCTCGAGGCCATAGATGTCTAGTACCCACAATGTCAATGGTCAATAAAAGTGCTGCTTTGATGCATAAGAATGTGGGAAGCAGAAGCAATGGCGTTTTTCCACCTCTGTGGAGAAAAAAATTGACTACAAGCTTTTCTTCTGATACGACAAAGGAAACCAGAATTTCAGCGACAACCACTAAACGCAAAAAAGTTCAGCACTGAAATTCCCAATTTCAAAATTGGAACCATTAAGCTGATTAAATGAAAATCAGATTCATGTAATATCTTCCCCAAAGCAAAATCTGGAAGCGGACAACTCGTCTTCCCTGACTTTTCAGGCCTACGGATACAATGTAGCTCTAACATACGGAAGGCAGCTAGTGTCGACCGCAACAAAAAGACCACACAACGCTACTGTTGCATCCGTTGTGTCTGAATCTGCATGTTTCTATCAAAGGGCTTCAGATGTGAAGACTCAAGATGGAAAAGACATGAGCTGGTATGCTTAGTTTGTTTAACCTGACCGACATCATTTTCATTTGGGGCCATCTCAATCTGATACAAATTGCTCAGCTCTCATTCAGCCATCATGCCAGTGATGGTTGCCACAATATTCCACAAGACCTGGCCACGGCTGCATCTTATTTCATAGATTATCCAGCATAGCATTTCTCTACTAGAATTTTCTCCTAAAAACTAACACTCAGCGGACATACACAGGACTTCACTTCTCCAACAAGTGAGCCTCATCAGGAAGGCAACCGGTATGTACCCACCTAATCACCTAATAGGCTCACTGTGTGGTATGCCCCATCAGCATAGCATTTCAAAACATACTTTATAGAATACGATGCTTCAACTTATTACAAATAGAGGCAAGAGAGCTCACAGCAAGCTTTTCCAAAGGTGGGGATTACTCATCGAAGTTTTTTGGCATATCATTCTCCATTTGATTTTTCAAGTTTATAAATCCAGACGGAAGCACATGCTCTGGTTTTCTCTTCATCACGTAACACAATCTAATGGCCATATGGCCTGACATTGGTTATCCAGATTCAAGGTCAGCTGAAAATGGGTTAAAAAATAGGGATAACTCCTTTCTATCGAGTATATCCGATTTGATAAAAACGGCACCTCTCACATATGACCGATTGGTACAGCACAAGAAATACTGTGGGAAAATAAACCACAAAATCGTGTGGGAATACAAAACACTTTTTGGTTAGTTCAAATTTTCTAACATCACCCTGGGACTAACTCAAATTTTAGATAGTTAGAGATGTGTATCGAAGAATTGATAAACAAAGTAGTTCTCTATTTTTTAGCAATATGGAACCCCGGGAAATTGCCCCAGCATTATGAGTATCATTTTATGTTTGTGAAAAGTCGACCTTGAAAAAAACATACCAAGGAAAATATAACACAGATCCTTCTTTTTGCATAATTCTGAGTGCTCTCTAACCTGTATTGCAGCAACAGCTTCCACAGCCCCAGCCGCTCCCAACAGGTGACCAATCATTGATTTGGTTGAGTTCACTCTCAGCTGCAGAACAATGAAATCAGGTGTGGCATTCATAAAAGAAGAACATTTTATATGCTGCAATAGTACCTCGGGGTTGTTCCCAAAACAGCGAACAAGAGCTTGATACTCTTTCAGATCACCAGATGGTGTTGAGGTGGCATGAGCATTAACATAATTAACGTCTTCTCTAGCAACTCCTGATTGAGATAGGGCCTTTTCTACGCAAAGGGCAATGCCAGCGCCTAATTTTCCAAAAGTCAGTCGAGAATTATACACAAATTCAGGAGCAGATGTGCAAAGATGTGGCGGGAGATTTGATCCTGTACCATCGGGATGGGGCTCGGTCATGTGGTAAGCATCACATGAAAAGCTCCCTCCAAGAAACTCTGCATAGATGGTTGCACCTCTTTGCTGCAAAATCCAGTAGAATGAAGAGGAGCATTCAAACACACGCAAAAAACGAGAAGAAATAAGTTAATTTAGACCTCAAGGATAGAAATTTCCGTCAATCTTAGATGAAGCCGATAGAGGTCCACAAAAATCACCACAATTAATCCAGAAGTTTAATATTCAAGGAAGCACCAAAGTGGGCGAACCTTTGCATGTTGCATATCTTCCAACAAAAGGACACCAGCACCTTCCCCCATGACAAATCCATCCCTTCCCTGCCAATTGAAAAGGCTCCATCAAGCTAAAAAAATGTAAAAAAAAAACACAAATAATGGCATCCGCCCTGTTTTAGAGTCTTCCATCTTTACATAACACAGAAACAAGGCCAGCATTTCTAGGAAAGCCGTTTCGCCTCTGGGGACCAAATCTAAAAGGAAATAGGCAGGTCTTATCCAGGATAGTCATCATTACAGAACAAGTCAATGATCCATATTAAGTTGAAAGACTCCTTTGATTGTCTATTGAGACTGAATGTGCGATCGATGCATCATAAGCCGAGATGGATGAAATTTTCCTCTATTAATACCAACAAATGCAAATAGTTTTAGGATATGATTTACTAGGTCAGAAAGTTATCATCCAGATTAAAGAAGAATAGTGGAGGGTAAGTGATTAATGCATACAGCATCCCATGGGCGCGAGGCTTTGGTAGGATATTCATTCCGTTGTGAAAGTGCTCTACAGGCCACAAAACCACCCAAACCTGCGATCCATGAGAGACATTGGAAGAAGCCATTATCAGATAGCAGTCATGTAAACTCAGAGTGTGGATACAAAGATGGGTAGCTTCTAGTGAGCGGAGCAAAACAAGTGGACTACCAATAGGAATGATCGCAGCATCTGATCCACCACAGAGCATTACATCCTGCATGTGTGAGCAAACTGTTAATACGCAAAAACGCCAAGCAGTTGATTGCATAGGCAAACTGGAAACCGGAAACTCACCGCTTCGCCTCTTATGATGTGATTTGCAGCATTCAAAATGCAGAAGTTGCTGGTGGCACAAGCGGTAGAGATTGAATAATTTGGACCCATCCAGCCCTGAAATAAAATTCTCACACAGCTGACCATTTGAGGAGGCCTCAATAAATATGCTCCAAAATATATATTGGTATCAGAATACCATGCCGTTTAGCTCACCAGATCCATTGCAAGCATTGCGGAACCCATATTTGTGGTCGCAAAAGGTACACAGAATGGGTTCATCTTCTTATATGAGACCCTCAACGCTTCAATTGCATCATTGAAAACCTGCATGAGATATCAACAGGCAGCGCGGGTGCTTGAGACCATATGACTTTACTCAAAGAGGGACAGTTATTAATGATGATGGAATTGAAATGGACAGAGAAAAAGTATTAGATAATTTCATAGAGAGCAAGCACATCTCGTTGGCACAACACCCCGTTATTTCACAATTATCAACATCAGAATTCGCATGCTATCAACTGTATTTTGTCATTGAGATATTTCATTTAGGAATGAAGAGATGTGACAACTGAGAACCTACTTTCATTCCTCCCATTGCAGAGCCGATGAGCACTCCACATTTAGCTTTGTCTAGTTCATTCAGAACTGCTTCTGTCATCCCACCATCATTCAATGCTTTCTTGCCAGCGACAAGCAAGTACAACATAAATTTGTCCATCCTCTTGGACAGCTTCGGAGCAACCCACCCATCGGTTGAGAAAGCTTTGATCTCCCCTGCTATCCTCTGTGCCAAATATGCATACCAATAATCGTACTAGAAAATGCAACAATAAAACAGTAATGACGGAGTATTTAATTCTGATATTGGGTGATGCTATTCGCAACACATCAAAAAGGAAAAAAAAAAAAAAAAAAGACCAAAATATATACCGTTGGGAAGTTGGCACAGTCGAATCTTTCTATTTCACTTATGCCACTGACTCCTTCAAGAAGATTATCGTAGAAAGAATCAGGGTCATGACCTAGTGGAGTGACGACACCCATTCCAGTGACCACAACTCTTCTTTGCTTATGAGGAGTTCTTCTCCTTTCTGAAGCTTCTTTTGTAGGTTGCACAGCCACCGCCATGACTTCTCCTGCGATTAAAACAGCCGAATCAGCACATGGCTCCAGGGTTGCAAAGCAGTCATAATCTAAGAAGGATGCTGAATGGCATGCAGAGGCAGCCTTACGAGTCCAACCACAAGCTTGGGGCCAAAAATCTTCACACAATGATTGCTGCGCCAATTCTACGTTCATAGGTTCCAAATTCCTGGCCTGGTATGGGAAAATCAAGCTCTGGATATGAAGAGCAACTTCAATGAATTTCCCCATATTTTACTTTGATATCAGGCTGGCGGGCTTCTTGGAGAAACTCCACCTATTGAGCTGTTGTGGTCAGACCACGGACGAGGAGCAAGGCACCTCACACACAGTTCGTCCACGATAGCCAGGGGCTGGTGGGAATCTCTATCCTCCCCAAGCCCCGGAAAGTTCCCAGGAGGAGTGTCTTTCCTTCTGCTATGAACAAGAGTCGGCCAAGCATCAGATTTCCTCTACTTGCTGTGACGCTTTCTGACCACCCAAAAAGAGGCTAGCTCGCTTCAGAGCCCCAGGGCTGCCTTCGGGGGAGAAGACTGAGAACACATGCAGGAATGATGTCGACGGGATCTGAAACCTAAACCCAAGGGTAGACGACAACGAAACGACTGGGTGGACTTACGAAGAAGTAGAACAACTCGCAGATTCCTCAATTTGGCGTGAGGAATCAGAGTTGGGATCGCTGCACTGTTCACCGGTGATTAGGGGATGTAGTGGAGGAATCTTACATCAAAAATTACAGCGACAGGAGATGTGGAAGTCGATTGAAGATCGACGGGAGAGAGAGCCGTTCGTCATGTGAGAGACGCAATCGCAAGAAAATCCAGGGAGTAGCAAAATACCTGAGATGGACGAAGGGGGGACAGCAGCAGTGAGATGCCGCTTCCGGCGAGGGCCGGGCCGCTCCTGGCCCGGGGAGCCGAAGAGGGAGAAGCTACCGTCGCCAAATAACGCCGACCGTCCCCACCACGAGCTGCAGTATTCCTCGCAGGGCTCGAAGGCGAGGCAAGAACTCATGAGACCTTGGATCCCGCCCGATCCACAGAATGCGGAGATCAGGCTGGCGGAGGACTCCCGGCCGCCGCTGCGGCAGCCGCCACCCATGCCGCTAGAGAGCGCCACCCTCCTCCTCCTCGCCCATCTGCTAAGCCGCTTCGTGGTCGCCGGGAAGCCACCGCTGGCCGGCCCCAGAGAGCGCTCCTTGTCGCAGGCGACCGACATGCACGCCGCCACCAGCCACGTGCAGAGCGGCGAGGCCACGGATGTGCCGGCCATTGCAAGGAGAAAGAGAGAGAGAGAGAGAGAGAGAGAGAGAGAGAGAAACCTGAAGGGGAGGAAGAGAGCTGTCGGACGGGTTCCCCGATGCCGAGGATGAGAGCTGGGAAAGAGAACCCACTAGGACGTCCCGAGGACTCCAAAGATTTTAATCCCAGAAAATGCGGGTTTTCAGTCCCCCCCCCCCCCCCCCCCCCCCCCCCCCCCCCCCCCCCCCCCCCCCCCCCGGCTCCCCACCTGCTGCGACGCGACTCCTGGCGAGAAGAAGCCGGAGATGATGAGAGATATCGCCGCAGCCCAATCTCTAGAGAGAAAGAGAGAGCGAGATAGAAACAGCGATAGAGAGAGAGACAGAGAGAGAGAGATATTCCAGATGGTGTATACTTAATTATTATACATGGGGAAATAATGAATAGGAAGAGAACACGGACTCAAAATTTGAGAGAGAGAGAGAGAGGCGTACTGTGTATGGCGGCGAGGAATCACTTCCGAGGAAGATCCATCCGGGAAGAAGCGGAGGGAGAGAGAGAGAGAGAGAGGCTCCTTCCAATCCCTCTGCTTCGTTCTTACTGGTTCGAACGGCGTACGCTGCGGCGGCGCAATGCAGCTTGCCTGGGGCATCCGTATTCGAAGTGACACGTAAGTACCAATAGGAAATACACACGTCAGCGCGGATGCACAGGATAAGGCCGCCACTAAGGTAGAACTGACATGTATCGACCACTCGTTCCGACCACCTCCCATCCCCAGCCCGCCACATAACTCTTATAACTCTTTGGGCCCATATCGCTTAAGCCACACCTGGGCCTGCCATCAGTCAATGCCCCCGTCGACATTAAGACCTTTGTTTAATGTATTTAAATTATTTTCTAGCAAAAAATGATGACGCTAGGGGGGAGGAGGTTGCGGTCACCGCCACTCCCGCGGGCCTCCGCGCACGGTGCGTGGTCCGGAAAAACCGGCTCCCGATAAGCTGGGGCTGCCGGGGGGTTACGGTATCGCTGGCATCCGCTCACCGCTTACGATGGCTCCAGGGAAGGCGATGACCGAGGGACTGCAGCCGCACAAAAGGAGAGGATGGCCGCGAGTGCCGGCAGAGGTGGGGCTGCGGTGGGGGCTTAGACTGTCCCGCCGGTGACGGGACCACCACGATATCGACACCTCACCTCGACTCTGACAACGACATGCCCTCCCGCCCCCTGCAGCTCCCTTCCTCCGCGGTGCGGTTACCTCTGATCTTAACTGAAGAGAGAGAGAGAGAGAGGACGATGACATGAGATCTATTCGATGCTTTGGGAGATCTTTCGTGGTCTCTAACCTCAGGAGAGGGCCGCCCGCGTGAGCACATCTAACAGCCGTCGTTTCATTTAGCACGTGTTCCCCGCCCCCCACACCTATCGTGCGCCTACCCCTCTCTCTCTCTCTCTCTCTCTGAGCCTAGAGAGAGAGAGAGAGGGTGGCGGAATGCACAGTGAAACGTGGAAGGGGAGGAGGAGAAGGGTCGTGGACGTGGATGCTTCTTAAAGCCGGGTCGGCTACGTCATCAATGTATCTTGCCCATGTAGTCGTGATGAAGCTGCAGAGGAGAAGAGGCGCGCGTTCGACTCACGTAGCTGCTTCATTGACGTAGGAAATCGCTTAGAAATAAAAAAATAAAATGTTATTTTTTTGGCCCAATAGAAGGCCCGATATAATATCACTCTAAAAATATCACGTGAATAATGCCTCATTTCCTGTTTGGTAATTATTTAAATCTATTTTTTCATAGCTCTCATCACATCAAATGTAGTAGTGTGTGGGCATTAGAGCAACCATTTTAAAATAAAAATACGTCATTTTGATCCCTATTTAGCAAATAATCAGATAATCCGGTGAATTATGGTTTTAAGCTCGATATTTTATTATTTTTAGATTCAATATCCATCTAGATTATTATTTTTTGGATTCAAATAATAGAAAAAATAGAGCAACTTTCGTTTTGACATTCCTCCTAATGCCATTGACTTTATCTCACCCAGCGTATCACCTCCCCATCGCAACCCACCAAGAAATATCGCTGGCTATCTCATACATTGACACTTGGAGAGAGAGAGAGAGAGATGGCGATGGATACGTGTCACAAATTCATTGGAACACGTCACCTTGTAGTTAAAGGGGAGTCAGAGGAGGTGGGGAGAGGGAACGGATGTGGGCCGCGATGAGGGGGAGAAATAGTGGACCAGTTAATGACGGGCCCGCTCATCACGGCCCACTCGGATTCTTGGCTCACCCGAAGGGGAAAAAAAGACCAACCGAAGGGGGATCTCTGGCCGTCAATGGGTGGACCTTCCACACGTGCCCCCCCCGAGATCGTCTGGTTCTCTGTCCTCTTCTATGCGCCTCTTTTCAAATCTCGAAGCGCCACCGCCAACGGGCAATTCCTCCCGGTGGAAGGACGGCAGAGGCACGAGAGCTCCGTTAATCGCCGGCGGGAATCCTTTGCGCGGGCTCGATGGGAGTCGGAGTAGAGGTCCTCAGTGAGAACGAGGGATGGTGGGATGCCGATGGGCTGGACTGCGAGAGGGAGGACTCCGAGGAGGACTCGTGCTTCGAGGTCTCTGAGGAGATCGGCTCCAAGCTCTCCGGAATGTCCCTCGATCCGTCCGGTGGTCTCCGGTGAGCGGCGGCGCTCGATCCTCGTTCTTGGATTGTTTTTTTCTTGCACCGCTGTTCTTTTATTCGGTTTTATGCGATCGATCGCGGCCAGATATCGCGGGAATGCCGACTCCGGGAGTGAACAGATGACGCCCGAAGAGAACCCGCAGCTGAACGAGAAGGAGACGGAATGCTTCGACCGAGTGGAAAAGATGATCAAAGGTTGTTTCCCTCTTCCCAATTAGAATGATTCGAACCTTGACGAGGCCGGGGTTCGCAAGCCACTGTCCTCTTTGCGTCGATCTTGATATGCTTTGGCGCATCGGAAAAATTTAGGATCTGCTAAGGGTGGCAGAATCTGGCCAGTTTTACCTCGCGTTTTATGAGAGAGATAATCTGGTTGATTTCGCAGAATCTGCTAAGGGCGAGTGGCACGATCAGGTCGGATGACCGCAGAACTGACGAAGCCATCGAAAATTTTCTGCACAGACCTGATCATTTTATCGCGGAATAACGAATAAATCTTCATGATCGTGGCAGGTGGCAGGGTGGACGAACTGAAGATCGACGAATGCAAGCTGTATTTGAGGAAGTATGCCCTCAGATTGTCGGGGAATAAAAGCGTTCTTCAGGCACGCATCAAGGAGCATCTAGAGTGAGTTCTTGTTGATTTCCTCTCCGAACGCGGCTCCTCTGTTACGTTTTACTTTATCCCGTGCGCTGCTAGTTCGATTTCAGTGCCTGATAATATAATATAGTTCCTGCTTGTGCTGTTGATTTGAATGAACCCAAGATCTGGGTCTGCGCGTTCCTCTGGTCTAAGAGTGTTCTTGGGCGATGAACCTCTGCAGGGTCTCAGAAGGAGGTGGCCTGAACAAGTATCCCGTATCCAGCTTCGTCTTGAATTGCAGAGGTCTGAATTGCGTCCTCACTCCCATTAAAAATCAGCTGCTTGTCTTAGCTCGTTTGTTCCCTTGCCACATGCAGGCGATGCGTGCACCGGAGATGTCGTCATGTTTGAGCAACAAGGGTACGACTCTCTCTCTCTCTCTCTCGTCAGCAGTTGGATGGGAGTAGAATAGTGAAGTTGACCATTTGAATGGCTGGGTTTTTCTCTCCCTTCTGATTCGAATGCATTGCCAAATTTAGGGCTGTACCGAGGACTGTCGCCGGTCGTATCGTGAAGGAAAGCTATGGCGCAGCGAAGCAGCAACACACCTTCACGGTTCTCTCTCTCTCTCTCTCTCTCATCAAGGGCAAATTGATACGCCCATGACATGATCTGACCTTCCTTTTGGATGGGTAGATTGAGGTGCTGTGGAGCAGGGGAGTGAAGCCACTGCCCGCTCTCCATCCTCTCCTCATCAAGGGCAGGAACCTTTACCGGCTGAAGACGACGAGACAGGTTCATGATTCCATCTCTCTCTTTCTCTCTCTCTCTCGTTGGCTTCCGTGGTTCAGTGCATTTGCCGACTGGTTTTCGTGGGTGCAGGTATGGGGCGACGAAGAGGAGAGACGGAAGGTTCTGCGGGAGAAGCACGGTAGAGGGGATGCCGCAAGGTGCTCCAGGGATTCGAGGATCCGCGAGAAGGAAATGAGGGTGGCCGCACGGATACGGTTCTCTCTTTCCCTTCCGGCACATTTTCATGCTCCGATTATTATTCTCTGAACTCGCAAAGATCTTCGGAAGCCATTGAACGTTTCTCCGTCGCCGCCGCAGTGCTAAAGAACGCTGGAGCAGCAGCAGTTGCATCTTACAAGAGAAGAGAGAGAGAGCTCCGTTGAATCAAGCTGGCACAGAAGTTCTTGAAAACCAGAGAAGGTTCAATCATAATCATCATCTTCTTCACCGCCCAGAACTCAGAAGCCATGGAGGCGGTCGCCTGGTCCGTCCCTCGGAAGAACATGATGCGATGCAGAGATCTCTGAAGCCCCTCGGAACACAACCAGAGCACAGGCATCACTTTCGTGCTGATCACCAAGGTGGAAGGACAATCCTGGATTCACTATCGTCCTCTTCTTCTTCTTCTTCTTCTTCCATACTAGTCGGCCCGCCGAGGGGGGCGCCGAGGAGCTCGAATTCCCCTTCGAGAAGGGATCCCTTGCCCCAGAGACCTATGTGCCGATTTCATCTGCAGGGGAGATGCCGGTACGGAGATTCCTGCAAATACCAGCACGCGGAGAACGGAATGCGAGGAGGTTTATGCAGCTATCGCTGATATTGCGCCGGCGCTCCGATAGGGCGGCGAATTGTCGGTGCTCTCTCTGTTCTAATGTCGATCCGAGTTCATCCCCCTGTTCCGACCTAATCGGAATCAGTCACAATCTGGAGGAGAGAGAAAAAGAATTGACCATTCATGGCTGCTCTGCTCTCTCTCTCCCCTTCTTTCTCGGTCATCCTTCAGTCCACTCCCTCTATCTCACCCATCCATCTGTCGGTTTCTCGCTGGATGTCCAAGGAGCTCTCGCTTCCTCCTGGCTTAAATAAACTAGGGTTTTGTAAATTTAGACAGAGAGAGAGAGAGAGAGAGAGAGAGAGAGAGTCCGGTTTCCTTTCGTAGGTCGAAATGGAGCAGGAGCCAGTCAAGGTGGAGGAGTTCGAAGAACTTGCTCGGCGAGCTCTCCCGAAGATGTACTACGATTACTTCCGCGGTGGAGCGGAGGACCAGTTCACCTTGAAGGAGAACATTCGAGCTTTTCAAAGGATCACGTAGTCCTCGCCGCGGCCCCCTTCTGCCCTAATTTCTCTGCGTCTGGCTCATAATCTCCCGCTATTTCACTGCGCGCCGCAGGTTTCAGCCGAGGATTCTCGTAGACGTCAGCAGCATAAACACATCAACATCGCTGCTAGGGCACATGATCGAAGCGCCGATCCTCGTTGCTCCCACCGGAATGCATAGGCTGGCTCACCCTGAAGGTCCTCGTCTCTCCCAGGATCTCCCACTTTCCATGACAAGTCTGAAAGTTCTCAGAAATCCGATCCCTGCCAGGCGAGGTAGCGACAGCGAGAGCTGCGGCATCGTGCAACACGATCATGGTGACTGAGCGAGTCTTCCGCCGTTCAGCCATCGCCCCGCCTGGTCTGCTTTCCCGCTGAAAATCCACTGACTCTCTTCTCAGGTGCTGTCCTTCACATCCAACTGTACTATCGAGGAGGTCGCCGCCAGTTGCGATGCCGTCAGGTTTTTCCAACTATATGTATGATCTCCTGCTGATTACTCCATTCCCGTCCTCTCTGCCGCCATGAATTCGTCTGCAACTAGCAAGAATGACGTCTTCCCGCCTCATCAGGTATACAAGAGGAGAGATATAGCCGCAGAGCTGGTGAAGAGAGCTGAGAGGCATGGATACAAAGCCGTAGTTGTCACAGGGGATGCTCCCAAGCTTGGACGAAGGGAAGCAGACATCAAGAACAAGTGAGCGAGCGAGCCTCTGGTTTCACCTCTGCTGCTATTTAAATTTCAGCTGGCCTACAGAAACAGAAAAAAAAGAAAAAAAAAAGGAAAAAAGAAAATCCCCTCGGCAATATCCCCCATTTAGTTTAAATAAATAATAAACTATTTAAATCATTCCTTGTTTGCGGCTCTTCTCTTCTGATCTTAAAGGCGTTGACTTGGGGCCTGCCTAGGATGAAGAAATGTTCTTTCAGCTGGAATTCTTGGTGGTCGCTGACAGATCAGGTTTGCAGACGGTATTTGACGGGGAGATCATTAATACTCGCATTCTGATGGTTCTGCAGAATGGTCGCACCAAGATTGAGGAACCTCGAAGGTCTGCTGTCTGTGGAGGTTGAATCTGTGAGTAAAACCCATCTTCTCTCTGCTCATGGGCTACGTCGACTGTATTCAATCAAGACCAGCAGTCGTTGACTCTATCTTTCCTTGTCACACATAGGATGGATAAATGTCTTGCCCTCTTCTCTTCCTTTTCTTTTTGTATTGAGAAGTTATCCCACGGTTGGGACCCCACTCCAGGGACTGATAGGCCTCATGCTCCAAGCCCATCTCTTAATGGCAGATTATGGTCAGATGCCAGTCATCCATTTCATCAGTTTTCTTCCATGATGCTCGCCGATATCTTCTGCACTGTACAAGTTTAAGACCCTTGACAGGAGCAGATCATTGGGCATGGCAATGGCTTCATGGGTGATCTTTTTTTTTTTTTCCGATTATCAGACAGGCAGATGACAGATGACCATCCCCCCACCCCCGTGTTCCTTATTCTCTTTTCCTTTCTGCAGGGCGGATCTAATCTCCAAGCTTTTGCTTCGCAAACACACGATGATTCGCTAAGCTGGAAGGCATGGCAAAAAAACTCCATATTGAGACATCATTCATCATCTTTTTGCATGTTGATGCTGCCGATTTATTCGATTTATGCCCATCAAAGAACCGATTTTTCTAGAGCCCCGAAGGCTTCTGACATGCCCACCCGTGCTCTTCCTCTGTTGATGCCCCCAAGCATTATATACCCTACGATACTGGTTTGTCACACCTCTTAATGGGCATTTTCAGGACATGGCATGGCTGAAATCTATCACAAGCTTGCCAATTCTTATCAAGGGTGTACTCACCGCAGAAGATGGTACCTATGGGTCTCTCTTATCTCATTTCCCCTGTTTATCTGTCGTCTAGTACCAAGTATAAGATTGTTAGTCTGTGTAAGTGGGGCTGTAAAACATCCCGCTCCTGTTCACTGTCAGCGAGGAAGGCTGTGGAAGTTGGCTTAAATGGGGTCATCGTATCGAATCACGGGGCTCGCCAGCTTGATTATGCGCCGGCCTCTCTATCTGTTCTTGAAGAGGTGAAGAACTCGCTTGATCACAAGTGTTCTTTCTATTCAGCCTTTATTATTATTTTTTTTTCACAAATTATGCGGGGCGCATGCGAACATCGTCAAATCTTGGCAGGTGGTGGAGGCTGTTGCAGGATCGGTTCCTGTTCTTTTTGACGGAGGCATCCGACGAGGAACAGATGTCTTCAAGGCCTTGGCCCTCGGTGCCAAAGCGGTAATGGTGAGCCCTTTTTCTCTTTTGTCATGCGTCCTTGAAATCATCTCCAAGATTAAACCACCCATCTCCCCTCTTCTATATGGCACAGCTACTGACCCACACATCATCGTTGACTTTCTCAGAGAAATATGCCTAGATGAGTTTATATATTTATAGGCATCGTTGTTCATAGCAGCTGATAATTGACCGCTATCTGTGTGTATGCACGGTCCACCAGGTTGGGAGGCCGGTGGTCTTTGGCCTGGCGGCAAAAGGGGAGCAAGGAGTGAGGAGGGTAGTAGAAATCCTCAAGGACGAGTTGGAGCTCACCATGGCCCTAGCTGGCTGCCCCACCATCGATGCTATCTCCAGGAGCCATGTGCGGACGGAGCAAGAAAGACTCAGATCTTTCATGTGATTGGGATGATGCTCTCCCTCTCTCTCTCTCTCTCTCTCGCTCTCCCTCTTGCTTGTTAGAGACTGCAAGTAAAATGATGCAAGCAATGAGAAACCAGAAGAAATACCGGATATATCTTACACGACCCAGACTGGGGAGAATGGCCCGGAAGATAAAGATAGATCCCAGACTGTTTGTTGCATAGTTCATCACCGACCAGCTACTACCAGAGGCGTATTTACATCGAGATAGGGAAGACGAAGGAGGCTAGTTATTAAACGACATCTGTATAGTTTAGCTTCAATGGCATCAATGTGACGCGTCTGATCATACCTGCCTCCGTATCCTGTTCCAAGTCAACCGGCGATCCGCTGGAGGACCTGTCAGCGATGGATCTGTGTGCCGCTGTTGATCATACTGTGGAGAGATCTAAGTGGTCTTGTTCGAGCTCTGCAGTGGCTCCATGGGTGAGCTTGTGATGCTGCCCATGGACCCGTGGGTCTGGGAGCTCAGTTGGGGGCTAGCCGGGGGGGGTCCGGCGTTGCCCCCGTTGCTGATCTGCTGCAGAGCCCCGGCGCTCAGCTGCTGCGGGCTCATCGGAGTCTGCTGGCCCATTTGCTGCGGGCTGATCTGCTGCATCGTCATGGTGGAGGGAGACCCAACGACCATTGGCGAGCCCACCTGCTGTTGCTGCAGAGGGGAACCTATTTGCTGCTGCTGCTGCTGCATCTGCTGCTGCTGCTGTTGTTGTTGTTGTTGTTGTTGTTGTTGTTGCTGCTGCTGATGCTGCTGATGCTGCTGCTGCTGCTGTTGCTGCATCTGTTGTTGTTGATGCTGCTGCTGTTGAATCTGCTGCTGCTGCTGCTGCTGCTGCGCCAGGAGTTGATGCTGCAATTGCTGCTGCTGCTGCTGGGGCAACATCTGTTGCTGTTGCTGTTGCTGCTGCTGCTGCGGAAGCAGCTGCTGCTGGGGCATTTGCTGCAGCTGCTGGAGTTGCTGCTGTTGATTGAGGTAAAAGTTTGCGGCAGCGGCGATCTTAGGGGGCCCCATGGACGACATTGCAGCCCGCTGCAGCGGGCTCATACTGCCTCGATTCAGAGACTGCCCCAACATGGACAGCCCAGCGGGGGAGTTGGCAAGCATCTGGTTGCCCATCATGCCGGCCTGGGCGTTGTACACGCCGGCCCTGTTCTGCTGCTGCGCCATCCGGAGTTTGAGTGCAGCCATCTGCACCGGGGACATCGTGCCGCGCAGCCCTGGGCTGAAGCCAGAAGCGGCTCCCAGGTTTGCGCCAACGCCGGCCAAGCCCGGCATGGGTCCCATGGGGGAGGATATGCCGCGGAGCCCGCCCATGCCCATGACGTTACCCAGGCTGCCGATGCCTGCCATGCTGTTCCCCATGCTCATCGCCGGTCCGAGGCCCATCATGGCCTTGCCCGGGATCTGAGAATGCTGCTGCGCCTGCTGCTGCAGCATCTGGAGCTGTAAGTGGGACGCCTTGTTGCCGACCATCTGATTGGCACCAATCTGCATGCTCGAGTTCTGGCCCATCAACCGTGAGAGAGGATTGGCGGCGAGCACCGAAGGAGACTTCTGCATCTGGGGTGGCGGCTGCTGCGGCTGCTGCTGCTGCTGCTGCTGCTGCTGCTGAACCTGGGCTTGCTGATTCAGCTGCGCCTGTTGCTGCTGTGGTTGCTGCAGCTGCTGGAGCTGCTGCTGTGGGGGCGGTTGCTGCTGCTGCTGCTGCTGCTGAGCCAATGTTTGATCCAAGTGGGGAGCCACCCTAGATGGCAGCGCCAGATTTGCACTGCCGGGAAATCCATGTAATGATTGGGGGTTCCCAGGAGGCAAGGCCCTCGTCATGTTTGAGAAACTCTGGGAAGGGCTCGGCAATCCCATGCTGCCCTGGCTCGCAGGGGAGGCCACATTTGCTCGCTGCTGGATGTCAGGCGCCACGCTCTCTGAGACGCCAAAGGCAGCACCAGGGCCTCCAGAGTGATTAATCATCTGGGGCGGTAGGGGTTGAATGTGGTCTTCTTTAGCTTGATATCGATCCCTCTCCATCTACAGGAAATAGAAGGATTAGACCAAAGAAAGGTTATAAACCAAGGGTTGTGCATGATCAACGTCTGGAAGAAACATTACCAATCTTCGGAGCTGGGCAGCAAGCAAATCTGCAGAATGCTGGTAAAAGAAAAGGAATGAGATTCACAGACATGTAGAACAGTCTTTACAAGATGACGGACTATGAAAAGGCAAAGGGCGAGAATGAGCATACAGTGTTGGGCAAAACGAGTGGACACCCGTGAGGTGACAGTGGATCGGCCTCGTCGACTGGCCCATATTCCATTATCACAGTACCATCGGTGGGCATCTCCCTCATGATCACCCTGGTGAAATCTTGCGGAGCAGTAGACGGAACGGGAATTCCTGCTTTTTTTGTTTTTGGATGGATTGGAGAGTCGGTCAGCACCTCAGATGAGTTATTCACGGCAAAAGAGCAGGCTGCTTCACCAGAGATATGATATATATATACCTTGGTAAGAATGCTCCATACGTGTGAAAGCAAGGACTCTCATCTTGGAAGTGTTCATGGTCCCATTTAAAAGCGATCTCGACATGGGGCCCTGCGGGTCATGATAGTCGTCCTGGATCAGGGCATTAGAGAGACAGAACGTGATATTCGGCGATGTGGATGGCTTGAGTTTCTGCAGAGGAATATTGTCGACTTTGTTTTTCTTGACATTGAGTTGATGCCTGGTATCACAACAAATTAAATCACAAATAAGTTGGTAACGCAAAGATTCAGTAGGTTAAACAACTCAATTCCACAACTGGGTCCTCATGTTGAATCGAATAATCATCAAAATTTCACCAGTTCACGAAAATCGAGGGAGGGTAAAATCTACAAGCTTTTCACACGGAACATAAAAATACAAATATCCATGAAAATAAAAGCAAATGATGAATCATTCCGTCACTGTTATCCAAGTACGGACAAGAAGTCTTAAAAAGCCTCAAATCACTAACAAAAAATGAATTTAACTCTGGCCGTGCCTGTAATGCCTTAATAAGTCAATATCAAAAACATCTGATTGCATAAAATCAGTGCATAAGAATATTATTTTATTAAGCCAAGATCCTTCGTAAACAACAAACTGCATCCTCACACAAGCATACCTCTGAGTTATCGCTATAATCTTAGAGAAACTATCAAGAATAACTTGATCAGCAACAGCAGGTGCAGAGCTTCCAGCAGTTAATGGAGCACCGAGATTGTTGATACTTGCAGGTGACCCCACCGTACCCACCTGTTGGTTTCGTGAGGCAGGATTTGGTTTTCGTTTGAGAGTTCCTGGCCTTTGCATTGAATCACTAGGACTGGAAGTTACCGATGGTGTCCCAACAGTAGGACCAGACACTGTTGTCTTTTCCTTCTGTGATGCCAGTGCAGATCCTGTCGTAACTGTGCTGAATTGGCCGCCAATTGAACCACTGGATATCTCACCAGACTTTGATGACACAGGGGAGTGAACCGTTGCCCCAGCAGAAACCCGTGGGCTTTGAGGTGGCTTTCTTTTCTGTAGTGAATCGCTCTTTTTTATGTCCTTTTCTAGCGTCCCTGGCATATGCCATTGCATCTGAGATGGAAACTGGGATTTCGAGAACATTTGCTGGGCATACTGCTGTGGGCGTAAGTGCTGCTGCTCCAAGGGATTGCTTTCCTTCTCTGCCAGCTGAAGAATATTTTTTGCTTTTTCAGCTTCTTGCCTGTTCCAATTTGCTATATCTGGCCGCTCCTCCTTTATGCCAAATCTCATTCCAGGTTGATTCAGATAAGATCCTCCAGCGTCCGAACTCGTGGCATCGTTCACAACCTGGGGTGGATACTTCTGACCACTGATGGTGGTCGGATACTGAAAACCCTTGGCCATCAACTGCTGCTGCAGCACTGGGTTTTTCCACTGCATATCTACTCCATTCACACCATCCAGTGGAGAGGAGGCTGCTTGATGCTGTGTAATACCCTCATGTTTTGGTCTTTTAATGGCTGTTGACTGCAGAAGCCGTGCATCTTCATTTTCTCTCTTACCATATGGAGCAGCAGTATAGGCTGCAGTGTCAGCGTAAGAATTCACTATGGTCTGAGGTGATGTTACACCCGCATTCACGACTGCGCTATTTGGATGGATGGCAGAGACCCGGTCCTGACTTGACATAGAATAGCCGGCTGTTGGCTGAACCTTGTGTGGGGACGACGAAGGCAAGACTGAACCATGGGAAACATCCTGTACAAAGTTTTTAGGCTGCAATGCAGGACTACCACCTGGGAAATGCTGCATTAAAGAGTTATCACGTATGTGCTGCATTGCTCCATCACCAAAAAGAACTATTGAATCTCCTGTTGTAGGACTAATACTCACAGGAAATCTGTCGATGCAGATTTTCTTTCCATGGGTTTGACTGTTGGACGTGACAGTCACTTCAGGTGTAGGTCGCAGTCTCCTCTTTCTTAAATCACTTATTCCCAGACTAAGCTGGAAATAGAAGTCCTCAGTAAGTAACCAGTTGTCAAACGATGAGAGAGTAAAGTCTGAAGCATTTTATCGAAGACGGATTCAAGTAAGAAGCTATTTAATACCTTATTGGAGACAGGGTTCTCACATAGCCGCTCAATCATGGGGGTGGGATTCAGAAAAAGATTTGGTTGCAGCGCTTTAAGAATGCGGGACTCTACTTCCTGTAACAGATTATTTACATATCAAACGTCACCACATATGAATACATCCATCAGGGGCACATAGGATGACTAACATACCAATAAATCACTGTACGTCCATGAGTCATCTGATATTGATGGAATATCTTTCACAATATTTTCCAAGGACATCCGAAGGCATACTCTATTAACAGTAGGGACACCATTGATAGAAGAAGCAATCGATCCTTGCTCAGATATACATTTTCGATAGTCACGCACCTGCACAAAAGATATCACAAACATTATTCTTCATTCCTCATCCAAGATTTCAGATAAGTTGCATGCAACGAGTCTACTGAAAACTCCAGAAAAAATGTGAATCCTGTGCCAGCAGAGAAGGCCTGGAATATGTGAGAGAGCGATAGTATGAAGCCTGTGCCAGCAGAGAAGGCCTCAATGGAGGGAAGGGAATGCTGATAAGGATATCATGAGGAAAAAATAGACAGAAATAAAATGAAATATCTCAAGTTGAAATGTAGCAAGTGTCACATCTAAAGTTACACGTTGAGAGCAATTTATCATATCACACTCTCCAAATGTAGTTTCTGAGATCACACTTCATACGACCAATTGGATTCATCCGAAGCTTTAAAATCTCACTGACATCGTCCTGTGAGTCCTCATGTGTGGCATCACCACGATAGAAAGGGGATGTCTATCATTATTTTTATGATGCTATTTTCTCGAGAAAAGAATGTCAATTTAAGTATCCTCCTAAGGAAAACCTATTCATGCAACCCAGTCAATTCAACACACACATCATATATCAGAACCTTGAAGTTTATCAAGATGCAGGCCAATTATTACCAGGCTTCCATTTAGCATTGTTAACTTAAGACCAGAACCCAAGGGATTTCATTTCCCATTCGGAATAAACACAAATTTCTAAGAGCCTTCAGCTCCAAAAACCAGAGCTAAAGTAAAAAATCGTTAGCATCAACAAACTGAAAGCCATGATAAAATGGAACTTAGATAATAAAAAACCTCATATATACCACGAAATTCTTGATTTTTTTCCAGAGTTCAAGGGAGGGGTCCATTATCCCTCATTCATTTTATAATTTGATGAATGTTAGACAACGACACTTGAAGCAACTGAATTCATGCCAGATCATTAGTTTGCACATTAGAATGTCGTTATGTTGAGGCTTGGAATTCAAAAAAAATGCCATCCGCACCTTCCAAAGACGCCTTTGCTTGGCATCTGAGCAGGTAAATGGATGTGCGATTACTCAGGCAAGTCATACATGACTACCCGTAGTTATACTTTCACATGACTAAATATGAATAGAATTCGAGCAGAATAATTTCCAACCAAGAGGAAGAAGCTTTCTCTACGAGAACCAAAAAAACGTAACAAGAAATCAGGTCCGGGGGGAAAATTCAAGTAAACATTACATAGTAGTGATATCTATTAATGCCATATGCTGATTACTCACCTCACAGATAAGGGATCCATTGATAAACTTGCTTGGTATATCATCTAAAACATCTCCAGGCAGCCAACCTGTCTCAATGGCCTCCAAATAGAAAATCGGAAAGAAAAAATTATAAGCATAATATCTAAAATGTATGCATGCACACGTGGACAAAAGTATTTATATGGAGGAGGAGCGTTACGCATTAGCATGTGATAGGAAAAACCGAAAAATACACCTTTTTTTTTATGGCAATGTCAGAAGCAGACCTATGTTAATGAAGAACATAGAAAGATTAGGATTAGCATAGTTGTCAGAAAATTTTCCAAATTTTGCAGCAGTTATTTCTTTCAGAAACACAATATATATATATATATATATATACAGCAAAAAAAATTGGCAATGTCAGAAGCAGACCTATGTTAATGAAGAACATAGAAAGATTAGAATTAGCATAGTTTGTCAGAAAATTTTCCAAATTTTGCAGCAGTTATTTCTTTCAAAGAAACACAATTTATATATATATATATAGCAAAAAAAAAATGGCAATGTCAGAAGCAGACCTATGTTAATGAAGAACATAGAAAGATTAGAATTAGCATAGTTTGTCAGAAAATTTTCCAAATTTTGCAGCAGTTATTTCTTTCAAAGAAACACAATATATATATACAGCAAAAAAAATTTGGAAATGTCAGAAGCAGACCTATGTTAATGAAGAAAATAGAAAGATTAGAATTAGCATAGTTTGTCAGAAAATTTTCCAAATTTTGCAGCAATTATTTCTTTCAAAGAAACACAATATATATATACAGCAAAAAAAAATTGGCAATGTCAGAAGCAGACCTATGTTAATGAAGAAAATAGAAAGATTAGAATTAGCATAGTTTGTCAGAAAATTTTCCAAATTTTGCAGCAGTTATTTCTTTCAAAGAAACACAATATATATATACAGCAAAAAAAAATTGGCAATGTCAGAAGCAGACCTATGTTAATGAAGAAAATAGAAAGATTAGAATTAGCATAGTTTGTCAGAAATTTTTCCAAATTTTGCAGCAGTTATTTCTTTCAAAGAAACACAATATATATATACAGCAAAAAAAAATTGGCAATGTCAGAAGCAGACCTATGTTAATGAAGAAAATAGAAAGATTAGAATTAGCATAGTTTGTCAGAATTTTTTCCAAATTTTGCAGCAGTTATTTCTTTCAAAGAAACACAATATATATATAAACAAATGCCATGGTAAGGTGTTCGGTATAGTGCTCACAGAAAAGAGGGTTTCAGATGCCTTATTGTATGGATGTAGTGACTTAGGAACTTCTTGAAGAAGAGCCTGCAGCTAAAACAAATGAAAGAGCAAACAACCGCCAAAGGAGTAAGTGCATCTCTTATTGAAATTGTAACCAATTTACGATCAGGTAGACTTAACAAACCTCATTCAGTTTGCCGATATAAAATCCATTCGAAAAAAGATTCAGGGTGAAGGAAACTTCGTGATCTGCATAGAATGCATGAGCATAAGTCTTGATTTTTGATTTCTAAAGATTATATGCATCGTGAGTGTCTGGTTTACCAAGTGAAATAGGATGTCCACTGTTTGTTGAGGAAACTGATAGCCCAGGAGCTTCATCAATCGTTCCAGCACTACGGGCCTGGAAAATGAGAACTAGGGTTGGCTTATTAAATTCCAATTGGGGAGCATAATGGAATATTTTCAGAAAGATCAAAATTTCAGGAATAACTGCGCTTTTTTGTTTCTTGAAAGGAGGTATAGGTCATCAGTTTGTATGATAGCTATTAGCCTACTAACTTTAACTTCTCCCCGAACCCATGAAAGGAAATCGGGCGAGAGCTCTTCTTGATCCATATAAAAGCATTTGCTTTAAGGGAGAACTATTTCGAAGAAGCTACAATTTTCAGGTAAACGCGTCACAATTTCACAAGCCACATAGTTTTCATGCAAACAGAGTTAGACACCTTCTTCCAAGGTCCAAAGCTGTGTCTCAAAAAGTGCCCGGAACCATAGGAAGATATACGAAATATGAAATTTTCAAACGACATACGAAATTACTCCGGCCCCCTGGAGACATAACCATCGATAGATGAATGCACACGAGTACAATACTGATGGAAGACGAGTTGAGGGAGAGTCGCACGCGAGCGCGCAGAGAAGACCCGGGGGGGTGGGGGGAGCAGACGGAGAGCAAGAAAACTATCGTAAAGCGCGACAGGGGGTCACCTCAGCTTTCGATCCGGACCCCCTGGGAACGGAGGAACTCTCCTTCGAGTTATCAACGGCCTCCTTCCTCGTGGAGGCGTCGGCCGTGATCTCCGAATGGACGATCGCCCTGGGCCGGAACCTCGTGCCCGTCTTCGACACCCTGAACGAGACCCCCATTCCTCAACCCTCGTTCCTCCTCCAGCCCCGCCGCCGCGACAGGACCTCCCCGGCCCCTACCCGGATCCCAACCCGGTGATCCTCCCCGACGCCAACCCCCAGGCTCCCTCCCTGCCAACGTTGCTTCTTCGCAGGGTGGGTTTCAGGAAGGGTATTTGCCCTCTCTCTCTCTTGCTCGCTGTGCAAAGTGAATGTCCAACGATTTTGATGGAATCAGGGTAACAACGCTATACGAACAACGAAAGTGAAGGTCAGTCGAGCACGATGCGTAGCCGGTCTAGCGGTCATAAACGTCATGAGATACATAGGAGTCTTTCGAGCCTATGCGAGTGGTCCCCAGCGGGAGATAACGTCGGTCCTGTGCCCACGATTCTCATAATCTTTTCGGATCCATAGAGTTTAAGGTCTCTGGAAGTCGGGCTCCACTTACCGCCGCTCTCTCCCTCCCTCTCTCTCTCTCTCTCTCTGGTGACCAATTGGAAGCTGATAATAATAAAAATATATATTCCAAATTATGGGTTATTTTCATTTTCATCCAGAGAAGTTCACACATTTACCAATAGACCCACCGGTCGACGAAATTTAACAAGACACCCTCCGTAACTGACCGAATGACTACGGACACATTTATCCTCCCCCTCCCTCCGTGAAAAATGAGAAATGATTTTACGTAAGTTGGGGCCCGTATAAATCTAGATTACGCCGAAAATGAGGCCAGGCCCACTAGACTGGACTAATTGGGCCGAATGTCAGATTTCGGGAGGCCCCACTAGGCTGGTCGGGGACGATCCGGCCCCGATCCCGACGCGGACCGGGCAGATCCGATTCCGCGCCACTCGTTCAGAGCATCCGGAGTCAACGCCCCGCTCCACGCGAAAGGCGGCGGGCGGGGTCCTGCCGACGGCTCCGGTGGGCGGCGGCAGCCGGTGGTTTTCTCGAAGGCGTATCCGAGGGGGGCTTTAATTATCAGGCACAGGTGACAGCTGCAAGAATCTCCGGCTTTAAAGAAGTACGATCCAGCGAGGTGGGTAGCATAAAAAGCATTTCTTTCCATTATTCCATTCTCTAAATTTATAGATGCAGCAGCGTCTTCATCTTTCATTTATACGGATGAAGATTATAGAGGGGGTTTAGTCATATTCTATGCTGGGGAGCCCCCCCCCCCCATAGGCGAGAATGCGTCCTCTAGCCCTGGTATGGGTGATCCTTTTCTCTCTCTGTCTCTCTCTCTCTTCCGGTAGGGTCGGTCGTCCCGCTATTTACATCTACCGGAGGGAGAAGGGGGGGGCAGGCTCGCCGGCGGCGCCGCCGCCGTAGATTTCACGCAAAACTGGAGCGCTTGTCGTCAGAAGTACTCCTTATGGAAGTCGAAGCGGGTGGAGGTCCGGTGGGTGAGCTCGTGGGACAGGCTCTTGAGTTCCTTGGCCAGCGCCGGCGTGCCGCAGTAGAAGACGCCTGCGGGAGACGAGCGCCGGCGGCGGATCAGACGGTGTTTCTCTTTCTAGAAATGGGACCGGGCGGAGTTCGGTGGCTTACCGACGGTGGCGCCGGCGTGCTTGGAGGCTATTCTGGCGAAGACGTCGCTCCAGTTGGGGCGGGCGAAGTGGGTCCTCACCTGCGGGGGAGCGGCCGCATCCAGGTGGGTCAGAAGAAGCCTGCTGGGGTTTTGCTGAGGTTGGGGAGGGGAGAGAGATGGCCGGTCTTTTGAGCTCGAGTCTGGCTTACCCGCGTGCCTGATACGATGTCAACGCCGTGCTTGGCGTGGTTGAGCGCCTGCACCATGGTGAGGAGGGTTGACCTCGCGTCTCCCTCTTCGTAGACGCTCGTCAGGTAGTTGTGCATTTCGATCACCCCCTGTTTCTCCGACGACAGACAGGGATGGCAGAGTTGTTAAATATATATATATAGAGAAAGAGAGATAGAGAGATAGAGAGATAGAGAGATAGAGAGATAGAGAGAGAGAGAGAGAGAGTTGAATGAGTAACGCGTTGACCTTTTGATCCATCTCCGCGACTTCGTTCATGACCCCCTTGAACCACTCGAAGGATCCCGGCTCCCGCGTGACCCAGTAGAAGTGTGCACTGGTCGTCTTCTGAGCTCTCTTCTTGCTCCCGCCGCCGCTGCCGCCGCTCCAAGTGTAGCCGATGCTGTTCACGCCATCGTCCGAACGGCTAGTGTCGGTGTAAGACGACGAGTCCTGCCCGACGAGCCACAGCGAAGATCGATCAGACGCCGTGTTCCATGGAGACGAACGCTCTCTGTAAATTCTTCCCGGTGGCGGGGGGATGTACCAGTTGCTCCTCCGTGGCCCTGATGTTGTTGAGCAGGTCCCGGAGGATGCTGATGAAAGGGGTCGCCCCAATTCCCAGCCCCACCAGGAGGAGGACGTCGTAGTTCTTGTAGTTCTGCGCGGGGGCCCCGTAGGGGCCGTCCACCAGCAACCTCGGCACTCTGAGGAAGAAGACGATCGCCGCCGCCGCCGTCTCAGGAGGAGAAGAGAAGAGGAGCAGAGACGATGTCTGAGGGGCGGGGAGCTCACCTCTTCTGCGGCACGGTGCCCACTTCGCTGAAGGTCCCCCTGCCGATCACGGCGGCGCTGTTGGCCTCGGTGAAGACCTGCCGGAGCTCCTGCGTCCAGTCGCCGAGCGTCCGGATGTGGACGCTGAGGTGGCCGTCGCCGGGGGCGGACGTGATGGAGAAAGGGTGCCTGCGGGAGGGGAGCTCCGAGAGTGAGCGAATAAGGTGGCGGTGCCGCCGAGTTGGCCGGCCGGCCCGCCGGTGAGAGTTACCTACCATTCGAAGGGGGAGATGGCCGGGCACTTGAGGAAGATGTACTGCCCGCTCTTGTACCGGAAGCCGAGGGGCTTGGACATCACCACCGTCAGGACATTCCCTGGCAGAACAGAGACCTGCAGGAAGAGGAAGGGGGGAAGCCACTGATTACTCGGGCGAGGGGCGGCCATTAATGGCGGTGGAGGGGTTACGGTACCTTGAGGATCTTGACGGTGGAGGCCTCGGAGCGCAGGGTCCGCAGGGAGCGTTCACCCAGGTAGAGCAGCAGAGGCACGGTAATGTACATCCACGTCTGAGGCATAGAGCAAGAAAACCAGCAGCGAGGTAAGAACGCGGGCTCGGAAAGTCTCACCTGCCAGTGTTAGAATGGCACAGCACACTGATTGCGATTTTGGGCATCGTTTTCCTCCATTAATGGCGCAGTCGATTCGAACTGCGGCATCGCCATGTGCCTCGGCCTCCGATTCGACGGGCCGGAGGAGGGGTGGCGTGGGAAGCAGGGCGGGTCCAGAGACGGTGGTGGAGGTGGTGGGGTGTTGGCGGCAGTGGCGGTAGGGAGATGGACAGGCTCACCGTCTTCTGGTACCAGTGGTGAACGAGGTGCATGAAGAAGCCGTGGACGACGAGCAGGAGGTAGACGACGGCGAGCAGGTGGTGGGAGTACCAGAAGGCGTTGAAGCCGGTCAACCTGTTGAGGGGTGCCGGCAGCCGCAGGGCGCTCTTCCGGAACCAGCTGGTGGCGAGGGTGAAGGACAGCGCCATGAGGATGACCATCAGTATCCCCGTCACCCCCTCCACACTGCCGACGAAGCTCCCGTACGTCGGTTTCTTCTCCCCGAAGTCTGCTACCAGGACTTGTCCGAACTGCACCGGCGTCGCGTTGATCACCCTCGGGAAGTCGCACGCTAGATGGTTCCCGGCGTGCAGCAAGATGCCCCCGACGATGGCCCCCGCGATCATCTGCACATCATCCCGCCGGAGTCAGCCACAGGGTGTCCCCCGCGGCGCCGTCGAGAAGGAGGAGTAACAGCGGCCGACGAACTCCACGTACCTTATGGAAGTTGATGTTGTCGTCGAAGGGGACGAAGAGGCGGGCGCGGGTGGAGCGGAGCCAGGTGAGGGTGTTGCGGCAGACGGGCAGGAGGACGAGGGCCATGTTGAGCTTGAGGGTCTCGGCGGCGCCCTTGGCGGAGGGGAGGCAGTAGCCCATGACATGGAACTCGGGGCGGCGGCGGTACTGGACGAACTTCCAGCTGAAGAGGCTCGCCATGGTGGCGAACCAGAGGAGGAGAACCCACGCCCGCTGCCAGTGTTCTTGGGTCGACCAGCGGATCCGATGGCCCAGCCACCGGACCAGCGCGATGGGGCGCACGTGCCACCACCCCATGCTGGCGGCGCCGCCGTGGAGGCTCTGGCTCCACCCCATGCTGGCGGCGCTCAGCGGGCGGCTGTAGTTCATGTAGTAGTCCCTCTGCAGCAGCAGCGCCTCCAGCTGCCACAACTGGGATTGGCCAAAACCAGAGAGAGAGGTCGGAGCAGGAACAGGGAGGAGAGTGGGGAAGGGGGAGACGCTAAAGTGGAGGGTGGAATGGTCAGAACCTCGATGTAGCCGAGGTCCTCAGGGTCGAGCTCCTCCATGATGAGGGCGGCGTACTCCTCCGCCTGCTCCTTGAGCTTCGACAGCTTGTTGGCCGACGCGCTGAGTATGATCAACTTTTACCAGAAAACAGTTCCCATCAAGGAAGGAGGAGGAGAAGAAGAAGAAGAAGAATGGAGGAGGAAGGAGAGAAGCGGACCTCTTGCACCTCCTCCCTCGTGATCCTCCCGTCCACGTTGGTGTCCACCCTAGGCCATTAATAACATCGGCTTATTATAATCGGAGAAATTAGCTGGAGAAAAATGGAGGCTCCGATCTCACGCATACATGTCGAAGAAGATCTGCAGGCGGGCGTCGAAGCTCTGGTCGGAGATCTGCAGCCAGAAGTCCCGGAGCTCTTCCTTGGTGATCCGTTCCAGGTTCTGCCGCCGCCGCCGCGCCAGCGCGTCGAAGATCCCCTTGGCGAACTCCTCCGAATCCACCATCCCTGCTCACATTCCCCCACCTTCAGAAGAAGAAGAAGAAGAAGAAGAAGAAGAAGAAGAAGAAGAGGAGAGTACCTATACATTCTCCGAAGTCGTCGCGGGAGAGGAGGCCGTCCTTGGAGAGGGCGTGGAAACGCTCCTCCACCGCGCGCCAGAGGGCGTCGGCGTCCCCTGCGCCGCCGGTGGTGGCGGTCTGGCTTCGGATGAAGCGCAGGCCCTTGAGCGCCTGCTGCGCCCCCGACCTCGTCCTGTCCAGCCGCGCCTGGTTCCTCCTCGCGTCACGGGCGGCGATCACCGCCGGGTCCTGCAGGTCTCGCAACCACGGCGACGAGCTCCTCGACCTCCGCGGGGAGGGTGAGCGCAGCCAGGGGAACTTGCGGCGGATCTTCGACTCCGTCGACGAGCACTGGCTGAGATTCCCCGACGTCCCCTCGCCGGCGGCAGAGAGGAGGGCGACGGAGGCGGGTGTGACGCTTCGCACGAAGGCCGACTCCGCGTCGAGCTCCAACATCACCTCCACGAGGTCGCCCCGGAGGAATTCCGGCGGCATTGCCGCCCCGAGACTCCTGCTGCTGTCATCGGAACCGTGGTGGTCCATGGCGAGGAAATCCATGAACATCCGGTCGCTCGGCGACCTCTGGAAGCTGCTCCCTCCTGACGACGGCGTCCTCATCCCCGTCCCTCAGGTGGGCCTCTGTACATGCACTCGGCCTCCCTTTCTCTCTCTGTTTCCGCGAAGAGCCAACGGCGAACTCCCCGGCATCAGGCCGTCGAGGAGGGCGGCGCAGGCCTACGTGAGCACGTCGTCGCCATGCCGCCTGCTTAAAAACGGGCAACAACCTCCCCCCCCTTTCTCTCTCCGGCCACCACCTAGCTCAGCCGCGGTCCAGCTCGAAGTTGTTGCGATTTGTTGTGCTAGACGAGAATTGGAATTAAAAACCAAGAAACCGGAGATCGGGCACAACGCAACTCACCTCCCCCCCCGCCGATCGCCGCCCGCGTCAATGCCGATGTCCTCGTCGCCGGTCCCCCCTCCTCTCTCTCCCTTCCCCTCTTCCTCTTCTCCAGCATTACTAACGAAAGTGGAGACGTCTTGTTCTCTACGTGCCCCTGCTCCTACTTTTGCCCCCTTGGGTATATACCGGCGGGGGGAATTATGGACGGCAGCGGGGCACAGACAGCGACGGAGGTGGCGGTGGCGGAGCAGATGTTCTTACAGACGGGGACCTACACTCCCCCTCTCCCGCTGCCGCTCCCCACCAATTCGGCGCCCTCTGCTGCCGCCGCTTCTAGCCTTCGGAAAGCCCCTCGTCCTCGCCAGGAGGAAGGTCAGCGGCGGCGGCGGCGGTGGCGGCGGCGGCGGGCGACGGGGAGGGGGGCATGGTGGCCGGGAGAGATATATGTGAAAATTACGACGCGGGCCCTTGCTCCAGTCGCTGGTGGGTGGGCTCCCGTTGACCCGGGTGCCCCTGAGGTGGCCCGGCCACAGAACCGCGGGGGCCTCTTCGGTAATTCCGCCGGCGGCGTACAGAGCTCTCCAACCACGCCACCTTCCTTGGACTTGAATCCCTGCTGTACGCATACAAACACACTCTCTCTCTCTCCTCTCCCCTCTGCCCTTACTTCGTTCTAGAATGACCTCAGGTGGGGGTGGGGGGGCGACGTGGCGTGTCTCTCTGTGCGGGGTTCATGAGGGGGGCGCCGGCGGCGGGAGGACCCCCGCTGCCGGAGGTGGTTAAGTCACAAGGAAGGGCCCGACGCGGCGGGCCGAGGATCATGCACAGACATTCACGTACGTACTATCCTTCTAGAAGTTCCCCCCCTCCCTTCTGCGAGAGAGAGAGGGCGTGTACTAAGTAAAGAGGAGGGTGTAGTAGAATCCAACCCTGTCACCGACTGCGGCGGCGGGGGTCGTGGCGTAAAGGGAGGGGATGGTCGATGGACAGGTTTACCAACCGGCGCCAGCAGCGAGGCATCTCCGCCGCGCTGCCGCCGGGGTGGTGGGGGGGGGGGGTGTTGTGGAATCGGTCATCTCATTCATTGGGGAGAGGAGATGATGAGACACGTGGAGCTGTAGATCAGCGGTATGAGTTGGAGGGTCACTGTCGGACCCCGCCGCCACCCCGCCCCCCTCCGTCCGGTTGACTTGTCAATGGTTCTCCGGAGGCGTAGACGCCACGAGTAGACAGGCAATCCCGCCATTATCAAAATCCTCCATCCTCGCGGAAAGTTGAAGCAGAACCTCTCTCTCCTCTCTTTCTCTCTCCTCTCACTCCGGCGTGGACCATTATTCTGTCGCTTAACTCGATGCATGCATTCGTATATATTCCGTTACAATGGCCAGCTGAGAGCGCAGATGGTGATCTCATCTCTCTCTCTCTTTCTCCCTCTCTAAAAGTGGTCAAATCCTAGGGTAGATAAGGCCCACGACTAGAGCACAAGGGTCCAAGAAGAAGGGCGGAGTACAGATGCGTAACCGGGGGGGGGGGTGGTAGAGTGATCCCTGCAATCTTCGTCAGGGAGGAAAGTCTCAGCGACCCAGCATGAAAACAAGCACATGATGCGGGATTACAAGGGGCCCACCATCGTGTTCGTGTTCATGCAGCAATTAAAGTCAAAGCCCAGCATAAACCCAGCTGATCAGAGTCGAGACACGTGGTTCGACAAGGACGGATCTTTACTCTCTTATTTTTTTCCAAAAAAGAACAAAACTTTCTCATCGGCGGTAGTGATCATGGGGTTTACCCGAATGGGAAGGTCACAAAACTGGGGGGGGGGGGTGGCGGCTCAACCCTTTACATCCGCGCCGGGGTGGCGCCGCCGGCCGGTCAGTGCGGCTTCGGGACGTAGCCGTCCACGGCGAAGTTCCTCGTGGCCGCCGGCAAGGCCAGGCGCATGCCGTCGAGCTCCGGCTTGGCGATGACCTGGCAGCCGAGACGGGAGCTGCAGCCAAGACCCCGGTCAGAAGAGAGAGAGAGAGAGAGAGAGAGAGAGAGAGAGAGAGAGAGAGAGGACTCACGTCTCACAGAGACCGAAAGCGAGATCCAGCATGTCGTTCTCCTCGTCTGTGGGATCTTCCAATCTGTTGTAGTAATCGACGTCCTGCAGAGACATCTCCGCTCAGACTGGAAGGGTCCCAGAATAAAACACAGAAGGCAAAAGTGCACAGATTTCTGAAGCCGCGGAGGCCCTCACCATAATAATCACATGACAGGTGGAGCAGGCGAGGGAGCCTTCACAAGCACCTGCGGGCACACGAGAAGGGGGCATCGTTAGAACCCTAACACGCACCGCCTTGGGAGCATTCACTCACTTCTGTAGGCCCATAAAAAGATCATTCCTTCGTTTACCCAGAAACCAGGCAGTAAGTGAAGGAGAAAAAACAGGTGGGCGGGGTCTCGGATTCCCACCTTCGAGTTCTATGTCGTTCTCGTGGGCAGCTTCTAGCATGGACATTCCGACAGGAACCCTGATCACCTTCTCCTCTCCATCCTTGTCCACAAACGTCACAGTTATTCTGAAAATTCACAAAATATACAAAGCCTCTGAACATAGAACTAGATTTGACTCACAACAACAATGACAATGACAATGACAATGACAATGACAATGACAATGACAATGACAATGATAGATAGATAGATAGATAGATAGATAGATAGATAGATAGATAGATAGATAGATAGATAGATAGATAGCTAGAGAAGACAGCGTCGGGGTAGATGGTGGTGGAGCAGAGTTCCATATGAAGGAAGACGCTTACTTTTCTTTAGTCTCAGATCCCACACTGTTTTCGACGGCCGAAGTACTACATTCCCGCTTCTGAAGCTTCGGGGAATGGTAAATCTGGGGATTAGACAGGAAGAGCAGCGAAAAATATTTAGATATGTGAATCTTTCAGAAGCAATGACTGTGCCTACCACAACTAAAAAAAACCTTCAATGCATCCACAGGGGGGGGGGACAGATAACACGTTGCAAAAGAAACAGATCCCATGGATACAAATCCAAGAAATGCTCAGACTCAAGACACAGACGAGAAAGATGGATGAAACAATGGGTATCTCAGTAGAAGCTGTCACCAGATTGGTGGAAAGTAATGCAGGGCTCGGGATATAAATAAGCCGAAGGACAAAAAAAATTTCGTATTAAGCATCTATTTTTCTACAGCGGGCAGCGCTAACATGGAGCTAGAGACTGATAAAAGCTGCCATTTCCATTGAATGGTTGTATCTTAATCACAAGGGACGATAAACAATAATCGAGTGTTCCACAAAGATTATCAAATTGCATCACAGTCTTCCCAAAACATAAAAGAGTGCTTTCTAGTTTTAGTTATAGTTGTCCACCACCATAAAGGATTGATCCCTCCGCACACAATGCATGCACTTCACCGAAGTTTTCTACTGTGGTGATAATATGGAAAAAGTTTCAGGACTGTGAACAAGAAAGTGACCAACCTTAGGCCATAAATAATGACTGAATGGTCGCCGAAGGTATGCCCCACTGGTTACAGATAATGGACCTGTCGAACAGAAGGAGAGAAGAAAGATAAGGTGAAAAGAGAGAGAGAGAAAAAAAGCAGCCAGAACAATAAAATTAAGATGCAGCAGGGAAAATGCTTTCTAGAAAGGAACAAACAACTGAAGAGAAAAACTTTCAGCATCCGCCTATTTTATAAGATTGCCACAGCACAGGGCCCAAAGCTATTCCAGAAGTTTTGAAAGCAAATAAGGCAGAGGGGGAAAAAGACCCTTCTCCAACTATGCTATCGAGAAAAGTTTGGCAAAACAAGAGCGTATTAATTCGGAATACTTTCGATGAAAAGGTTTTGGAAAAAAATCAGAGTACGATTCAAAGCTCATAATTAAAACTATAACTTCCATTACTATAAATCCCCCTAACTATAAGAATTTCAACTAGGTCTGTGTTTAAATTGACTCCAATCTTCGGATGTTATCGACATTTAAACTACTTTTCGAATAGGACGGGAGAATCGATTGCACGAAGAGAATCGATTTGTAAACAAAAAAAAAAAAAAGAGAAAAAAAAAGAGAAAAAAAGCCAATATACGATTATCCTCCTTCCCTACCTGAGTTGATCCCCGGCCTAATAACATAGGCTTAGAAGTCTTCCGGGTTCAGGGCATGGGAAACTGCGGTATCACGCTATAATCCTACTGCAGTCCCTCTTAAGAAAACCTCTTTGAGTGGATGATGTTATAAGATGCATCCAAGAATGCCCTCCTCTCAAACTTCTTATGTAAAACATCCTGAAAAGTACATGCTCTAGGATGATGCAATTGCAGAGACTCAATGTTCTTAGTATGTCAAATGAAACTAGCAACGCTTCGTAATATTGAAATGACGAGAGAAATTTCTATTCGTAGAACTTCGGTACTTTTATGTGCCCACCTGTTACCCATTAAAAAAAATATAATTGAGATGATAAATTCATTTTAGAACGAATGTTTTAATCATGAATCCTCTACCAGCAGCCAGAGATAAAATGCTCATCCCCGTTCTCCTTGTCTATAGTCTTGCCATCAAATCAATGATCGACTACTTTTCCCCTGTTACCCGCAACAGCAGCTTTGAAGTCTGAACCAAAGAATAAATACTAATAATTCTTTAAGAAGCAACATAACTTCTGCACTCCGAGTGCTGGGCACTACAATGGCGACATTAGCGGTGCGAGACGTAAAGGAAGATGAGAACCCGACAAGACGCAGACGATGGAGAAAGGGCAACGACTACGTTCTAGCCTCACCAGCAATAGCCGTGATACATCCCGTCATTATGCTCTCTAATAAAATGAGACATCCCGTCATTATACTCTCTAATAAAATCAAACATCCCCTTATACCCACCAAGGAATCGAGGCCAAGGAAAAAGAGTCAATTCAGAGCCAATTATCAATGATGTGCTCATCCGCAGTTCCTTCCGAACAGGAGGCGACTTGAAGCAAAGGGCATGCCCCAAAGGCTCCCGCACGGCGGGAAGGAGAGGACGTAAAACCATCGTCAGCATATCGAATAGACCAATCAACCTTCAGATTCGAACAGTCCAATGACTTGGATCACGGTCACGAGAGAGATGATCATTAGGTTAAGCACATATGTAAAATAACTGGGATGCCACGCTGGTGCGGAGCAATTTGTTCACAATAATAGTTCACAAGTCTTCACGCTGCATTTCGGGAGCACGGTCCTAAATCATCAGACAGTTTCCGACAACAGCCACGACAATCAACCCGGAATCAAAAAAGTAGCCAATTCTGGGTACTTCAGAGTGGAAATCGGGAGGAAAGGCATGTCGCCATACCTGGATCGCATAGCCAGACTCTCCGGAATCCAGCTTGCCGGAGCTTGGAGAGGAACATAATAGCGACGATCCCCCGGCAACCCGGAGCAACGAACAGGACACGACAGAGAAATATACTCCAATTTAGCAAGCTTCGACGGATTGAACCGTGAGCAGGACGACGGCGGCGGCGGAGAAAGGGAGACAACCGACTACACGGCCGCAATTCCCGGCGGACGGCCACCGCCACGCCACCGTCTAGGGTTTTGGGGCTTTTCAAATCCCGCCTGGACACGACGGCCACAACAGCAATCGTTAATGGGCCATTCAATTTGAGCCCAATATCACGACCCTCTAATATAGGCCCGATATGTGTGGGCTGAACCAGCCCATAATTGAGGGCAGCTGGAACCGCCAACGTGGCAGCGTGTGGAGATGGGGATACGCTAGCCACATGGGCCTACACCGGGAGCCATCCTTTCCTAGATTGGGTCCTCTTGGACCGTATGTGGTGGAGGCCCAACTAGGGTTCTAGAGAGAGAAAAATAATAAGAATCATACAATTATTTTTCTGTGTGAAGATGCGGGCTATCGAATCTTTCGCATGCACAGCGAGATATAGCGAGAGAGAGAGAGATAGAGAGTCTACAGGTCCGGAGAGGAGGCGGAGCCGGCGAGAAGGGTCTCCAGCATCTCTTATCGGTCCAGGGAGGAGATGACGACCCTGCAGTTGCATGGATGAGAAAAAGAGAGAGAGAGAGAGAGAGAGAGAGAGAGAGAGAGAGAGAGAGCGGATCAGTCGCAGACAGTGGGAGTCCGTAGCTCCAAGGACTCCAAGGGCTCCGGCGGCGCCGTCCCCGATGATTTTCTCCACCGATGCTTCCGGTCACCTCCCCTCGGCGTTCGCGCTGTGATTGCCAGGAATCGAAGGCCCAAGACTTAGATAGAGGCGCAGGAATCCGTTTGACTCAAGAGGGAGGGGCAGCCGATTACGGGTGGAGGGAAGAGACCGCGAGGAAAGTCCCGATTCGGTGCTTCCCCGGGAGGCGGTCCGGACGATGGTGATGCTGCGGGTGACGCGGATAGCGGCGGCGGCGTCGACGTCATAACTTGGCGGTGGAGTCGCCGGCGAGTCCTCCCGCTGCTGGATCGCTGGTCTCATAGGGGAAGAGAAAGTAGGGTTCCGCCGGAGCCTCCCCAGGCCGGCTTCCGGCGCCGGTCCGGCCACCGTGTCATCCCACAGCTTATCCGATATATCCATCACCTCTCTCTCTCTCTCTCTCTCTCTCTCCCTCTCGCTGGCCCTCTCTCTTTGCATGAATCTCGCTCTGTGAGGAGGAGGAAGAAGAAGACTTGACACACGGCGGTGGGGATGAGATTATGAGGGAAGGTCGGCCATTTGACCGCTTATTTATAGGAGCTTCCCGCTGCTGTCTGGATAAGGCGACATGCTTGTCTCGGCTCCGCCATGGATAGCCGAGCTGATTTCTCCAATCGGTCACCATCTCCAGTTCAACGAGACAACATCCGCCGCCGGGTTGGACGGTCAAGATGGACCTCACGGGGGTGGACGCTTGCCTATCGGACGATCTCCATCCACCGCAGCCAGAGGGGGTCGTCGCGACGGGCGCCGCCGGCAGCGAGAAAGCTAGGGAGCGCAGTGTTGACTTGGTCACAAATGAGCGGGTCCACGTCGACGATTGACCGGCACCTAACCTGGGAGGGACCCATTTGAAGTCCTGTTATGCAGTTCGTTCTCCAATCCCGTTCCATAATTACCGAATTAAGGGCCACGGAAGCGGTTAATAAACAGGAAAATTGGGCGGGAGTGGGGTCCACCATATGGGTAAGAAGACCAGAGTGATGACGTCAGGGACGGGGGATCCACGTAGTTTGGTTGACTTTCTCAAAACCAGAAAATTATATAAATTATTTGTGATTTAATTAGCGCACAAAACCCACATTCTTTAGAAAAGGGGCCGGATTTTATGAATTTAAAGTACGTACGTTTTTAAAGGTTCCACGGGGGAACGAACGGCATGGGCCTCTACATGGTTCCTGCCAGCTTCGAGAATCCGACACGGCTCGCGATGAAGGCTAAAGGCGGAGTAGGTAGGCTCTCTGTGGATTTCCACGTGGCATCTTCTCTTCCCCCCCCTTCATTTTGTTTACGTGGAGGAGGCCTCAGCGAACGCCCCTCTCGCGCCCTGCCCTTCGTTCCCCCCCCCCCCCCCGCCCTCGGCCCTTCTTCTTCTTCTATTCTCTCTCTCTCTCTCTCTCTCTCTCTTTCTCCTTCCCGCCTGGGGGTAGGGCAGCGGAGGCGCCGTAGCGGGCGATCGGGCGGAGCAGCCGAAGGATGGACGGACGTCGTTCTTCATAGGTGCGGTTTTATGGGGGATGAGAGAGAAAAGATGTGCCATGGAGATCCCCGCGTCCGTCGCTCTTGTTTCCCTTCGTTCTGGGGGGCTGTGGTAGCTCCTCCTCTTCCTCCAGCTCTTCCCTTGATGGCGATCTTGCTGCCCTCCCTTGAGCAGGTAACCCACATCTCTTCTTCTTCTCCCATCTGTCAGTCGATCGTCCTTGTCTACCTTGTCTTCGCTGGTCGTTCAGTTTCTTCTGCTGTAAGTTTCCTCTCGGATCAGCTGCCTCCTAGAACTGATAATCTATGGCCTCGCATGCTCTCTCTCTCTCTCGCTCCCGCATACCTTGAATCCTTGAATCGAAGAGGATGAACTCCTAAGCGCCTGAACCATTTTTAGCGCTCTTTCTCCTTCTCTCAGCTTTTTAACGACCACCGAATATCACCGCGATGATGAACGCAGCGACATCTCAGCGCGGAAGTATGGACTTCATTGGCTGATCTGCCGTCGGTGACATCTTAGTGCATAGTCGTCAGCTACCATTTGCTTGAGTTTAAAAGCGGTAATACTAAAGCATCGAGCTTTGCTCTAGATTAATAATTTCTTTGAGAGAAGGAAAGATCATTAGATGTACATCCACACTCGGGTGTTCTCTCTCCAAGTCGATGCTTTCTAGTTGTTTAAGCGAAAGCCAGAGAGATGATGGACTAAAGGGTCTCTCGCTTATTTAATTTGATGCGGGCACCAGAACATGGCTTGTTCGTCACTTTGCTCTTCTCCCGTATGACCTGCTCGCCTGGCTTGCCTGACTTTCATGCAGCTATAATCGTCGAGATTTCTTCAAGATTATAGATAGGCCGTTAATTATTTTTTAATTATTTTCACGGGCAGAGGGGAGAGTTTAGGCTGTGGCTCGGCAACTGGACCACCTGATGAACCCCCGCGAGGCCTCTTTTAATCTCCCTTCTTCTTCCTCTTCCGGAAATCTGGCCTCCAGGTCCGGTCGAGAAGTCATGGCTGAGGACGGCGGCGGCGGCAAGGTCACCGGAATCCGGCACATTGTGAGGCTGAAGGAGATGCTTCAGAAATGGCAGTCACTCGCACTGGGGCCCAAGGAGGTCCCGCAAAAGCCCTCTGGCATCTCCCCTCTGATCGAGAAGCGTTTGAAGAGCGTCTGCATCGCCTGCGACTCCGACGAGGAGAGCTGCCAGAGCCCCGAACCTCCTCCCGACGTCCCTAGGGGCTACATGGCCGTCTACGTCGGGCAGGAACGCCGGAGATTCGTGATCCCTACGACCTATCTCAGCAGGCCGGCGTTCAAAGTGCTGCTGGAGAAGGCCGAGGAGGAGTTCGGGTTCGACCAAAAGGGAGTCATCACCTTCCCATGCGAGATCGAGACGTTCAAGTACATCCTCCAATGCACGGAACATCACCAGAAGGGCCTCATCGACGACGGTAGATCTCTCTTGATTCTTCCCCTCGTCCTCTTCTTCTTCGTTACGGTTTCCTGGCACTGCTTTTCTTCATGGAAATGAAATAAAGGTCTCATAGAAGCAAACCATTCGAATCTTTATTTCTTGAATTGTCAGAGAAATCATCCACAATGCCGACGAAAACCCAACACATCGATTTTTCTAAATTAGATACATGTTCCTATGTCCATGCAGAAGTGGAGGCCACAGATGCATCGACGGGCCATTCCCCCGGCGCCGGAGTTTAAAGATGAGGAGCTTTCATCTGGCCGTTAATGCAGATGACAATGGAATCGATATCTTGGGCTTTTTGTGTAGACATTCCTTGACACCTTTTGTTGTTGTTGTTGTTGCTGATGATGATGATGATGATGATGATGATGATGAACAAGATCAGTATAAGTTCCATATTAGTCGTTCTCTCGACTGAAAACGCTGAATTTATTAATAGAACATAACTTTCTCTATTTATAACTTTGAATATGATACTTTGAGTACGATTCTTAATGAGCCAGCTTCCTTCGGAGCTTGGCTCGCCCTGGTTTTATATCCCCGACCCGATCAGATTTTATGGATTGACTTGACCTGGGAAAAATAATGGCTCCAGCCCTGGGAGGCGGACGCTTGTTTGCCGTCTTGTATCTGTGTCCGCGACCATCGATATTGTATACCTCTCTCTCTCTCTCTCTCTCTCTCTCTCTCTCTCATCAACCCTTCATTCTCTTTCTTTCTGCATCATTTATTTATCTCATATGTGCAAAGGAAGGGTAAGATAAAGCAAGTATAGGCTCATCCTAAGGTTAAGAGGAGTCGGGGCATGAACCAGGCGTCCAGAATTTTCTCTCAGCCTGGGCCATTTGTCACAAGGTTAGCCTAGTGCGGTGAGATTCCTCAAGCAGATCTTTGAAGTCAACAGTTAATTCAGCATGACGGATGTACACAACACGGCACCCAAGCTCGACAAGGGGGTGTGAATGACACGGCAAGTGCATACAGCATGGTATGACATTATATAATAAGGGTTAGGCGGCTCGTGTCATGACACAGTAATATAATGGAAAGAGTTGTCCTCTGAGTTGAAACTTATGGTCATGAATGTCTAGGTTGGTTGGATTTGTAAGCATATTCAATTGTAACATACGATTGAAGTATTCTGACATACAATAGCGTGACAAAATGACATAAGATCACGGTTTTATCATCAAAGTCAGGTAATTACTTTTCTATTATCTTTCTCTTATAAATAAGATAAGTAGTGTAGTATAACAAGGGAGAGCAGAACCAATGGTCAATGAATTACTCATCTTGAGGAGATGACAACAATTTCTATTATGATGTAGAAGCCTTGGAGGCCCAATTCAAGAGATTCAGACTTGAATCGAAGTGTTAGAAGAACGATTAAATGATATATAAGTTATGATTTGTCAAACCTTTCCCGAACTAATACTTAGATATAAGATGATGATCAAATAAGTCTACACAATGTAGTAGATAACTATATGAAGGAGGTGGTGCAAGTGAGGTGAGAGCAAAATCATATGTCAACAAGCAAGATGTGACGCATCACCTCACCTTGCCATCGTCTTTACTCACTATGGTCTCATCTTTCAGCTGCATTATCTTGTCATTCCTCTAACTCACCACCACCTTGATCTATCACCTTGTCTTGGAGCTGTCTTCTTGTTTCCAATCTCTCAAGTGTTCATGTTTACTTGCTCATCTTCCTCTGTTTTTTCTTCTTGGTTCACCCTCAACTTATCTCTATTCATGATATTGGAGCATAGATCAATCTTGAATGTCTTAATCTGATAAGTCTCTCTCCATTTATTCACTACTGATTGAACTATGATTTGTATTATTTGGGACATATTATTCAACCCATTATTAGATTTTAATACTGCTTGATATTATAACTTTTGCAATTACTAACTAGCTATTTTTTTGAAAATAAAAAATAAGCATAAACTAGTCCTCGTTTTCAATAGATTCCAATGCTCCCAAACTCATGTATTGATGAGGAGAGAGAAATATACAATGTCTGAATCACATTTGCAGATTACTTCTTAGAAGTTGAGTATAATTTTATTAGGTTAGCCCACTAAAACACAATTATATATTAAAGCACATGACATGATTAAATATATTTATGGTATTTCTATTAAAACTCCCATGACAGATCCAAACAACAAAGTTTAGTATCATGAAAATAGCTTGAACATGTCATGACTCTTGAACTCAACATAAATACTCCATAAGTGATCTTCCATAAACACATTGCTTATGAGATGTACAAGATATTAAAAATAATATATGGATGAAGATAGGACATAAAATATTACTATCAATTTAAGAATAATAATTATAAACTTAAATAAATAACTGATATTTATCAAATATTTTACTTAAAAAATATTTTGGATGAAATTAGACTCATATGATTTAGGTGAATGATCATCGATACAGGACTAAGATGACACATACAAATAATTGAGTTAAGAATAACTTTCAAATTTTTTGCTAACTTGAACCATAAATATGAAGTGTTAAGGGCTCAAATTATAAATATGTAACATGTTATGTCTCTTGACCAAGTTTTCTACAAAATATTATTTAAAGAAGAAAGTAAGTTGACATGACTATCTTTTAAGATATTAAAAATTTAGACTAGGTGAACAAAACTTTTGCTAGTATTGTGAAAAGATAAGACTATCAAACACCAAGGAAGAAGTGTATGTATTGTGGTTATATGAACTACATAGAAAATACCAGATAAATAAAAGAATACGGAGAAAGATTAGATATTGTTTGAAATAAGCCAATGGTCTACATAGACTCAAATAATGTGCCTCATCTAAGTGTCTTCACAAGTAAGATTTATTTGGATATCAAGAGATCTCACAAGATTCCAAAGGCTATTACAAAAGTAAATAAATAATCAAACTCAAGCCTCGCAACCACTTTAGTAAAATGCAACATTAAGTTCCACCTCTCAATTGTCACAAGATAGTCTAAGGGATAATAGAGATCTACTTTTGGCTATCTTGTTTAAGTCATCTATCCTTTAAGACTACAAACACTATGTTACTTAAATTATCAAATTTATAAACTTGTAAACAAATGTCATGTTTTCTTTTTATTTTTTGTGACTAAAAGTGATTATTCTTTTGATATTATCTATTCTAATATTTAGCATCTATCCCTTGTCACCTCTATGGACAGATATTGTTATTTTATTATTTTTATTAATACCTTGACTCATTTAAAATCATTATACCTAATGTGATATAGGGATGAAGTATCAAGAGTAGTTTAATTCTCTTCAACATGATTACCACTCAATTTGAGACCTTTTGCTTATATAATTCTATATAATTTTTCAAACATAACCTCAACATTTTTATGAAAAATTTAGGAACCATTTATGAATCCTCTTGCTATTATACACCTTGACAAAATATAGTTCAAAGGAGGAATCAAAATCTTTTGAAAATCAATATGATATTGTCTACCACACTTAGAGGCCAATTTTCATAGAAACTCATTTATTACCAAATCACTATTTTACCTTCCACCTAAGACATTTTATTGTGTATGTTATACCAATCTGTTTGGTGAAAATATTAGTAAATTAGACCATAAAATAGTCAGATGTGTCTTACTTTGCTATTTACACACATATAAAGGTTATGAATATCTTGACTCTTTAAACATGAGGAAGCATCTCAAAATATGTCACTTTTTCTGATTCCAAGCCCTTATGTAAGGCCTCAACTTAGAGGGAGGTCTCTCATGACACCTTAAATTTATAGAATTCGATTTGCCTACTCTCATATATACTTTACAACTAACCCTCCATTCATCATTGTCATGCCTCACAATAGATTTTCCACAAAGTGTGCCTCAGCCTATCACACAAAATGGAGACCCAACAAACCACAATGAGGCTTAAGAGCCATTATCTTGGCAAACTTAAATACTTCATGTGACTTGAGCTAGATCTTCTCATTGTTTTTCATAAGGGAGTTGCTCTTGTACACAATACCATATACCTAAAAATGAAAATTACTTGAGAATTTCTACTAACTATCATTCTTCTTTATCTTCTTTATATTCCACTATTCCACTTGATTTTTTTCACAATTGCAGAAAATAACCTTAAGTAGGTAAAGGCCATGGATGAGAAAATAAAAGCCTTGAAAAATATGAAAATTAATGGATCTACAAATAAGTAAGTTAGTAGTGTGATCGTAGTGGGCATTTATCATCAAATAAGACTCCAACGATGGAGTTGTAAATTGCTAGACTTGTATGGTTGCCAAAAACTTCACACAAACCTATGGAGTAGATCATGAGAAGACATTTGAACCTGTTGTAAAATTAAAGTTTGTAATTTGATGTCATTGGCAGTACATTTTAGTTTAAATCTATGTCAACTAAATATTAAAAATACCTTCTTAAATGTAAAATTAGATGATAAAGTTTTAATGAGTCATACCCAAGGTGTATATATTGAAAGTAAAGTATGTAGTCAGATAACGATGTCCTAAGACATATATCAATTGACAGGAAATTATTTATTTTGACCATCAATAAGAAAACATAGGCCATTCCTCTCTCCATGAAAATAAAATAAAATTAATGTTCTATTTTAATAGTGTATGTTGATGACAAGTAGAAACATGAAAATAAAACTTACCAAATGAATTAAAATTAAAGACTTCAAAATTTTAAAATACTTTTTAGGTATAGAAGTTGCAAGATAAAAAAAGAATTTATATCTATTAAATACAATATGCTATAGACCTATTGAATGAACAAAAAAGTTGAGATGTAAATTAGACATCACACTAATAGAAAAAAATCTTAATTTAACTAATACGAAAGGAGAGTAACTGCAGACTGAATCTAAATGTACCAATCAACAAGTAGTTTGGAAGCTCTTATATCTTTCTTTAACTTGACTATATTTATCTTATATTATAGTAAGTCAATATTCATATACATGTTTCTCGTACTATTCATATTCAAGTTGTCAATTGAAATTTGAGATATCTAAATTCTAGTCTAAGAAAATAATTACTTTTTTTAATAAAAACTTTATAAATTAAATGATTTAGTATTGTAAATTAGGCTATATTTCACAACGACATGAAGTATATTATACACTGTTGTATTTGTCCAAGAGTAAACCTTGTCATGTGGAGAAGTAAGAAATAAATAGTAGTAACAAGATAGAGTGTATAAATTGAATATAAGATTATGGCACATGCTTGATCATGGTCTTTGTGTGAAATTACCACTCAAATTATTTTATGACAATAATGCTACTATAGATATCACCAATAGCACAGCATAACACAACATGAAAGTACATCGAAATTATAGACACTTCATCAGATATAATATTGTTTTAAACCTCTAGGATTTTCTTATAAATATGTGCAGGTAAGCATAAAATCCTTAGGTAATCAATTCTATATTCTTTTTCCCTTCCTACTAATCGCTTCCTCTTCTTAGAGGTGAACCTCGATTCACCGCTGCCTCACCATACCACTATCTTGTCTCACTGTTGTCTCAACTTGTCACGACCTCATCTCATAGCCGCCTTGTCTTGCCATTGCTCTAACTCGCCAGTATCTCACTCCATTGTCTTTTCTCGGAGCTTCCCATTTTTGTTTTCAATCTCTCAATAGGTTCAAATTTTCCTCTCATCTTCCTCCTTTTCTTCATCTCGATTCACCCTTGGCTTTTCTCTCTTCATTCTGACTGAAGCTACCCCGTCGGCTTGCAATACACTCGGTATTCCACATATCACTGCTTATTGTGATGCGCACCAAGGAAATGCCAAAGACCCTCAACTGCCCATAGTGACCATCACAAACAATCTAGGAGCAATATACCTTAAGGGTAGTGATCATATTGGATTGTAGTGAGATTGTGGTAGTGGTGATTCATTATTAAGTAAACATGGCCAACCAGAGGAAAAAGCGACGTTGGAGTGTGATATTGACCTCTGGCATTTCAAAGGTCTTAACCATTGCTACCTTGAGCAACAAACACCCTTCGATGATGACAATAGAGCTTGAGGAAGGTGACGATGTCACATGACTTGCACATCAAGCAGAGACTCGTTAGGTGGAACCTTATAGTCGATGGTTAGTTTGGCATAAAACAACATGGCAAATGTACATGCATATGACACTATGACCACAGATGGCACGACATGGCATCATGTCTAACACCAGAAGTGAGATTAAAATTAATCTAAGACCATTTAATTTAATAATCATGAATTTAACCCCTCTATATTAAGAGTTAGGCACCTAGTGTCATGCAACCTTGAGTAATGTAATAGAAGTCATCTTTTGGGCTAAAACTCTCACTCATGAAGGTCTAAGTTGGTTGTGGTCTTACACATGCCCAATTTTAGCACATAGCTGAAGCATTATGATAGGCAAGTCTGTGACACCTTGCTCCTACTTTGATGCGGCCATGACCAAGCTTGTCCATAGAATTCGATGTGAGAGTATTTTCAAAAAGTGATAATTCGAGGAAGAAAGATCCTTTTTCAGCTTGCAAGGGTTGATTTCTTAACCAGATCTATAAATCTAGCCTCTGACTTGTTTGATGCAAGAGGAACCCGATCGAGCTTAGCTAGTGACTCTGCCTCAACTTCTATTGACAATTCAATTGAAATCTTGCTCTTGGATTCCACTGCAAATCGGTTGGGGTTAAATTTTGAGATTATTGAGATCATTGCTCTTGGAAGATGACAGATCCTTTTACAGGAATAAATAGAGAAGATGAGTATGCTCCCACATGTCACATTATCTCTCGGCTCACCAATTTTTCTGTAAATGCAGCGTCGCTCAACAAAAGATTACATGCACCTTTTGCCGTTCAGTTGCCCCCTGAGGCTCTAAGGCTTGGGTGGATGGAGAAGCCATGTGGAGGCCCGGATGAAGGTAGGGCTCAGGAAAGGCTTTACTTGTTTCTCCGTCAGCACTCGAGCGTAGCCCACTCGGTCGGCGGTGGACGATCCCGGCCCTGAGCAGTTGTACTCACCGTAGAACACCGTCCTGCATTGGCCACATGAGGAGACCTCAGAACTTAACTCTTCATGATCATGATAAATTAGTGAATTCAAAGGACTAAGAAGCCAACTATAAATGAGCAGATGTGCCTTTTTTTTTAGTTAGTAAACTGTATCGGTATATCCATCACTCATGCAGTTATCTTAGTAGATTCTCAACATGAACTATGCTTGATTGACCAAATCGATGGAGAAGGATCGGAAGAAATCATATAGGCATCTAGGTTAGCCAGTGAAGAATGGAGGATGGAAGAGGAAGGAAGATTAGCGCACCGGTCACGGGCGGGGACGCCGAAGTCGTCCCAGCCCGTGGGGGTGACAAGGCTGCCCATGTACGTGTTGGCGAAGACGACCCTCGAGCTGTCCCTCCATGCCCGGTTCAGATAGGCCTTCCCAGTTCCATGGATCTTGCAGTGGATGAAGGAGAACCCCCCCTTGTTGGCGTTCTCCCTCCCCTGGGCTACGATCGCCGTTATACCCGTCGGCGGCGCCACGGACTCTATGTCGCAGTCCTGTTACGGAGAAGCGGAACGAAAGCTCTCAGATGAGAGAGAGAGAGAGAGAGAGAGAGAGAGAGAGAGAGAGAGAGAGAGAGAGAGAGAGAGAGAGAGAGAGATCACCGAGTAGATGGATCTCCCATTGCCGAAGATGAAGTCGACGGTTCCTCTTATGGAGCAGTCCTTGAAGAAGTGCTTCCCTGTGTCGTCGCAGAGAGTGTCTTGGAAACCATAGAACTTGCAGTTGTAGAACGCCGCCTTGTCGCCGGATATCCGCATGGCCACGGCCTGCCTATTCTCCTCTCCCATCCTTGGCATCGGCGCGGAGTTCTTCGCACAGACAGTGATTCAATGAAGACTATGAATTTCAGAATCGGAATCATATATTTCCGCTCAATTCGCTTGTTGTTGATTAATGTCGATTTCATCAGAGAACCGTGGCCGGGCGTGTCACCTGGAAGATGATGTGGCACGCTATGAAGTAGTGAGACTCGACGGCCACGGTGGCGCTGTTCCACGTGCCGTAGAGCGCCGCCGTCCCGTTGAATACGATGGTCGGCATCGACTGCGGGTCGCCGTAGAAGGTGACGTAGGGCTTCGTCCTCTCCACCGTCAGCTTCTCCACGTACACCCCGGGGCCAATCTTGATGATCGTCCGCCGCCCGTTCCCCTCCGGCACGCTGCCCACCGCCTCCGTCACGGTCCGGAAGTCGCCGGTGCCGTCCTGCCTGACGGTGATGATCAGGCGCTTGCTCTCCGCCAGCTGAAGGCGTGCGTCCAGGGTGTCGGAGACGCCTGCGGCGGTCGCCGCCGTCAGCCTGTCGAACTCCTCCATGGTGTCGGAGATCCAGCCGTCGAGGGTGGTGGAGGAGCCGGCGGGGCGGAGGAGGAGCGAGGAGAGGATGAGTGTCGCCAAGGCCGGTGGCAGAGAGGCGGGGAAGACGGACCTCGGAGCCATCCTTCTGCACACAGGCGGGGTTCCAAGGTCCGGTGGGGTCGGGCTGTGGAGGAGGAGAAGCCTTTTAATGGCTGTCCTAACAGCGTGTAGAGGAACTAACAAAACGGTCCTCCGGCGAGGTGTCCGTCTGTTCTCGAGCTGCGTCGGTTTCGCAGTTCGGTTCCCGTCCGTAGCGCTGCGCATGCAAATCCGAGAGAGTACGAGGCTGACGCAGCCGAAAACCGACGATCAGCATGGGTCTCATCCCTCTCCGACTGTCACCCTCTCTCCGATGTGCACACGCAGCGCGGCTCGGGTCAGTTTTTTCGCCTGGGAGAGGGGATTAGGACGCCTTAGCGGCTGTTTGGATGTCTAAACTAAGAATATTCTGCTCTCTAGTGAGGATCATGAAAAACGGACGGTGAGGATGCGACGACGACAATAATTAGTAACATTATTGGTGAAAAATGGGAAAAAACCGGAGCCGCTCCCCGAACCCTCGATGGGTTCCCGCGAGAAAAAAAACATGGAAAACTTGCTAACTGGGCTCATTAATTGAAAATTTAATTCATTGCACTACTATCCAAAAAGCCTCTCTCTCTCTCTCTCTCTCTCTCTCTCTCTCTCTGGGTCAATGGGCCGGGTTTGTCTGGGCCTTGTCTCAGGGGTCCAAATGGGACGCCCAGATTACATCATTCTAGTGAGCCTAATGTTCCTCTGGGCCTACTCATGGGCCTGCGACCGCGTTCTTGGGCTGGACCGTGGGCTGTCTGCACGTGGCATCTTACCCAGGGTATCGGTCGCTTAAATCAGCATGTATAAATGATATATGAACCGACATTACTTTATGGCCGTTAATTAATCGCAAATTTTGTACTGGGTACGAACGCGTTGGACGTTCTTCAGCATCTTGAAGTCGCCGAACGTTGACCGTCACTCAGAACCTCCCTGGTCTTCGGGGCTCATCTAGGGCCAGCCACAGCCTAGGCAGGAGGAGATTCCACCCTATTCACGGCGACAGAGGAGAACCGGGGGAGGCGTCGGCGGCGGGAGGTCCCGCCCCCTCCCCCATCTTCTGCTCGCCAGAGAAAAGAACGGCTCCTCTTCTCCCTCCAATGGGAGATGGCGACAGCAGCAGCAGCGGCAGCAGCTTTTGGCCAGGGGCGTTCGCGAAAACCAGCGGGCGGTAACCCGGTGGCGCCGCCGAGGGAAGGCCTCCCTGTCGTGGGAATGGCATGACGCTCTCTCGCTGTCCAGCTGAACGCACCCGCAGTGTCCGCACGAACGCATGCCCCGTCGACGCGTGTAGATCCCCACGTGAAGCCACATCTCATTCGGTGCGGCTAGACTCCAGACCTCGCGGTCTCACCACCCACTTTCAGACGGCAGCATAGCAGCACCATACCTCGATGGCGAGAAGATGACACGGGCCATTATTGGCGTCCCTTAGCAGCCTGTTTCTACCCTAACAACCCCTCTCTCTCTCTCTCGGCATTCAACCGGTGCAGGTGATTCAATTGTCCAACTGTTTCCTTGTATTCTCTCGAAGCACAGGCGCTACATGGCCGTGCTGTCTCCTTGGGCCTGTCTCCGATGGACCATCAAGGATCAGACCAGGAGAATTGCAGCGGCAACGGGGAGCCGGGGGAGAGGGAGGCTGCCCACGGCCCCTCCACCGCCCTCCTCCGGGAAACCCACCGCCCTTCTCTGGAACCACGTTGGAAATTGAATTCTGATATGCTATCTATATCACATATTCTTTCGTTCATTCGGGCTGCAAGGGGGACCATGGACAAGGTCTCCAATCGAGCAGAAAACGACCGTTCGGCGTTGCCAACCTGAACAGGGGTCTCCAGGCCGGTCACATGGGGCGGTCCGGTCCGATGACGACCCTGCAGCTAACACACCGACCTACGGACCGTGGTGCCTCCCTTCTCTTCTACTCGTTCATTCCCCTTCCCCTCCTTTCATGGCAGCAGCTTGAGCCCATGGAGTTTCCTCGGAAAAACACAAAACAACGGATCTGAGGCGAACGCCCGTATCTCTCTCTCTCTCTCTCTCTCGCTAAAGTCAACACGGTCATATGCATCCGGGATCATGGTTGGTGCGGGTTAACGACACCATTGCACCATTGTAAACAGAGGGAAACCACGTATTTAGTTACCAACCTAGGTGTGTGATGATTCGATTTCCCATAAAGGAAAGCTTCAATGGCATTCTTCGTCGAAAGACGGACGCACGGATCGCTGCGCAGTGGATGGGTATCAGATCACTAAAACATCCCACGTGTAGTTTGCTACGGAGCAGGGACTGTTAACGGAAGCCATGACTGAAGTCTCCCCCAAGCTTCTCACGGTCCCTCTGTGCTTCAGGAGCTCCGGCCTCCGAAAGTCTCGTCTACCCTACGGACTAAACACTCTAGAGCTAGAAAGATAGGTAGAAAGATGGATGAATAGATAGGTAGAGAGATGGATGGAAAGATAGATAGAGAGATAGATAGGGAGAGAGAGAGAGAGAGAGAGAGAGAGAGAGAGAGAGAGAGAGAGAGAGAGAGAGAGAGAGAGAGAGAGAGAGAGAGAGAGAGAGAGAGAGACAGAGAGAGGGCTGGTGTCAAGAGTCTTGGAAGTTTTTAAATTCCTACCGACTGAGAAGTAGGCGAAGTGGAATCGACCGTATACTTCGTCCTCCTCATCTCCCCCCGCTGCTGGGTCGCGGAAGCCTGACTCAACTTAAAGAGTACTCCAGGGCTGCACAAAGCACCAGAGAAGGACTAATTTAAATATCATGGTCTCTGAAGTGCCCTCAAAATGGCCTTCGGGAGCAGCCATTTTCCATACACGGTCTGATATTATAAGGAGACCGAATCGGAGACTACACCCGCGGAGCGACATCGGACGGCGACGAGAAAACAATCCGATATCCAACGGAGGGGAGATCCCCGGAGCAGTCGCGATTACGCTGGTGCAATGCTTAAGAGTCGCAGAGGGCGCCCACCAATGCATTTGGCCCCCCGTTCAGGGTCAGGTTCATCAGGTGCTCCGATTCCAGACAGTAACGCATGATGGTATCGCTCATCTTGTTGCGAGCCTCTGAAATCATCTGCTCCCTGCCTCTGAAATCATTCCAGACTGTACAACTACTTTCTGTGGTCTGCCCGGAAAGCATCTCAGATAATTCCCAGAAGCGCGCGCATGTGGACTTTGACGATCGCTGGCCAGATGGGTGCAAATCGCTGATCATTCGACAGAGCGAGAGAAGAGAAATAGGCTGGAGAAGTTATCCCAATTCGGCACGCGCTGGTATATCGGTTCCAAGTTGGAAAAACAAACGATTTGAGGGCCTTTGGGGGTTAGCGTGGGCCGTATATCTTAACATGCGCGCACTAAAAACAAGAGACCAAGATAAAGCCAGCTGAGATAAAGACGGAAAACTATGCAGATGTGGAATATACGGCCCGTTTGATTGTTCTAACAAACCCCCTGGGACATCTTCACGTTCACTCGGGTGGCTGGGTTGGGCTGGGATGGCGCTAGGATCCTTGAAACCCGCCCCCCCCTTAAACTAGTGGGTTGAGTTGTCATCTTCTTCAACGTCAATCATTGGGAGAGCACCGATACTCGGACCGTATTCATCGATTGATGTCCGAGGTGAGATGAGGGTACTCCAATAATTTTGAGAGGTTGGGGTCATCAACATTGCCGCGGTTGAAATGTCGTCGCAGAGAACGAGAGAAGAGGAGATGCTTCACGGAGAAGGATGGCTCGAGATCAAGAGTGGGTTAGTTCGATCATCCTCAACCATCTTGAAGTTAAAACGAAGAAAGGGGAAAATTGGGAACAATGAATGGCAGACCCGGTTTTCTCGACTGCCGTCATTATTTTTGTTGACAGCCTCACAAGGGAAACTCAGAGGAGCTATGCCCTAGGATTAATCACGGCCAGGTGTCACCTGCACTTCTGATCCACGGTTAATGACGCGCCGCAGTAACCGGTGCGGTGGCGGTCGATCAGCAGGCGTAGAACTCCACGAGCTCGTCGAGAGATTCGGGCTGGGGATCCGCATTCTCCAGCATCCACAGTAGGTGCTCGAACAGCACCACCTCGCAGCCCACCACCGTCGTTGACTTTCCGCCGTCCCCGTCGTCTCCTCCCGATCGCTGCACTAGCACGCGGAAGAGGGGGTGGTCGATGAGGTGGGAGCTGACGAGGTAGCGCCGACGAGACTTGCCGACGTAGACCGGGTGGAGCCCCCCGGGGATCTTGTCGTCGTCTACTCCGCCATGGTGCTCGAGGAGACTCTGGGAGGCGCTGTTGCCTTGTGACCGGGGGAGCCTGCTATTGTTTCCAGAGGCGGTCTGCCACCGCTTGATCATGCACTTAAGCTTGCCCAACTTGCCGATTGCGCCACCTTTCGCCATTGGAGGGAGTAATGTCCGAGGAAAGCCGCCAGGGAGAGAAAAGAGGGAAAGCTCTAGGGTGGTTCTGCCGAGGGATTTCGGGTGCGACTCAGAGAGAGAGAGAGCGCTCTGTTACCCGGGGAGGTGGAGGAAGGTGGGGAGGAAGTTTCACTATATAAAAGCACAAGAGCAGTTTAGGAAGGGGATGAGCAGTAGCTGGGACCCAGCTGATGTAGGCTGGCCCCAGTTGGACTGGTGGAGGTGGATCCCGCCTCTACAGAAACAGGACAACGGGTTCGGGGTTGGCGTTGTTTGTCATAACAACACTTTTTCATGAAAGAAACTAACTATATTTGTTCCTTTATATCTTTCCCCCAGAGAGTATGCAATAATCACTGCAACCCCCTTTCTTTCGATGGGCTCTTCTCTCTCTCTCTCTCTCTCTCTCTCTCTCTCTCTCTCTCTCTCTCTCTCACTCACTCTCCCTCTCCCTCTTCCTGTTCGAGTGCAGCCAACTCAGAGACCTAACGTTTCGGATTCTAGTCGGAGGGTAGGACGTCCTCATCCAATGGTAGATATGAAAGGGGATCCTTCATCTTGCTCACCTAGTTCCCTATATCACCCTGTTGGCGATTGCATTAGGCTCTCAGCAGAGAGTTCCAGGCTCCCGCTCCAACCAGGCTGGGCTACCCCAGCAGGGGAAGAAGAGAGAGAGAGAGAGAACGATATTCGTCCATGCAAACGCAGCAGAGGGGGTCGGTGAAATCGAATGCGACGGGATCGAGACGTGGGTTAGGCCTTCCCTCAGGCGTTCCACGTCAACTCCAAACGTATTGATCCTACAAAGCGACGGTACCATTTTGTACCACTAATCTCGATGGCCAGCGCTTCAGACGGAGTCCTACGAATTGGGGCTCTCGTCATTGCGAAGGGGAGAGGAGGGCCATGAAGTTTAGGTTTTCTCCTTCGTGTGGTGGGTGAATGTCGAACTGTGAGGATGAGGGGAAATACTGGGGAGGGTCTGATAGGTCCATAAAGGCTCTAAGGAACGCACACAGGCATTCGTGGTGGTTGAAAGACCTACTTCAGATAATCTATGTATCGAGCTGCGTTCAGTCGAGCATTAGGCCACTGTTCGCCGTTTCCAGACGGAACAGATGTCTGCTTTATTAACCCACTCTCATCAAGTTTCCAGACGGAACAAGGCGACAGAATTGTCACTGCGTCCGTTACGAGTCTCGCGGGCAACCACATGTCTCAGATGTAACGACAGTCAAAGTCTGTCCTTTCTTAGATCCATGGAGGTCGGGGAACTTGATCTCTGAATAAAAAAACCGTCGATTAACATTTGAAAGTTCTTATTCGAAGAAAAGCTGAAGTATCACGTATGAAAATGTCACAACTTTGGACTGAAAGGGATGATTGAGTAACCTAGAGCTCGACGTGTCGATAATTAATTCAAGGCTACCCCTTGAATGAATGACAGAGAGAACCAATGTGGGGTGGGATGAGTTCTTCTTGCTCTTGTCAGAGATTTTTTTTTCTTTGAAGGCGAGAGATGTGATAAAACAAAGGACGTGGAACTCTCTCTCTCTCTCTCTCTCTGCATAGCATGGTTCCCAAAGATGCCAAACTATTCATTGTCAACCCTCTTCAGCCTGCCTGTTTCCTTCACAAGGCAGACCTAGCAGCCTCGGTGGATGGGCCCCCCATCCAGAATTTTTAGACCGGTAATCTTTCACTGTCAACGTTTCTGCCATTTGGTCCAACCATGATTAAACAAAGAACCAAGGGAACCTTCAAGTATTCTTTTCGTTTATACTAAGAAGCCTCCGGAACATACTTTAGGCGCTCCGCCATGGACTTGCTGGCGAAGGGGGCCGCAGTTCAGCTCATACGAGAGGTCGGGAGAGCTTCGCGGGAAGGGCTCGGGTATTGATTCCTCAAGCGCACTCAGGTCAGGTCTGCTAATCATGGAAAAATATTTGGATCTCAAACAAAACATATATTGATAATGGAAGAAAAGAGAGGCAGTAGATGTAGTTGAGAATTTAATACGATGCTATCGATCCGGTGATGTTCGGTCAATCGCGGCCAAGGGCAATATTCAATTTGCAGAGATCCTGACGAGGCGAAGAGCTGGACTTGCCGTGACAGAAGAAGGAATAACCGTGGAACTGGATGTTAAATAAATTCGTGTGGGGGAGGCGACAAACATGTTTCTGTAGAATAGGATCCCCATAAGGCCTGAATTCGCATCAGGCCTGGAGAGCAGGCCATAAAAATCGTCTTCTGGGCTGGAACTAGAATTGTGAGCTCCTGTGTGGATAGCTCGAGCCTGGCCCTTGATATTCACCAGCCTGAGAGAGAGAGAGAGAGAGAGAGAGAGAGAGAGAGAGAGAGAGAGAGAGAGAGAGAGAGAGAGAGAGAGAGAGAGAGAGATGTGCTGCCATGTGGGTTATATTGACATAGCCGTTTTGCAAGAGTAAAAGGTCGTCTCATGAATTATCCAGCCTTTGGACACCCCTAAATTGCGGCTGTAGCTGATATCGCACTTAAATGAAGATGCATACCGGCATGATAGAAGGGTACGACTGGTTGTCGAGATAAACCTTCCAGAAACGTGCACCACATGCCCCATATTACTCAATGAAACACAGATTAGATGCCCAGACACAGAAATCAACGTTTCTTCTCTGCGTGCTCCTTTAAAATTTATGTCGTACGTTTCTGGCACATTTTTGGCTGGTGCTCCCATCTCGGGAAGGGGGGGGAGAAGGCAAGCGATGCCTCCTCTTCTACCGTGGTTTGGACTGGCAGGTCCTACGGTCTGCGTCCATTAAATGAGAGAGGGGAACACCACGTTCGCCAGATTCCACGACCAACTCATGGACATCAATGCAAATTTCACGTCTCGGCGTGGCTTTTCCTTCAACTGTACCTCCGAAATATGTATGATCTCCGACTGAGAACCTGCATGAGAGAGGTCTGGACGAGGATCAGCCTAAGACACCTCCCCGGCGAGATCATCTCCAAAGGATTTACCGGCAATGGAAAGGTTCAAGGCGTGTTCTTCTTCCTTAAAACGGGCCCAGCTGATTCATCCGCAACCAAAAGTTGGTGCTTATGCTGTTCTTCGGACAAATATCACACAAGTCGCCCCCACTCACCTTGAACAACCTTCGGATTTTCCGACAGGGAGTTCCCGAGGACAAGACGGTTCAAGAGGGTAGGAGTCCTCGCTGGGGAGCTACGGGATTTCACTCGTCGAGTCTATTGTGAGAGAGAAGAAAACTCTAGAACCCTTCAGCGGCAGGCAGACCAGGCAAGATGTACGAGCCATGAGCCTAAGACCGCCGTCGGCGGTGGCCTCAAAGCCTCCCCGGTTGAGTATCATGTGACCCATCAAATCTGAGGCCCCCCCTCCTCTCTCTTGCGACAACTGGGGGCGCAGCAGAGATGAATGAACGGAAGGGGGGATGCGGGAACCATGTGGGCATCCTGCAGCCACCATCTACAGTAATGTGATGGCGAGTTATCGCAGAACATTTGCCCTCCGCCGTCTCGCAGCGTGCTACACGCCCTGGGGGCCACTGCATGTGGCCGGCCTCTCTCTTTCTGTCTCTCTCTCTCTCTCTCTCTCTGTCTTCTCTGTCTCTGTCTCTCCCTCTGTTGTCGTCTACGCGGCGGCGTCCCCTGATGAGGGCGGGGGAGTCACCGGGGACCCGTCTCCACCGAGCATGTGGCCGCTTTGGTATAATTTGGTATAAATGCTGACGACGGCGCTCCAAACGGTAGCGGGTCCTCTCCCTCCCTCCTTGACGCAGACTCCACTCCATGGAACTTGCACCCGAGGGATTGTACGTGGGCTGACCGCGTCTTCTTCCCCTCCCTCCCCTTCGAGGTGACAGCAAGCCATGAGCTACCTATCGCCTTGGGGGACCTATCCTGTACCCGCTAGAGAGAGAGAGAGAGAGAGAGAGAGAGAGAGAGAGAGAGATGGGGAGAGAGAGAGACAAGCCCAAGAGGACAAGGGCACGTGCATGTCGGGCGAGACAGCGGACAGCAGCGCTTTCGGTGGCTGCGTAAAATCCTCGGGCACACGAACAGAGCTCGCTTAGTTCAAGGCCTCTGCACGTGATGAAGGAGAGAGACAGCACACTTTATTTAGGGTTGGCGAGAGAAGGACGACGACGAAGTAAGACACGAACAGCGCCCGTAGGCCTTCATAGCGGAGACGGCCCATAACTGTGGACCCAATAACACAAGCCCAATGGGCTTTTTGTAGTCCTCACTGGCACGCGAGAGGACCTCCCCACGAGCGAAGCCCGTCTATATACACCCCGAAAGCACCGACAGGGCACCTCAGACTAAAGAAGAGTAATTAATCATCGGATCAAAGCAGGATTAGCCCAACGAACAGGGTTGATTAACCCAAACCGGCCCCACGTCGAGGATCGGTCAACGCCGTATATCAGATTCAACGATCCTCCCCAGCTGACCGCCCGAGCGCCGGCCGACGAACGGAGGCCCCGCATTGACTTCTAAAGACAATTAGGGTTCGGCGTCCGAGCGCAGTACTCTACGTGGACGAAGATATACGGCCAGCAGAAGGCAGACGGCCAGGCCGGCGGCGCCGTCAAATGGGCGCCAGGGATAGGAGCTCGCGAGCCAGAAGGGCGTGTCGGGCCTGTAGGACAAGAACCCACCGGCCTGGACGGCGAGGTTGGCCACCATTATGCCGGCTCTGATCCCTATCGGGAGCAGGAGGCTGCCGTTGGCTCTTTGCTTGGCCCCGCAGAGGGCCAGAGAGAGGAGCAGGAACCCAGGAATCGATGTGAGGGACCTGCAGAAGGCAAATCAAGTAGAACCGATCAGACCCCGTTGACTAGATACGAGAAGAACTCCCCTGGCAGGAAGTCTTGCAAAGAGTTGACCTCGGGTGTATGATTTCAGTCCATGGGAAGAACCCAGAGAGCATTACCTCTGAAGCAGAGAGAAGATGAGCCCTGAAATCATGAGGGCGTTGTAGTATCCGAGGTCCGCAGCAATTTCCTCAGGCAACCATGACCTGAACAGTACCTCTTCGACCATGGCGATGCAAGTTGCCGTCACAATCCCTTGAAGGGTTCTGATCAGCATCCAGGCATATGTTTTGAGCAGCACGGCGGCGTGAACCGAAGGTGAGGAATGAATAGGAGGCCTGGCAAGGGATACAAATCCGAGCAAGGCATTTATTGAATGTATGTAGACGACCACCGTTATCCCGCCTCCGAAACCCTTCAGAAAGTGTTGCACCTGCACACAGGCAATCGGTTGCAAGGGAGTCATTTCGATCAGTAGCTCCTCAACTTCTGCCTTTTCCAAGAGATCGACAGAAGAGAAAGGGAAAAAAAAAAAAAAAAAAACTGTTCGTACGAGATGTTCGAATGCTAATGATACATTTCGTGGATTATGGTCAACCCAATAAACATATAACCATTAGAAAAAATGGTTGACTTTTGTACACCTTAATCTGTAAGTTATCCATGCAAAAGCTGCGGAGCAAAGAAAATGGTACTACCTTGGATGATCTGAAGTCCAATCCGTACCGTTGAAGTGGGTCTTCGTATTCCCGAATTCTTCTTCCCCACAAGACAACGAGAATCATAACGGCGATATAGAGTCCCAGAATGCACGCATATTCAGCAACGCCTTTGGTACTTCTCAGCATCCGGCTCTCAACGAGCGATGGGAACAAAGGTATGACCACTGGAGACCAAACGACCAGTACCATGCAGATAAATCCTAAGAGTCTGACAAGAGCGAGAGAGAGTTGGATTTACCAGAAAATTCCTTGAAGGAAGCAAAACGATAATTGGTAATTTCTGAGATAAAAAATAAAACAACAAGCTAATGCTACAAGCTTTATAGGATACATGACGGGTATCATGAAACAGATTGAAGATGTCATCTTTTATACAACGCTGATAAATGTGAATTGAGGTCCATTATTTTAATTATGGCTTGGAGAGTAGCTGTGTAGAGGTAAATATAAAATTAAGAGGAACATGCATGATGCAACAGATGCACATATGTGCACCTTTTCAAAGATTTTCCGTCCCCTTTTCAAAGATTCCTGCTAGGAAATTTTGAGGCTGAATTTTTGTTTTTTAAAACATCAATGTATGGCATTTAAGTGCATACAATGGATCTTATCTTATATATAATATAGAAAATAAAAAAAAAGTACTCCTACATATTTAACCATAATGTGAGGTCAATATTCTCTACGTTGAATGATTGTGCGAATCTTAAAATCAGAATTTCAAAGGAATTCATGAATGAGATTGACTATTTGAGAATTAAAAAAAAGAAGAAAAGGATATCCGACTATAGACTTTCATTAATTAAGAGTGCAAATATGAACATCTAGCCCACTACATTAGCAGGTGCAAATATGAACATCTGCCGTGCTAGCATCCTTGATGGAAAGCTCAACGATAAGTAATCTCCCATAGCTAATTATTGCCTAAAAAACCATTCCAGATAATTCAATTTTAAACCCCTAGAAATTGCCAGTAAAAATATGGGCGCTATTTGATTATAAAACCATTCAAGAAAATTGGATTTGTGGCTTTGGGACGTGATCTGAGGTCCCAGTGAGTCATAATCATGATTTACCCTCATGTGGGCAGAAGGCAGACAAATAGTTACTATGTGTGATAGGTAAATCTATGCCACGATGTTGACATATATATATATATATATATGGATATTATTAATAAATAAATATAAGAAAAGAGCCTAATTTGTCAAAATTTTATGATATGCAGAGATCTATGAGATGAGTGAACCCGACTTCACTTACCTCTGAAACAAGGGGCGCCGAGCAAGCTGCAAGAATGATATAAGTCTGTCCGTCAGACTCATTGCACCACGTAGGCCACCCCAAAGTAACGCAGCTTTACCAATTAATCTCAAAATTCCACCCCTCTGTCCCAATTCTGCAAGTGAAGCGACCAACCTGCTCACATCAATAAAATGTTACCGCCCTCTTAAGACCTTAAGAAAGAGAAAATTTTCAACGTTATGTTGTAAAAACGATTAGTAAAATATGACCTTTCATGATCAACTTCGCCATCATCCCTAGTAGGCACAACAGGACCAGCAACGGACATTGCTTTCTCAGCAAGGGTGCTCACTAAATTATTCTGCTGTTTATCTTGAACCACTTCCTGAAGCTTATCAGGAAGCTTGACTGATTCTTCAACTCCTCCCATGGGACCAGATGAAAATTCAGCCGTATTGCCAGACCTATGGAGTTTATTTTTCTCCTGATAAAAACAAATAAAATGAAATTTATGCTGATAGCGTTTACCTAGAACAAGATGCTCACAGACATCAACACGAGCATTATCTTGAAAAGAATAGAAACATCATTGAATAAAGCATCCACTTAAATATTGCTAGGATGGAAATATAATATTGGAAAATATAGTTCAATAATGGTTTGATTCAGATGCTGATGAATTACTAACAGGGAGCTTGACGCGAACGCCAAAAAGGTTGTTAGATTACCACTTAAGAGTCAACCATGAAACATTGCCCAATGAAGAAAGCCAAAAATGTGGCTAAAAGAGAACACAGCTAATTTTGGTTATGTCCATGGAAAAGCGGATAAGAAAAATGCAAGGAGAGGAAGATAACATAACAAAAAAGATAGTGAGTCAGCTGCTCTCAATCTATTTATAAATAAGGTCAATCCTAAAAATATCACAGGACGAACACTGCCACTGTTATAAGCAGCGGTTGGGATAAAACATAATGAATAATTAAAAAAATAAAAGACAAAAATACCCTAATCTTCATTAAAAATTATATTAGAAAAGCTTCCCACCACTGCACACAAAATTCTATTTTGTTCAAAACACCGTAAAAATAAGGATAGGATCAATAAGAGAGGCCTCTAAAATTTTCTAAAAGTTATGTGAACAGCGAGCGACACCCTTAGGGAGGTAGAATTTTTAGCATACTCTTACACAAAGTAGCCAAGTATGTTTCAGATGATCGCATCAAGTTTTCGCAAATAATTCTGAACTCTGCAGGATGTTTTCAATCATAAATTGATGGCTGGTTTTCAAGAAATGAAGCGTGATGGATTCCGTCCCAGAAAAGTATCAGGGTTATATATGCCATCAGTAAATGATCACCATTGGTGATTAAATCAACTAAAAGAGTAAATGAAATAAAGCTGTATTCTCTGTAAATTTTATTTTGTTTTACGCTGAACGCTTCTCAAGTTCCATATAAAGGTGTCATACACATGGATGGCCCATAATAACACCAGTATATAGGCCAAGACTTCGGCACTGGTTATCAGCCAGACATTAGAATTTGACGTCAAGAATGGAAAACCAATAAACAGAGAAAATAGAAAACGCAAGATGAAGAAAGTGCATAAAAAGGATAAGTGACTTTCTTGCTAACAATTTTATGGTAATAAATTTAAATTAATTACAGACTTTTCCGCAAGTATGAAGAAAATAAATTTAGTTTGTCTGTTGTCTTATTTAGAGACCACAAAAAATGCTTGAGACTAATAATAGAACAGAAAGGGGCCATCAAGTAATTGTCATAATCACTCACTTAGGGAAAAAATATTTTGGATTTCAATTAAAACTATGAACGCAATATTGCTTTTCCAAAGGAATTCTTAGTGACCTGATGATGCGCCAGTAATGCTGATGCGCCTAAAGCAGCTGTAAAAGCACCAGCCACAGCGCCACCATTGTGTAAATTGGATGTTTCAGCTGTGACCGTTCCTCCAAGGTGTTGGGAATCAAGATCGATGTTTTGATCTTTTTTTCCAAGAGTAACGTGAACATTTTCAACTTCACATTCTTCGCCATTATGTCTGTTCTCAATATTAATAGGAGGTTCAGTTGCATCTTTTACCTGGTATTCATTATGCAAAACAGTGACATGAAAATATTTTCTCAATGATGCCAATGTAGATCCCACTATAACACCAACTGGCAAAACTTTTCCAAGGCTTGTATCACGAACAACACATGAGATGGTTCTAATGATCAGTTGCCCTTGAATTGTACCAAGTTTCACTGACGTGGACCTCAGATATCCTGGAGATAACTCTCTGTCACGAACTACAGCGCTAGAAACTGCAATGGAGACTTGCAATATATCATGCATTATATTTGAATCTGTGTCCTGGAGATCAGAATTCCCTAGGCGCCGTGATACCTCAACCTTCAGTGCATTAAGCACAGTTTCCCTAATTAATAAGACTACCTCGTCTTTTGCAAAACTGTCATGATCAGGCTGCTTCTCAGTCCTGGCCAGTGAATTTGCATGCTCTGAGTCTAGGAATGCAGAGGAAGGCTCACCAAGTCTGTCTCCGTCTGCCTCTTGTAACATAGACTGTATAATTTGGTCACTATCAATGTCTTCAGCATTTTGATTAAAATTCATGTTTTCCATTTGGTCCAACATTTTCCATCGACCTTCTTCTGGGTCAAGAAACAGATCAGTAGTCGACTTCAGATCCAATGATTCCACATTTGACATCTGCGATGGCATGGATTTATGGCGAAATGCTCTGTAAGGGAAACCCCAGTATTGGTTCACATTAAAGGCTAGACACATTTTTTTTATGTCCCCGACCTTATTTAAATAGTCAGAACTGACATTGTCTCTTGGAAGCGTTGCAAATACGCCACTATCAGTTAAATTATGGCCATCAATAACTTCTTTCTCATTCCTTAGATCCCCTTCGGTGTCAGGAGGCTGATCTGGGAAACGAATTAGAGGATGGCCTGATCGGATGGCATTTAAATTTTGTAAAGACACATTCTTTGAGACACTGTCTTCAGATTTGTGGTCACTAGTTGTAAGAGATTCTTCGGCTGGGTCATCACACTCCAGGGTATCATCCTTACTTCCTTCACCGTCCGTTTTACCCGTTTCTTTCTCCAGCTTGTCAATCATGTTTTCTATAACTCCAAAAACACTGTTCATTGCCATCTGTGTGGAGTCATCAAATCCTGTTAAGGCATCCAACGCATTGGAAACACTGATTGAAGGAGGGTTGTCAGATGAACGTTTGGAGGATGGATCTTCAAATTTTGTGGTATTTTGAACATTCCCATTGCCGTTGTCCTTGATATTGTTTCCTTCCTTCTGCAATTCCTGGTGCACGGGTGAAGAGGAATCATATGTATGCGACTTTTCATTACTGCCAAGGGAGTTTGCAATACTATTGTCGTCAGTTGCATCTACTTTTTCTGCTTCACTGTTGCTGGGATCGTTAGACTCTTTGACATCCACTACTTGCGTCTGATTAAGTCCATTGCCTGTATCCAGGGCAATTGCCTTCTCCGGCTCACCTGACTTTGTATTGCCTTCAATTTCTGACTCAGGCCCAGAATATCCAGGATCTTCAAGATCCTTTTCTGGAGAAATTTCGTTTTTCTCTTGAGACTTGTGATCTTGGCGACGAGGAACTGATGAATTACCATTAATAGTCTCCTGATCATGAATAAAACCTTCCCTGTCATCGGATAAAGATGTGACATTAGGCTCAATTACGTTTGAAATATCTCCAGGTTCCTCTTGAATCTTCGACTTTCTTCCTGACTCCATTCCAGGAACCCTTCCAATCTTTTTAAGAATATCAACATTTATTTTACTTCCTTGAGCTTGGATGATGCCAGAAACAGCATAAGTAAGTTTTCCGCGCACGTCTTCTGGTACTGCCTCTTCCAAAGCTTTCATGAACGTCTCTCCTTGTTCTGTGGCTCTTAAAATCTGTAAAAGAGACGAGCCAAATATTTCACCATCCAATATGATTTATCAAGACTCAATCGCAACTAAATCGCAACTAAATCACAATCCTTTTTTCAATCCGTCAGATATTTCCCCATCATTTCAATTGACGGAGTATAGCAATAGATATTCATCATCAAAGTTATACGGAGGGTAAATTACAAGTAATTTTTTATGTAAAAGAAACCTAACAAAGAATCGGTAACAGTATGCTCCTTCTCATGAATAATATCATGGAATCATGATGAGGGTGTTAAAAATGATTAAGACAGTGCCAAATCAAAAAAATTACTTTCATATGGATCCTAAATGTTATTCATGTTCATGACCATCTCTATGAAATTTAAATTTATGTTTCCTCAAAAACCTCCAGTGAGCCCAATATTACTAATGCACATAAAGGAAGAAATCTAGGGAATACGACATAAAGCAAAGTATTCACGCTAGAAACTCAAAAGTGTTACAAATTTAAATAAAATGTCATGTGAATCTTATGAGGCTGAAGAATATTATTCAAGTTCATTCGCATCCTGTAATGTTTTTCTCTTTCAGGGAGTACATTGCTTCAGATTCCTCAGCACTGAAAAATTTCATCAGGGGGTCAGTTTCATTTGAAAGAATACTATCAGAATTAGAGTTCTCCAACAAGTTACCAGTGAAGATCAATAGTTATGTAAGATACTATCCGTTATAACTTGTAGTAGTCCATATGCAAAAATATGGAACGAGTAAAATGCTAATAGAAAAGATATATGCATAGGGGAGTTTCATTTTATGTTATCTGCATGAAGAGCTAACGCCAAATAGAACATATTTCGAGGCATAGAATAGGAGCCAGTTTTTCGTTAAAGGAAAGAATATTATATATAAATGTCATAGGACTATTGATAGTGGAGCATGAAATTGCAGTTGTCAATACCTTCTTTTTCTGTTCATCATCCAGTGTACCTGGTATAGTGAAATCAAGCATATTCAACAAAACACTTGCTGGTCCAATAACCTGACTGTTTTCACTGTCGGTTAGATTGCCTTCTCCTTCCTCAGATCCCCTAACAAGGCTACTTTCCTGTGTTTCTATAGTATCGTTCAAATGATCTCCAACTCGAGTTTCACCAAGCTTAGCATTTCCTTGGTAAGCATAGTCATTTTTTCCAGGCAATGAGCTAATTGGGATCACTAAACTATCAGATGATGCATGTGAGTTGTCAAGTTTCAAAAACTGTCTCCTTTTCCTTCTGTGTTTGTTAGAATCATAAGCCCCATGCATTTTGTCCTCAGCTGAAATATCCTTTCCTGATCTCTCCTCAATAAAGGCTAAGCTTTTCGGAGGAGTGATGGTGATATCTACATCTTTTAGAAGGGGATGGCGGCCCTTCAATAGAGCAAGCTCGACTGCAGAAAACCACTGCATACATCAGGTGAGTGTGATATTAGGCCACCAGAAAAATTAGTGGTATTCAAAATAAAACTCAACTATAGAAATAGAAACCTCGCTTTTTCTCAATTTTCCTTACTATACCATAATGTGCTGACAGATTATGTAGAGTTTTTCGCCTCTAATTGCCCATCATAAAGACTCGAACAATTATGAGAAATATCGTAGAAATGGATAAATAATCTTCAAATGTCAGGCATAAAAAGGCACACCAGTAAACCATCGAAATATTAAAGTTTCAATTATGTATCCAGACAGAAGGATACGACACAAAGATAGGGAACATACTTGCATAATAAACGATAAGTCAGGCAATATATTTTTTTTTTCTGTTTTTATTTTTAGCTTTTGTTCTGTTATCTCCGGGGGGATCTCCCTGCTGTGCACTATCCTATCAATCCTCCAGGCCTTTAAACATTTCATAAAATCTTCGCATGAAAGGCTACCACAGGTAGCGCTAGGGTATATTACCTTGTTCATGAGGTATAACCTGCTGTTAATAGCCTCTGTTTAAAGTGTCACCCAAAAGCACGTGTTCAAAACTCTGAAGAGTCGAATAGTGTAGAGCTAACAAAAATAAAAGACAGACTAAGCTCCCCGTCGTCCATAAAAAAGTGCAGTGTCTCGGCAAATAATCTCATACTATGGAATCTAGATTAGGTCAAAACGGTTGAATATTGGGATGATTAAATGAAACAGAACATGTCGAGTTATGAAGGTGGATGTAATGCACTTATATATGAACAAAGAAGATTTTTTTGCTAATCGCTGAAAATGGTAGGGTCTAACCGAATGGAGAAAAAAACACACATTGAATTACAATGGCAGTGGAAAAAATCCCAATAAGGAAAAGACTGAACTAAAAAGGAAAAGACTGAACTGTGGCTTAATGGTAAGAGGACCAAGCTCTTCCAAATAAGGATCTGATTGATTCCAATCTTTAATCGATCAGATGAACTAAATTGGGCGTGCTAAAAATATAGGAAAATAAAAAAGGGGCTTTAAAATTTTAGGAGTACATTTTTTGGTATTCTAGATGATAATGTTTCGGGGGTCATATTTGTTTGCTTGGGTATAGAGTGTTGACAAAAACCCCATCTCGATCCTTACCCACTAATGAGGTGTGGAGCAGTAACAGGTAGAGAAAGTAGTGGTCGATGGTGAGAAAGGTAGTTTTCGTTTTTCCTATCCTTCTCTCCTCTTTTTCTCTTCTTTGATGTCTCTGATACAGTTCTCCCCCTCTCTCTTCTTCTTCATTTTAGTTTTTGTCAATTCTTCATCGTCTTCTCTTATACCTCTTATTGCGAGAGATAATGATGAGACACCTTTCAAGAAGCACGACCTAGGTGGATCCTGATTCCCCTCGCTAAATCAGGTCAGAGATTGACAAATTCTGAAAAACTCAGAATAAGGTTGTCACATTGATGTTGATAAGCCATGAATTGAAGTGAGTATCTTAGATCTAGAGGTTGCATTAATCAAGGTCAGGCAGTGGAGCGACAATTACTCATAGTTTTCCTCATTTTCAGAGCCATCTGAATACCAATCAGTTGCTTATCAAGCATGCGAACAAGAAATTCATGGCTACATAGAACTTTTTTTGCCAGGAAGCCTTTGAGAGCTATCCATAATTCTGAGCATACTTATTCCATAATCTTTAAAATAGATAGTCCCCAAAATTCCAAAAAAATTAATCCAAGATCAGTCATTTCATGCACATAAATCAGAAACAATAAAGCAAAACGAAAAAAACCAGTTTTGATAATGTCACATAGACACATACAGAACCGGGGAGAATCTTATTTGCATCACATATCAACTCCTAAAGGTTTGGGCATGAATGCAACGAGTCTGCAAAAAAATTACCAACCGAAAATGCCATTCTGCTGGTATGAAATCTCATTTCAGAACGCGCCTACCACATTTCTAGGGAAAGCTTTACCTCAATCGCAAGGTTCTGGCACCAAATAACAGCAGATCTCTTATTTCTCACAACATTGGGAGAATGAGAATACAGGAGTAAGCTTGTACATGGATTTTCAGCAATTGAGCTGCGAGGAATAGAGCAAAGTGGTACTATCTCACCGTCATTCTGCACAAGTAAGATAGTGTTAGCTCCCTAAATACTAAAGATTAACTGACAATCACCTGTAGAGTATTGTCGATAATTTACCCCAATCATTAGTCATACAGCATGATCAAAACCTCAAGTAATGTTGTGAGCACGTGCAAACTTCTACAGAGATTTTTATCAGAAAGTCATCTGAACATATCATAAAAAATTCAGTACTTAAAGATTACCTAAGCATCCTTGAGATAGCATCTATATCATGAGATTTAGTTCCGTGGCTTTTTAATTTATAATTATCACTTTACCTGGACACAAATCCCAAAAAAAATTGACACCTTATTTTGCAAAAAACAAACATCACAGTGCGAGAATATCATGTATCCTTTGCAGGTAAGTAACCAAGATAACCTCGAAATTCACGCAGCATGTCGTTGACCATTTGTTGCATGCAAATTAAACAGATAACGTGTGTGGCATATTTCTGGCTTTCTAGACTAATCACAGAGTTCTCAACAAAAGTAGTCCAAGAACGAATATCAGGCACTTGAAAGGGTCCTCTTTTACGTGTCCTTTGCCCTTTTTTTCACTGATCGCCTGACTGATTATGCATAATAGTAGTTTATTCTCATTCATTCAAGAAAATGAATAAATATGTAAATCTTGATTATTTTCAAGCATCACTTAGTCATATGGATTCCATCCTAGTTTGTAGGAAAGGTATGCTATCAGGAGCAAATCAAAAGACATGGAAAAGATAGAATCATTCATTTTTCTGTGTACCAGGCCAATAGTAGCTTTTCAAGGGTGCGCTCTCTTGGGAAGGTGGATTTCAATGTTATTGCCTAAACTTGATCAATCCAACTCTTTCAGTTAACATAATGATAAAAAGCTAAAGAACGAATCCTCAAATACAACAAAGGACAAACCACAGAAAATAATATCATAAAAAAAAACAAGTGCCCAATTCCAATTAAGCATGTTCACGGGGCAGAACTGCGTACCTGTATGAATAAAAGAGGAATTTTAACTTTGTGAACTAATTCTTTTGTACTAAACTTTGTGTAGAAATCTTCAATGGATTGAAATCCATAGGAAATCATAGAAATAGCAGCTTCAAAATCACGCACTGATCTTGCTGATAGAGCTTTCACCACATTAAAATCCTTATTCTTGCCTTTAAAGAGTTCCTAAACATTGAAAACATCACCAATCACAGGTCAATACTCAGTGACTCCACAGGGCGTTCAAGTAAAGCTTCCAAATCTCGTGAATTTTATTACAGTAGTCCCCTGGCATGGAAAAGAAGTGTGTGCAACTTTATATCAATTGGAACTTCTTTAACCTTGTTAGCTTGTAGAATATCTACCAATCCATCCATCAGCTTCTCGTCAATTCGAGACAGACGAGGATGGAACTTTGTGGCTTCATTCAAGTCGAAAGGGTTATCTATGCAAACAGCAGCTGTAAGAGGTGTTCTCTCTCCCATTTCTGCGAGGTATTTTGTTAACATACTTGCGCCATATCCCCAGCCAACGCTCATCAGTGTTGTCCATGGCCTCGATTTGTTTATGAATCGTACAACAGTGTTTATATCATCGCTGTCTGCTGCAGTAAATAACCTATAAACAAAGAACAGAAATCCAACTGTCATGCTGCAAGATTCATCAACCAACTTCAGAGGTGATCAGTTATGCCAGACGTGGAAATAAAGATAAAAATGAAGACATATACTTCAAGGGATGGCATCCTCTTCTTCTTCTTTTTCAATGTAAGAAATATACGTCATCTCACGACTAACGACTCCATAACATTAAAAAAAGAAGAGAATGCGAGATAGCAGCTACACACGACAAATGCTTATGGAATATAAATGGGAAGGTCAGTAGTCTTGGGTCTAAAATCAGTCATTGCTCACAGCTAAGCCATTTCACGTGCCATCATAAACACTAAAATATTTATCTGATTCATGCAGATGACCCATTAGAAACTTCATCAGCATCTTCACTTCACGGAGGAAACAGTATCGTTTAGTATTTATGCCCCAATTATGGCACTATGGGACAAAGATTTCCCTAATGCGCATGCATGCCGGTGCCAATGCCAATGCTCTAAAAGAAGCTCTTGTTGAATTATGAGACTCACTTGGTAAAACAACTGACGCTCTGTCCTAGGCTGATTCTTTGTTGCCTCTAGCTTCTCGTTGAGAGGGCTGTCTACTACAGGTGTTCTTTAATATGCAAGTTGACTATGCGTGCCTTCGTAGGCCACTTTACATACCGTGGGGTCGTGAGGGGGGAACCAGCGCATCCCCTCGGATTCATGACTATGGGGAAGGACCCATGACCGAGTGCTTCACGAACAAAAGCGCGAACCTTTCCGTCCATGCTCCCCTCAGGGGTTCCAGGTACGATCAGCACTGTGGTATCCAGCCCCTGTTCCCCCGCCAGTTCCAGATCCTCTGGCCAATCCAATGCGATAACCCCTCCGTCCTCTGTGCCTATACAGAGCCTCTGGTACGACACGCCATTCACCTCTGCATCGGCCTCCTCGTTCGCCAGAATCCGACCCCTGCTCAGGTACACTGTAGAGCGCTCCTCCCTCACAAGCTGGTCATTCAAATCATCCAACAGCAACCCACCACCCTCGAACGACACAGAGGGGCAGCGGAGAAGGACGCACCGGTTAAACGGCGTCGGGCTTGCGATCAGGATCCAGTCCCCGATTGCCCTGGCACCCCAGGCAATCCGATTTCTGGTATTCTCATCTGACAGCAAGAGATTACGGCTGCGGGAGAGGTAGAGGGCTGCGCCGGAGCCAAACCCGAGCGCCGGAAGAATCAGTTCCGGCCAGTTCGCGGGGGCCAGCACGGCTACCAGACCATGGGCTAGGCTATCCCATGGGACGGACATGATCGGCGGCGGCCCGAGGCACGCGAGGATCTTGAGGCGACGGCGCTTCCTCATCTGCACGCTCCTGGGAACGAAGTACGCTCGCCCGAACGGCGAGGAAACCGGATGGAGATTGATCTGGGAGGATATGGAATCCAGGCTCATAGGCGAGAAGAGAAGGCAGCCACCACTGAAGTCAGAAACCTCCTAATTCACAGAGCGAGAGAAAGAGAGTAGAGAGAGTAGAGAGAGAGAGAGTAGACGGGAGGACCGAGAGAGAATGCAAGAGAAGGTACGGGGGCGAACTGGAAGGAGAGAGCGAGATTTTAGAGCGGGAACGGCAGACGACGCGCAGCAGAGAAAGAGAGTGGAGGGACGCGGACGGCCGTTGAGAACTCTCGAGAGGAAGCGCAGGCGACAAAGGGCCAAGGACACGTGGACGGGAGACAGTTGGACAGCCCCGCAGTGACGAGCGTGGAACATTCCTTGCCCCTCGACGTGTACCAGCCGCCAATTTGCTTTACATGAATTATTTCAAATAAAAAAAAAATCTGTCCTCTCTCTCTCTGTGAGCATGGGCTTCTGCAGACAGACAACGGCGAGAAGAAAGATGATGATGGATTCGCTCGCTGTCCATGAATTTACAGGGAGAACGGGCTTTTCTTTTCTTCCAGGAACATGGAAGCAGGCTCGCCATTCCAGTTGCCGGGCCTTGTTGCTCTCCTCAGACGCGGAGCTTCTTCCCGGGCTGCGGCTCGTCGTCGAAGTCGCCGGCGGCGTCGTCGCGGCCTTCCTTCTCGGCCTTCTTCCTGGCGAGGATGCGGTTGATCTTGTGCAGCTCGTTGGTCAGCTTCTGGTCCTTGTTCTGCTTCCGGGTCTTGCGCCCGTCCTGCATCTTCACCCCGAACTGGAACGCCGCCTTCGGCATCGCCTCCTTCTGCTCGTTGTACGTCGCCCACTCCTCCTCCGTCTCGAAGTCCCACCGGTGCAGCCGCCCCTTCGCCTGCAACTCCACCTTCGTCAGAGAAACAACAAGGAGAGAAGGAAGAAGAGAGAGAGAGAGAGAGAAGTCGGGGTCCTTGTCTCACCCGGCCCCCCATGTCCATCTTGGAGAGGTCGTCTTCGTCGTCGCTCTCCACAATCTCGCGGTTGTACTCCTGGTACCCCGGGTAGCACTCGGAGTAGCTCTCCGAGACGAAGTTGGGGTCCTTCTCTCGGGCGTCCTTCTCCCTTAGCTGCTGGAGCCGCTGGTCGTCGCGCTTGAAGACGGAGCCCAGCCCCCGGTCCTTGTCCTCCTGCGTCATGAAGCGGGGATCCAACTCCGGCAGGCTCTGCTGACTCTGCTGCTGCTGGAGGTACTGCTCCGGGTACTCCGCCTGCTGCTGCTCGGCGTACTGCCAGCCCTGCTGCTGCTGCTGCTGCCATTCGCCCTGGTATGCTGCTGCTGCAGCCGCCACCACCTGGGCCTGTTGGATCACATCGTAACCATTCTGCAAGAAAGAAACGGGGCCGTCTGATGATTGCGATTGCCCTGGATATTCTTCCATTGCTTCCCCCAAAACAGTAACAAGGAAAAGAGAAAAATGGAGGAAGAAGAAGAAGTGATTTCTTTTGTAATCGAGGAACTTACGGTCGCTTCCCAGGGTTGTGGAGGGTGGTCGGGAGGAGCGGGACCATAGGCGGGCTCAGAGAAATATGACTGCCGCTCCCTGTTCCTGGGGGACTCCTCCATGTCCTCTGACAGGGGGCTCTGGTTCGGGCCATTACCAGGGACGGCGTAATCGACGCCGTACCCGACAAAAATGTCGTCGTCGTCTTCTCTTGCAGAAGGTGGGGCCTGCCTGTCCCTCACATCAAGGTGGCTCATCTGAGGGGGTGGCGGAAGAGATTCCCTCTCAGCTTCTTCATGCTTCTTGACCCCACTTTCAGGGAGCCTGGCTTTCTCATCTTCCTCGAAATCGATCCCAAGACCAGACAGCTTCCCTGGCAACGGAGATGTGCATGTAGAACAATGTGACGCCCACTTTCAAGGATTGGTGATTTCACAGTTGACCAAGTGAGCAGAATATTCATTGAGGCAAACCAAAAAAAAAAAAAAAAAAAAAAAAAAAAAAAAAAAAAAAAAAAACAAAGAAGAAGAAAAAACGCCATCATCATCATCATAAGGTTCTACCTGGCAGGAAAAGAAAGGGTGAGGTATAATGCATCGATTTCAGTAGGGCATTAGGCAGGCAGAAGGATACCTCTTGCGTCTCTGTCCTTCTTCTTTTTCTTCAATACCTTCCCTGAAGACCCCAACCGCAGATAGGACATGATTTTCGCGATGCGATCAAGCACAGAACCGTCAACACCGACTGTAACCATCTCCTGGGTAACACCATGGCAAAGCCCCCGTTCAGCTTGATCACTCATGGAGCTTACAAACAACGAACGACCCTCACAGAAGGTTAAAGCGTGTATACGCATATGAAGAGGACGACAAACCTCCGGAATGGGGCAGTCAGCCTTACTTCTGTGAAGTGTAGTCGGTATATCATGGGAGGACCCTTCTTCCTGCAGCTCGTTGAAGAAGACAGAGATGATGACGTCAAAAAAAATATCCCATAAAGATTATTTTTTAAGAAAAAATAATATCAGGCGGTATTTCCCAGCTCGCGTGGCATGAGAAACCAACAAGTGCAAGGTCAATATAAATAAACGGCAAACTCATCCCACCCATGCCTCTGGCTTTCTCTTCTAATAAAATCTGTAATTCATAAAGACTGGTCATTGAAAAAGACGTTAACTATGTATGAGTCATAAAAAGAACAACTGAGGTTCCACCCTTTTTGCCAAAACTCGGAATTCCAGATGTTGCAGATATAAGTTTTACCTAGGCTCGTGTCCTGCCCATGAACATAGCCGGAAAATGAAATGATGTCAACTTAAGCAATTGTTGTTGACCAATGGGTTGGTGCATTTCAAATGAACGCCCGCAATCCGTGTAAAGGGATTTCCAATGGGGAAGGCCAAATAAAAACCCACCGGAGCGGGCTCTAAAAGGAGTTCATCTAATTCTCAGAGGTGTCAAATGGGTGGGTATGATGCAGTTCAAAGACGTCCCCAGAATTAGCATGAAGTACTTCCAAACAGGAGAAGGCCAGTTAGATTGCTTTGGGCTGGCTCACACAGGTATAAGGTTCATTTCTATTTGGAGAAACATATTTCTGGTCCAAATATGAATCTTAGTTTTCTATTTATGTGCTCAGTCCACCAGTGCCCCGCACATCTACGATAACGTATCAATTAAATTTACATTGGAATGCCCCAGAGTTGATGATTTATTATATTCATAAAGAACAGCTGATTTTAATTTTAGTTTAAATTTCATAACTTATAAACTCCAGTCGGATTGTGACAAACATATTGTTCCCATCATCAGAACTGTTCACATACAACTCTTTTTCATTAAGCTCATGCTATCCGCGGATCAATGCTTTGTAAAATTCTAGAATGCTGGGTAAATCTTGAGAAACTCATGGAATCTACAATTTAACCTTAACTATTCTATTCTCTATTCTATTTTCTTGCATCCCTGAACTTACTATTCTTCTATTTAACCTTAACTTATCCGTCATTCAGTCATACACCTTTTTCTCTTACCCTGCCTTCCATTTTTTTTCTTTTTCCAACTGAAATTTGAGCTAGTTGATTGTCACGTATCGGTTTCACAATGGCAAAAATTCCAGAGGACCTTTTTTTTGTTGTTGAAGGAAAGCTGATTGAAAACCCATGTAGAAAAGGTAAAAGACCATTTATGACAATGAGAAAATCCTACCATGTTGAAGACAAAGGCCATCCGACCAGGCAGAAACATCTCATTAGCCTTCACAACACTCAGCGGCTTGACTATCCACTGATAAACTGACTACAATCAGAAAGCCTAAGTTAGATGCCAATATGTTTACACTGGACTTCTAATATACACTTTGACGACTAAAGATATCAAGTCATTTCACCTTTGCAGCTGCAGTACGAAATGACAAAAGCTGATCTTCCCTGGCTACTTTGCTGTAAGAATATTGAAAGTTGTCAGGACAAGTGAAAGAACATTCATAACCAAACGTCATATCACAGCATGGCAAAAGTCAAATTCTAATTGAATATCTGTAAATTGAGACTTCCACATGATATACTGTCATAATTTCAACCTGTCTGTTTGGACTGGATAAAAGTAGAGCATAAGCGAAAAAAACCCAATGCCAGCTATAATATAGGCATCAACTTGGAAAAAATTGAAGAATCGACAAAAATCAATGGCCTAATGCATATCTGTGGAGTCCTGCTTTCCTGATTGATAGTCATGGCGAATGCCGATACATATTTCAACTAGGAATAACTACAACATCACAGAGCAACAATGTAATCTTCAACCCTCTCAAAACTTATACGACAAGAAGCAGCACAAGCGTCTGATTGATCATATAGTGAGTATACAGGATGATAGCCATTCCTTCCGGTCATAGATTGCAATGCACATAAAAACATTACAAAAACATAGGCACGAGAATGATATCATTGTTCAAATCCTTGATGGTAAAAAGTACCAAGCATCTACAAAATAACGACATAAAAAAATTAATTTCAGAAACCTAGTCAAGATTAGAGCTTAAAGCGATGCATATCAGGGTTTACACAAAAAAGGCAAGCCAACTCAAGCGCTCAAGGCAACTTTTTTCCCCAAAAGATATAACCAGAAGGAATGTAAATAATATGCTAAACGTACATCTGTTATAGAGAACTTACCTGGATTTTCCATCTTTTGCTTCTTCAGTCTCCGGTTTCTTGGTATCAATTTCGCTCCTTATTTTCTGAAGCAATGCATAATCCAACCCCTTGACCAAGTGAGTATGCTCCACATCCCCTAAAGAGCAGACAGTTAGAGACACCAGAAACACCATGCGAACCTATCTGCTTCTACATTGACCACAACCCCTCAAACTGGTCTATGGTCATAACAAGGACCGCCTAGAATTCATAAGGTGTCATCAGTAGCCGTCTCACGTCACATAATGATAGGACGCATAGAAAACTCATTGTACAGTTGAGTCACTGAGCAAGACCTCCAGCATCGCACCAAGGGTCCGCAATACAAAAGAGAGAAGAAGAAGCATTACACTGACACTATATATGGTTCAACAATCTGAATCTACTTCGTGGAGATTGTCACAATCAACTAAGGTAACCAGGATAATTATTTTTTACTTGTTTTGATGAGCAGATTGAGGAGTCAATGACAGAAAGGGTCAGTAGCCTCAAAATTTTCTCAATCAAACATTGCTGCTAAAGACAAAACGAACTGGGAGATACGATTTCTAGAAATTCAGCTAATGAAAATGGTAATGCGACCCCCATATTTTTTTTCCCCTCTTGACATTGAAAATGAGCCTCGAAGATATAGCTAGACAGGTGCATTGAGAAGCACAGACTTCCGAAAGTGAATGGACCCACATAAGTCTCAAGGCATGAAGAACAATGTCTTCAAAAATTAAAAAAGCACCAGGTTTCAACTCGTGGACTCACCTCCAAGATATTTGCTATTTTCTATGGATATTTTGTTGGCATCAGCTGACCTGAAGATATGACAGATAGTAAGCATAAATGCATAAAACGAACTCGTAATAGTAAAATGTGCGAAGACAGAAAGCTTTGCCAATCTGTAAGAAAGGAGAACACATGAGATTCTACCTAAGGACAACAGCACCCGGTGGAGCAACCGCATGAAAAGAACCCAATTCAGTTGGTTCATAGTCAGGGTTTTGATCTTCCCGACGCTCCTTGGCGCGATCCCGATATTTAGGTAATTCAGGTTCCTCTTTCTTCTCTTCTCTATGAATTATGATCAAAGAAAAATTATCTGGTTAGGGTAGAAGCTTCGAGAGTTGAATAAGGACGTGATGCCAGAATCCTAACTTCCGTAGAAACCCTAGAACTCAAATTCGCGAAATAAAAACTTATAAGCTACGTCAAGAGCAGTTACGACTGAATAATATCATTTAGTTCGAAGTACAATATAAGATGCAGATAAATTTCTTACTTCCGACGATTCATCTTTTCTTTGTAATAATTTCTCTTCACAGCCGACGCCATCGTTGACAAACAAAACTGAAAACAGTACACTGCGGAGGAAGGAAACCAGAGCATCAGCAGCTATTCTCAGCGCCTCAGATAAAATAAATCAAGAGCCAGAGGACTCTGGAGTATTCTCGGGCGGGATTCCCTGGCCCACGGACAGCCAGCGTGCCGCCCGGATTCCTCCGGATAGATAGACTAGCGAATAAGACGTAGAGCTGCTGTAGAGGAGAATTCAGATTAGCAGACCGCACCAAATAACCTGCGCCTCGCAGCCCAATGCCACCAGACGATTGGATGAACGCCGCTGCTCGATCGACTGGACCTGATCGCCGGAGAGAGCGCGCGCGCTCTCGAGAGAGAGAGAACCCTAGCTTTTGCGTTCTTGAGAAATCATGAGGATGGTCGACCTTTCCAGTTAATGGTTCGGGCCGTCCTTGGGTCGTAGTTTTTTCCTTGTTAAACTGGGCCAACCGGACCTTCTATCCTAATGGGCATCTTCTACGCTACGACCGCGGCCCAACACACCTCAAAGGGACCGTTCTCTTCGGAACGAGCGCAGAGAGGAAAGCTCGAAATCATTTCATCCGGGCTGACTCGTCCGCCCCAATCCGCACACCACGACTCGACTCGGACGCGCCAATCAGCACGGGTCAAACATCCCGGGCCGTCCACTCGGCTCGGCTCGATCCTTCCGGGATCGACGACCTTTTGGCATTTGTTTGGCCCCCCGTGGTCCCTCCCTGAGCGACTCGTCCGTAACGGGTCAACTCGGCCGTAGTGGTTGTGTCAATCTTGGGGGGGGGAGGCTGTCCACGCGTTCGGTCTGATCTCGTTGTCGGCGAGATACAGAAAATTATAAAAAAATATAATTTATAAGACATTTATCTAGCTAGAGAGAGAGCGAGAGTAGGAAAAAAAGGGGACATTTTTATTGAGGAAAGGAAGGCGATTCTGAGAGCCGGGAGATATCGGTGGCCCGATTCGGTGTGGTTCACGGGCGGGTCGCCGTCAAGTGACGGCAGCCCTGCCGGGCTCCGTCGGCAGCTCATTTAAGGGCCGCAGCTTTCTCCAGGCTCTACATATCTGTTATCTATCCATCTCACCGCGCCACGGGCCCCACCATGTGGGCCCGGTGGACCGGGGGAAGGGTTGGGGGGCGCAGTCAGATCAGCCGAAAATCTCGACACCGGTCTCGTAGTCCAATCCGGACCAGGCCAAAAGCCGCCGGGTGCCATGGGCCCCGCCCCGTGAAACCGAGTCACGCGATTCCAACCTGGGCCCGCCAGGTTTAGCCGCCGATCACGGCAGTGGAAGGACCTGGCCGCGTGGCTCGGCAGAAGCCAACCCAGATCTGCGTTGCCCCCCAGCGGGCCCCACACGCGATTCCTCTCTCGGTCCTCTCGGTATGCCAAGTAGGCGGCGCGGGGGAATGCGGCCCCCCACGCTGGGGTCGACTAATCGGGCGACATAGGGGATCCGAAATTCTTGCGGATCTGCTCCGGGCAGCGGGACCCACACAGCAGTGGTCCCGCGCATATCGATACGTGGCCGCGCGCGAGGCCTTACGATAGGATCGTGCGTCGGTCCTAGTCGAGACGACGCCGAGCAGACAATTATTGTATTTTGCCAATTAACGTTAATATTTTATGCGCCCCCCATCGGAGGGTAATACCCGTCGGGATTTTTTTAAGGCATACAAAATAAATTAAATAATAATAAAAAAGCGCTGGGGCCCGATCGACCGACGACGAGCGGATCTCCTGGCACCTCGACTTTCTCGCCTGCCGTTGACCCCTCATCTTCACCCCCCCTCTGTCTCTCCCTCTCTCTCGTTTCACCGGGTGCCGTCAGTCAGTCAATTGCTGGCCCAGTAGACGAAAGGAAGGAGGAAGTCGAGGACCCACCAGTGCCGAGTTGAAAGGTCAGCTTCTGGGGAAGGGGGGGCGGGGGGTAAAGAGGGAGAGGAGGCCGGTCAGGGACGCGGAAATTCTCTTCCTTCCAACTTTGTCTCTCTCATATTTCTTTATTTTGTTTTCGTGTGGATTGCGGCTGCTCGCAAGCTGTGGTTTTCCTTCGCCGATCGGCCTCGTCGCGTTCTCAAGGTGAAGCTTTGCGGCGGAGACCTACAGAACGCAGAGGGAAAGAGAGAGAGCTCGGTGGCAGAAGATTTGGAGGACCAACGGGGTGGCCGCTGTGGAGGGATCAGCTGCGTTGATCCCCAGTCAGCGGCTGTTGTTGCTCTTGTTCTTCTTCTTGGCTGGTGCGGCGGCGTCGCGGAGTGCTTGGGTGTTCAAGGCTTCTCTTTCTCTCCGCGCCCGTGGTCTTTCCTAATATCAGTTCTGGGTCTCCTCTTTCGGCGGATCACAGGTGCCCCCTCACGCGCCTCTGCCGTCGGGGGCCGTCGCCGTCCCGTGAATGGAACGGAGGGGATTGGGGCTGAGGGGGACGGCGTTGCAGCGGCGGCGGAGACTGGGGGTGCGCTGGTGAGGGCGGGGGAAGAGATCCGGAATCCAGGAGATGCTGTATCTGAAGCAGCCTCGGTGCGGAGTTTGACGCGCTCGGGGGTGATCTAGACCGCCCGAGTAGTTTGCGAGGCTGCTCGGGATTCGAGGGGACATGGCGGCGTGGTCGGCGGACGGTGGCGAACAGGCGGCGGCGAACATCAAGCCGGGAGAGGCCGGAGGCGGCAGCGACTCTGCCAGCTGCTACCTCCAGAAGTTCCGCCTCTACGAGACGCGATCGGTAAGCACCGGCGAGGGATCGACTGGAATCAGACCAGCCAGCCCATCGAAAGAAGGCCCATCCTCATCCTCATCCTCCCCCACTCATCATCCTCTGCTCTGATTGGTGTGGATCCTCCTGTTCTTCTGTTCCCCTGGGCGGACCAATTCTCTCACAAACTCCTCTCTCTGTCTCTCGGGGGGCCGCTCCCTGCTGCAGAACTTCTACATGATCGGAATGGACAAGAGCAGGACGCTGTGGAAGGTGCTGAAGATCGACAGGCTGGAGCCGTCCGAGCTGAACATCCGCGAGGACTCCACCACATACTCCGACAGGGAGTGCCAGGACCTCCTGAAGCGGATACACGAAGGGAACAGGGCCACCGGCGGCCTGCGGTTCGTCACCAACTGCTACGGCATCGTCGGTGAGCGCCGCCCCACGAATTCGACTCCGCCGTGAAATCGCCGGCCTAGGCCGGCGGAGAAGTCTCAACCCGCCTTCCTTCCTTCCTTGCCAGGGTTCGTCAAGTTCCTGGGACCGTACTACATGCTGCTCATTACGAAGAGGAGGAAGATTGGAGCCATTTGCGGTCACACCGTCTACGCCATCACCAAGAGCGAGATGTTTGCGCTTCCAAATTCCGCTGTGCGGCTTGATATGGCTAACTCTAAGATGGAAAACAGGTCTTTAGCGCCCGCCCCCCCCCCCACCACATGTAAATGTGTACTGCCCCGCTGTACATCTAGTGGAGGGTGGCCACTGCGAGTTCCTTGAGACACAGCACTGCACTAAGTTCATGTGTACCTGAGAACTGGAAAGTGCAAAGGGTGGAAGTTTTTATTTTTATTTTTATTTTTTTTATTTAAATTAGTTCATCTTACTGGGCAGTCGGCAGAATAGTTGATCTAGAAATGTTTGCATAGTGGGTATGAAGCTTGTGCTCAAAATGGCTGCATAACTAGGAAATTATCAGGACACCTCTTTTCATATTCATCATAATCCTCCTTTCGGGATGGTTGGGTGCCCGAAAAGGGGTCAGAACTGTACACACATGGGCTTTCATTTCGTAGATGAACAAGGGACTCGGTGTATAAGAAATCCTAGTTCCATTGCATATGGGTCTTCACGTTGTTCTGTGTTCCTGTGGAATGGGGCAGTAAATTTGTTGAAGCTTGCTTGCTTGGTTTTTTTTTTTTTTTCTTTTCTTTTCTCTCCTTGCACTGGCTACTCTTTTATTTATTTATTTATTTATTTATTTATCTGTTTTCACAGATGTTTCCTCCCTCTTTGGCCAGATGTATCAGATGGGAATTCACACCTGTTTCATTTTGTTCTCCTCTTGTTTTGGATGATGGTGTAGATACAAGAAGCTCCTCTGCAATGTGGATCTCACCAGGGACTTCTTTTTCAGCTACTCATATCATGTTATGCGTAGCCTTCAGAAGAATTTGTGCGATGGGCAGACTGGGCAGGTTGTGTACGACACCATGTTCGTCTGGAATGAATATCTGACCCGCGGGATAAGGAATCACGTGAAAAACACTCTCTGGACGGTAGCATTGGTGTACGGCTTCTTCAAGCAGGTGGTAGTTTTGTCCCTTCTTTCTTCCTTCTTCTTCTTCTTCTTCTTCTTCTTCTTATTCTTCCTCCTGTATTTCGCTTGTTTTGAATGAGTAAGAGGTGGTTTCTCCATGCCTGAATATTTCTATCTTACTCTTCATGCTGCCTGCGTTTTGCCTTGATTGAAGCTGCTTCATACTATCACCAATTTTTTGTTTTGAAATGTCTGGCCTTGCCTGCAATCTTTGCGTGTGTAGGCCAAGCTCTCGGTATCCGGCAAGGACTTCAAGCTGACCCTGATCGCCAGGCGCTCACGCCATTATGCTGGCACCAGGTTGCACAAGTTTTTGTGTTTTAATTGCTCTTACCACATGGTGTTCATAAAAGAACCGGTGCGCTCAACCCATTTCTTTCCCTCGGTCCTGGTTCTGGCTCTGTTTCGATCCCAGGTACTTAAAGCGCGGCGTAAATGAGAAGGGTAGAGTGGCCAATGACGTTGAGACGGAGCAGATTGTGTTTGAAGACACCCCAGGAGGGGGCCAACCAAACCAGATAAGCTCTGTTGTTCAGAACAGGGGTTCTATACCCCTATTCTGGTCTCAGGAAACGTCTCGGCTGAATATTAAGCCCGACATAATCCGTAAGCTCCCTCGATCGACCCCTTGTTCCTCTTGACGCGCTTCACAACTTCCCATCCTTAACTACCCATTCTGCCTCTCTCGTTAAAATATCCAGTGCACAGGAAGGATGAGACCTATGAGGCCACGCGGCTCCACTTTCAGAACCTTGTAAGGAGATATGGAAACCCAATCATCATTTTGAATCTGATCAAGGTACTTTCATTTCCTCAGAGCTTTCGCTTTTAATTCCAATATCTTTGTATTAAAAGCAATGATATTGGTATTAAAAAACAATATCATTGTGGGCGTATCCTTGATTCCTATTTACCCAAGAGGATCTCAAGCTCATAGGGTCCTCTATGATCCGTTTGACACAGACTCAGGAAAAAAGGCCCCGAGAGTCCATTTTACGTGCTGAATTTGCTAATGCGATTGATTACATAAATCAAGAATTGTCAGAGGAGAACCATCTGAGGTTCTTACACTGGGATCTTAACAAGCATTCCAGAAGGTACCACGCCCTTTGGCTTTTCCCCTCTGCAATCCTGTCCATGGAAGCGCCCAGAAGTTTTTTTTCTTTTCTATAATCCGAATGTTAACTATCCGGTGCATGTTTCTGACCCAATGAAATCATCATCTGTTCCAGCAAAGCGACCAACGTACTGGCAACGCTGGGCAGAGTGGGGGCGTATGCTTTAGATTTAACAGGTTTCTTTTTCTGCCAAGTAAGACCATCATTGAGGATTGAGGGCGCTATGAGATGGCCTGTCCTTGAGTAAGTAGGACTTTTCTTCCCCACCCATTATTGCGTTTTATACTTTTTTTGTGTTTATCTGTGTTTTATTTTTTCTTAGAGGGTTTTCTGGTGTCTCTCATCTCGCAGTCATGCTTAATTCAGGCTGCATTTTTTTTTAATTTATTTTTTGGGTCGGAGGCAGTGTGGACGAGGGTTGAATCCCCAAGATTGAAATTATTAATATTTTTTCTTGCTCTCCCTAACAAGGGGCCCCATCTCATGGAAACTTTCTGAAAGATGGGGTTCTTTTACATGGGTTGATGACCAGCATCTGGCCTATCGTGGCATGCCCATCTGACTGGAAGTTTTGGTAAGATCAGTATCCATTTTATCTGGTCAGAGAAATGGCAAAGTAATTGGCTACGAGAAATGCTCTTCTTGATAGAGACTTGCGGGTGAATAGCTTTTATATTTCTTTAATTTTAAGTTTGAGGGAGTTATGCCGAGCAGTTTGCCAACACTTTTTTGTACGAGGGATTTAGTCGCCTTCTAACCATGCATTTGTTACATGTGCAATTTTTTTATCTGGACGGGAAAAGGCCATCTGAGTTATGTGATGCTTACATGCATTAGCTTTCTTGTGCGCTCATCGTGCTCCTGTCGACCTTACCTTAGTGAGAGGGAGATGCCGTAACTCCATTCTGTTTGCTTGTCGCATGAGCATCACTTGAATCTTCCTCTCTCATTTGCCAAGCGTATTCCTTGCTCATCTCCCAAACCCCCCACCAATCCTGAGTTTTCATCAAGATGGCTATTTCCAACAACAGACTCTTTGCTTTTGGCTGTCGATGCTGAAACATTTATAGTACGATATTTGTGTTTTAAATGGCTTTAGGTCTTCGATACATCAATCTCATTCTTAGGGTTTTTTTTTTTTTCAAAAGAGTCCACCTCTCCTTTTTATGATCAGATGGAATGCCCTCTCCACTGAAAAATAATTGACAAAAATGATTTTTTGAGGTCTTCAGTGCAGATCCAATGCTCGTGATTGTCCAAATTTTCTTATTCGTGCAGATTTTCGAAACATGAGGCTATCAAGACTGCTGCATTTCTCACTTGGCGTGCCTTGAGGCATATTTTGACTGTCTTTTGTTCCTTTGGTGGTGTCATATAACGTGTCTGGCCGCATATCTGCTGTTCCACTATTTGCACATAAAATAATTTGCTCTGGGCATTACTTGTGCCTTTTTTGACGCAGGAAGGAGGACGGCAATAATTGGCCATCAGAGAGTCTGAAATGCAATGGCACAGTTGATGTTGACATCTCAAGAACTGAAGTTGAGGACCATAACAGAGGACATAATGAGAGCGTTTCCGTCAAGCTGCCGCTTTTCCAGAAGGGTGTCCTTCGTACCAACTGCATAGACTGCTTGGACCGCACAAATGTGGCTCAATATGCATTTGGCTTAGCTGCACTTGGACGTCAGCTTCATGCACTTGGTTTCATGGATGAACCAAAGGTTGATCTAGATGCACCTCTGGCCGACGACTTGATGAGATGTTATGAGACAATGGGTGATACGCTTGCACTGCAGTATGGCGGTTCTGCGGCTCACAACAAGGTAAATTGTCTTGATGAACTCTTTTATTTGCATAATGATGATTCAAAGATGAATTTTCTCGTTGAGTTTGGCTGTTGACTGTTAAATTCTTTGGTGTTCTTGCCATTGCCAAATTGTCCCCTTCGTTTTTACTTGTCTGGACTGTTTAACTGAGCATGCAGCTCTTAATTTATAATGTTAAAGTGGGCAAGATTGCATTTGCTTTCTCTTCGTAAATGAAATTAGATCCGTGAATTCAAAACCACGGGGTTGTGTGATGGTTCTCCTCTGTTTTTCACAAAAATAGCTGAGGCAACTTTCCTGATCTTTCGTTCAAAGGTCTTCATCACCCTGAAGCATGTTTGTGGCAATTTGCTTGAACTTCTTTCCAATAGGTTCAAACGTCGACCTTTCCTTTGTTACTTAACCAACCGTGATTCCTGCTAGGCTAGTTAGTGTGGGATGTTCATGCTTTAGAGAGGAATAGCTGCTAACGCCTATACGATATTCTGGTTGAATATTGTGCCATTTTGTTTTTTTTTCTTTTCCAAACCGTTCATTTCTCTCGGTTATGCTCTTCAGAATGTTCGTTTAGTGCATACAAAATTGCTTTACGCATTTTTGGAGAGTTATTTCTAGCGTCTTGGGTTGGATTAAACTGAGATAACCATTGAGAATGTCATATTTAAAATATTCAGTGCTGTGTATCTTTTGTTATTTGGATTAAATTCGTAGTGTGAAATAGTTGGAAATGCCTTGTAGCCATTCAGATACATGGTTCTTTGGACTTGAAAAAAAAAAAACCCAGAGATTTCTGATGACTATGGGTATTTTTTTAATAAAAGCTGTTCCATTAACACTAAAAGATGGATCTAAACCTCAAGCTGTCATCCGAAAATTGACAGAAGTTTGATCTTTAGCGCGGAACTTCAGGAAACAGAGGCTAAGGATCTATTGCAGCAATTGGCCCAACTGGTGTGCTTCAGCCTAAGCCGCCTTTGTTGTTGCACTGTCTTTGGCTTCCAAGGGTATCGATTAGAGATGCCTGCATCTAATCACAATCAGCAAGCTCTGGTTCTTCAGACTATTCTGTATTGAGTTTATTCAGATTTATGCATTCTTATTTACTTGAAATAACATCAAATGATGGTTATTACCTTGTTTGAGCTTTCAAGGTTCATCATCTGAATCTTGAATATCTTAGAAATTTGGCTGCGGGAAGTCGATCTCCTTCCTCAAAGCTCAATTGTGCAACAACTTCAATCCTCATAACTTCTGATGCCCAGATATTCTGTGAAAGAAGAGGCCAATGGAAGGCGGCCACCCAGTCTCAGGAGTTCTTCAGGACGCTGCAACGGTATTACAGCAATGCCTACATGGATGCTGAGAAGCAAGATGCAATTAATGTGTAAGATTTCGTTTCCTTGTGCAATGAATCTGATTTTCACTCAGCGGATAACGCCAAATCGATCTGATTTGCTTCTAAAGCTTGGGATTTCGTTGAGAGCTCGCTTCATGTCCATGCAGGTTTCTGGGGCACTTCCAGCCTCAACCGGGAAAACCTGCCCTCTGGGAGCTGGACTCTGACCAGTATTACAACGTAGGGAGGCGAGGATTTCCCGACGAAAATTCATGGTAATAATACTTTTGTATTCAGAATTTTGTGTACGAATATATGAATATATATATATATATATTACACCGTGGAAATTGAACGAACATTTCCATAAAATCCTTTTGGTGATCTACTGTGCCCACTGTGCATTGTGAATTCGCCAGTAGCCTCTTCCTTTTTGTCCTGAGAAAATCACATGGGATATCGCATCATCCATCGGTGACTATGTCACAAATTATTTCAGAGAGAAAGATCCAATCTTTCTGTTTGTCGATGGAGGAGAGAATGGAGATGAAACCAATGGGCACCTTGCATTGCTATCGACTGCTTCGCGTTCGAATTTTTCATACTGAAACGTGAATACTTGACTTGTCATTTCAGGTCATTTGTTAAGAGATCCCTTTCGGACGGCAATATCCTATGCGAGAGCAACACGCCCGTGTCGAACACCAATGGTGGAAAGAAGAGGATCCTTGGCTCGGTGCTCTCTGACAGCATCTCTGATTCAACCACGGAGATCTCGACCTGCGGAAACGATATAATGTGTTCTCGGTAGGTTCATCCCTTTGGTGTTTCTCTGTCAGGTTGTCATTTCTCCACCATCTTGCTAGAAAAATTGTCTTCTCTTTGGTGTTCATGACTTGTTCTAATGGCGACGTCTTGTAGATTCACCCCCTGCATGGTCGGCAGGCAGCTGTTTCCCGACAATAAGCACTTCTACTTGGGCGAGAATTGCACCGACGCATCGAACTGTTCAAATTTTCTCGACCTTGATTGCCTCTCATCCTCTGGAAACTCATGCGAAGAGGAGACTTTTGACAGGTGAGCCTGGGGCTTAACACTTGGGTCAAGAAGGTAGGGAGGGAGGGAGCTGGAGTGGTCTGGGGAGGATTGGTCACTGCCTAAGCGTTGACCTCCGTGAATGTAGGTTCTCTCTCATGAACATGCCTGTTGAGACACTCTCATCTGAGAATGTCACCAATATCACACCTGCGGAGGCGACTCTGAGTGAGGACGGATCCAGCATTAAGGTGAGTCGGTGGTATGGACCGTCGAAACAGGGGGCGGGCCGCCAGCTCTTTCCATAATATCTCATTCGAGGTTTCATCCTCGTATTTCTCGGAGACCCAGAGCTTGGATCTATTAGGAGAGAGAGAGAAAGCTACTCTGACCTCACCCTCGTCGTGTCTGCTGGCTGAACTTCTATCCGCTACAGCTTTCGCAGGAAAGGAACTCAACGGACATAAAGCTTCCGTTCGGAGCGCCCAGAAAATTGGACAAAAGCTCAGAATTCCCTGAAAGTTTTGTGCAGTGGGTCACCTATGGAGAGACTCTCTGTCATTGAGGCCCTGAGATCAGGTCCATGCCCAGCAGGAGGCCGAGGAGAAAATACAGAGAGAGAGAGAGAGAGAGAGAGAGAGAGAGAGAGAGAGAGAGTGAGAGAGAGGATGCAGAGGCAGCGGCGGCCGCCATTCTTTTCCTTTGTAAGATAATCCTAGCCTTCTTTCCTCCGGCTCTCGTACGATTTTGCATTCATCCAAGCTCAGATTCCATGGCCTCTGTCCACCACGAGCATAGCTCGCACGGGTTCTCATTCTTTTGGCTCTTTTGTTTCGTTCACCATTCCTCTTCTGTGAAGTCAACCCCTCCGGTTCGTGTAAATATTTAGGTAAAGATTGGCCTACCCGGGTTCCAATTTATAGCAGATTTTTTTTCCTTTTCAAGAATTCGTTCTTTCTTTCTTTTTTATTTTTTTCAGTTGTATTTTTCTATCAATGTTAGTTCAAAAAGGCGAGGTTTTGCTGCTTATTAGCGTTGACCTCTCTATCTCTCTCTCTCTCTCTTTCTCCCTCTCAGTTTCTCTTTTAAACGCCTAGCAAATGAGAAGCATGCATAGGTACACATGCCATAACACGGATGCATCCATGCTCTTAGAGCTAATAATAACAGCACCAAGTTAGAGAGAGAGAGAGAGAGTCATACACATGTCGGAATGTGTTCGTTCACCAAACTCGTTGCAGAACGAAGGTGCCCGGCCCGTCGACTCCTTGATTTAATTGGTGCCACATTTTCTCGTACTGATATCCATACTCTCAATTCTTGGGATGTGAGCGACGTGCCAACGGTTCGGTCTCAGCTTCCTGAATCCTGTCAAATCATCCTGTCGCTGTCCACGTAGCGTCTGAATTGGCGTCTGCGCTCCGAGACATCGGGGGGAGCCGGCCTCACCGTGCGACCCCGGTCGTCCCGCAGCCCGCCAGGGGAGACGGCGGCGGTGCCAACCAGCTCAACGCCAACCCGCCAGGAACCCGCCAGGAACCCGCCAGGAACCCGCCAACTCCTCGTCCGAAGAACGGTTAGGAAGCCACTGAACCCGCAAGGACGAGGGACGATGAATATCTTCATATTTCTAGATGACATCTCTATATCTAGTTTGGATCTTTCTACGCATGAGCAACATTTGCACTAAATCTTCATAGTTCTCCGCTGTCGTCACTTTAATTTCATAGTTTTCCAGGATATCAGGTGTTCGCAGGCAAAAGTCACTGTAGATCATGTTGAAGTAAACGTAGTCCTTCAATGGTCCTTGCCCACAAACCTTCATAAATTGTAGAAATTTCTGAGGCCCACAAGATATTATACATGTTTCATTGTGAGTTATGGATCTCTGGCATCGCCACTCACCCAACTATTCAAATGGGATGCATAATATTGGAGCCTTGTAATCAAATCTTGCCTTATAACAGCTTAATATTGCCTCTCATCTTAATTCTTCCTAATTTATCTCTAACTTTTGAATTAAAAGCTGAAAAATTCAATCGTGAGATTGACTTAATCCTTGTGCTAAAAATGTTCAATTGTATTCTTCAGCCAAAATCTTTCCACACTTAGTTGAAGACTATTTATAAACAAGAATTTGTGACCATTGTCCTTGCTACGCTAAAATGAAAATATTATCTTCTTGGATTAAGGACAATTTTTACTTGACTACTAGAAATAGCTTTTTAAAAAAAATGTATTATTAGAAATACTTAAATGTTAGTTTTAACTTTGAGATTAACTATAAAGCAAATGTCGATAGCAATATTGCAAATGTCTTGTCCCAAAAGTCTAATCACGATATATCCCATGGCCTTGAAATCTCTCAACCCGAACTATTTTCTCTCAGACTTAGTCCGACAAGAGAGCAGCAACAATCCTCAACTAGTCCGAAGATATATTCTCTACACTAAGGGTTCTTATATCACCAAGGACGATTGGTGTTATCAACGAACTCCACCTTTATACTTGAACTTTTGTATGAATTCAACAATATGGTACTCGACAGACACTTGGACTTTGTATGTACTTATCTATGTCATTGACATGATGTGCAATGGATGGGCATGGAATCTTGCAGCTAAGGATATGTGGCGGTTTGCTTCAACGTCTACCCATTTTGGAGAAAATCTGAGAAGATATTTCCATAAACTTTATTAAAGGTCTTTGCTTTCAAATGGCTTTAGTGCCATTTTTTATTAAAGGCCTTTGGCATCGTTTTGTTGGTTGATTACTTAAGTCTGCACAAAATTTTCTCCACTCTGTCATCTCTTTACTATTCACAAATTTTCATTTATGGTATTGTTCAGTTACACCATTTTAAAACACCTAAACTCATTGATTGTGATTATATATTTATGAGTTATTTTGATGAGCACCATTTAAGCATCAAGGTAAGACACTATGGAGAACTTGTGCTTATCATTTGAAGACTAATGGCCAAATAGAGACAGTGAATCATGGGCTCAAAATATATCTTTACTGTTTCACTAGAGATTGGCCTCATCAATGGTCTAAATAGTTGGGCTAGGTTGAGATGTTATGTTGAAGTAATCAGAATCTCATCATGGGCAACACAAAGCGAGGATGAAGTTATATGTTCATAAAAAATGGCCCAATGTTGAGTTTGACATTGGCCATTTCATTAACCTTCGACTCCATCCCGAATGGGTACACCCTCTTGCTCGTTGACCTTTTGAAAAATTGAGACATCTCTTCTTGGGTCCTTTTGAGATAATAGAACTCATCAAGCCAATTGCTTATCGTTTAGCTCTTCCTCCTGCAATGGGTATTCCTCAAGTATTGAAGCATTCTATTTCTTCTTCTTTACCCATTACCTCATTGCTACAAGATCAAGATCATATGTTACCCGTCGTTTTGTCACACGTTCTTGCCATCTACCACAGGCCCCATAGCATTAAGGACCTTGTTCAATGGAAGGATCTTCTAGCTTTGCACGGCAATGTTCCGGGGGTCAACACTGGCGAACGGCTTTCAGGCAACGAAAGCGGCGTCCCCGTCCAAAGTGGACTGGACGGGATTCAACACCGGCGTCCGGAATGCGATAGGTCGCCGCTATTCAACCAGCGAAGATGCTGGACCGCGGAGCCGAGCAAGTCCACGTCCCGGCCACATATGGTGACATCCTCCTACATAAAGGGGGAAGGACGGGCAAAGGTTCCTAACCAACCGGAGCTCAACGCCTGCATCGAGCCACAACTCTTTCCTATCTCGCCGGAATCCCCCGGCCGTGAAGGCGTCCAGTACGCGATCCTCTGCCGCTAACCCGCGCGACGAGTAGGCATGGCGTCCGTTGAAGCGATGTGGGAAGAGTGGGTGGTCAGGGCATTTGCGAGGGTGGATAACAACTTTTTGAGCTACTTGCCCAAGGTGTGCCTTGCCAAGCCCAGCGCCGAGGAGGATCCTCTGGCCGACGTCGAGACGTTTGACGGCCCCGGGCCTTGGGACCGGACCTTGCTGGAGGTGGAAGTGGAGGACCCCAGGGCCCCCGCGAAGGACGGCGAACCGGCTCGGAACCGGATGCTCCTCTTCTCCGCCAACGACTACCTCAACCTCAGCACCCATCCGGCCGTCCGCAAGGCGTCGGCGAAGGTAGGCTTTCGAACTCGCTCCCGTTGGAGGCACAGTAATGTCCGTCACGCGTCGCGGTAGTCGGTGACCGATTCTGTACACAAATATCGAACAGGCGGCTCTGGCGTTCGGGATGGGTCCGCGATCGTCCGCTATGGCCAGTGGGCAGACCGAGTACCACCGGCGGCTGGAGAATGTCCTGGCGGAGATGCACAAGAAGGAGGCGTGCGTCGTAACCCCCACCGGATTCGCCGCAAACACGGCCTTCCTAGCGGCGCTGGGAGCCGTCGCCACTCATAACGCGGCGTCGAGGAGGCCGGCGGCGCACGAGAAGATCGCCGTGTTCTCCGACGCCTTGAACCACGCATCCATAATCGACGGTCTCCGGATGATGGAGCGGCATAATCAGGCCGTCGTGTCCGTGTACAGGCACAGCGACATGCAGCATCTGGACGAACTCCTCTCAAACTGCCCTGTCCAGAGGAAGGTGGTCATCACGGACAGGTAACGCAGACTGAATTGATAAGCGGAGAACGATCTGCGTTCGGCAACGTCTTCTTCTTTCTGGTCCTGTGAAGTTTCGGCGCTCAGAAGCCTCCTCGTTTCTTTGCATGGAAGCAGTTTGTTCAGCATGGAAGGGGACTTCGCGCCGATGCTCGACCTCGTGCAACTCCGGAAGAAGCACCGGTTCCTGTTCGTCATCGACGAAGTGAGTCATCCGCCTTGTGTTCTCTGGGCGTCGGGGCCGTCTTCTCTACCGTCTCCCTCCTTGGATCCGGATTGACCCTCCCCCCCGCGTTACAGGCGCATACGGCATTTGTGTGCGGGAGGAATGGCGGCGGTATCGGAGAGGTTTACGGCATCGAAGATCAGATCGACATCATCGTCGGGACGCTGAGCAAGGCCGGGGGATGCCTGGGCGGATTCGTGGCCTGCAGCCAAAAATGGTCGAACCTGGTCCGGACGACGGGCCGTCCCTACATTTTCACCACAGCTTCCCCCTTACCCGTCATCGCGGGCGCCTACGGTACTGATCACCGCATCCATTCCTTCCGCCATTAGTCGTCCGTCCTTCTTATTCACATAGACTTAACCGCGTCATTATCACCACTTCCCACCGTGGCATATTTAACGCGATTTTGCGTCTGCGCGCGTTGATCCCCTGCAGCTGCTGTGACGGTGGCCAGAAAGGAGGCCTGGCGCAGGCAAGCGCTGTGGAACAGAGTGCAGGAATTCGCGGCGTTGACGAAGCACCCCGCAACCAGCCCCATCCTTTCGCTGGTGGTCGGCACCGAGGACGCCGCTATCTATGCCAGCAAGCACATGCTGGAGCGTGGCTTCCACATCATCGCCGTCAGACCGCCGGCTGTCGCCCCCGACGCCTGCCGGTGAGTTCTCGTTTCCCCCTGCCTTCCTCTCCCGTCATTCTTCCTGCCACACCGCCTTCTTCCAGTAGCCCTGACCCTAGTCGATGATTTTTGCGCCTTCCAGGCTCAGGGTCACCCTGACGTCCGGGCATTCTTCGGAAGACGTGAGAAGGCTCGTGGCCGCACTCTCGGAATGCATCCCCGGACTCGACCGCCCCGCAGATCAAATCGTGGCGAGGCTGTGAGGATCTACGGACACCGGCGCCGCGGCTGACCCGGCGTGGATGGCTGGACGGGTTGACAACACAATCTGGGGATTCCGGCCGAAGTCTTCCCATATGATTATTCTTATTCTTCTTCGTTAAAAGGCGAACGTTTGAACGTCATAAAGGAATGGGGCCCGGGGAGTTTCTTGGGTTTGAAAGCGGATGGTCTGTATTTGTTCATTACTTTCTTACAAATTTCGCAACACTTACGGGAAGCCCGGACGTTAAGAAAGGATACGACCCAAACACACGCGCACAGACAAAGAGACGGATACTCCTAATTGCATATGTATATAGGTATCTCTATCTTTTTATGTATATATATAGAGGGAGAGACTCGAAGAGAGAGAGAGAGAGAGAGCGTTCCAAGGTGAAGGCTGTTTTCGACGAATCTCGTCTGCATCTTTTAAATATATCTATCGACACATTAGTACCTATACATTTCGAAAATTTATTTTTTACAGACAGTTTTCTTTATCTCTTGCACAACCAATAACTGTTAATTGTTTGAGTAACCTTAGTCAACCTTGGTGAAGTAGGTTTTGATGCTTAAATGATAACGAATGAAGACTTTGTGAAGAAGTTATTCTTATTTGTGAGGCTTGCACTATTTCCAATACCTTAATGGCTTCTCTTCGAGGATACATGTATTTTTGTTCTGCATTTTTACTCTCCACAACTAGTCGGGAGTCACTAGATAAGGAATAAGAACGGCGAGAAAATAAAATTTCAAATGTCCTTGTCAAATCTATTTTCTCTCAATCTTAGAATATATGCATCGAGAGGGTGTTTAAATACTCATAGAGTGGATACCAGTCATGTAGATGGAGGCTCCCGATAATCCACCACGTCGAAGAGGAAGCAAGAAGAGCATGTGTACTTGGCGTGAGGAGGCCAAAACCGAGGTGAGACTAGCAGAGATGGAATATATGCATCTAGAGGGTGTGTAAATACTCATAGCTGCTGGAATGATATTATTTCCTGACTTGAACCTCCATGTGGAAATATGTTAACTAATATCTAAGTAAAGTACCTATTTATTAGCTACACCATGATGTCAATGGCATCTAGTAAAAGTGAATTAGCTATTTGCAGCCATTTTAGTAAGTTTTCTACAAATAGTAATTAGTTTTTATTTTACAATACATTGTCTCATTGTAATTACTTTTCTTATTTCCTTTATGTCTTAGTACAATTTGTCTAAACTCCTCTACTCCAAATATTACAAAAAGCCACAATGATATACATGACCACAATTTTGTACAATATGTAAATACTTTGTCTCAAGTAATGTAACTATATTTTTAACTATTCATGAACTTTATGATATCAGAAAATATTTGTGTTGTCATGATAATTGACTTTACAAATCAACACAAATAAATGCCATGAAAATTTCAACATTGAATACATAGAGCCCCCAATTTCCCATGAGATCGAAGGGGTAAAGATTAAGGTGAGGATATGGATGAAACAATTAATGATATTCTAAAGCACATGACACAAGAGCTCATAACAATCATGCTAGCCACAATTGTTATAATCAATGATGTTATAATGCAACTTCGGGCCAGCCTTTACAAAACTACTCTCAAATAGGTGGTCATAGAGTACTCACCTTCAAGTCCCATAAAGGTTTGGTGTATAATCATTTCTACCATGATTTAGTTCGGCCTTATAGAATGAACAAATACTAAGAGTGGACACTGAATTTTTCAATTTTTGACAACTTGAAATGACAAAAATTGATGTAATGTAATTGATGAGGACTATCATTCAAGTAAATGGACTCTCTATAGTTCATTAGGGTGATTAAGTAAGAGTCACATAATTTATAATTGTTCAGTCCACTTAGCTACTCTAATATTTAGAAGCACCTTATTTAGGTTCTATTATCTACAAATCATAAAATTACTAAGTACATAGAATCAGCTTGTTTGCAGTGGATTCACAACTCTAAGTGTCTGAATACAAGCTATGTTTGTGCATTTAGGCTGATTTGTCTATTGCAACAGATTAATCACATTAGGCAAATAAATACTAGTGCTTTTAGCTTTACATCATCTTCCCATGGTGATAGGGCTTTGCAATTGTAAACCACCAATGAGTGTAAAGACATGCTCAATTAGGCCTTGTTGGCAGATAAGACTATAATTAGCTAAATTATAGAATACAACCATTGATACAAGAACTTATTTGCAAAATTATGTGTCCACTTGAAATCATATGTCCTTCTCACAACTCAAGCACTTTAAAAGATTTCAAATACATTTTCAACATGGAAGAAATTTATTATTGTTGCAAAGGTGTAGAAATCATCATGAGATAGGTGTTCTTGGACTCTTAAATTAGTTATTTATTAATTGGTTGGTCATCTATTCATTGTTCTCTATTTGAATTTTGAATTTTCTTTTATCAATGAAATGTTTGCTATGTTCCATTTGTTGTTCACTAGTCACCATGTTAAAGACATCCATTTGATAGCTTTCATTCCATTATTACAATGTAGTAATTCTTAATGAGTGTTAGAGTGGTGCATAATTCCTTGACTAATAGGTTATACTTGGTCACGAGGTCATATTAAATAAGCATGAGTAAAGTTTCAGATAGAAACCCTCTGGAGAGAAGCTCACATGAAAGGAAACATGGTATAAGAATTTAATTATATTTAGTTGAATTTATTAGGCCAAAAATATAAGAATGTTTTTTGAGGATTCCATTAATAATTTTCTTTTCTAATGCAATTGATGAGGACCACCATTCAAGTAAATAGACTCTCTATAGTTCATTAGGGTGATTAACTAAGAGTCACATAATTTATAGTTGCTTAGTCCACTTAGCTACTATGATATTTAGAAGCATCTTCTTTAGGTTCTATTATCTACAAATCATATAACTACTAATTACTTGAAATCAGCTTGTCTACACTAGATTCACAACTCTAAGAGCCTGAATGTATGCTACATTTGTGCATTTAAGCTGCTTTATCAACTACAACATATTGATCACTTTAGGTGAATAAATATTAGTAATTTGGTTCTAGCAAGTGCTTTTAGCTTCACATCATCTTTTAATGGTGATATGACTCTACAACTATAAACCAATGAGTATAAAGACATACTTAGTTAGGCCTTGACGTGACTCAATAGCTATATAATAAATCATGTAAACTTAAAATTTATAAAACTAGAAAATATCAATTTTTAGATTTTTAAAAGTATTTTAGGACAAATAAATCAATTATGATTTGATAAAAGTTTTTAAAAATAGTGGATAATTTCTAAGTTGATCATAAGATGTAATATAATATCGGATAATATTTCAAAATTTTCTATAAATAATTTAATGGCTTTTAGACTCAATAATGAAGATAAAATATATCTAATTTTTTTGAAAAGGGTGCAAATGTCAAGATGATATCAGTGCCTCAACGAATACAAATCAAGCAAAAATAGAGTTCCACCTGACAATCTTTACATAAGCGATTACAAACAAATTAATTAGTCAAATTAAGATATATAAAAGTCAAAAGAATCGTAATTGAATGAATGAATAATATTTTAGAGACTTCAAATCACATCAAGTGTCACTAAATGAAGTCAAAATTAAGTTGGAAGTAGAAATGACAAAGTTCTAGCCTTGTGACAACGATCATTAGAATCCTATATGTTCATAAGGATTATTGAACGATGTCTACAACCTCAAAGGCTCTCCTTAGACATGGATGACTTAGACATTTGTTAGATTTCTTTTTAAAGTCAAGAAAATGATGGTGAAAATTAAATTAGTTGAAAAATAGTAGAACAAAGTTTCGAGATTGTAATAGTGATGTTGATAAGTCTTCATTATTATGAGTTAATAATTAGTAAATAATATAGTTTTAGCCTTAACTCAAGATAAATAGACTTATATTTATGTGAAAGTGTGAAAAGTGGTTTTCAGTTGATTAATATAATTTTTTGGGTAATTATGTGATTTTACACGAATTTATATGATTTTTATAATCTTGCTTTTGTGATAAATGAAGAAAAAGAAATAAAAACTAAAAATAAGATAAAATGAGGGGGACCCGCCAGCCAACCGAGCCCTCAAGTGGGTCGGAAGCTTAGTTAGGGAGTAACTACGAGCAAAGGCTTGAGCGGCTTGAATCGATAAGGGCACGTGTGCACCACTCCCCTTCCATGTCACCAGTGGCCAGCTAGTTGTGGGGCAAGGAGTGGTCCTACACGTGAGGGAAGGGACTTGCTTAGAAATGTAACATTAGTATATATTCACCCGAAAAATTGGCGCACAACTGATGTGGGACTAAATTTGCATCACACCTTTCTCAAAAAGGGCGGGCAACCGGGGCGGGTTCGAATCCTCCTAGAGTCAAAAGTTATATATTTTTATCTGATTATTGTAACTTTCCTGTAGATTGTCGGTGAAGCATTAAGCAACGAGAATTACTAGATCATCAGCGAAAATCTCATCAACGCGATTCACAGAGCATTGCTACTAAAATTACTGAATGATTCGCGATAAAAAGATCACAAATCTATCGAGGAAATCATCTCCAATTGATTGACGAACAAGCCGTCGTCGGGAAGAGGACGATCTACCAAGATATGAGTCGCCACCTCTTGAGAGCGTACCAAATGCGATGAAGCCTCCTCTTGTTGTGCGGACCTGAGGATGAAGCTCCTTGACATGCGCCCCACCTCCATCCGGCTCCATTCCGTCAAGTGACAACCGCTGGAGAGCTGTAAAGTCGTTGTTTTTCCACTCTGTCGGGTGACAGCCACCAGAGATGATTCGATGACCCATTTCATTAATCTCTAGACTTCGCAAGGAGATCTAGAGATTGCCCACATCGTCTTTGTCCAAGGAGAGCCTTTGAGGTTGTGGACACTATATGATGATCCTCTCAAATGCTTAGAATTCTAGTGCATCGCCGACCCATTGCCGTCACAATGCTAGAACTCTGTTTTCTTGCTTTCAACTTACTTTACGCTTCATTTAGTGATAATTTGTGTGATTTTAATTTACCAAAATATACTTTGTTCAATTACGATTCTTCTAGCTTTTACAGATCTTAATTTGATTAATTAAATTATCTGTAATCACTTATGTAAGAATCGTTAGGTGGAACTCTATTTCTACTCGATTCGCATTTGTTGGGCGCTGACGTCATTCTGACATCTGCACCCTTATTTCCCCTTTTTGTGAATTTTAAATATATTTCTTTTTCATTTCTTAGTATAAAATTCATAGAAAATTGTATTCATTGACAAACATTCTGAATAATTACTAGATATTATATTCATCCCTATGATTGACTTGGAAAATTATCGCTATTTTTTGGAAGTTTTATTGAATTATAATTGATATATTTGTTCAAAAATATTTCTAAATATCTTAAAATTTATATTTTCTAGTTTTATAAATTTAATATTTACATGATTTAATATACAACGACTAAGTCATGTCAGATGTGTTAGAATCTTGAAAATTTGAGAAAACTATCGTATAATGTTCATAACCTTAAAGTCTCTCTTTAGATAGAGACAATATAGGTAATCTTTAGATCTTCTTGTGAAGTTTAGAAATCAATATAGTAGATTAATAAATCATCTGTAATAATTGTCACTTGACAAAGTTAAAAATAATGACTTTGTAGATCATTGGTGGCGCCAAAAGGAGAAGAAAAGTGATGGCAGAGATGACGGCGTCAAAAGAGGGAAGAGTAGTGATGTTGAAGAGCCGCCTGAGGAAAAGAGCAGTGCACTAGAGATGGGCAGTGCACTTGAGGCTAGGAGGACGACGAGGGATACCTAAGGGTCTGATACTATGTTGAGATGAGAGGGAAAAATATTGAAATCCATGTAGCTTCAAGATACAATACATGACTCCTATATAGGAGAGAGGAGAGATGAGAGAGAGAGATAGATAGATAATGGGGCCTAGTGGGTTGGGAGTCCGATACTACTATCGAACAGATATATACTCATAGGAAACGAAGGTGTCAAGGTAATTCTTCCCTTGATTCAAAACACTAAGAGTGGTTGATGATGTATCAAGGGCAATCAAATATATCAAAATGTTTATGTTGATAGAAATACAAAAAAAAGATGTAATTATTTTCACAGGCTTTATTTTTTATATCAATTTGAAATAAAACAATTAAAAATGAATGGAGATTACATAATAATGTTATCAATTTTCCACATGATAGTTAAAAAATCATTACATTATTTAATACTATAGAAAGTCCCAATAATTATGATAAAATAGTTCTAGCAAAAAGTAAAGACTTGGTCACTAAATTTTATGTTAATATTTGAAGTGAAGTTTAATCTTCAGGTTTAAAGAGTATACTAGATGTTCTTGATTTAAAAGTCTCATTTTAGATAATTTTTTATACATAATTCATTAAACAGATGTTTATGAGACTTTTATGATATTTTTGATTATTTTGAATTTAAATTGAAAACACATTTGGAATGTCTTATGTTACCTAAGTAATTATGTTGAATATTGATATGAAAATTTGAAGTAATTTTTGAGGACTTATAATCGATTTGTAATAATTTGAAATTAACTTTGTTTCATATTTAACACCTTATGTTGAGGAAACGAATTCATATTGGTCAAGATGAAATCGATAATTGGGAATAAGTATGTTAAAACTCAATGGCTATAGTATTGTTTCAAACATAGAAGATATCTGAACTATTAAAGAATGTGCCATCCTAGTTTTCACCCATCAAAGCTCTAGCTTTTTTTAAGATGCTAATGTTGAATAATATCTGAAATAGGGAAAAGGCTTGAGTGAAATTTCTCTATAAATTCAACCCTTCAATGGCCAAATGCACTACTCTATCATCTCAAAAATAGCTCTAATGTTTTTTCAATATTTTATATGTACATTTGAGTGGATTTAAAGTTGGGCCCAACAGTAAACTTTTGGAAAGATTCTTCATTTACTAAAGAAAACTAATATTTGTCCTCTTGATTTATTTCAATGGCATTATCTTCTTCAAATCTATAACTTCTTGACACATAGAGAAGAAGTCAAGCACAATAAAGTTCTCTTTATGACATTTTAGATGCGATTTAATTCTTCATCAAATTCTCAGAAATGGTATACACTATCTCTTTTGTTCTTCTAGTGAAATAAATCTGTTGACATAGTCACATAATATTGATCGGCATTGTAGTCAGCTTTGGCCCAGCTAAGGTCGTGAATTTATAAGAAACTTTAGGTTCAGATTCTATGGGGGTTGAGCTTGTTAATTGATAGTTAATATTGAAAGTGTTCAAGTATAACACAAGAACAAGGTCTTCTAAGAACACGGGCATAGGAAAAAGGTAAATGACTATAAAATTTATAATGTTGTTAAGAATTAGATTCAGCATATGATTAAGGATCAAGGATTGTATGAAAATTTCACCAAGGTCAAACTTAGAATATGATCAATTCAACATTTCCTTTTCCATCCTATAGGGGCCATGAATAGAAATAATTTTTCATGTTGATTTGGAAGTGTAATTTAATGTAATGGCATATGATTTATATTGCTGCATATAATGTCACTTATTGGACTCACATTTCAATGGATGTCAAAGTGTAAACGATGGGGATAATAATGAGAATGTTAAAAGAGATCAAATAAACGTTTATAAATCACAAATGCTATCAAACCTAGAAGAAATAGAAATCTGATTCTAGCTCAAAATCATCTACAGTTAGAGAAGGGAGGTTAAGACCAGACGATTTTGGCAAACCATGAGACATAGGGCGCTTGTAATTAACAATGCAAATCTAACTTATCACAGAGAAAGGATGGGACAATATGGAAATGATAGTTATCCTATAGATCACTCGTGGTGAAGATGATAAGAAGAATATATTAAGAGAGCAGGGAATATCAAGTGTAATAAACAAGATAACTAGTCGAGGAAAAGAGACACTAGAGAGACTTGGGTCAGAGAAAGTCAATCATTGACCATTGACCAGTACTATTGACGATTGACACGAGAGTGTAATATGGAGTCATTGACTATTGACCAGTAGACTAATGACCATTGACTGTGTAGAGGACGTTGGACGTTGGGCAAACAGAGGCTTGTTGTTAGTCGTCTACGGCTCGAAATTATTATACCTACCTAGCGGATTCGGATTTGATCCAGAAGCAACCCGGTGGGCGTGACGGGAGGAATCCTTCCTGGTCATAGGCCTGTGGGGTGGGCAGCCCAAAAGTGGCTCGCCGGATTTTATGTGCTAACCGTCTTGTGAGTGCCGGACCTGATGGCTGACTCGGTGATCCAAGACGTAGGTGGCGGTGCCGGGTGAAATGAAGGTGGCAAGAGAGAGAGGGCGATACAGGAGGTTGCCGGAAGGTGGGGCACCGATGGTGACGAAAGACGAAGGTGTAGGCGGTGGAGACGGTGGAACGGCAGCGCCGAAGGGAGACGGCGGAGGTGAATGGACGGCATAATGGTGGCAACAGCGATGAATGGGGCAATAAAGCTCCAACCGGGAGCAAAAGGTCCTCACGACCAACCCTACTGGGGTGACAGGGTCTTCATGACCATCCTAACTGTGGTGACGGGGTCTCACAACCAGCAGCAGGTGGCGGAGCTTTCATGAAGGTAAATGAATCTCAATCACTAATTGTCTCCCTAATGATGATGGGATGGACTTTTTAAAGGCCTTACGAAAAAGAATGAAGCGAGGAAAATAAAGGAAAGCTCATTAAGGGCGAGCCCGCTAATAATAGTAGAAATCTTCAGATTCCGGGTGGGTGAATAGAAATCTCTGGTGGCCCTCTATGCCCAAAGCTGCCTGTACCATGCTTGAGTCTTCTAGTGGGCAGGCTGCGTCTAGATTAGGCCCCGATCTTGTGTTAATAAATGTCATGTGCCGAGACATTCTACATAGTATATTATGTTATTACACAGCTCAATTCTATGTTATTATCCTCAGGAGTTGTATGTTGTTACATACCACTCCTGAGGTCGATACTTTTGATTCCTAATGCCATTTTCACATAGTGCAATACTAGACGCAGAGTACTTCATTATTCTGGAGCATAACTTATTATATATTGATATACTAAGCTTCATATATGATGGGACTCTTAATAAGTGTCCATGTAAATGTGATACGCTGAAATATTAACCTTGAAGTACCTATCAATTCTGCAATGCACACTTCTGCAATACACTGCAATGAACCTCGACGCATTGCATTGTCCTACAATGTAAACTTCCTATTTTTAAGCATTTGATTTAGCCCAATGTGCTTCTAGGGAATATGAACTTTGGATTTCGAAATACTGACTATGACGTACTGTGTTCTCCGTTGACCCAAGCTTCATATATGGACATACTCACCTTGATGAATTATACTACATTACGACATAGTCTTAACATACAGAAGTATCACCCGTGGCAATCCACGGTGAGAAATGGCATTTTGTCGACAATTAGACGGCGAAGGTATGATTGTCGTGCATCTCGTGGACTAGAAAAATGACCATCACAGCTGTGCAGATGACTCTCTCGCATTGGTATAACTTAACTCACATCGGAAGGTAAAAAATGATTTGCGGCTACCTCCCCGTGGCAGAGAAAAATCATTCGCATGTCCGTTTTCTGACCTGGGGATGCTACCGGGACTGGCTAAGCCGTGGTGTTGTGGAGCCCAGCGCGATCTGGCCGCCTTGGCTAGGCTAGAAGGAGCGAGAGCCTGGGCAAAAACTCAGAGAAACTCAGAGAACGGGTTCCATATTAGACACCCTGCGAACCCCGACTCACCGAATTCAACGGTGTGTGAGAGAGACGGGGAGATCTGCGACTTGCGATGTGACTCGTCGCGGATAAATAGACATCCAACGCCCGACGCAGCCCAATTATTTTTCCCAACTGAATTATGTCCAGAAAACTTGGTCACATCTGCTGGACTCAGAGGTTGCGCTGGCCATTTGTGACCTTGACGGGTGGCCGTCATGTCCGTCGTTCGTGGAAATATTGCATCAGGCCAAGCGAGGAGTCGGGGGTCTCCGTTCATACCCGAAGACTTTCCCCCTTTCCACATTTTTTTCATTTTCCTTCTTTATTTTTCTTAGCTGTCTTTTTTTTTTTTACACTGTTGATAGGCTTCGACCGGTTCTCTCTCTCTCTCTCTCTCTGGCTTTACAGGTTGTACCGACGGGGTTCCGAAGATCCGGTATCCCCGTCTCCTAGTCACAAGGCTAAGGAACCGCAATGTTCCGGGAGTCAACACTGGCGAACGGCTTTCAGGCAACGAAAGCGGCGTCCCCGTCCAAAGTGGACTGGACGGGATTCAACACCGGCGTCCGGAAAGCGATAGGTCGCCGCTATTCAACCAGCGAAGATGCTGGACCGCGGAGCCGAGCAAGTCCACGTCCCGGCCACATATGGTGACATCCTCCTACATAAAGGGGGAAGGACGGGCAAAGGTTCCTAACCAACCGGAGCTCAACGCCTGCATCGAGCCACAACTCTTTCCTATCTCGCCGGAATCCCCCGGCCGTGAAGGCGTCCAGTACGCGATCCTCTGCCGCTAACCCGCGCGACGAGTAGGCATGGCGTCCGTTGAAGCGATGTGGGAAGAGTGGGTGGTCAGGGCATTTGCGAGGGTGGATAACAACTTTTTGAGCTACTTGCCCAAGGTGTGCCTTGCCAAGCCCAGCGCCGAGGAGGATCCTCTGGCCGACGTCGAGACGTTTGACGGCCCCGGGCCTTGGGACCGGACCTTGCTGGAGGTGGAAGTGGAGGACCCCAGGGCCCCCGCGAAGGACGGCGAACCGGCTCGGAACCGGATGCTCCTCTTCTCCGCCAACGACTACCTCAACCTCAGCACCCATCCGGCCGTCCGCAAGGCGTCGGCGAAGGTAGGCTTTCGAACTCGCTCCCGTTGGAGGCACAATAATGTCCGTCACGCGTCGCGGTAGTCGGTGACCGATTCTGTACACAAATATCGAACAGGCGGCTCTGGCGTTCGGGATGGGTCCGCGATCGTCCGCTATGGCCAGTGGGCAGACCGAGTACCACCGGCGGCTGGAGAATGTCCTGGCGGAGATGCACAAGAAGGAGGCGTGCGTCGTAACCCCCACCGGATTCGCCGCAAACACGGCCTTCCTAGCGGCGCTGGGAGCCGTCGCCACTCATAACGCGGCGTCGAGGAGGCCGGCGGCGCACGAGAAGATCGCCGTGTTCTCCGACGCCTTGAACCACGCATCCATAATCGACGGTCTCCGGATGATGGAGCGGCATAATCAGGCCGTCGTGTCCGTGTACAGGCACAGCGACATGCAGCATCTGGACGAACTCCTCTCAAACTGCCCTGTCCAGAGGAAGGTGGTCATCACGGACAGGTAACGCAGACTGAATTGATAAGCGGAGAACGATCTGCGTTCGGCAACGTCTTCTTCTTTCTGGTCCTGTGAAGTTTCGGCGCTCAGAAGCCTCCTCGTTTCTTTGCATGGAAGCAGTTTGTTCAGCATGGAAGGGGACTTCGCGCCGATGCTCGACCTCGTGCAACTCCGGAAGAAGCACCGGTTCCTGTTCGTCATCGACGAAGTGAGTCATCCGCCTTGTGTTCTCTGGGCGTCGGGGCCGTCTTCTCTACCGTCTCCCTCCTTGGATCCGGATTGACCCTCCCCCCCGCGTTACAGGCGCATACGGCATTTGTGTGCGGGAGGAATGGCGGCGGTATCGGAGAGGTTTACGGCATCGAAGATCAGATCGACATCATCGTCGGGACGCTGAGCAAGGCCGGGGGATGCCTGGGCGGATTCGTGGCCTGCAGCCAAAAATGGTCGAACCTGGTCCGGACGACGGGCCGTCCCTACATTTTCACCACAGCTTCCCCCTTACCCGTCATCGCGGGCGCCTACGGTACTGATCACCGCATCCATTCCTTCCGCCATTAGTCGTCCGTCCTTCTTATTCACATAGACTTAACCGCGTCATTATCACCACTTCCCACCGTGGCATATTTAACGCGATTTTGCGTCTGCGCGCGTTGATCCCCTGCAGCTGCTGTGACGGTGGCCAGAAAGGAGGCCTGGCGCAGGCAAGCGCTGTGGAACAGAGTGCAGGAATTCGCGGCGTTGACGAAGCACCCCGCAACCAGCCCCATCCTTTCGCTGGTGGTCGGCACCGAGGACGCCGCTATCTATGCCAGCAAGCACATGCTGGAGCGTGGCTTCCACATCATCGCCGTCAGACCGCCGGCTGTCGCCCCCGACGCCTGCCGGTGAGTTCTCGTTTCCCCCTGCCTTCCTCTCCCGTCATTCTTCCTGCCACACCGCCTTCTTCCAGTAGCCCTGACCCTAGTCGATGATTTTTGCGCCTTCCAGGCTCAGGGTCACCCTGACGTCCGGGCATTCTTCGGAAGACGTGAGAAGGCTCGTGGCCGCACTCTCGGAATGCATCCCCGGACTCGACCGCCCCGCAGATCAAATCGTGGCGAGGCTGTGAGGATCTACGGACACCGGCGCCGCGGCTGACCCGGCGTGGATGGCTGGACGGGTTGACAACACAATCTGGGGATTCCGGCCGAAGTCTTCCCATATGATTATTCTTATTCTTCTTCGTTAAAAGGCGAACGTTTGAACGTCATAAAGGAATGGGGCCCGGGGAGTTTCTTGGGTTTGAAAGCGGATGGTCTGTATTTGTTCATTACTTTCTTACAAATTTCGCAACACTTACGGGAAGCCCGGACGTTAAGAAAGGATACGACCCAAACACACGCGCACAGACAAAGAGACGGATACTCCTAATTGCATATGTATATAGGTATCTCTATCTTTTTATGTATATATATAGAGGGAGAGACTCGAAGAGAGAGAGAGAGAGAGAGCGTTCCAAGGTGAAGGCTGTTTTCGACGAATCTCGTCTGCATCTTTTAAATATATCTATCGACACATTAGTACCTATACATTTCGAAAATTTATTTTTTACAGACAGTTTTCTTTATCTCTTGCACAACCAATAACTGTTAATTGTTTGAGTAACCTTAGTCAACCTTGGTGAAGTAGGTTTTGATGCTTAAATGATAACGAATGAAGACTTTGTGAAGAAGTTATTCTTATTTGTGAGGCTTGCACTATTTCCAATACCTTAATGGCTTCTCTTCGAGGATACATGTATTTTTGTTCTGCATTTTTACTCTCCACAACTAGTCGGGAGTCACTAGATAAGGAATAAGAACGGCGAGAAAATAAAATTTCAAATGTCCTTGTCAAATCTATTTTCTCTCAATCTTAGAATATATGCATCGAGAGGGTGTTTAAATACTCATAGAGTGGATATCAGTCATGTAGATGGAGGCTCCCGATAATCCACCACGTCGAAGAGGAAGCAAGAAGAGCATGTGTACTTGGCGTGAGGAGGCCAAAACCGAGGTGAGACTAGCAGAGATGGAATATATGCATCTAGAGGGTGTGTAAATACTCATAGCTGCTGGAATGATATTATTTCCTGACTTGAACCTCCATGTGGAAATATGTTAACTAATATCTAAGTAAAGTACCTATTTATTAGCTACACCATGATGTCAATGGCATCTAGTAAAAGTGAATTAGCTATTTGCAGCCATTTTAGTAAGTTTTCTACAAATAGTAATTAGTTTTTATTTTACAATACATTGTCTCATTGTAATTACTTTTCTTATTTCCTTTATGTCTTAGTACAATTTGTCTAAACTCCTCTACTCCAAATATTACAAAAAGCCACAATGATATACATGACCACAATTTTGTACAATATGTAAATACTTTGTCTCAAGTAATGTAACTATATTTTTAACTATTCATGAACTTTATGATATCAGAAAATATTTGTGTTGTCATGATAATTGACTTTACAAATCAACACAAATAAATGCCATGAAAATTTCAACATTGAATACATAGAGCCCCCAATTTCCCATGAGATCGAAGGGGTAAAGATTAAGGTGAGGATATGGATGAAACAATTAATGATATTCTAAAGCACATGACACAAGAGCTCATAACAATCATGCTAGCCACAATTGTTATAATCAATGATGTTATAATGCAACTTCGGGCCAGCCTTTACAAAACTACTCTCAAATAGGTGGTCATAGAGTACTCACCTTCAAGTCCCATAAAGGTTTGGTGTATAATCATTTCTACCATGATTTAGTTCGGCCTTATAGAATGAACAAATACTAAGAGTGGACACTGAATTTTTCAATTTTTGACAACTTGAAATGACAAAAATTGATGTAATGTAATTGATGAGGACTATCATTCAAGTAAATGGACTCTCTATAGTTCATTAGGGTGATTAAGTAAGAGTCACATAATTTATAATTGTTCAGTCCACTTAGCTACTCTAATATTTAGAAGCACCTTATTTAGGTTCTATTATCTACAAATCATAAAATTACTAAGTACATAGAATCAGCTTGTTTGCAGTGGATTCACAACTCTAAGTGTCTGAATACAAGCTATGTTTGTGCATTTAGGCTGATTTGTCTATTGCAACAGATTAATCACATTAGGCAAATAAATACTAGTGCTTTTAGCTTTACATCATCTTCCCATGGTGATAGGGCTTTGCAATTGTAAACCACCAATGAGTGTAAAGACATGCTCAATTAGGCCTTGTTGGCAGATAAGACTATAATTAGCTAAATTATAGAATACAACCATTGATACAAGAACTTATTTGCAAAATTATGTGTCCACTTGAAATCATATGTCCTTCTCACAACTCAAGCACTTTAAAAGATTTCAAATACATTTTCAACATGGAAGAAATTTATTATTGTTGCAAAGGTGTAGAAATCATCATGAAATAGGTGTTCTTGGACTCTTAAATTAGTTATTTATTAATTGGTTGGTCATCTATTCATTGTTCTCTATTTGAATTTTGAATTTTCTTTTATCAATGAAATGTTTGCTATGTTCCATTTGTTGTTCACTAGTCACCATGTTAAAGACATCCATTTGATAGCTTTCATTCCATTATTACAATGTAGTAATTCTTAATGAGTGTTAGAGTGGTGCATAATTCCTTGACTAATAGGTTATACTTGGTCACGAGGTCATATTAAATAAGCATGAGTAAAGTTTCAGATAGAAACCCTCTGGAGAGAAGCTCACATGAAAGGAAACATGGTATAAGAATTTAATTATATTTAGTTGAATTTATTAGGCCAAAAATATAAGAATGTTTTTTGAGGATTCCATTAATAATTTTCTTTTCTAATGCAATTGATGAGGACCACCATTCAAGTAAATAGACTCTCTATAGTTCATTAGGGTGATTAACTAAGAGTCACATAATTTATAGTTGCTTAGTCCACTTAGCTACTATGATATTTAGAAGCATCTTCTTTAGGTTCTATTATCTACAAATCATATAACTACTAATTACTTGAAATCAGCTTGTCTACACTAGATTCACAACTCTAAGAGCCTGAATGTATGCTACATTTGTGCATTTAAGCTGCTTTATCAACTACAACATATTGATCACTTTAGGTGAATAAATATTAGTAATTTGGTTCTAGCAAGTGCTTTTAGCTTCACATCATCTTTTAATGGTGATATGACTCTACAACTATAAACCAATGAGTATAAAGACATACTTAGTTAGGCCTTGACGTGACTCAATAGCTATATAATAAATCATGTAAACTTAAAATTTATAAAACTAGAAAATATCAATTTTTAGATTTTTAAAAGTATTTTAGGACAAATAAATCAATTATGATTTGATAAAAGTTTTTAAAAATAGTGGATAATTTCTAAGTTGATCATAAGATGTAATATAATATCGGATAATATTTCAAAATTTTCTATAAATAATTTAATGGCTTTTAGACTCAATAATGAAGATAAAATATATCTAATTTTTTTGAAAAGGGTGCAAATGTCAAGATGATATCAGTGCCTCAACGAATACAAATCAAGCAAAAATAGAGTTCCACCTGACAATCTTTACATAAGCGATTACAAACAAATTAATTAGTCAAATTAAGATATATAAAAGTCAAAAGAATCGTAATTGAATGAATGAATAATATTTTAGAGACTTCAAATCACATCAAGTGTCACTAAATGAAGTCAAAATTAAGTTGGAAGTAGAAATGACAAAGTTCTAGCCTTGTGACAACGATCATTAGAATCCTATATGTTCATAAGGATTATTGAACGATGTCTACAACCTCAAAGGCTCTCCTTAGACATGGATGACTTAGACATTTGTTAGATTTCTTTTTAAAGTCAAGAAAATGATGGTGAAAATTAAATTAGTTGAAAAATAGTAGAACAAAGTTTCGAGATTGTAATAGTGATGTTGATAAGTCTTCATTATTATGAGTTAATAATTAGTAAATAATATAGTTTTAGCCTTAACTCAAGATAAATAGACTTATATTTATGTGAAAGTGTGAAAAGTGGTTTTCAGTTGATTAATATAATTTTTTGGGTAATTATGTGATTTTACACGAATTTATATGATTTTTATAATCTTGCTTTTGTGATAAATGAAGAAAAAGAAATAAAAACTAAAAATAAGATAAAATGAGGGGGACCCGCCAGCCAACCGAGCCCTCAAGTGGGTCGGAAGCTTAGTTAGGGAGTAACTGCGAGCAAAGGCTTGAGCGGCTTGAATCGATAAGGGCACGTGTGCACCACTCCCCTTCCATGTCACCAGTGGCCGGCTAGTTGTGGGGCAAGGAGTGGTCCTACACGTGAGGGAAGGGACTTGCTTAGAAATGTAACATTAGTATATATTCACCCGAAAAATTGGCGCACAACTGATGTGGGACTAAATTCGCATCACACCTTTCTCAAAAAGGGCGGGCAACCGGGGCGGGTTCGAATCCTCCTAGAGTCAAAAGTTATATATTTTTATCTGATTATTGTAACTTTCCTGTAGATTGTCGGTGAAGCATTAAGCAACGAGAATTACTAGATCATCAGCGAAAATCTCATCAACGCGATTCACAGAGCATTGCTACTAAAATTACTGAATGATTCGCGATAAAAAGATCACAAATCTATCGAGGAAATCATCTCCAATTGATTGACGAACAAGCCGTCGTCGGGAAGAGGACGATCTACCAAGATATGAGTCGCCACCTCTTGAGAGCGTACCAAATGCGATGAAGCCTCCTCTTGTTGTGCGGACCTGAGGATGAAGCTCCTTGACATGCGCCCCACCTCCATCCGGCTCCATTCCGTCAAGTGACAACCGCTGGAGAGCTGTAAAGTCGTTGTTTTTCCACTCTGTCGGGTGACAGCCACCAGAGATGATTCGATGACCCATTTCATTAATCTCTAGACTTCGCAAGGAGATCTAGAGATTGCCCACATCGTCTTTGTCCAAGGAGAGCCTTTGAGGTTGTGGACACTATATGATGATCCTCTCAAATGCTTAGAATTCTAGTGCATCGCCGACCCATTGCCGTCACAATGCTAGAACTCTGTTTTCTTGCTTTCAACTTACTTTACGCTTCATTTAGTGATAATTTGTGTGATTTTAATTTACCAAAATATACTTTGTTCAATTACGATTCTTCTAGCTTTTACAGATCTTAATTTGATTAATTAAATTATCTGTAATCACTTATGTAAGAATCGTTAGGTGGAACTCTATTTCTACTCGATTCGCATTTGTTGGGCGCTGACGTCATTCTGACATCTGCACCCTTATTTCCCCTTTTTGTGAATTTTAAATATATTTCTTTTTCATTTCTTAGTATAAAATTCATAGAAAATTGTATTCATTGACAAACATTCTGAATAATTACTAGATATTATATTCATCCCTATGATTGACTTGGAAAATTATCGCTATTTTTTGGAAGTTTTATTGAATTATAATTGATATATTTGTTCAAAAATATTTCTAAATATCTTAAAATTTATATTTTCTAGTTTTATAAATTTAATATTTACATGATTTAATATACAACGACTAAGTCATGTCAGATGTGTTAGAATCTTGAAAATTTGAGAAAACTATCGTATAATGTTCATAACCTTAAAGTCTCTCTTTAGATAGAGACAATATAGGTAATCTTTAGATCTTCTTGTGAAGTTTAGAAATCAATATAGTAGATTAATAAATCATCTGTAATAATTGTCACTTGACAAAGTTAAAAATAATGACTTTGTAGATCATTGGTGGCGCCAAAAGGAGAAGAAAAGTGATGGCAGAGATGACGGCGTCAAAAGAGGGAAGAGTAGTGATGTTGAAGAGCCGCCTGAGGAAAAGAGCAGTGCACTAGAGATGGGCAGTGCACTTGAGGCTAGGAGGACGACGAGGGATACCTAAGGGTCTGATACTATGTTGAGATGAGAGGGAAAAATATTGAAATCCATGTAGCTTCAAGATACAATACATGACTCCTATATAGGAGAGAGGAGAGATGAGAGAGAGAGATAGATAGATAATGGGGCCTAGTGGGTTGGGAGTCCGATACTACTATCGAACAGATATATACTCATAGGAAACGAAGGTGTCAAGGTAATTCTTCCCTTGATTCAAAACACTAAGAGTGGTTGATGATGTATCAAGGGCAATCAAATATATCAAAATGTTTATGTTGATAGAAATACAAAAAAAAGATGTAATTATTTTCACAGGCTTTATTTTTTATATCAATTTGAAATAAAACAATTAAAAATGAATGGAGATTACATAATAATGTTATCAATTTTCCACATGATAGTTAAAAAATCATTACATTATTTAATACTATAGAAAGTCCCAATAATTATGATAAAATAGTTCTAGCAAAAAGTAAAGACTTGGTCACTAAATTTTATGTTAATATTTGAAGTGAAGTTTAATCTTCAGGTTTAAAGAGTATACTAGATGTTCTTGATTTAAAAGTCTCATTTTAGATAATTTTTTATACATAATTCATTAAACAGATGTTTATGAGACTTTTATGATATTTTTGATTATTTTGAATTTAAATTGAAAACACATTTGGAATGTCTTATGTTACCTAAGTAATTATGTTGAATATTGATATGAAAATTTGAAGTAATTTTTGAGGACTTATAATCGATTTGTAATAATTTGAAATTAACTTTGTTTCATATTTAACACCTTATGTTGAGGAAACGAATTCATATTGGTCAAGATGAAATCGATAATTGGGAATAAGTATGTTAAAACTCAATGGCTATAGTATTGTTTCAAACATAGAAGATATCTGAACTATTAAAGAATGTGCCATCCTAGTTTTCACCCATCAAAGCTCTAGCTTTTTTTAAGATGCTAATGTTGAATAATATCTGAAATAGGGAAAAGGCTTGAGTGAAATTTCTCTATAAATTCAACCCTTCAATGGCCAAATGCACTACTCTATCATCTCAAAAATAGCTCTAATGTTTTTTCAATATTTTATATGTACATTTGAGTGGATTTAAAGTTGGGCCCAACAGTAAACTTTTGGAAAGATTCTTCATTTACTAAAGAAAACTAATATTTGTCCTCTTGATTTATTTCAATGGCATTATCTTCTTCAAATCTATAACTTCTTGACACATAGAGAAGAAGTCAAGCACAATAAAGTTCTCTTTATGACATTTTAGATGCGATTTAATTCTTCATCAAATTCTCAGAAATGGTATACACTATCTCTTTTGTTCTTCTAGTGAAATAAATCTGTTGACATAGTCACATAATATTGATCGGCATTGTAGTCAGCTTTGGCCCAGCTAAGGTCGTGAATTTATAAGAAACTTTAGGTTCAGATTCTATGGGGGTTGAGCTTGTTAATTGATAGTTAATATTGAAAGTGTTCAAGTATAACACAAGAACAAGGTCTTCTAAGAACACGGGCATAGGAAAAAGGTAAATGACTATAAAATTTATAATGTTGTTAAGAATTAGATTCAGCATATGATTAAGGATCAAGGATTGTATGAAAATTTCACCAAGGTCAAACTTAGAATATGATCAATTCAACATTTCCTTTTCCATCCTATAGGGGCCATGAATAGAAATAATTTTTCATGTTGATTTGGAAGTGTAATTTAATGTAATGGCATATGATTTATATTGCTGCATATAATGTCACTTATTGGACTCACATTTCAATGGATGTCAAAGTGTAAACGATGGGGATAATAATGAGAATGTTAAAAGAGATCAAATAAACGTTTATAAATCACAAATGCTATCAAACCTAGAAGAAATAGAAATCTGATTCTAGCTCAAAATCATCTACAGTTAGAGAAGGGAGGTTAAGACCAGACGATTTTGGCAAACCATGAGACATAGGGCGCTTGTAATTAACAATGCAAATCTAACTTATCACAGAGAAAGGATGGGACAATATGGAAATGATAGTTATCCTATAGATCACTCGTGGTGAAGATGATAAGAAGAATATATTAAGAGAGCAGGGAATATCAAGTGTAATAAACAAGATAACTAGTCGAGGAAAAGAGACACTAGAGAGACTTGGGTCAGAGAAAGTCAATCATTGACCATTGACCAGTACTATTGACGATTGACACGAGAGTGTAATATGGAGTCATTGACTATTGACCAGTAGACTAATGACCATTGACTGTGTAGAGGACGTTGGACGTTGGGCAAACAGAGGCTTGTTGTTAGTCGTCTACGGCTCGAAATTATTATACCTACCTAGCGGATTCGGATTTGATCCAGAAGCAACCCGGTGGGCGTGACGGGAGGAATCCTTCCTGGTCATAGGCCTGTGGGGTGGGCAGCCCAAAAGTGGCTCGCCGGATTTTATGTGCTAACCGTCTTGTGAGTGCCGGACCTGATGGCTGACTCGGTGATCCAAGACGTAGGTGGCGGTGCCGGGTGAAATGAAGGTGGCAAGAGAGAGAGGGCGATACAGGAGGTTGCCGGAAGGTGGGGCACCGATGGTGACGAAAGACGAAGGTGTAGGCGGTGGAGACGGTGGAACGGCAGCGCCGAAGGGAGACGGCGGAGGTGAATGGACGGCATAATGGTGGCAACAGCGATGAATGGGGCAATAAAGCTCCAACCGGGAGCAAAAGGTCCTCACGACCAACCCTACTGGGGTGACAGGGTCTTCATGACCATCCTAACTGTGGTGACGGGGTCTCACAACCAGCAGCAGGTGGCGGAGCTTTCATGAAGGTAAATGAATCTCAATCACTAATTGTCTCCCTAATGATGATGGGATGGACTTTTTAAAGGCCTTACGAAAAAGAATGAAGCGAGGAAAATAAAGGAAAGCTCATTAAGGGCGAGCCCGCTAATAATAGTAGAAATCTTCAGATTCCGGGTGGGTGAATAGAAATCTCTGGTGGCCCTCTATGCCCAAAGCTGCCTGTACCATGCTTGAGTCTTCTAGTGGGCAGGCTGCGTCTAGATTAGGCCCCGATCTTGTGTTAATAAATGTCATGTGCCGAGACATTCTACATAGTATATTATGTTATTACACAGCTCAATTCTATGTTATTATCCTCAGGAGTTGTATGTTGTTACATACCACTCCTGAGGTCGATACTTTTGATTCCTAATGCCATTTTCACATAGTGCAATACTAGACGCAGAGTACTTCATTATTCTGGAGCATAACTTATTATATATTGATATACTAAGCTTCATATATGATGGGACTCTTAATAAGTGTCCATGTAAATGTGATACGCTGAAATATTAACCTTGAAGTACCTATCAATTCTGCAATGCACACTTCTGCAATACACTGCAATGAACCTCGACGCATTGCATTGTCCTACAATGTAAACTTCCTATTTTTAAGCATTTGATTTAGCCCAATGTGCTTCTAGGGAATATGAACTTTGGATTTCGAAATACTGACTATGACGTACTGTGTTCTCCGTTGACCCAAGCTTCATATATGGACATACTCACCTTGATGAATTATACTACATTACGACATAGTCTTAACATACAGAAGTATCACCCGTGGCAATCCACGGTGAGAAATGGCATTTTGTCGACAATTAGACGGCGAAGGTATGATTGTCGTGCATCTCGTGGACTAGAAAAATGACCATCACAGCTGTGCAGATGACTCTCTCGCATTGGTATAACTTAACTCACATCGGAAGGTAAAAAATGATTTGCGGCTACCTCCCCGTGGCAGAGAAAAATCATTCGCATGTCCGTTTTCTGACCTGGGGATGCTACCGGGACTGGCTAAGCCGTGGTGTTGTGGAGCCCAGCGCGATCTGGCCGCCTTGGCTAGGCTAGAAGGAGCGAGAGCCTGGGCAAAAACTCAGAGAAACTCAGAGAACGGGTTCCATATTAGACACCCTGCGAACCCCGACTCACCGAATTCAACGGTGTGTGAGAGAGACGGGGAGATCTGCGACTTGCGATGTGA